GGTGCGTAACTGAATAGGGGTATCAAACGGGGTAAAGATGCACGAGACAACAGAGACGGTGAGAGGTGGGTCGTCAGCAGCAGCATGGGGAAAACCTGGAGAAGCGAGTGCATTGGCCAAGTTTGTGAACTGCGGCCGCCCGACGAAGGGGACATGCAGCGATTCTGCAGTACCGATGGGAAAAATTATTCACGTCAAATATCTCATCTTGCTGCTTGCTGCTTGCTGCTCGCCGCTGTTATGCCACAGTCGTCCCATTCCTGTTGGCCTATTCACCGCCACTCGTCCTCATTGCCTGAGGTTCCTTGATCCTGGGGTAGTGGGTTAATGGCACCACAATTATAGCATACTACAGGTTCTCAACAGAGACAACGGCCCGCTATGTAACAGACCTGGCCTCGGTTCGGGCGTGTGGACAACTTGTTTCATTTCTGGAAGCGCGATTTTGCCATTGGCCGTGGGTTGCAATAAAATGTGGCAGGGTATATATAGTCCACCTCATTCAAGTACTCCAGTACCTGTCGTATGGGGTGAGCGGGATAAATCCCTCGTCCATCGTGGCGCCTTTGGACGTTGAGCGCAACTTGGAATGAAGCCAATTGAGAATGATCGCCAGCCACAGGAGAATGGTTGCCGATACCCCTGTGCTCAGCCAAGAGCCTCAAAAGGCTGACTGCTTCGCCAAGATGTTACTGCTGCCCTAAATTGCTGTGCTCTTTTTTGTGCCATCTGTTTTGATTATCCTTTCTGACTGAAAGCAGCTTGTCTCATGGAAGCCAAGACGGGCGGGCTGGCTGGGCGAAATTACTTGATGCAGAGAAGTTTCTGACAACAATTAATGCAGGTCACGAGAGACAGGTTGCTGCGTGATTTGCTGCACTCGAGGTGCAGGTGGCCACTCGCAGGCCTCTTGATGCTTTGGGACAGCTGCAGCAATTTGTGGGAAGGCGAGCCAGTCTCGGTGCTGCAAAGGGCAAGCGTGGATGGCTGTCATGGTCATGGTGGGCATGTGTAACCCCAGCTGGACAATGACAGGACAATTCCATTTAGACATTGCGATGCTAACGTACGGGTTACCTTTTCTGACATACCCGAGCTGGTGGTTCAGGGCACGTAGTAATGTTCTCGTATAGTCGTATTTCAAAGACGAGGCGTCCGCATGGTTAACGTCTCCCCGCTTCACCGACCAGCTTGAAACAGCCTATAACGAAAGTGACTGAAGAGGGCCCAAGATACTGCACAACACCAAGGCGGGCAAGTCGTCATGAGTTGCGCACGCAAGGCACACAATGGCGGCAGTGTATATGGCAGTGTTGTTCAGCCAAGAAATGCAGTCGAACGGACAGTCCGGCCATCCGTATTTGACTCTCTGGCCTTGGCTGAGTGAGCTCCCTTGGCAACAGTCAGCGAACGTGCTCTTGAAAAAACCTAAAAATCGTGGAAAACGAGGTTTCTGACATAAAGCATTGAAAGCATTTCGAGCTTGTGAAAAAACTTTCGGCGGTTTGTCCCTCCATTGAAGGAAACATTCCAAAGCCAAGCATTGATCAACCGAAACCGAAGAAATATAGATTATAGCGACTTATCGGATTAGAAGTTGCCAATGAGAAGGTGCGATCCCGTATCCTTGCATCAGAAAATGTTTTTCAGGCCAAGAGCATAAGTCTCTGGAAGCCACAACTGTCAGTCTGTCGCCAAGGACCACAAATACGCAATACGCAACCAACATCGACGGACGCACTGTCCTCGAGCGACCAACGTGTTTGACGACAACAGAGAAGTGTCATATTGACGTGCTCAGGCTTCAAGGCGTGGACTGAATGATAGGCTGTCATTTCCAGATGTAATCTCCATTTTGACATTTGTCACGCGAGCGCTACGTGCATATCAGTGGATATGGCCAAAGTGTATCTCGAGCTACTTTATCCAACTCCATTGCTCAGGCATCAGCAAACAGGACAGTACTGGCGAGGAATTCGGCCCTCGGGGAAATCTCTGAATGACGGCTATTGTTTATTCTTAGAAGTCAAGGCGAGTCAAGGCAAGTCAAGAAAACCAGTCATGGAAGTTGTCTTGAAAACAGAAATCCGCCAAGATGAATAGCATTAATGATGCAATATCCTCGAAATAGAGCTGTTCCTTAGCTTGTCCGCGGTGGCCGGCCTTGATTACTCTAACCTTAGGTGGAGATTTAAGTGCTACCGATCACTTACAGGCAACCTAGTCGTATGAGCACATGAAAGATTCGGCATGATGTTTCGCACAAGTATCATAAGACGGACGTCCAAACATAACATCTCAAGTAAGAAGTTCGTGAAGACATCAGATGATGGCCTACATGCATGACCCCAAATGACGCGGTGGCACTAGACCCAGGTTGCCCCTGATTGGCAACCAGCCAAGGCGGGCCATAGAACCAAAGCTCCAAATCGTAGAGGAAGTCGATCTTCAATGCTCTTATTCGCGAGCCGGCAGATGGACCTGGAGGATGGCCCACCCATGGCCGCTGCAGGCGCCTCGAGGAAGCTGATACTTTTGTTGTGAGATGAAACCCCAAGGTCGGTCTCATAGCACACAGCAGACACATGACATTCGTTCTTGAGCCGGCCGATCCCGTGTTTGTTTTATTGACCGGCACGTACATAGTGGTGTGAATCACCAAACCTGCCAAGCGCAACAACACAGAGTAATGCAGAGGTTAAACGTTGGATATTGTACATTCCGAGACGCGGCAACGCCAAGGCAAAGCGCTTGGCAAGCGCTCGTCTGATTCTTGGTATTGCCACTGTTTTATCCACGGCGGTTCGACTGGCGATTGTAATATGAGCGCTTGAAATTACTAGATGAAACCAGAACGGCGATTCAGCAACGACGATTGTCGTGATGATCTCTCAGCTGGCATGCTTTTTTTTTTAGGAATACCATCAATCAACCATTGGCCAAGACGGGCCCAATTAGTCCATTCCTGGTTGTTCTAGTCAACTTTGGGTCCTCACGATGTACTGGGAACTTTAGACTTGGATGTTCACGCCAGCGATACCTCATTAACCGCTAATACTTCTAGAACGAAGTGAATTATGCAGAAAGACTTGGCCTTGATTTCCAAATCGTGACAGCCCCCTTGACGTACTGCCTCGTTCTTGATCGGTGCACGGGATTGGGTATTGTTATCATGATGTTTGGTTGAGAGAGGCCGAGAGTCAAAGAAAGAGGGGCACTGCAATTACAACTTGCACAAGACGAACCCCACACACCACCCGGGACTTTTGCGATCCATCAATGCAATGTAAGAGATTTCTTCGTGCTTGTCCGGTTGCCCTGCAGCTGAGAGCGGAAGTTGCAGTAAAATCCCTCACCAGAATCAGAGGTCGATAGATAGACATCTGCGGTCAAGCACCAAGCCAACGGCCAAACAATAGATTCTTTTAGATTAAATAGTGCAGAGCGGCGGGTTGGTAGCTCTCACGGTCACTCCTGAAGTAATACCTAGGTATTGTACATACTTCACCTTTTCTGATAAATGAGCACCTTGACTTGCAGTTCCTATTGTGTCAAAGCTTCAACATTTGTTCATTGGGAAAGTTACGCAATGGGGATTAAGAAGCTTATTCAAGACAAGAGAAAAAAGTGTCCACCCTTCCAAGAAGATTTGTTGAATCAGTGGCAGTTCTGGGCATACTGACTGAATTTGGTGCAGAAATGCTTGTCTCGCGGCCTCTCGGCTTTCCGACTAACACAACCTGGGCCGTCATGATCTAAGTTCCAAATAGTTTAGTCGATCGATACATATTGAGCATCTCTATCTGCTATGGCCGTCCACTGCGGTCAAACTTACAATTGTACCAAGTATTCACCAACTCGGCGTCCCTAAATGGTTGCATGGTAATTCGTTACACAATTCCATGAATACACATGGCGCCTTTGTGAAATGGTCTAGTCAAAGTACACAATACAAGAGGGTGTACCTTCAACTTTCTGGAGAACCAAACGATCATTATGGAAGACGACCACCGCCCACCATCAACCGTAATTCGTCTCCCTCCATATCCATTTACCCCCTAGTATTCTTTCCCGAAATCTCCATCTTCTCCACGTTGTCATGAATCTCAGCAGTTCGATCCATAGGATTCGTTGATTCCTCTCCGCACTCGCAGTCGAGTGACGACAACTGTACAGTGATAAACCCACCTGATAAACCCACCCGTCCACTTCGACTCTACTACACCTGGACTTACATGGTTCCCTCGATCTAGGGTCGATCCCCAAACAGCCATCCCTTACTACATACATAATAGTATATGCACCTCTATCCTGCACTACATTACGACGGCCGACCAAGATCAACATCCCCCAAATTAGACAAGCTACTGCTGCAAGCACCATGCCGGGTACTCTCTCGACCTTATAACCGCGTCTCCCCCCCCAAGATGTCGGCCTTAGTTCTCGTTTTCTCCTGTTGCCTTGGCACGTCGATCTGGAGGCTGTAAGCAGGGCTACACAACATCAAAAACGCAACCATCCTTCGAGCTCGCTGCACCGAACATTCGAAGAAGGGGCCAAGAAGTGGGTTGCTGTCAGCATCGCCATTGTGGTTGGGTCCTCCTTTCTCCCTGACTCTGCCTCTTATAATAAGCAACCGCGCCCAGCTTGCCCAGGCAGTCTCATCCGGGAATAATCACAAAACGTTGTGTTACCTGCTCTCTAAAGGAGGGGTGGATAACAACCTCTGGAAAGAACTGATTGCTATTTCCGTCAGGATTGGTGCATCGCCCTTCGCTCTTTTGAGTCGGCCGCCGGAAACACCGACTTGCATGAAATCCTGATTTTTTTCAAGCGCTCTGCCACTGTCGCCGCTCCAACCTCCAGGCTGGGTTGGCCTAGCTAGCTAGAACTAGCGACTGGGACAAGGGCCAGGCAGGTACTTTACATTACGGCGCTACTACGACTCGCACCGCCTCAGCACGCAAGACCGGCACGAATTTCCCACCCCTCCAACCAGGATGGTGTCCGCCGCAGCTGCTCCATCGGCTGCTGCCCCAGCATTGTCATCTCACTGCGCAAGTGATGCTCACCAATCCACCTCGCTCTTAAGCACAGCTGCCGCAACCCCTCGTACCACTAACACGTCCAAATCGTCATCCTCGGCTGAGCAAGCAGGTATTTTGGGTCTTCTTCAACGTCCTCTCCCTCTTGATTTCGCAATAAATCTAATAATTCGACCGACAGACGACACTTTGCTCTCGCAGACACCACCACCTTCTCCATTAAACTCGACGCCTCAATCACAGTTGCAGTCGCAGTCGCAACTACCCTACACTCATAGTCCCGCTCCCGCTCCTATCTCCATCCCCAACCCCAATTTGCAGCAACAACAACGAAGAGCCTCATCCCAAAGTTCCCTTTCGTCTTCGCCCCGTCGCTACCCTACAGAGTTGCAAGACTCAATTCCTGAAGAATGCGACGAGACGGAAAGCGACACACCAAATGAGCCGACCACACCAGTAAGTGGGCGACAGTCGCGGGATTTCCATGCTATTGATCACCACGACACGGCCAATAATTCTCAACTCATTGCTTTCTCTGAGATCCCCGGGCACCCTGATATTTCCATTACGCCGATTAGTAAAACCGAGTCGAGGCCACCGCTGCTAGTCCATACAGCAGCCACTCCTCCTACGCCCGGAACGCCCCAGGAACCATTAACTAAGTCCTTCACAACCCACACTGAGTCGTCACGTCAACTGGATATAACAGACACCTCATTTCCTCTCGAGCGACGTAAATCGTCCGCCTTGAGTATACGGGGAAAGATGACGTCCCTTTTCAAGCGCACCAGCTCGAACGTCACCGAGAACTCGACCCTGGAGTTTAGACAGCCCAACTACAACGGCGGCTTCGATAGTAACGAAACCACATCTATCAAGGTGACCCCCAACAGCAGTCGGCACTTCTCCTTCCACAGATCTTCGGTTACGACACGGTCCAACACCCCACCTTCGCCAGGATCGTCGCTCGAGATGGCGCGCATTTCCAAAGAAACCACGACGCGTCCGACGATACCTGCACCTGGCGATTTCTTCGACAGGCAGAAGAATCGAGCGTCGACTGGTTTTTCGTTACATTTGCGAGGCAGAAGCAAAGTCAATTTTGCCAATTCAGCCAAAAAGGTCCGTACGCGGAGCTTGGAACGTGGACGCCGCGCCAACGCCGAGGAGAAGAAGTCGGGTAACCCTTTGACGGAGAACTTGACGAAGCATCCCTTGATATTCACCCCGGATGCAGGTACTGGCATGAAAGCGCGGCGACTCAGTTTGAGTCTGCCAGATGACTTCACGGTTGATATCGCTGAGCTCACGAAAGAGTTTGAGTATCAAAGCAAACTGCTGGGTCGCCACAAGCATTTCGGCAAGGGTGCTACTTCCAATGTCGCCTTGATGCACCGCAAAGGCATACCAACCGAGTTGTACGCCGTAAAGACGTTCCGCAGCAAAGGCAGCTCAGAGACCACGGCAGAATACGAAAAGAAGATCAAGTCGGAGTACAGCATCGCCAAGAGTTTGCACCACCCCAACATTGTTGAGACATTTCGATTAGCTACCGAGAAAGGTCGCTGGAATCATGTGATGGAATTCTGTTCCGAGGGTGACTTGTACAGCCTCGTGTCCAAGAAGTACCTCCAAGACGAGTCGCGCCAGCTCGACCGGTGCTGCCTGTTCAAGCAACTGGTTCAAGGTGTAAACTACTTGCATTCGAACGGCATTGCACATCGCGATATCAAGTTGGAAAACCTTCTCATCACGAAGGACAGCAAACTCAAGATCACTGACTTCGGCGTCTCGGAAGTCTTCTCCGGCATTCACCCAGGCCTGCGGGAAGCCGGTGGCCAATGTGGTCAGGGGATGAGTGACGAGATCCGACTCTGCAAGCCTGGCATTTGCGGGAGTATGCCGTACATTGCACCAGAGGTCATCAGCAAGCACGGCGAGTACGACCCTCGGCCTTTGGATGTGTGGAGCTGTGCCATTGTCATGATTTATCTCACGTTCGGTGCGAATCTCTGGGACAAGGCGGAAGTGACCACCAAAGGCCCAGAGACCTACAATAAGCTGGTACGAGGGTGGCAGAAGGTCAACGAATTAAGGGTACAGGACCCAGAGACTTACAAGGATGGATATCCCAATATCGACGCCTTCAACTTCTTCGTCAACCCGGTCCCGCTGCGCCGCCTTTTGTTGAACATGCTGAACCCGGACCCTGCAAAGCGAGTTACCATCAAGGACGTGGTCAACAACCGGTGGATGAAGAATGTCGAGTGTTGTCAACTGGAAAGTTACGACGACCCGGTCAAATTCATCGACGTGTCGAAAAAGAACTGCCTCAAGTCCACTGCTGGCAAGATTTACTGCCATAATCATCTACCGCTTCAGAGCAGTGGTCACGGGCTACCGCCAATGCCTGGCAAGCATGGCTACTGAAGCGCTTCGGATATCAGAGGACTTGCAATTAAGTCAGCATCGGCACCCGCCTATGTTTCGTTTATAATATTTTGGCGGACTGTTCATACATCGGCGTTCAGGACGGGATGCACAGCATGGATAAACGTGGCCACGGGGCGAACGGCGAGCGAGCATTATGAATTGTTTCCTTGCACTCCCCACCCCCTAAACTAACCCTACCGTGAGGAAGCCGGTTGGGTCGTATAAAGTTCCATTTGGTATGGCACATACCCAATAATATCTCTCAGATGCATATTGCAACGAGACTGTATCTAAAGAACAAGACCCCGGCGGTTTCTCGGCCATCAGATGGCTTGTTTACGTGGCATTCAGTTGAACAACAAAAAAAAAGTTGAGAACTTCGGGTTAGCGCGCAGCGGTCACTCGAACCCTGCCTCATAGATGAAGTTGAGAAACAAGACAAGTCATGAGACGTTGTACCTGGGTAGATTATGTAGCCCATCCGGAGATATACCAGTTTTATTTTTGGCACCTTTGCCGCCAGTAACACAGATGATACCTACCATCGTGTCTCCTGCCAGACTCATGATCGCTTCAGCAATCTACTTCGCTTTCGTTGGTGGTCACTAAACATTTCAAATGAACATGCCGGCACAGCGAGTAAAGTGACGATAAAGCTAGCGAGGTCAGGTCCCAAGACTAGAGCAATACAGGTTCCGACGCTCCGAAATGACAACATACGTTTCACCCTCATGACTGACCACCTCAGTTGTCTGTGCAGATGCAGCGGCGTATTGTCACCTTTGATCATTACCCATACGATGACCGCACCGGAGCCGAAGATCGGCGTCAAATGTCGCCATTTCAGGTTGCCGACAGAGTCGCCGCCGCTTGCAGCTCGCGAAGTCGGCAGTTTGGCTGGTCAAACCCACGCATCCACCCAACAGCCTGGTTCTCCACTACAGGATGATGACATCTCATCGCCGCTCGTTTCCATCTGGAAGGAAAGTGGACATGCGTTGCGTTGCGTTGCGTCGCAGGGTTTGATTTCTAATACGACAGACGAGGCCGAAATTTATTCCCGGATATTTGGGACCCTCCGTAAATTAATTCGCCGAGCCGAGGCCAGAGCAGAAGTTGTGGTCGGACTATTTTGATTGATAATTAAACTAATTTTGTACCTGCTCTACTGATCTCAACGAATTCCTTCTTTTGATCGGCACTGTAGAAAGACTAGCGGGAATCATGTAGGAATGATGGCTCACGCGGCACATGGAAAATAAGCCTTTGCCCAGTCGCAGGTGCATGATGCATCTTGTCAGCGTCCAACGGAAACAAGTCCCAAAGGTCGAGCCGGCGGTCCATGCAGTGATATGGTAAGATGACTGCTTACGAGCCGCTTGGGCATTCCCCGAGTAGGCAGGGAGGGTAGGGCAGCGCTGAAAATGGGAATGGTAGCAGGAGGTACCAACAAGACCAAACCGTATCCGACATGGTGCTCACCGTCTTTTGCGGCCACTTGGGTGTTCTGTTGAACTGTCTGTCCGCCGTCGTCTGCTTAATTTGGTTGGACATTAATTGGCCCCTTCCTGAATCCCCTCTCCCTATTGTGTGCCTATATTGCTGTTCTCGTTTACCAGCATATGCACCCACCGAATGCATCTTACCTTATTATGTTGGACAACTTCACTTTAGCTTACCCTGGCTATTTTCCCCCACCTTTTGGATCCTGATTACCTGGGGAAAGGATCGAGATTGGATGGGATTGGGAGCGGGGATAGACATCGGGGATTGCCTACCCCTTGCGTAATGTGCTAGATGCGGAATGACAGGAGCCAAGCCCATTGATTCGTGCCCGCTTACTGTTCTTTTATACCGCAACATGCAACTGCGGTTCCCCGGTGCCCTGTTTGGCTGACTGACGAGACGTTGTGGAATTCGGATTACCGTCACGGGGATCGCCATCAAAGACATGTGGTGACTACCTAGAACTCACCTCGTCCCCCGACTGATCTACCAACCTGCGCAGCAGTGCGCAGCAGTGGCTTGTTGTGACGTGGAGATGGCCGGGGGGGGGGCAAAACGACTTCACTATATGTCCCTCGGCCTTGGAAGTGGTAATGCCTTCGGGGCTGGTTCTACGCACTGTAACGGAATCAAAGGAGCGCGGGCGTGGAGGAAAACTATTGCAGTGTTCGTGGTCATGTTCTGCGCACACAGCGTAAGCCCCGGCGGCAGGTAAGCAGGCAGCACTTTGTGTCAATTATCCCTTTTTCACTTGACACGACATTTTCGGGGTCGGTCTGGACGTATCGCCAATCCTGTTGTAACGAGTGGCAAGGTAAAGCAAGGAGACAAGGGAAGTGGGATACACACTGCAGAGCCGCAGCTCTCACCCTACGTACTACCACGCCTGCTGCCCAAGTTGTAGGCCCCAAACGGGGAAATGCCATGGGGAGGGAGGGCGTTTTGCGTAGATCCTATCATGACTGCATCCCCCCTCCCCCGGTTTGGATATCCCGCGCCCGTGGTTTTCGTACAAGTCGCTTGCGAGTTCAGTCTACAAACGAGAGACTTGGTGTCTTGTAGAAATGCGTGATATACACAAGGCGTTACACTGCATTACCTGCGTAGGAAAATCATCATGCGACCAAATTGCCTCGCTGCTCCCGCTCGCTCCTGGTGTTTGTCGGCAATATTTTCGCTGGGCAGGCGTGTGCGGAGGGGAAAGGAGTCGCGCAGCAAAGATGGTTCACGATGGTTAGTCTGGGGGGCCGACAGCCATTCATCTAAACATGTGTTTTTTATGATTGCGTGACTGGTCAGTTCGAGTTCGACTTCATGCTTCTTGAAAGCGACCAAGGAACATATGTTGTGGCTTGAGGCTGGCATCTGTCAAGTCAAGTTCACAATGGTTTGTTTATTCTTGGATTCTGATCAAGCCTTTTGGTCGTTGTCGGCTTAAACTATCGTTGGCTCTGTCAACAAGTGAATTGCTAGTATGATAGTTATGTAGGTGGCTATTAAAGACAGGCTATCTCATTTTCTTCTCAGTAGCCTATTTTCCGCAGGAGATGAAGGCAGGTGAATGTTTGGAACGCTTGAGCATCTTGTCTTGAAGTTCTTTTCCGTTTCACTACAACCCCTTATGCAGTTAATCAATTATCCGTGTCTAGAATCACTGTCTCTCCCTCAACATCTTCAGCTCGGGTAATTTCCCAGAATCTGGACTGTTAATCTCGATATGTTGAGCAGAATAGGGGACTGAAGCTGTCTGTCCTATGCAAGACAAAGTTCCGTTGTGAGCAGTGTTGATAGTAGACAGCACACGTAGCCTGCATCTCTCTACCCCGGTAAAAATGGGATCCCTAGGAGAAGTTGCGCACCGGATCAAACTAATTACAGATTTCTCTCAAGAGGGGTAGGGCTTGAGAGGAGTCTGTCAGATCTTGGTATGTTTCTACGATGGCATGCTGCGCTGTCACCCTAAATCCACTATTTGTAAATAGGTACTAGTGGCTACTCAGAAGTTCGTACGAGAGATTATGCTGTATATTAACCTCCCGCGCCCAGATTGAATCCCAATTAAAGCTAATGGAACCGAAGTAAGGCGGAGAACGACCCAGGGCCATTGCACCCTCGCTCTTAGTCGTAACATAGTGCAGATGAACCCAGGATCCGACCGAGGTGCCAGTGATGTCTCTGAAACTAATGAAGCCAAAGGCAATATGTCTGACGTCCATGGTATTTTCCGCGAGAGGAAGAAAAGCACTTAATCAAGTGATAACTCCCGTTAATGCGGGATAGAAGGCGGCAGATATGTTGGTTCAAAATAGTCCTCCGGTTAAGGGAGTTAGGCAAAGGTGTCGCTATTGGCCGTACTTTCCCAACATTTCCACGGGAGCGAAGCATCGAGAGGATGAAAAACGGGTTTTGGTCATCCAACTTCCGCCTCGTCCAGGTGACAATGTCACTTTAGACACCTAGTAATGGAATGGGCTCGGAAACTGGTCATACGCCTCATGAATTTGATCAAAGAAAAGAACCCGCTGGTGAAGGCATGGTTTTCAACAGGGTGCCCCTAGTTGCGGTCGACAGTCGTTAGTCGGATGATGATAGCAGAAGCCAACATTGGCTCTTGGTAACTATATATGCAAGGAGCGAGCAACACATAATCGAATCATTGGTTCCATAGGAAGGCATAGCTGGGATCGCCTCAAGCGAACGAACCAACAGAAGGCATACTTTACCAACTTGCTGGCTTTGGAATCGATAGCAGAAGGCGCTAGGGACCGGCGGCTTCCACTATCGATTATTCGTAAAGGTAGTCCTAATTAACTAAGATAATGTGCCTAGATACGTTTAACAGAGCCATTGTCTGGAACATAATAGAGTTCTGCGTTGCATGCCAATAGTGTTTGCGCCCCAAACTAAAGACCTCTGTGCGCAGTCTATATCATCCAAGAAAATCCTCTGTACTACCTAATATCTACCTTAGGGCACTGGTGGAGTGTCAATATACTCCTGGTACCTATGAAGGGTTAAACCATTTTCGTACGCAGCCTTGATCTCGCTGGAGGAAGTCATGCAGGCTTCTGAAAACTTCGTATTGCCCTCCAGCCATATTTGCGCCTTTTTCTTTTGGAAGGAGGACGGGGGTTGTTGTGGTGGTTGCAGAGGGGGATTTCTTGTTTTTGGTTTCTTGAAGTTGCCAAAATGAAAGGAGTTGGTTGAGTGGACCACATTCAGGTAGTCGGCTTTGTGAGTGATTATGGGGAGTTCGCCATCACACCAGCCATACAGCATTGTGGAGTTTGCTCTTCATTAGTTCCATGATTCCATAAGGTCAGATTGTACTTACAGTGCGTTTCATGGACCTAATGAGTCCCTTGAGTTGTTGAATTGCAGCATTTACGGCGTCAATGACGACTGAAGTGCGAGCATCCGATGACGTATGAGGCAAAGTAACCAGATCAGACTATACGATGAGTCTCGGGAGTTTACTTATCGAGAGAACCAGACGATGAAATTTCGTCAGATTCATTGGGTGCATCATCAAAAGCACCATCCTCTGCAGCCTCCGGAACACCCGCATCATCCTCGCCATCATTCTTGTGATAAGCCTTTATGCCCTCCTCAAGACCCTGGATGAGAGATTTAGCTGGGACCGCAATCTTGCCAGTTCGACCCAGAGCAGCGTCCTTGGAGAAGCTAACACGGTAGGTACACCAATCGAGCCACCTCTCGGCTCTGGCGCCCTCGGGGGCATCCATGAGGCCGACGCTGACGTCGATGACATCGGTTCTGTAGGCATCGCGCCAGAAGAGGGTAGCACCACATTGCAAGCAGAAGTGGCGGAAGGCATTGATGTCACCCTTGGAGCTCTGGTATGTGCCCAGCGAGGTCTTGACCGAGAGTGAGTTGAAGTCCAGGGGGATGGGCTTCTTGGAGCCGTCGAAATAGAGAGTGGTGTTGGTTCGGGGAACGAAGGCCCAGTTCTGGATCTCAAATCCGGAGGTCAGGCGGCATGTTAGGCAGGCGCAAGTGCCGGCGAGGTATTTATTGGGCTTGCTGCTGTCTGCGGGGCGGAGCCACCACGCCTTGTGCCCCTGATTCTGAACCGCCAGTGGATCGGAGGAGTGGTAAGGCATCAGAAGATCGGGGAATTTGGCTCGGCACGAAGAGCTGACATTGTTGGGTCGCGTAATGCGCATCTGGACCTTCTTGCAACCACATGAGAGGTGCAAGACGTCACCTTGGGCTCCCTTGCTGGTGCTTCCATGCGCTTGATGCTCGATGCCGGCTCCGTCTGTCTCAGCTTGCTCCCATAGGCCGGGATTGAAAGCAAACTCTTTGAGGACGTCGGTTCTCTCGGACCAAAACTGCGCGCGAAAAGCGCCTTTGTCGTTGGACTTCGCAAGTCCCTCAACGAGAGTTGCGAGAATGTTGTGATCCGCGTCCAACAGATGTTTCTGAAGCTTGTAATCACGTATCAGAACATCCTTGGGAATGTTGGTGTAATCGCTGACCTCGAGCTCTCGTCCATCCACAACCACAATTCACTGCAGCATCCGGGTTAGTTTCGTTGTTCTCAGGGGTCAGGCGATCAAGAGAAAGAGCAGCATTTATTGTTCTTCGAATAAGTCAGGCAAAGAGACAGACTACTCTGGACAATACTCACAGAAGACAGCCCTCCATCAACGGTGGACTTGACAGCGTTGTGACAAGCATATGTGTTGGCCATCCTCTCAACAGTTCGCTTTTCATCATGAGTGTCCAAGCCAATCAGGGTGCCGGTGGGAACAAGCCAAACGCTCTCGCCGCCCTTGTCCTCGTGAAGGAAGACGTGGCAACCACAGGTTCCACACCAGTAGCGAGTTCCGTCGGAGCCAGTAAACTGACGCAGTTGATCGTACTTCTCGGGCTTGTCAATGGTCTCATAAGAAGTGCAGAGAACGCCCGTGATGTGGCGCTCTTCCGTCTTGTGGCACAGCGCAATCTCGTCGCCCAGGTGTGTGATGGTCACAGCCTGGGAGGCGTTGCCGCAGTGACATGTGATGGAGTACAAGGCCATGGTTTGGCTCGTTGACTTCTAACGATGAGATGCGGTCAGTTAAGGTTGGCGATACAGATAGGCTGTATCTGTGGATAATACAGCGATAGCGACGGCTTTAAACAGCATCGCATTTCCAGGAGAAAATGACTGTTCCTTACAAGAGATGACTTGATGACCAAGGTTTATGCGTTGGGACAGTCAGCGAATAGCGACGGCAATGTCACAATACCGCTAAACAGATGCTGGCAACAAACCAAGAATCCAATGAGATATTGTCAGCTTTTTTCTTTTTTTCTCATCTGTATTCAAGGAAACGATGGTCCCGTCTAGTGATACCACGAGCCAGCGCCGAAAGTCTCATGAACTTGTGAGACCGAAAGCTTTCCTATTTGGCGGACAGTCAACTACCATGGTACTTCAAGTCGGATTATATACTTACGCTCAATGTCCTGGCCCACAATCAAGTAGATATCACAAGCCAAATGAGTGTGCCACCGCACGATTTGGGGATTATTGACGATGGTCGAAGATGGTATTGTGGGCGAAGATGAAGCTCCAGTTGGAGAAGCCAGTAAAGTTAGGTAAGACGGCCAAAGTCCACTGTTTACGGAAGCGGGGAAGCGCAATCAATGGCAGATGGTCCGAGGGGGAATATATTGTGGGAAACTGGCACAGTGAAAATCCAAGTATCCAATAATTTTAGCAAAGCATATCCTCACGATCTAGAGGCGATGTTTTTGTCTCGGGGGATGGTATATTTGTAAATGGCAGGTGCGAGATTGTGGGATTTAAAACATGACATAAATGCATCCAGTCGAGTTGCGAACTGGGTCTTGGCTTGTTGATGAGAACCGGATTTGGGCATCATGTCGCCCTTAAGGTGATGATAAAACTGGTGCACCAACATTGTTGTAATGAACCAGCGAGCTACTTTGCTTTTGAACACGCTTGTACATATACTTGGGACTTTGGGCTACGATCAATTTCCTTTGTCTCGTGCTACAAGCAGGTATCACTTTGAATTTCTGTCAGGAACAAACTCTGCATGCCAGATCATCACATGCTATGGCAACAAGGAATTGCGGCCTTGTGAATTGGATTACCTGATGCGATTTATTTGTCTGATTTAAAGCACTGCAGTTAACATGAACCTCGTCTATGTTTGATGTGATATGTTGCAATTCACAGTCGTGGGTATAACTATAAGCCGATTTCCAGATTTCCAAGAGATCAACTCCATAAAACAGACAGCGGTCCAAAGATTCGAAGATGACATAAGGACTGGCCGAGATGGTCCAGGTGCTATAGAATTCGAGAGCCAAATCGGGGAGAGCTGCTCATGTCGAAGGCCGAACGATCCTTGTTATCAATTTCGAGACATTAAAAGGATGCTTTATCAACTGCAGTGGCTGGATGAATAAGGAACGTCAGGGGATCGTTGGCTTCTTCAGAGGTATCACCGAAGATAAACTGATCACTATAACCCCAGTTTACGACCGTGACATGGCTTTGGACATTGATAAAATAATAGCAAGGCTCAGTGCTTTGAATTGCCTGAACAGAAAAAAGGCCTTGAGGTTTAAGTGTTTGGTTCGATCCACTACACTCATTGCGTTTCCGTTGGCTACCTGAATATAAGTTTTAAAGATACTAGGGAAAACCCCATCACTAGTTCTCAATTGGTTTACTGCATCTTGTTGCTAAGCATAATGCACTGAATTCCTTGCGTTTAATAGCCATCACGGAGAGCTCTAGGCCGGTTCATAGCAAAGGCCTAATATTTCGAACTGAAGGTTCAGTCTATTTTATGAAGTAGTCGTCGCTTTAAACTGTCAAGAAGCCTCCAATTGAGTTGACACAATCTGCGGACATGGATTCAAATCCGGATATTCATGTGTAGACTGAGAAGAGATAATTTGACAACTCAGCAGTTTCAGCCTACTAACACGAACCTCGCCTTCCGTCAACTTGCATACATTTTGCGGAATGAAGGATTAGAAAGTAGAGTCTTAGATTAGGAAAAATCCCGATAGTAGTAATGCAGCTGATCGGAATATGCGTTCAGCAGTAAGCAATGAGCCCTTTTTCACCCCGAGGATGCGCCTCTTTCTCCTCATCGCCCCATTCGTGAGTTTTCCTATGATCCTCATTACGTGACTAATTGGTAGTGTACACACGAGACTCAACTCCGACTCGGCGTCGGGTACTGGCTATACCTTTTGAGCAGTCGCCTCATTGCCCTCACTCGCGGGCTTGGGCTTGTCCTTCTGGGCTTCCTTCTCGCCATCGCGGGACTTGACGACCTTCTCTTGCGCTTGATCGGGTTCTTCCGCCTGAACTGCTTCCTTCCTGTCCGTCTTGCTCTCAGCACCCTCGACATCAGGATGGGGCGGCGCTACGGCTTGGCCAGCCCAGCCACCATCGGGCATGGGGACATTATTGCCGGCTGCGTCGACGACGCGAGTTCGGGTTTCGTACTTGGTTCGGAACTCGACCTTGCCCTCGAGTTCCTTGACCTGCTCCTCGTTGAGCAGATTGCCGTCTTGATCTCGGTATTCGATGCGCTCCTCGCGTGCTAGCACCTTCTGGCCTTGCGGCTCGAACTTGGGCGCCCCGGAGATTCCCGCGGCGCCCCCGTCCCCGTTTGGGAGGTTCTTGTTTTCGCCGACGGGCTGCTGCTGCTGCTGCTGCTGGGCTGGCGGCGGTGGCGGTGGTGCGGCGTTGCTCTTTACGACGGGCTGTGAGGTTTGGGCAACTTTGGCGGCGGCACCTTGGCCCAATTTATCGTATGCATCGTACTACAGACAACATATAAATTAGTCTACCGTCTATGTGACAAGCCAGCTTCCTCATGTGATGTGTATCCAAACTTTGAGAAAACATATTGTATTATCCCCGGCCGATCAAAACCCCTTTTTTCAAGTCCCTCTGGAAGGCAAGCCCTGGGAAGGAATACTTACGCTCTCGAGGAAGTTGTTGCAATCCCAATCCCAGGTTTCGAACAGCTTAACACGATTACATTCTGCCTTGGTCCAGGCGTTCCCGTAAGAAAGCGGCGACAAAAGGGCGAAAACAATGGCTGATAACGCCAAAATCGCAACGGCACCGGACTTGTTGATGATGGGGTTCTCGCGAACGCTTCGGACAGGTAGGCGGGCAGTGGCAAAGTCGTAGATCTGGGAGAATGCCATAACCGCAAAGAACAGGGCTGGGAAATAATGATGTAGGAAGAGCTGACGTTGCATAAGGTAGAAAGGGAAGTAGTGCAGAGCCCATCCAAGCACCGAAGACCCAATCTCGTAGTCGAATCGTTTGAAGGTGGGGTTGGCGTAGTCGTTGCAGCTGCGCTGCCACCGAAGAACAGCAATACCCTTGAAGAGCACGTAGACGATGACTGCCAAACTCGAGGACCACCAGACCACAGGGTTGCCGATCAGATAGATCTGGCGGTGATTCTTGCCCCAAAAGTTGATACCACGTCGAAGAATGGGCCACGAGTCAGGGCGAGAATCCCAAGCGTGAGATTCGACCAAGCCGGCATTAGTTCTCCACATGACTTTCTGCAACTCCCAGAACTTGCCCAAGAACCCAGGGTGTACATAGTTGACCTTCTCGGCATTGTCTCCCAGCTGAGGATGTTCGTTGTATTCGACGTACCACACGCTGTTCGGGAGGGTGCCTCCTTTTGCGCAGGTGACCTCTTGTTGCTCCGAAGCCCACTCAGGAAGTTTGACCTTGTGAGAGAAGAGAACACAACCAGTCATGATGTGGACGAGCTTGAACTTGGTCTGGATAGTCCGGAGTCTCTCCTTGCCCAGAGAACCAATCGATTGCTTTTTGATAATTTCGATGCGGAACAGATCATTCGCGTCGCCAGGGAATCCCTCGTAGCCATAGGCCGAGACCTCGTTTTGCCAATCGGCCTCGGTCACGGGGGGTCGGACATCGTGAGAGTGGAGGCGGCGGTCGGTGGGTTGGTGGTATAGACGGATAACATCGCCATTCTTGATGTAAACAGGTTCTGGGAGGTTGTCCCAGGCTTCCGTTCCGTTGATCTCCACGCCAGAATGGTCCAGGGGCTGCGTCTGATTCTCGAGCAACCAGATGTTGTTGTCGTCCTTGTGGGGGTAAAGAGTGATTTGCTGCTGCTGGCTACCGCCGGGGTACATCAGAGGATGGGAATGCAGATAACCACCTTGGGTGTTGACGTGTCTGATGGTGACTCTGCTCCCAAAGGCAACATCAACAGGGACATCTCGCATGCCCTTGTTGTTTAGTGTGGCCTGAAACTCGGAGCTCATGAATCCGTCACCGTCGCCTGGGTTGACAAGGCACAGAAAATGGATTGCAAACATGGCCATGTAGAAAGTAGTGGGGATGATGATCAAGCAGAATGTACGCGCCATGAAATGCTTGGCAAATATTCGGATCGTGACAGTCTTGGTGTCGCCGAGCAAGACCCAGAGTTGAACAAGGGTTAGGAGTCCGACCCAAGCAATCGTGAAGAAACCAACCCACTTGATGCTGACAGTGATACCCAATCCCAGGCCAGTCATGACCAGCCAGAACCACCAACTCGCTGAGAAGGCCTTGTCAGGTCCTAGCTCATGCTGGTTCGTGAAGGAGCTGAAGGCGAGGGCAGTGAAGCCAGTTGCAAGAACAAGGGGCGAGTCGAGAAGGATCAATCGGGCTTGGGTTAGTAGACCGTTCTCTGTAGAGAGCATTAGCAATTGTTATGTCCTACGGATGTGCGGTTACGGTTAGGACCTACCAAAGATGATCAAGGAAGCACCCAGAGCGGCCGTAGCGGTGCGGCATCCGACCGCCTTCAGCGTCAGGAACATAGCCGGAACCAGAAGAATACCACAGACTGCAGGAAAGAGTCTCATGGCGACGTATGGGACACCTGGCTCCAGGTAGTCCTTGCCGATGTCCTTGAAGTCAAAGTCTCCATTAAACCCAGCAAGCCATCCGAACAAGGCGATGAGCATCTTTGCCAACGGCGGGTGTACGTCCATAAAAAAGCGGCCCTTGATGTACTTGGAAGCGAATCCACCGAAGCTGCCAGGAAGGTGACGTTAGCTGTCTTGTCACAAGATGTATACGAAGCCGTGTCCAAAGTACTTACTGCACCTCATCGAAGACAACGCTGGTGGGCTGGTAGATGCGGAACAGCCGCACAATGGCTCCCAGAACGGTCAGCACGGCCATGACCTGGTAGTCGGAAATGGGTAGTAAGAAGACATCGTTGTCTTCGACACCGTCCGATGTGTAGTCGTCGTGCTTCTTGATCTGGTTCTTGACGGGCTGGGGCGCGTTGAAAGAGCCTTTTGAAGCCGGCGGCTTCATGGCTGCGGCTTTGGCCATGGTGGGTTGTGTCTCTCGAGCGCTACCGTGGTGGTTTATGGATGGGAATTTCGAGGTGTAAGGGTGAAAGAGGTGTGCGTGGCCTCTTAATTGATCCCGACGAGGCTACGGGTCAAAAAGGAGCTTTGCGCAACCTCAGATTCTCTGTGAGGAGAGGAAAGAAATTGGGTGTTTTAACGAGGGTCAAGAAGGAGAATAGATCATTACAAACAGATCATAGAAGTAAAATCCCGAGAACACGAAGCTTCTCAAGGGAGTTGGACAAATAGCCCCTGGGTCGCAAGTCGGCGATGGGGTCCGAACGAAGGGGTTAAGGGGTCCTGGAAATCATAAATTCACGACCGCGAATGCCTTGGAGCTCAAAATTCCGCCCGGGATAGAAAGCAACAGTGGCCTCATCCGATTTTGGGACGGGCCAAAAAGGCTAGGCGCGTATGCATGAGCAGGGATCATTCAGCTGCCAGCGCCTTGCACTTATTGGCCTATGCTTCTTTTAAACATGTAAAAATTGATTCCCCCAACGGACCTATCTTTCAAATATTTGCAATTATCAATAGAGACTGTGCCTTTGATCTTTCTCTGATTGAATTTGTTCGTCTGTCTTGGTCTGTATAGCTGTACCTAGAGGCCCCGTCCTTTGCTCCAGCCTCAACGCATGATGATTCCAATCCAAGACAAGGTACGTCACTGACCCAGCACCTTGAGGGCTTCAGAGGACAATTGGCCTGGGGAACCCTGCATCAAAGTTCGCTCTCGTTATGGTGAGTTCGTAGACCTGCTCTACTTGAAGACGTACTGTGTAGGCAAGCACACTTTACAACTAAACAATGCAAATAAACTATTTCTCTTAAGCCATTGGGCAGTACAATAGTACAAGATTGAGTTATCCGATTTCTGGGTCTGAGTACCCGGGAGGACTTTATCGATGTACCTTTACCCTGGCGTCGGATTTTGGGCACTTAAGTAGAGGATTATCGTTCTTCCGCGCTTGTCAAACCCCGGAAAATTCAATCGCGCCGAGAGCTACTGACAGCACGTCGAAGTCGCGATCCACGCCATCCCCAGCCAACTTATTTGCGACAATCAACATCACTTGAAGGAGGGTTGCATTACCAACGTCAAGATGGCCGCGACGACTAACGGGGATGCAGCTGCCGTACTTGATGACATTAAACCACCTCAGGGTGTCGTCCTCCCCCCAAAAGAATTCAGAAGTGAGCTTTCCATCTCTCTCAGCCGTGTGTACTTGAGACCACCGAGGCTAACCTTGCGTCTAGCTATCCTCGAAAAGACAGCAGGATTTGTTGCCCGAAATGGTATTACCTTCGAAGATCGCATTCGCGAGCGAGAGAAACACAATCCCAAGTTTAGCTTCTTGAGCAACGCCGACCCCTACAACCCCTTCTACCTATGGCGACTCAGCGAGATCAAGGAGGGTCGAGGCACCGCTGTCGCAGCTGGCCGCGCAGATGAAGCTGCTGCGCCTGTGGAGGCGAAACCCGCTGGTCCTCCCAAACCTCCCGACTTCCAATTCTCAGCTCGTATGCCCAACATCAGCGCCCAGGATCTCGAGGTGGTGAAGCTGACTGCACTTTTTGTCGCGAAGAATGGCCGGCAGTTCATGACGACGCTTTCGCAACGAGAGACCGGAAACTACCAATTTGATTTTCTGCGACCAAATCATAGTTTGCATAATTTCTTCCAGCATCTGATCGACCAATATTCCATGTTATTACGAGCTGGTGGCATCGATGGTGAGGGGGGCAAGGTACAGCAGGAGCGTGTTGCCGAATTACAGCGAAATATTGACGACAAGTTTCACGTCCTGGCGCGCGCGAAGCAACGAGCCGAATGGCTGAAGCATCAAGAGACCGAGAAACAGAAAAAGGAAGAGGAAGCCGAGAAGGAGAAGATGTCGTATCAGCAGATCGACTGGCACGACTTTGTCGTTGTCGAGACGGTGCTCTTTACCGATGCAGACGATCAAGCAAATCTCCCACCACCGACTTCTCTAAATGACCTGCAATACGCGTCTCTCGAGCAGAAAGCCAGGTCCTCTGTCAGTGCCAACCTCCGCATCGAAGAAGGCTTCCCTTCGGAAGAAGACAGCAACTTCAATGGATATGCAGCGCAAGCCAACTACAACCTTCCACAACATCCTTCATATCCTCCACAGCCCATGGTAGGTGTACAACCGACCTATCAGCCCCAACAAATGCCACCGCCCCAACTGGCATATCATATGGCGCCACCGCCAAGATCAAATGGCATGCAGGAGGATGAGGAATCACAGCGGATTCGCGAGAGAGAAGAGGCTCGCGCCCGAATGCAGCAAGCCCAGGCCGAAGCCAAGGGAAGGGCTGCGCCGATGAAGATCAAGGAGAACTACGTCCCGCGAGCCGCCGCGCGCGCAGCGAATAGGCAAGGAACTCAGACGGCGCTTTGCCCCAACTGCAAGGAGCAAATTCCCATGAACGAGCTGGAGGAGCACATGCGGATCGAGCTCCTTGATCCTCAGTGGAAGGAGCAAAAGGCCAAGTCCGAGTCTCGATACGCCACAACGAACCTGAGTCATGCCGACATGGCTAATAACCTGAAGCGGTTTGCCAGCCAACGTGGAGACCTATTTGACGGTGTCACCGGACAACCCATTAACGAAGAAGAAGCGTCACGCCGGAAGAGAGCCGCCTTGAACAGCTTCGATGGCAACTTGGAGGGACGCAGCCAAGCACACGTCAATCACCTGCAGAGTGTAAATGTGGATGAACAGATTGCGAGAATCCATCAACGGTTCGCAAAGGAAAAAGAGCAAGGTCTTTGAGCAGAGTTGTTTTCATGAAGGGGAAAATGAATTCCAAGGTCGGGAAATGCCAGTGTACAACGCAGCCACATGCTTCGAAAGCATTTGTATTATTGTTGGAAATGAGTTGCTGGTGGTCGAGGCGCCACGGAGGCTCTGCGTAGTATGGTCACACGACGACCGTCTACCTGTATGTCCGGCTTTGACTGCTGTGGGCAGCACGCCTGCGCCGCTTAAAGCAGAAAAGTTGATTATCAAACCAGTCGCGAAGCTGAGTATATGGCGGGATGAACAGGGTTCAGTTAGGTAATGAACCCCAGGAGATTGATTGCTCAAATTTGACTCGTTCGCGACGCTCATACGCAATATAGCTTCTGTACCAACGTTGATGAATCTGATCGATTAAACTCGTCCATTTCAAAGCATAGACCCTGCCCTTTTGGCAACTCACCTGTCTAATTCAGTTCAGCGATGGATGCGCTGATGTGCTTATATCTTTGTAGTGTGGTGTGGCAACCAGTGAAGATCACTGATCCGTACCTAGTCGAGGTCCAAGTCCATTACCCAGTTTCTATCGTGCGTCCCACCAACACCACACACACCTGCCACCCATAGCTACCAAGCAAGCTCCACGGTTTCTAGAAGTGCGAGGGTCGTCTTCATATGGATTGTAGTTTCAGACCGAATCAGCCTACGAGCTTGGAGACTGTTCTATCTCATCATTTCCGTACATGTACCCCTAGTGAGCGCTACCATTGCCTTCTTTCCTAAGTTATGACAAGGGAAGAACATAAAGAATGAAGTATGCGGTCCCGGAATTGAGCCCGAGACTTACGTACCACTCTATATCACTTATTCTGTTGGGTTTAAGGTCAACTACTCTACCACTGAGTTAACCAGGCTATCTGTCACATTTGTTGGGATGGATATTGTCAAAACACCCTATATATCTGATAAAGCCCCTTGGCCCACCCGCTCACCAAGGTTTAGTCGTCTGCGCCTGTTTACTAGGGCCTCATTACAAACGAAGCTGGCATTGATATCTCTCGCGCTTTAACCCAGATGACGGTGAAGAGACAACACGAATGACTAGATCCAGTCGTACTGCAAAAATGAAGAGGGCCAAAGAGTGAAAAGAGTTTCTTGTGGAGATTTCAACCTGGTGTACCTCTTGTGGACACCCCTGACGGTGTTTGTTTGCTAAATTCATTCGCAGCGAGGCACATTCGACAACATATCTAGGTAAGAATCTAACGGGATTACACGCGCATTTCAAAAAAGCAAAATAATTTGGGGAAGGGATTGGGTTGTTCTTATGCATCGTGCAAGGACGGTGTGCTAACCACCGTACATTGCCCAAGCTTGCACAGTAATGATTGCAATGCGTTTGACTCTTGGTGGGATGAAGCCTGCATTAGACATCTGCCTGCTAGTAATTGAACCTGGCGGTTCTGTTTGTGTCTGACTGACTCTGCCGAACGGTGAGTAATGATAATGTTCCCTCTTGATACAACGTTTTGTAAAACACCAGATTCTGTTTGCTCGATATCGTTATCAGAACCAAGTGTAGACTTTTCAGATCCAGACACTCTCGAGTATGTCACCGAGTCCCATGGAGAAGAGATTTCGTACTGAATCGTCCGCAGGGCATGTGACCCCCAATTCTGCTGCACCCAACTTTTCTCAAAGTTTAAACACTGCCTATGCCTTTGTCGTATATGATACAGGCCCAGTACTGCTAATTCTGGGAGTCCAGCAAAGAAAATTACTGCAGTGAGTGACATACCCGATTTTGTAAATCGACCAAACCATAAACACCAAACTACTTATTTTCGCTGTCCCTATCCTTTGTTGCCAAAATTACAATCTGTGATACAATGAAATCCCCGTCAAGTACAACATCACATAAAGGTTCGCGCATGGGTGTCGAAAACTTCGTTTCTCCATCCACCAACCTCAAACTCCTCGACGCGATCGCCTGCTCTAGAAGCCTCTTCATTCCAGATCTTGACAATGCTGCTCGGCGTATACACACCCTTGAAGACGCCCTCGCCTGGCTGCGCCACGCCAACTCTCGTATACAAGTCTGGGTCCTCCGCCGGCACCAGCCGTGCCGCCACAGCCTTGATGAATGTTAATAAGTCATTCGGATCCGCGATCCGCGTAGCGCGCAGACGCTCTCTCGCATACAGCAATTCACGGTTTGCGGCGCGCAACATGTCGCCAATCGCCGTCGCCAGCTGAATCTCCATGGTGGTCTTGAAAAGGGGGCGTAGGAGGGGCTTGAAAAGCCAGCCGAGCCAGGAGAATTTGCTCTTGCGAAGCTGGTAGTCGAGCCTGTGGACTCGTACCCTGACGGCGCGAAGTGTCAAAATCTGCTCCAGTCGCTCGCGGCAGATCTCCACCTCGAGATGGATGTCGATTCCACGCTCGTCCAGAGCAAAACTTGCAATGCCTTCGTCGGCTAAGCGGAACAAGCCGCTGTGGGCACGGAACCAGAAGCCAAGCTCCTCTGCACGGAGGGAAAGGCCGTCGATCTTGATAAGGGCCAGGTTCTTGCTTGTTGTGGAGGTTCCAAAGCGAGCTTTACGAATTTCAATATCGTTGTACATCTCCACCTTCAGTCTGTACGGCAGGAAGGAGCTGTGGTTGACCGTTACGCCTGGTTCGATGATGACATTCTCTAGAAGTAGATCAATGGCGGGCGTGCTAACTTCGAGGCGGGGAATGGGAAAGTACTGAATGGCGGATATGACGAGGGGAACGAATACGTTGAGAGCATCATGGACGAGGTCGGTGTTGAGTGCGGAACTGGTAGGAGACAGGACCCCGAAGACTCGCAAAGTGGTTGTTGTGAGGTTGTGTATGTCTTCATCCCGCAGTACACTCTGGAACGTGACCGAGAGTTGCTGAAGGAGTTCGTCGACGTCGTGTCGCAGACTGCTCTCTGTGCCGACCTCCTTGCTCTTCTTTCGAAGTTCTCGTAGCTTTTCCTCGGCGTTGTGGAAAAACTCGGGGTCCGTCAACAGGCTCTGGAAACTATTGCCAACATCCAACATGAGATTTTCGAACTCAGGATCACTGTCCTTATGGCTCATCACCTTTTTGAAGAGCTCCTCGCATTTGTCCCATGACTTCTGGTCGCCGAAACTAGTGACGAACGCCCATAGATTTTTAACAGCTTCATCTGCTTCGGGGTTCTCATTCACATCATCCTGGGCCACGTCGATGATCTCTTCAGCTGCACGTGAATAAACCTTGGCGTATCGCTTGACAAGTAACGAAAGTGTAGAGACGGAGTCGGAATAGTCCTTGCGCTTGCGGAGGTTTAACACAACCTGCTGAAGGCGTTTGAGCAATGTCGAGCCTTCATCACCAGTGAGTTTGTCCTGTACACTCTCTATGGCTGCGCTTGCCACTTCACTGCCGCCCTCTGCGACGATTTTGCTGATATCCTGGACTTCCTGTGTCAGCTCCTCCCCAGATGGTGCTTTGCCGTTGGTGTCTGCTTTGCCATTGGCGTCTGCTTTGCCATTGGCAACACTGTTCTGCTCCTCCTGAGATGGTTCAATCTGCTTGCCGACTTGCTCAGCAGCGGAACTCAAGGCAAAAGCAGAGTCCTTGAATATCTCGCGGCCTACTACTTTGAGATCATTGAGGAAGATGCGGAAATCCGAGTTGGTGAACAGCAGCGACCCCACAGTTTGCAGGCTCTTGTATGCAGCAGCGGTGTCAGCCTTGGCCTTGGACTTCTGGGCGCGGACCTGGAGATCGGCAACATCGACTGAAATCCTGCTTTTGGTCAAGAACCAAATAAGATCCTGAATCTGGTCCTTGTCGTTCTTGTGCTGAAGTAGGGTGATGAACTGGTGAAGCCATAGCTTGGTGAGTCGCACCAACCGGCAGCCACTGTCCGACAGATCTGGATTGTCCGGGTTGAGGACATCGCTGGCCAGCAGTGTGCGGAGGTTGACGATGATTTGCTCGGTGCTGGGCATATATCCTTTAGTGAAAGCGCGGATCATCTGATAGCTGTGGAGCTTCCGGTACAGCTGCCGCTGTAGGTGGGTGTCTTGCTCATACTGGGGCAAGAGTGGTTCGTGTTCGGCCTCGGTGCCGTTCTTGGCCCATCCAAAGCAGGACGAAAATACGCTCGTCATCTTCGATACCTACCAAATATGAGACAATTGGGTGAAGATTCATGTCGATGGTTTTGTTGTCGAGGCAAACATTACGTGCGCATCTCTTTGAGAAGCTCGGACATCGACGATGACGTTGTAATGAGACCTTAGGCCGTCAAGCTCCTGCGCTAGCCTGGGTCGTGAACGCCATTGTTGAAAGGTTGTTTGATTGGCGAGCTATTGGTGGGATAAGCGATGTGGTCTGGCACATATCTCACATCTTCCGTGTACGAATACTTTCCATCGGCATCAACAGTTGTGAGACTCTAATTACCAGCGCAGTTCAATTGGACGGATGCTGCGATTGACGTTGTTGCCAATCCTGTGGATAAATAAATAAGGACAGTTGATATAGAGTTCTTCCCCGCGTTCCAGGGGCCGAGAGTAGCTAGAATAGGTCAGGATACCAGCAATAGCAAATGCAGTACCTAACAAACTCAAACCATTGCTGACAACAGTACATACATGATGAGCCAGCGTCTGGAATTAGAAACTAGAAGGGATACAATCCAGATCTAGAGGACTGCGAGGCCTTGGAATAGATCAGAATGTATCTTGATTGAAATGGTACCAACCTGATGGCATGTCGAATGGCGCACCCAGGTGAAATCATTGTTTTATGTCGGTTTCCTACACAGGAATACCGGGCTAGCTTGCAAGTTGCCGCCCTTGGCTGTGCCGTCCCATCCAGGTATTACTCACTTGAATGGCAATATAATTAGGAAGGTGCATGATGAGCACCCTCAGGTAAATGTTGTTGCCCAGAATTTTGGTGGGCCAAATTCACTTTGAGCTACGGCCAGCTGGTGGTGACAGTAAGTTCTGCCAGCTCGGACTATTGTAAACTCAGCACCGAATTGCCGCCGCACTCCGCCTCTCCCGGAGTTATAAATATTTCCTTCTCAACCCTCCATACCGTCGTTTGGTAGGAGTTGATTCTGTATACTTACCTTGCGGCGCCTTCCCAAGATCAAAAACCCGGGGAGGTAGCATGGAAAACCTGCATTGCACATCGTGGAGTTATCTATGTGTCACTGTCCTTAGGGGCCGTGAGCGGTGGAATTTTTGATTTTCCCTTCTTTTCGCTATACGCACTGCCTCGAGCAGTGTTATGACGAAGAAAATTTATTCGACCGACAAGGGAAATAATATCTTCTGCCCTTGTCTCTGTTATGATAGCGTGTTGTGAACATAGCTGTCCCATGTCTTTGAGTGCCAACTGAGCTACCTTCCACACAACAAGCTAGTGTTGCTAATTCAATGTTGCTCTCCCTTGCTCCTCCGATGCTCTTCTACATTGTCTACCCGCTTATTGTCGTGGTCGATGAAGGTCCGGTTCCAAAGTTTGCTGATGGGTACGGTAATGCTTTAGAAATCAGATGTTTGTGGTACCTCATCTACTATACATTCTCCTCTCTATTGAACAAGCTTCTCCTGACCGTCAAGATATTCAACAGGTTTTATAATACTCCTTCATCTCTATGACCCCAGCAAAAAAGAAATCCAAGTCCGGCTCAGTCAAAAACGCTGAGTCGAAGTTGCAGCGAGCAGGGCTGCGCTGTTGTTCTTCGCTTCGTGACACGTCGGTTTTGGTACCGCAAAGAGGCTGGCGCGAAATGGAGGAAAGAACCCGAACATAGCCTTCTACCAGAGCCTTCTGCTGATAACAACGACGTCGAGATGTTGCAAAAAAGTCCGCAGTTCGTCACATCTGAAAAGGGTACAGGCTGCAATATATTAAGGTCAAATAGATCTGCAGCTTAGAAGGTAAGAGCCGTGACGACTAAGTAGCGTCTCAATCGCGGCCAGCGGGTACCTCTACAACAGCATGTAAGCCCCCACCAACTTGCGACTACGACTACGACTCACCCAAGTGTCGGTTTCAAAGTTTCGGTTGTCGACCACACAGCGAACCTGTCGGCCAGCTTCTATCCATCCAAGTTTGCGTCTTGAGCAATTAGATTTGCGCGCGGAATCAACCGGCCATCCCTGCCTATTTCTCAGTACAAACATAGTAGGAGGCTGTGACGGCTACCACGATTTCAAATTTCATGTGGATGGAATGATGGTCAGGCACCAGAACCAACCGCAATTCAGGGATCGTCAAGTCACATTGCAAGTGGTGATCACCAACTCGAACCGTGGACAAGCCGTCGGAGTGCCGGGTGGTATGAGATGTCGGATTCTAGTCGGGGCTAGAACGACGGAAAGCCATCTTATCATCGTAGACTTTCCCCTTCGAGGAGTCGCGTAAACGTCAAGAGTGCCGGCGGCGTCGGTGCTATATTCTCCGGCAGGCCTTGCTATTGCTCCGTAGCATAAGGGCCTGATCTGGCTAGAAGCAGCCAATGGTAGCCAGTAGCTTGTAGCCCGCAAGCTGTGCAGGTATAGCAAACTGGACACTCGGCCATGTTCTGGCGCGGCAAAGGATCCATCCATGGCTGCCGAGAGAGAAGTGAGATGATAGATACACAGTGAACATGGAGCCAGGCATTGCGTGGGCTTGCCCTTATTATATTTGTCTCAAGAGATCCATCTATCTCTCGTGCATTGCCACTACCTCGTAAGCACTGGTCTATAATCTCGAACATCTCCCCGGTTCCAGCTCTTACTTCTACTAGAGCACACTGCTTCTTCGTTTCCCCTCCTCCATCTTTTCATACATACGAGACACGTAGCTACTCGTTTTTCCCTTGATACAGGGTCTCCAGGACTCACATCTAGCCCAACAGTGCCATCACATCTAACTATTGCCAACTTCAAAGACTGCAACCCCTCAATATGTCCATATGACCATAGCTATTACATATACCGGCTCGATCTGTGGCCCAACGCCTTGTACCTCGTCCTATTCTCCCTCAGCCTGTTGGGCAACCTGGCCGTCTTCATCTTTACTCGCCGAGCCCTCTCCTTCGCCATTGCCCTATCACTCGGTATTATCTGAGAGATCCTGGGCTATGCCGGCCGTATCATGAGCTGGCACGACCAATGGGCCGAAGGCGGATTCCTCATGCAGATCATCTGCCTGACCATAGGCCCTGCCTTCATGATGGCGGATATCTATTTCTGTTTGTCGAGGATTGTGCTCATCTATGGACCTGAAAATTTGAGAATCACACCGCAGATGTACCCACGTATTGTACGTCCTCAGCTTAAGCCCCTATTCATAATCAGCTGACCAACACCCACGTCCCCAGTTCATCCCCTGCGACCTCATCTCCCTCATCCTCCAAGCCACCGGTGGTGGCATGGTCTAACGAGAGAAAATCCACCACAACCGGCAACAACATCATGATCGCGGGCCTAACCTTCCAAGTCGTCATAACCCTTGGCTTCATCGCCGCGACCACCGACTTCTTCCTACGCACCAAGCGCTTCCCCGCGCAGCAGTCCCAAACCCACTACCTGATCCAGCTGCGCCAATCCACCCTATTCAAATGGAGCCTAGCCGCCCTAGCCCTAGCAACGCTGCTGATCCTCTGGCGGAGCGTGTTCCGTGTCGCCGAGCTGAGCGGCGGCTAGACTGGTCCCTTAATGCACAAGCAGGATATGTTCTATGGTATGGAGGGGCTTATGATCGTGGTGGCGTGCCTGGTACTTTGCGTTTTCCACCCCAGTTTGGGGTTCAAGGATATGATTGGTGGGAGGCTCAAAAGTAGTGACATAGGTGTGTATGCTGAAAAGAGCATCACCATGGCCTCGCGGCTCAGGTTGATTCCCGGACTGATTAGCAGCTTTTACTTCTGATACAACTTCTGACATAATGGACGGAAGAGTAGACTGCATGGAAGATTAGAGAACCCAGAGGCATGGAAAATCATGTAGGACCACGAGGAGACGATGATATGTTAGGTTGACACGGACAGGTGCATGCAAATCATTTGTGGGTCATCAAGGTTGATACCGCTCAATCTCGATAGACAAGCCCAATAAAAAGATTTAATGTCAATGGATGTGCAGTCGAAGAAAAATACCATATGCAATTGCGAATTCACTTAACTACCTCCTCTGGAAACCCATCCTGCTCTTCCCAGGATGGCTACTATCCCGCAGCTTGGCTGCTGTCAGATATCGAGCCCAGCATTCAAAAGCCACTATGGCGCTCATGGGCATTGCTCACGGAAGGCCCATGTCTTATGTAGTGCCGCCTAAGTCCTGGCCGGTGGTTGCAAGGCAATCCCGCTCCTTTACGCCTCATCTCTCATCGCCTTCTTTTGTTCCTCTTCATTTGTTTTGGTGTGCCAGCCGGCATCTTTCTTTGTTTCTGCTTTCCCCTCTTGACACTGCCGTATCATATTCCTGAGCCAAGCCTCAGTGTAGCTGACGTACACAAACTTCAATAGCATAATAGGGGTATCGATATAACCAAGATCTACCGACGACTTCCATTCGTCCAGAGAGAGGCTGTCAAAACGTTGGGACTGCGTATTTCCATAATGATGCTGTACGCCAAGTGGCAGGTGGGGTATTACTCGTCATTTTGCTGAAGGGCGCATTCATGACGAAATGAACTTAGACAGCGTGTAGGAATGTTCTACAAGGAGGGGAGGAGGTGACAATGGGTGTGCTGTTGAGTTAGAATGAAGGCGCTGTCAAATCTTGACACCGTGAAGTGGCAGGACTTTGCAAGGGTCTTTGAGGAAGTCTGCCCGATACTTGATGATGGCTCGAGTGATCCTATCGAAGTCTTTGACTTTTTTGGCCTTCAGATCGTTCAGTACCTTTTTGAGACCTTCCACAAAAGCCTTCTTTTCCTCTCCAGTGTACATATCGGTTGAACCAAGTTGTGCAATGATCTCCGTGTCTGAGTCCCAAAACAAAACAAGTCAGCTATCCAAGAGGGGGTTTAAGCTCGCAGAAGTATCATGTAGGCAGGCGCGGTCGTTGGCTAAAAACTTGTTGACTCACCGGATATCACCATCTTCTCCAGATGCTGAAATTCACAGTGGGACCCGCCGGGACATTCATCCCCCACCAGATTGTAAGGGCATAACGGGCGATTGGCATCAATTCTAGAGCTATACGTCATTGATTTGAGGCCACCAGGCACATCATCGAAATACTTTGGATGGAATCTGTAAGCATGGAAGTATCGCAGAGGGCTTTTGTAAGACAGCAGGTCTTGAGCGGAGATTGTCGGTTTGGGCTCGGCCTGTACAGCGGTCAGTAAGGGATGCTCTACAGGCGAGCGGATATGTACTTCGCCTGTCACTACCTCCGAAGCCGGGTTGGCCGTGGACACAGGGGCTTGAGCTGGACTCGGCTCGTACGGATCCTCATCGGCAATCTGCATTCCGGTAAGACAAGTATGAGTGGACTGTTGGTTGAACATTACCTCTCCCTCTTCTCCATCTGAGACTTGGAACTTGTCCGTGGTGGAAATTTGGGCAGGAATTGGTTTGTAAGCATCTTCATCGCTGAGGTCCAGCTCGAGACCAGAGGTATGAGGAGGCGTGCCCGCGTCAACGATTCCTCCATCACCTGACTGATCCCCAGCATCATCTGCAGGGGTATCGACTGTAATATTAGGTGAAGTCTGATGTGTTTCATGAGTGTCGTTCGTGGGTAGGGCAGAGTCCACGATGGCATCCCCGCCAGATGCGGTACCATTACTGAAACTGGAACTTGTTTCTACCGTGGAAGCCTTGACCTGTACTGCAAGTTCAGTCTGAGAGGAGCTTCGGTGACACTTGGGGTCGGCGACTTCAGTTCTCATAGTATGGACATCATCAATAGCTCCAGATGAACTTGGCGTGTCGATGTCCATCTCGGACTTATCTCCTACCGAACCCGTTTCTTGTTGAATTTCGGGGTTGTCGCATTCAGCGACTGCCGATATCTCCTGAACATTATTTATCAACTCGGTAACGAATCCCGCCTCAGCCTGGCGGTTGGCGGTAGACTCTGGTACTTTGGCTACGCGTGCTGGTTCTTGGGATGAGTCAACTGTCGGGCTTTGGTTGACTTTAGCGTCCCCCGCAGATGGTTCTAGCAATGCGCGTTGCTGGTTCTGAGGACTTACCGGAGTTCGAGTGTGTCTGGCCGTCTGAATCATTCGATTCAGCCTGGATGTTGTCTCCGATATCCTCCATCTCAGCTGCTAGTCTCTCGCGCTCAGCCATTTCCGCTTTGACCTCAAGTTCGAGTTGAGCGGCCTCTGACTGCAGACGCCTCAGCTTCTCCTGCTTCTCCCTAAGAGCAGTTTCAACATTTGGCAGTTCGTAGCTTGCGATTCTATCGCGTCTCTCGTGTTTGGCGATTCTAGCAGCCATGTCAGAGACTTTGGGTAGCCGCGTAGAGCCAGATTCCGAAGGTGTCTGAGGCAGAGGTGTTGTGGCTCCATTTGATTTCTTCCCAGCCTTCTTGGCTTCGGCCTCGGCAATTTTTCTTTTATGCTCTTCAATCTGTTTGTGCAGAAAGTCAAGCTTGTTTGCATGGTCGGGAGGAGTATGGACAGCCGAAGACATGGGACTCGAACGTTGAACCCAAGTGTTTGTGTTTGTCAGTGGCGGGAACGCACCGAGCGAGTTCGAATCTGGTCGTGTCGACGAGGTACCATTGTGGATAGCGCTCTCGGGAACATCGGTCGGAGATCCCATATCCATTTCGACGTCTTCCTCATCACTGACCTCTATGATCAAGCTATCCTGAGTGCGACTACGTTTCAGAGAGCCGCTATGAGAAGGATAGGCGTCGAAGTCGGAAGCCACCGGTCTCTTCGGAATGCGATTTGCAGATAATGGCTGAGGCGTAGATGAGAGGAATAGCCCTGGAATACCCGCTGCTTTAAAAACCGCATCACGCTGTTCAGGAGGTGCATTCATGTCGGACTGTTGTACAGGAGGCGTAGCAGTTGCAGTCTTTGCGGGATGCTGAGGGACAGCTGAAACGGCAGTGACTTCGGTCTGCTTGATTAGCTCTAGCTTCTTCTTTGCCTCTGCTTCCTGCGCCTTCCTCAGCGCAGCAATTTTCTGCTGTAGCATCAGATTCTTTTCAGCTCTAGTCTTGGCCTTGGCCTGATTAAGCAAAGGTTGCGCGGGCTCAGGTGCTTTTGTTGAAGGGACAGACTGAGGCAATGCAGCGGTAGCATCAGACACTGGGGGCACGACAGCAGCAGTCGTGGTCTTCTGTTTCTTCTCCTTCTCTGCAAGCAAACGCGCAATCTTGGTTTTGCGATCTTCAGTACCTGTTTTGTCCGCCATTTTGGCGTTGCTTTTGCTGTCTGGTCGCGGGGCACTAGCTTGTGGTAACTGGGAAGGAGCCGGGGATTTCGCGGGGTGTTGCTGTGATTTTGGCGGAGGAGTGCTTTTAGGAGCAGGTTGGATTGATTTGGCCGGGCTGCTTATGTGGGAAACAGGAGCAGAAGGGACGTCAATGTCACTTGTACGCTGCGGCAGCGAGGAAGAATTTGCCTTGGACGAAGAAGTATCTAGGCCAAGACCCGTGAACAGAGGCTTCACCAGGCTCGCATCGAAACCTTCTTCGATGTAATCCTGATATCGAACCTTGAATGGCCAAAGTCCAAGAATAGCTTCTTGTGCCTTTTTCCTCGCCTCCCACACCGATTTGTACGGTGAAGCAGCATCAGAGGCAGCTTGAATATTATTGGGGTTCATGGCCTGGGTAGTGTTGTGACCTAACGAGCCACCACCGTTTGGAAGAGCTGCACTATCGGGCCGCTGCCTAATAAGCGTAGCAGGGTCTGCAAACGAATGCGAGGACTCAGGGAGCGGTGCAAATTCTGTCTGCAGTTAGAGAAAAAGCCTTAATGAATATTTACGAGCTTGGTCACCACTTACTCTTCGCCTCACGAGGACTTATCCTTAATACAGAAGCCTCCTTGTGAATCTCCCTAGGGGAAAGATAAGGAGAATACGAACCAGAGCGTTCCCGTCCTTGGTATGCGGGCTCGTAGTACTCACCAGGCGAGTATTCTTCTTCTTCAACTGCAGGTAACGAGCCAGACGTACTACCGACAAGAACTTCCTCGCGCGTCGACCCAGTATCATAGATGGAAGAACCATCCGCATCACCAGTGCTTCCTGATTGGTCCTCTGCAGCAGTTGAAGGCTGGAACGCCTGATGCGTCTTGTTCCCCGTGGTTTCAACCTCGTCTGGGCCCCTAGGCTCGTAGAGATCCTCAAACCCGCCTTCGCTCAGCTCTCCTTCCAAGGCATCCTCGTCTGCTTGGCTGGCTTGAGCCTGAATCCCAAAGTTTGAGGAACGCGGAGAGGCATGTGGCTCTTGATGTGAGTGCCCGCCCCGTTTACCTAGGTCTTGGTCTAGCGTAGAAAGCACCATGCTTGGGGTTCCCCCAGACATTGGTGGGCGCCACGAGACTCCATTGTCCCCTCCGTACGAGGAAGATGGAAACGCCGATGTACCGCTACCAACACTCATGCCCAAGCCAGGTATCCTATTCCCGTTGTACTCAAATGAGGCATTGGTCATGGCCAAGTTGTTAGGCGCGGCGACGGAGGAAGACTCTTGGAGTCCTGGGGCTTGGACGGATGCCGAGGCATATTGGAAGGATTGTTGGGACTGCTGGCCCGGATACGGGCTATACATATAATTGTATTGAGACATGTTCAGGGCTGTTGGTGCAACGTGAATTGTTGCGAAAGCTGGCGAGTTCTTCGTATGACGGACGGTATGGAGCAAACTTATCTCGACAACGCTACCAACATAGCGGCAGTCGCAAATTTGATGGGAGATTCCTTTGTTTCTACAATGATCAATAGAACTCGAAGCAGAGTCGCAAGTATTCCAGCTGCGGTTTGAGGAGAACAAGCATTGCTGACTCCTCCGAATACGCGAAATGTAAGGGAGATATCGCGTCGTCAGAACGTGGCTGCGGGCTGGCGGCTAGCAAGCGCAGACGGAGTGCGACAAAACGCGACAATACGACGCGAACTCGGTCCTCGAATTCAAGAGTTGGGAATGTGACAACAATATTGTCATTCAGGGTGATAGATTGAACTCGTTCTTCAAACTTGTGGCAGATGATGGTGGTAGCATGGGAAGCTTGAAATCAGGTGGACTTCTGAAGCGATCGACAATCTAGCAAACTTCTATTTCGACACCAGGTTGGGAAACAGCGACCCGGAAGTTGGGTATTTCCGAGTGCCTAACGCTAACCCAAGCTAAGATTAGTGCTGCTCGCCAGAACGTCCGCTCAACATGCAGGGGCCACCTTGGAACAGCTTGGGGCAGGCGGGCAGCTCGAGCGCGTCGCTACGGCAACTTCTCCAAACATTTTGTGTGGGAACATCAGCTTGCACTTGCTGTGACATCAAACCTACCGAAAGTCGCTGCACCACACGAAGGTGGAATTGAACTCTACTTTCTACATACACTTGCACTTGCAAACGACTATTACGACCTACTTACGATCATGGCTTCTGGCTTCTGATACCCTTGTGTTCTGAAGGAAAAGTTGGCGTTTCTGTTTGTTTAATGACATTGTGGCACATGATTTTGGGATTCGCGAGACGGCATCACGAACGCGTTTGCAACAACATATGAAGAATTCCAGGCCAAGGTGGTTGGCATCCGTTCGTTGAACTTTGCGCAACGCCCCAGCCATTCGACGAACTACTTGTACATCATGTCGCAGCGGCGTAACAATCCGTTCTCTAGAACGGGCTCAACTTCGCCCGGGGCAAGTGCTGTTGGTTTTACTGGGAGACCCAAATCCGCAATCTTCTCGTCGCCGTCATCGCCGCTGTCAGGCATGGCTTCACCTCCGATGCACAACCGCAATCAGTCTGTGGCATCAATAGCGAGCAATCTGGCTCCAGTGACCAGTCATGGCCCCCGGCACCAGCGAGCTGATTCAAAAAGCGGCACGCCCAATTCCTCTACCTTCGCCCCATCGTTCATCAAGACCGAGGATCTGAGACGGAGTATAGATGTTGCAAGAGGAATTGAAGGAGAGAACGACTTCTCCGGCAAGAGATATGTGTGGCTTAAGGATCCGCAAGCTGCCTTTGTCAAGGGTTGGATTGTCGAGGAACATGGAGGGAAGATGATAATCCAGTGTGACGATGGGAACGTATGTTTTCGTCTCGGCAATATAAGGGCGTTAGGAAAACGCTGACAATGCATCTCTAGCAACGAGAGGTCGATATCGAGAGCGTGGATAAAGTCAACCCTGCCAAATTCGACAAGGCCAACGACATGGCCGAGCTAACTCACCTCAACGAGCCGTCTGTCGTCCACAATCTCCACATGAGGTACCAGGCCGACCTTATATACACGTATTCCGGATTGTTCTTGGTGACTGTCAACCCGTACTGTCCCCTGCCCATATACACCAACGAGTATATCAACATGTATAAGGGTCGGAATCGAGAAGACACGAAGCCTCACATCTTTGCCATGGCCGACGAAGCCTTCCGAAATCTCGTGGATGAAGGAGAGAATCAGAGCATATTGGTCACCGGCGAATCTGGCGCTGGAAAGACGGAAAACACGAAGAAGGTTATCCAATACCTCGCTGCAGTCGCGCATGCGGAATCTCCAGTGAAGAGCAGAGGACAGCATTCCAATCTGTCCCAGCAGATCCTGCGAGCCAACCCTATACTTGAGGCCTTCGGAAACGCCCAGACTGTCCGGAACAACAATTCGTCTCGATTCGGTAAATTCATCCGGATCGAGTTCACTCGGACAGGATCCATCGCTGGTGCTTTTATTGATTGGTATTTGCTTGAGAAATCTCGAGTAGTACATATCAATTCTCAGGAGCGAAATTACCATATTTTCTACCAGCTTTTGAAAGGCTCTGACCGACGAATGAAGCAGGACTATCTGCTCGACGGCATGGAAGTGGAGGATTTTGCTTACACCCGGGATGGCCATGACACAATTACTGGCGTCTCTGATCGTGATGAGTGGAATTCCCTGCTAGAGGCCTTCGCAGTCATGGGCTTTTCCGACAAGGAGCAAGCTTCAATTTTACGGACGGTAGCCGCAGTTTTGCACCTTGGCAACATTAGTGTTATGAAGGAGAGCCGGATGGCAGACCAGGCAAGACTGTCACCTGATGCGAAAGCTGTTGCGGCGAGAGTGTGTCAATTGCTTGGCATCCCTCTGGAGCCCTTCCTACAGGGACTTCTCCACCCCAAAGTCAAGGCTGGACGTGAATGGGTCACAAAGGAGCAAACGCCTGATCAAGTGCGACTCGGCCTTGATGCTCTGTCCAAGGGTATCTATGAACGAGGATTCGGCGATTTAGTAACACGGATCAACCGCCAGTTGGATCGGACGGGCATGGGAATGGACGACTCACATTTCATTGGCGTGCTTGATATTGCGGGCTTCGAAATCTTCGAGGGAAACAGCTTTGAACAGCTGTGCATCAACTATACCAATGAAAAGCTCCAGCAGTTCTTCAACCACCACATGTTCGTTTTGGAGCAGGAAGAGTACGCCCGGGAACAGATCGAATGGAAGTTTATTGACTTCGGTCGTGATCTGCAACCCACTATCGATCTCATCGAACTGTCGAACCCCATCGGTATCTTCTCCTGTCTGGATGAGGATAGCGTCATGCCCAAAGCCACTGACAAATCATTCACCGAGAAGCTGAATTCCCTATGGGACAAGAAGTCCAACAAGTATCGACCATCGCGTCCGGGTCCTAAGCACGGCTTCATCCTGACGCATTATGCTGCTGAAGTCGAGTACTCAACAGATGGCTGGTTGGAGAAGAACAAAGACCCCTTGAACGACAATATCACTCGCTTGCTGGCGGCATCTACCGACAAACACATCGCGAATTTGTTCACGGACTGTGCTGATGCAGATGACGATAATGTCGCCACTCGAAGCCGGGTCAAAAAAGGACTATTCCGCACTGTTGCTCAAAGACACAAGGAACAACTCTCTAGTCTGATGGCACAGCTTCATTCTACCCATCCGCACTTCGTTCGCTGTATACTTCCTAACCACAAGAAACGGCCAAAGCAGTTCAACGCACTACTTGTACTGGACCAGTTAAGATGCAATGGTGTACTCGAGGGTATCCGCATAGCTCGAACAGGTTTTCCCAATCGCATTCCCTTCAGCGAATTCCGCCAACGTTACGAGGTTCTTTGCAGTAATCTGCCCAAAGGATACGTGGAAGGACAAGCCACAGCAGCAATGATGTTGGATCAACTCGGACTCGACAAGACCTTGTATCGGGTCGGCCTTACCAAAGTCTTTTTCCGAGCCGGTGTGCTCGCAGAGCTGGAAGAGAAGCGCGATGCTCTGATTAGCGAGATAATGGCTCGGTTCCAATCGGTTGCGCGAGGATACATCCTGCGACGCAGTGCATTCAAACGACTTTACCGTGCCGAGGCGACTCGGGTCATCCAGAGGAACTTCAACGTATACCTTGACTTGTGTGAGAATCCGTGGTGGCAACTTCTTATGAAGATGAAGCCTCTTTTGGGAACTACTCGCACAGCGACGGAGGTCAAGAGGCGAGATGAAAAGATCCGCGAGCTTAACGAGCAGATGCAGCAAGAAGCCGAGAACCGTTCTCGTCTAGAAGAAGAGCGACGCAACTGTCACGCTGAGCTAGTGCGCATTCAACAAACTCTCGAGAGCGAGAGAGCTTTGGCCTTAGATAAAGACGAGATCTTCAAGAGACTTCAGCAACGCGAAGCTGAGCTGGAAGACAAACTCGCAGGAGCCATTGAGGACCAAGAGAGGCTCGAGGATCAGCTTGACGATCTACTTGATGCCAAAAAACGGGCAGAGCACGAAGTTGAGGCATACCGAAGCCAACTGGATCAAGGTGCAGGGTTGATCGCTCGACTCGAACAAGAGAAGAAGGATCTTGATGAGCGAATATTGAGCCTTGAGGCTGAAATGCAGGAAATATCTCAAAAGCACGCAGATCGTAGTGCACAGGAGGCCGTGCTAGAAGACGAGCTCAAGATGCTGCAGAGCCAGCTGTCCCTCAAAGACCGAAAAGTTCGAGACCTCGAGGGCAAGCTGCTCAAGATCGACCAGGATGCCGACATCAAGTTGGCCTCTACACAAAAGGAGCTTCAGTCCTTGAAGTCTCGGGAACAACATCTCGCCCGCGAGAATCGTGAAGTTCAACAGCAGCTGTCTCAACTATCAAAGACGTCGACTGACTATGAAGATCTCGTGCGGAAGAAGGAGAGCGAGCTCGCCATCCTTCGAGGAGACAATAAGAAGTTCCAGATGGAGCAGCGAAGTTTCGATGAGCAGCGACGGGCGCTGACGACCGAGAAGGAGAAGACCGCCGACAGGCTCCGCGAAGTTCAGGCTGAAATGGTTGCAATGAAATCCCAGCAATTCCAGCTGCAACGTGAAGCCGAAGATGCCAAGCAGCTGCTCGAGGCCAGACTCACGGAGGACTCTCAGGCCAACCAGAATCGTCAGCTGCTTGAATCTCAGATCAAGGACCTGAAGGATGAGCTCTACAAGATCCAGATGGATCTCAGCCGAGAACGCCAATCGCGAGATGACGTTGCCTTGCTTGCCGAACACAAGTTCCAGACTTTGCAGGAGGAACATGAACAGCTCAAGGAGCTTAAGATTACGATTGAGAAGGAGCTCTATCTGCAACAAGACACGTTGAGACGAACCATGGAATCTCGAGCCACGGCAGAAAAGGAACGCGACGAGGCAAGGGAGGAGATCCGAAAACTAAGGATCGCCAAAAGTCAGGCTGAGGAAGCCAGATTGCTTGCCGAAGAGGCCGGTGAGCGAAATGCGACACGTGCTGCCCGTGAGCGAGAGGCCAGTCTTCAAAGAGATTTGGACGCAAGTCACGAGCGATTGAAGTGGTTCGAGATTGAATGCGATAAGCTCAATCATCAGATCGAAGATCTCAACAAGTTCATGATCTCATCCGGGGAATATGGCCTAAAGAACGATCAAGCCAAAGAACGACTTGAGCGAGAACTAGTCACCGTGAAGGGTCGTCTCACTGCTTCTGAAAATGACAACCGCTCGCTACTCAACAAGCTACAGCAGAAGGGCCTCGAGATTGCGCGCTCCAGTTCAAGGGTTAGTGAAGCTTCTCGGGGGCAGTTAATGACTCTTCAGCGTGAGAAGACAAGGCTTGAGGAGCATAACACCAAACTCAACAAACAACTCGGGGACTCGCAGCTGACTATTGCGGGACTCGAGAAGAAGCTTGAGAAGCTGCAGCTGAACCTGGAGGACCTCAATCATGAGGTGGCTCGAGAGGTCAAATCCAGTAGGAATGCAGAGAAGGTGAGCTCACAGTCTGGTATTCAACTTGCCGAAGCGAACCGCAACCTCGAGTCAGAGCGCCAGCTGCGGAACCAAGCCCAAGCAACGGTCCGTACAATGCAGACAACACTGGACTCGCGTGGCCAGGAATTGGAAGAACTTCGGGCCCAGATGATGCGTGTCCTCAAGGCTGTCGACCCTGAGGTCTCTATTCTTACTGCAGCAGAAGGGGGCCATGATAAGTTGATGAGCAAGAACTTTGAGATGATCAGAAAGATTGAAGAGCTGCAACAAAACCTGCGGATACAGACTGCGGGTCGTGCTGACGCAGAAGCTCAACTACTCGAAATCCGCGCCTCAAGAGATGATTCACCTAGGCGGCCGAGGTTGGAAGAAATCAACCCTAACGAGGCTCCTTTCAACGGCTCCCCAACACAGAAACGGTCTAAGCTTAATGGGCGGCATTACTCGAATGCTTCAACTCCTACCCGCCGCTTGGGTCATGACCCTGATACTGTGCAAGACTCCGGTAAATCAGACAAGACCGAGGACCTTCTGAGCTTCAACAATCGCCAGGATCTAAAGACCGAGGTCGAGGAGTTACAGAATCAACTTCAGCTAGCTCAGTTGCAAAATCGACATCTCCAAGGCCAGATCGAGCGATCAACTCCTACCGGCGAAATGTCTCCATTTGATGAAAGCCCATCTGTCCGTCGGATGCAGAAACTGGAGAAAGTCAACAGTCGTCTGCATGATATGCTGGATGATTCGGCCAAAAAAGTTTCTCACTTGGAGAAGTCAATAAGAAGCGGCGAGCTTTCTCTGAGGGACATTCAGACCAAGTCACACGAAGAGATTCTGGACTTGCTCAATAGCCAGGAGCACTCTCGACGATCGCTGCTACATAGCCATAATGATGCCGTGACTGAGTTGACTGATGTCAAGGAGCATTTCGAGAAGATGCGACGAGATCGCGCCACGCTGGAAGTAGAGCTTCGCGATGCAAAATCTGACCTCCAGGAGATGACCCTTTCCAGGGAGCAAGAGGCTGCTAGTCGCAGTCAAATACTTCAAGAATTCGCCGATCTCCAGATCCGACTGGATGCCGAGGCGTCCAAGTTGGCCGATGTCACCTCGAGCTTGAACCTTTACAAGAGCCGTGCGGATGAGTATTTCAGCAAACTGGAGCAGGCCGAAATCGCTGTGCTCAAAGCTGCTCGGGCTGAGCAGTTTGCCAAGACGCAAGCCAGAGAGGCAGAGGAACAATGTGCTGAGATTATGGCTGAGCGCAAGAAGACAGACGGACGCATGGAAGACTTGCAACGGCAAAACCAGCATTTCGAGGAGAAACTTGAAGATCTCTCGACAGATCTTGAAGCGGCCACGCAAGCAAAGAAGCGGCTTCAGCACGAGCTTGAGGACTACAGGAATCAGAGAGCTATTGACATCGAGGACAAGGAATCGAGTTTGGAACAGACACGAAAGAAGTACCAGGCTGAGTTTGCCACACTCACTAAGGAACTCGACCTCGCGCGTGAGGAGAAACTATACAAGCAATCCGAGATTACTCGTCTGCGAGAGGAACTCGATGATCTTCGCTCCAAGTGGGATGACGAGGTTCTTAACAGCTCAACCTGGTCAAAGGAGAAAGCGCGCCTCGAGGCTACCCTCTCGGATGTTGTCTCATCCCGTGATGAGGCGGTCAATGCACATAACGAAGCTCAGGGCAAGGTTGTATCGCTGCTTTCCCAGGTTCGCACGCTACGCACCTCGGTAGATGACATCACAGCGGAACGTGATGCTCTGGTCCGCGAGAAACGTAGCGTTGAAGCTCGACTCGAGGAAGCCAAGGCCGGATTAGATGATCTGGCCAAGAGCGAGAGCCCTGCCTTGCGGAAAGCAGCCAATACCGACAAAGAGATTCTAGAGCTCAAGTCTGGCCTAGCACAACAGGAAGATATTGCTGCCGCGGCTGTGGAAAAGATGCGCCGCGCTGAAGCTTTGGCAAACGAAATACAGAAGGAGATGGCTGTGGAGCGGGAGATCGGGGTTGAACTTTCTAAACAAAAAGCTGCACTAGAAAAGAGTCTCAACGAAGTGCAACTCAGGCTTGTCGATCTCGAAACAAAAGGCTACTCAAGCGCCAGCAACGACATCAAGTTTCTGCATAAGCGTATTCAGGAGGTTAGTACACCCCCACCACCTCATGAGCCCGACGAAGATTCGCAAGAATCAAGTCCTACCAAAAAGCCGCCCCCAAGATCTTCGAGCCGCCCCTTGTCTACGCTGCTGCGCAAACTCACCAAGCGTACTCCTGCTAACAATACTCTCTCCATATAGCTCGAATCTCAAGTTGAGACGCAAGAGACAGAACGTTCGAAGGAGCAGCGCTCGGTCCGCAACGTTGATCGCATTGTCAAAGACCTGCAGTCTCAAATTGACCGCAAAGCCAAGCAGGCTGCCCAACTGAGCGACGACGCCAGCCGGCTGCGTGACAAGGTTGACAACCTCCTTAAGACAATCGACGAGCTACAAGCGAGCGAGAGCAATAATCAACTGAGCGCACGCCGGGCCGAAAGGGAGCTGAGAGAGGAAAAGGAGAAGAGCCTGAAGCTGGAGAGGGAGCTGGAAGGCTGGAAGAATCTGCGCATAGAGAAGGGGAGCGTCAACGGCGGAAGTATGGGCAACCGATTTGGCACCCCATGGAGAAATGGCGCCGACGGGGATGACGCAAGCAGCAGTTTTGGTGGCACAGGCATTGAGGTGCCTAAACGAAAGAGCAGTATCGGGCGAACTCCGAGCCTCACAAAGGGTTTCTTGTGAGGTGAGGCGGACGAGTCTGGGGACGTGTCACGACAAGCATTACGGCGTTTGTACTTTTATAATGGGATTGGGGCTACAGTGTAACAGTTACTGGACGCTGGATTGGCAACTGGAGCGCATGGATACTGGGACCGGAAGTTGAGACTTCGCTCTCTGAGCCGGGGGATGGGGGCGATGGCGGCATGCGTGGTGCGTTGAATACGATTCTTCTTGTTTTTGTTCTTGAATGCATCAGTCGCAGCATGGTAGATAATGTATTTTAACATGTGGTAATTGAAGGCATGAATACTTCGATGAAATTCCAGCTCCTGCGGATCTCTATGTAGGGCGATGTTGGATGTTTGCATGACACGAGAAGTAAGCACTTGGGAAAAGGGTATTTAATGTCGATGTCGATATCGAGACGCAGTCGACGGACGACAGAAGAAAATCAATATCGGCGGGGCTTTCCAGGGCTTCAAATGGGCTGTCGCCAACGTTATGTGAGAGTCCTCGACTTCATCAGTGCTGCAAAATTACCCTTGACTGACTAGTCATGGGATGTACTGATAGACTGAAGTCTCTTGACTGCTGATCAGTTGTCCTGGTGGGAAGCTAGCATTGAGCACCCAGATACATCCCACATCCCGAATATGTTCGAGAAAGAAAGAACTGGTGGTTGTGCAACGGTCCAGGTTTGCATGGTGCCAAGCTATGATTTTCAATATGGGTGCTGAACGTGTGTGTTAGGGAATGTCAATCCGTCTGATGTCTTCATATGAGGCAAACACTCCCTCGCTATGAGGCAGGATTGCCTCGTAACTGCGCGTATAAAAACTTGAGGACATGTCGGCAGTCTTCATTTTCTCGTTGTTCTTCGAGTTATGGCTTTTCGAACTCTCTAATCCGTTTGTGGAATCCGACTGTTATCAATATCATCTTCTAAGCGAGCACTGTGTATCTCACAAACCGATGCCTTTTTACAGAGTACCAAAGGAGAACGAAATGATTTCGGGGGTCTGGGGCAAGTACTACACGAGCTATTCGCCGCAACCTTCCAAATATGAGCACATTGCCCATCGCTGTCATGAGTGTGGTCGCCGATACGGAGGCCACGAGGCCTACGATAAGAATTACTTGGGCAACTCCAGCAGCTGGTGGCAGAGACCTCGTTACGACGGCGGATGGGACGGGAAAGTTAAGGGGTACGTGCCACCAAACGATGTTGTGAGTACATTTGTCTCCTCGAATTGCCGATGCCCACTACTTACTATATCACGGTCATAGTGGGATCATGATCATTCGTCGTACACATACCGTCCCAAGGCCGATATTCAGATACCATCGGCCTACATTGGCAATAAACCAACTAAAGTTAGGCGGATGGATAATCCTTTACCCAAGAAAACCGCATCCGGTAGCCGTCCACCTAGGAGAGTCGAGGTCGTGGAGTTGCCGCCAGCAAGCGCGAAGAAACCGTCCAAGAGTCACAAACCGGCACCGAAGAAGGATATCAATATACCCTGGTCTGAAAGGATGAGAGATGTTCGAAGCCACCTCCTGGAGCCCAGCCGACACCTCGCGACAGCTTGGTTCACGAAGCCAGGCCATCGATATGTCAAGTTCCAAGACAAAAAGGAAGAATTTTGGAAGAAAAACACTTCGAAGAAGCCCAAGATACCCAGAAACCTCCTTTTCGGAGCTCTACGCCGCCCACGAGCGCGTACAAGCCCACGAACTCCATACGTAAGCCCCTACGTCTCCGACGGAGGGGTTCAAGGAAGTAGCATCCATGGTATCGCGTCTGAATACTCGCCTACGCCGCCGCATTCTCCGAGTATTCTCTCGCGATCCGATAGGGGCAAAGTGAGCAGTCCCCGAACTGTGCACCAAATGTAGATGTGAACTGAACACTGAGAAAGTGGTAAGGCCCCCACGTCGAGACGACGAAAAGTGAAAAGTCCAAAAGGGAAGGGTGCGGATCCGGTATGTGCTTACAGAAACAATTCTTCCCCAGAATCAATAGTTGGGGACTCAAGTAAATCAAAGAGGAAGAACAACACTGACGTGCATTATCCAGTGGCAGCCAGAGCCAGTGGCTCCCGTAAGTCGGGCTTTGTGGAGGCACGTGGAGAATCGCCATGGTTGGGGACAGTACGATATTGAGCATAGAGGCTACCTTGCGCGTGCTGAAAAGCAATCCCAGCAGAGCAATCTCTCCAGGAGAAGGTTCAGTGATATGTATGAGTATATCAGGCCGGGTTCTGCGGGTGAGAGGTCAACGAAGGATACAGCTCCAAAGAGAGTGCATTTTAGAGAAGGAAGGCATGGGGTTCATTAATCATTAAGTGGCTTGATTATAAATTTTAATTAATGATAGTCTGTTGAAAGAGAGATATGCTGTTGTTCAATAATAGTTTGGTGGTGATTGCTGACATGGATAGATCAACTTGTTGATAGGCTGACGATTGCTCGTCGATATACTTGAATAAGATAATATTATACGCAGACTTATTACGGGTCGCTATGCCAAGAACTGCAGCCGAGCCACGGTTTGACCAAAGAACCAGATGCGGCCCGACTGTTTAATCTGCTGTCCGAGTTTTTCGGATGCTAAGAACAGGTGTACATGGTCGTCGACACTCTCGTGGCGTGCCGCTAGAATGCTACGAAGTAACACGCGGACTACTCGGTGTTGCAGAGAAGCCCGAATCGCTTAGTCTCGCCTTGTTCAGTAGGATGAGGAAGCCATATCCAAGGTACTGGTTGATGTCCTTATATCCATTGAGATTGTAGCCTCTATCGACAACCTGGAAGTTTACGTTGGAACTGAGATGGCAAGAGGACCGGATCTAGCCAGAGTTGCAACTATGAAACCGACGCTCGACCAAATATAACCGCGAGACTCTCATTAGGACATCCCATAGAATGTAAGGTTTTCCCCTTTCCCTTTCCTCTTCCTCTTCCTCTTTTCCCACTATCCCGCAACATCTTTGCCCTTGTATTTCATCTACCGTTTGCCAAGTTGCTTATACAACATCTGACTCCCGGTATAGTTTTGGGTGGCTTGCCATCGGGAATATCTTTGCGAACAACTATCCGATTGAGAACATCGGAGCGTCTTGAACACACTGCCACTTACGCTTCATGGCACCTATAACAGAGTGATCAACTAAGTTCTAAGCCAGAGTCATGGTATCGGAATCAAGAGTACAGCACAAAAGGTCCTCCATCAGATATGCCATCGCGGTCGCCAGTTCACCATTAATGATCTGTGTGTGGCCGTTCCTGTCCAATCCGAGAGCGACAAACTGGACAAAAAGAACATCGTGGGGGAAACTGCAACCAGCCGTCACAAAGTCGGCGGGTCTGGGCACGCCGCTCGTAGACGCTTTTGTGAACGAGCGTCCCATGAGTGTCAAGGCACTTGTCCAAAAAGGCGCCCGGCTCGAGTGCACTGATTCCACTGGGGTATACCGCAGCGCCCTCAAGTCGGCCGTGAGACACCCGATCCGGCAAAGATGATGTCCGCTCCTGCGCATCAGGCTCACCCAGTAGCCTCGCCCTTGTTACCTTGAGTCCACGCTCCGATTACATCACCTGCATCTGCACCGCCACACACGCTTCGCAAACCGGAACGACAGAGGCAACGCTTGAGTTCCTCGGGGCTAACTCATCATTCCCTCTAAATCCTTCGTTACTTTCCTGAATACCCCTCCATCTGGAAAAGAGCTCGGTTGCTTCTCCGGATTGACCTCTTGGAACCCCCTGAACCCCTATGATGGGGCTCACCCACTGTACGGCGACCAAGGGCTCTCAGCAATAAGGTCCCTGTGGATGCGGTGAGACTTTCTCACCAAGGGATAGTGTTCTGATACACATATTGACTGCTATTTCTGAATCCTACGGACTTACCGCTTGTCCTGGGCCGCTTGTTTGGTGACGGAATTAATCTGCATGGGCCCGGTATAACTTTCAACTTGAAATTTCCTCGACACAGCCTTACTGAGTTACGGCTGACAATCAACGAAGCTCGAATAAGGCTGTGTCGAGGAAATTTCAAGTTGAAAGTTGTAGTACCCAATGGTCTTCTTGCCCACTTTCGAAATCAAAAAGACAGCCTGTTTGCTGTCCACCCGTCTACGTTTTGTGTTCCAAGCTCATTGGCTCTGGGGAAAGCAACCTGCTTGATGCCCGCGCCGCTTGAGTCGTGGCCTGCTCCAACTTCTGCAGGAGGCTCTCCATTGCCTTGCTGGTCGCGAGCCTTGATACACTCTCTTTCAGATGCAGGGCTATATGAACCCTTCGTCCGCGAGTGGAAAGACGTCTTTCTGAGCCTCCCACGCCAACCTGTCACCCACATGCGCATCTGCTCAGAAATTTGCTGTCGTCTTGAACTTTCCCAAGTACCCACAGGAGCCATTGACCCATCATGAATGCCAAGCTCGTCTGTCCATACCTTGTCAATGGTAACGACTGCCACGACGATAAGTGTCAGCTGATGAGAAATCATGGCGAGTCTGTCATCCGAGCCTGGATTGCTAAAAGAAAGACAAAGATCCCGTGCAACCGCCCGTCGCCATGCTGGTCCTTTGAGAAAGATAGGTGTCTCTATTTCCACGCCCCAAATGAGATGAAGTTCAAGGAAAAGCGTCGACAGCTTATGCAGACGGCCTTGCGATCACCGTCGACCATTGATTTGCCCATGCCTATGGACCCAATTGCTGAGGAGCACATCTCAATTGAGGACGTCGCTGAAGTCTCGACCTATAGTGTTGTCAATCCAAGCGAAATCGCCATTCCAGGTATGTCGATTCTAAGCCCTGTGAATCCACGGCACTGACGCACGAAGGCGAGCCTGCCTACTTTACACTTCCCACAATGCCTCTAGAAGTCAAGAATGATGAACAGAACAGGCCTAAAGAATATGTCAAACACAATTCCGCCTTCGAACCTCTCATCACTTCCATCGAAGTCATGAAGCCCACGTTCGATATTTCGAGTGCAAACTTGATCTGTAGCACAGGAAGTCTTCACCGTATCTACAGATACCTGGAAGATTCAGAGGACCTGGACTCGGACAGACTGGACATGCAGTGGCATTCCGGCACCCTGTTCATCACCCGCTGGGCTGACGATCCCAGCCGACAAACCAGTGCGGGGTATGAGTCCGGGTTCGAGAGAGCAACTTGTAGTTTCTCAGGGGAGCTACAGGACCACATCAGTCACCACCGCGTACTGAGCTACCGGCTAGGTGGACTTCATCTGGTTGTTCGGGCCGAAAGTGAAGCCTATTTCTGCGAGTGCCACAAGCCCTCTCCAGGTCAAACCAGCACGGCGGATAGCGTTGCTGAAGGAATCGGCAAGCTAGTCGTCAGTAATGATGGCGAAGCAACGGAACAGGGTCTTGACGGTGCTTCTTCGTCTCTCAATGTCCTGAAGGCTGGGCGCGATATCCCATCATCATGCCTGATCATGATCAGAACCGGCAACCAGATGTATGATCGAAGACCCTTTGAGGCCCAGATGTATTTCTCCAACCGCCACCGGCTCTATCAAATTTCCCACACACGCGGTATTTTCGATCCTGCAGGTGCCAAAATTGAAGACGTGTCGGACCATCTAGGTTAATTCCCTGTCAATCGAAACGTCGATACTTGGACATCCAAGTACACTCACTACGTCGGCATAAGCAGGAGATGACCTCCGTGTAAGTCCAGGATGGGACTACTACATTGCATTTGCAGACCTCGTCCCCATAGCTCCGAATGGCATTCTCTATTTTTACCTTGGTAATATCTCACAGTACAGGTCGCAGCAAGCATAACAAGATTGCACAGGACTCACATCCTGAAGACCCCAAACTTGGTATCCCCAGGCTTGACCTCATTCTTACCCGAGAGTGCGGCCCGCAGCCCCAATCCCAAGTACTGTCTTGTGTGTTGTGGCGTTATAACACCATCATCCTAGAACTGATTAGCATTCAAGTATCCTCAATGTTCCAAACAAGACCAACTTACCCAAAGCCTCGCAGAAGAGTACACAGCATCGCTCTCGCTCTCAATTCTTTCCTTCAACTTAGGATCCGCCTTCTGTCCCACGGCCTCCATGACATTCGCGAGCTGCTCACCACCCATGACGCCTATCCGGGCATTGGGCCACATCCAGAGAAACCTAGGACTGTAGGCACGCCCACACATGCCATAATTACCCGCCCCGTAGCTTCCGCCGACCACGACGGTGAACTTGGGCACGTCGGCGCACGCCACGGCCGTCACGAGTTTGGCACCGTGCTTGGCGATGCCGTCGTGCTCTGCCTCCTTGCCGACCATGAAGCCGCTGATATTCTGCAAGAAGACGAGCGGGATGCCGCGCTGGGAGCAGAGCTCGATGAAGTGGGAGCCCTTTTGGGCCGAGGTGCCGAAAAGGATGCCGTTGTTGGCAACGATGCCTACGCGGTGCCCGTATATACTGCCAAATCCTGTGACTAGTGTCGTACCGTAGTCGCGTTTGAACTCGGAGAAGTGAGAACCGTCTACGATCCGAGCAATCACTTCGTGGATCGGAAGTGGCTTCCGCAAGTTGGTGGAGGCGATACCGAGCAACTCCGATGCCGGGTACAGGGGTTCAGAATACGCTGTTGAAGGCGACACCGGCTTCTCGGGCCAGTTGAGGTTGCTAATACACCTTCGGGCCAGCACAATAGCATGCGCATCATCGACGGCAAGGTAGTCGGACACGCCAGACACGGATGTGTGCATGGCGCCACCACCGAGTTCCTCAGCAGATACTACCTCGCCAGTGGCAGCCTTGACGAGCGGTGGGCCAGCCAGGAAGATGTTACCTTGCTCTTGTACAATTATGTTCTCGTCACTCATGGCTGGCACGTACGCGCCCCCTGCTGTACAAAGACCCATGACCACCGAGATCTGCGGAATGCCCTCGGCGCTCATACGTGCCTGGTTGTAGAATATACGACCAAAGTGGTCACGATCTGGAAATACGTCAGACTGGTGGGGGAGGTTTGCACCACCAGAATCTACCAGGTATATGCAGCTATCCCCGTCGTTAGTGCTTTCTCAAGACAGTGTTGTATACCGGACCACCTACGGCAACTTGTTTTCTTGGGCAACAGTCTGGGCCCTAAGGTGTTTCTTGACGGTAATAGGATAGTACGTCCCGCCCTTTACTGTGCTGTCGTTGGCGACAATGATGCATGTGACGCCCTCAACGACTCCTACGCCCGTAACAATACCGGCCGAAGGAACTTCGGCTTCTGGGTACAGCTCATGGCCAGCTAGAGGAGACAGCTCCATGAAGGTGGTCCCCGTGTCTATCAACGCTGTAACCCGGTCCCTGGGCAACATCTTCTTCCTTGCAAGGTGCTTCTCCCTGGCCTTGGCCGAACCTCCCTGCTGAGCAGTCTGCGTCAACTTGTCCAACCGTGCCATGGCCTCCGCCATGAGCCGCTCATTGTCTTTGAACTCGTCGGACGTCGAGTCCACATTGCTTTGGATGACTGATATGGCGTTTGCCTGGTAGGGGGCCGTGTACGATGCGATGGCTCGCGTGGGAATGCGGCGGAATCGAGATAATGCCTTGCGCGGGGCATAGCAGGATCGGGTCAATTGGCGCGACAGGCCTAGCACCTCTCCCGAGGACCTGGATATCGACATTGTGAATGTTTGGGTTCGACTGCCACTGCTACAGCAGCTTGTTCTTCAGACGAAGCCTACATAAGTAGAGCACTTGAGCTTGTCGAGGACCTTGGGGACTAACTCAAGTTAGAAGCTGACAAAACGGAATGTCCCCTAGCTACGTACAGTCAGGCTCCACAACTCTGGGGACACTTTACGCCAACGCGAAAATTCGCGCACTTCGCACCTACACCCTCTAACATTTTAACCACCACAATTATATCAAAATGAGGCCGAATCTCACCGAATTTGCGCAGCAAGTAATGGCTGATCATCGGCCTGGCTGTGAGTATACTCAAGTCCAACGGGCGGCCATGGTAACGGCAGTTATGTGCGGTATCCCGCAGACTACCGTGGCTAGCCTCTTTAACGTACACCGATCGACCGTCACGAAATCCCTGGTGTCCTGGAAATCTCGCTATAACTTCGATTCGCTAGCTCGAAGCGGTTGTCGCCCTAGATTTTCACGTCGGGGTAAGCGTTTCCTCGTTCAATTATGCAAGCGTAATCGAAATTGGACTTATAAGGAGCTTATGCAATCTATGAGTGGCAAGGTTTCGAAGAGTACCCTTCGGAGGTACCTATGCGCCGTTAATATGAAGAAATGGCGTGCGCTTAAGCGCATACCACTCACCAAAGAATTAGCAGCCGATCGCCTTGCATTTGCAACTTATTAGCTCGAAAATCTGGAGGAATTGATGACGGTATAGCCTCCGGCGTATCGAGGGTTCCCCCGCTAATCTAGTCCACAGGTAATCTTCTCCGACGAGTCCTCTATACAGAATTCTACGTCATCCCCGACCGCCTGGGTCTTCCGATTTCCGAGCGAGAAGTACAATAAGGACTTCGTGAATCTTAAGGCACACGTAAAAGCGAATATTTCGGTTATGGTCTGGGGTGGGATCTACGTCGAGGGAGGAGTAGGGAAGAAGAGCGACCTGATCGTGATAGAGCGACCCCCCCCCAGGAGGAGGGTAAGAGACAGAAGGGCTATAATACCTGGAGTTATCTTGAGGCCTTGAGGGAGGGCTTACTCCCATTTTATAAGGATTGGCAGCATTTTCAGCAAGATAATGCGAAGATACACCTCTCGGCGCAAGCTATGGAGTGGTTCGGCCGGCACGCTATTTCTCTAATAGACTGGCCAGCGCATTCCCCAGATCTCAACCCTATAAAGCACGTATGGGCCTGGTTAAAGAGGTATCTATCTAGGGAATGCCCTAAACTCTTTATCCTAAAAAAACTAGCTGGATATTGAGAAATTTAAAGCTGCGCTGCAGTTAGCGTGGAAGGCAGTACCGGCAGCGCTGATTAAGAAGCTATACGACACTCTAGAGCATAGGCTCCGCGCTATTATTAAATCCCGCGGCTGGTATACAAAATATTAATCTACGGGTTATAAGCTTCGAAATGACTCTATTTTAATACCTGTAGCCTATATATTCATAGAGACATAGCCATATTAAAATCCCAGTCCCCTAAAGAGCGCTGTAGTAAAAGTGGAGTGTCCCCAGACTTTTGGAGCCTGACTGTAGCTCGTGAGGAACCGAGGATTGCCGCCCGGTTCAACGCGGCTTAACTACCTCGTACTTAGATGATACATTCCCATGTAACTCAACTTCATGTGACAGACGTCAGCTTGAATCAGAGCCGTTTTCCTCCTTTATTCACATTCACATAGCCAATTCCTTAAAATGAAGGCAATAAGATCAGTAGTGCGTCCAGCGCGCCAGATAACATCATCCTTCCCAAGCACATCCCGATTACTACTCCCTGCCCTGCAAGTCCGCCACGCCTCCTCCAAACACTCCAAACACTCCAAACACCCCAAGGGCTTCGAGCCGCCATCTTCAGACGACCTAGCCGAGCTGCGCGAGCGGGCGCAGGAATTCACCCGCCGCGAAATCAGCGAGCAAGTCGCGTCCCGAACCGACAAGAGCAATGCATTTCCCAACGAGATGTGGCCCAAGCTTGGCGAGGCCGGGTTCCTGGGCATGACGGCCGACGAAGACTACGGCGGCCTGGCCATGGGGTATCAGGCGCACTGCGTTGTGCTCGAAGAACTCTCGCGCGCGAGCGGTTCCATTGGCCTTAGCTACGCCGCCCACTCCCAGCTGTGCGTCAATCAGATCCAGCTCAACGGGTCCGAGGACCAGAAGCAGAAGTTCCTGCCGGACTTGATCGCGGGGACCAAGGTTGGGGCATTGGCCATGTCTGAGTCTGGCGCCGGGAGCGATGTCGTGAGCATGCGGACCACGGCCAAGGCGGTCGACGGCGGGTATGTGCTCAATGGGACCAAGATGTGGATCACAAATGGGCCGGATGCTGATGTCATTGTCGTGTATGCCAAGACGGAGCCCGACAAGGCGTCCAAGGGGATTACTGCTTTCCTCGTTGAGAAGCAGTTTGAGGGGTTCAGCTGTGCGCGCAAGCTCGACAAGATGGGCATGCGTGGTAGCAACACCGGTGAGCTTGTATTTGAGAGCGTATTTGTACCTAATGAGAACGTCCTCGGCAAAATCAACGGAGGCGTAAAGGTTCTGATGGAAGGACTAGACCTTGAGCGGCTTGTTCTCAGTGCTGGGCCGCTGGGGATCATGCAGGCTGCGCTTGATGTTGCCTTGCCCTTTGCGCACCAGAGGAAGCAATTCGGCACGCCTATTGCGCATAATCAGTTTGTACAAGGCAAACTTGCTGACATGTACACGAAGCTACAAGCCTCGAAGGCATACACCTACAGCACAGCTAGAGCAGTAGACGAAGATGGTCTGATCAAGACACAAGATTGCGCTGGAGCTATCCTGTATGCGGCGGAGCGCGCGACAGAGTGCTCCTTAGACTGCATTCAACTCCTCGGAGGAATGGGGTATGTGGAAGAGATGCCTGCTTCGAGGTTACTGAGAGAGTAAGTCAACAACCCCAATATTTTCCTGCGAACCATACTAATTATGACTGCAGTGCCAAATTGTATGAAATTGGTGCAGGGACAACGGAAATTCGTAAAATGGTCATCGGCAGGGCATTTAACAAGGAGTATGCTCATCTCGGGGCTTAGATATTAAAAACATAAAAACAATTATTGCATCTTGTTGCGTAAGTGGCAATGGCGCTTGGAAGACCCTGCTTGGCATGCGCGTTCTCGTCTGAGGAACTATGCCGATGTATGGCACGAGTTACATCGATGAAGATCTAGTAAAACGCTCTTTCCTGCCATAAGGGGCTGAGGGGGTTATGGTTGACGTGGCGATGGAAATCTAGCTTTAATCACTAGGCCCGACCCATTTAGCCACCTGTAGACATGAAGCTGCTTGTGTTACTTGAATTATGAGCTGGATTATACGGATGAAGTTCACTCCTCCCAAAGTCAATGGTCCAAGGTCCGGAAGGGAGGCAACGACTCACTAGCCGAATGCGTTAGGATGCGCCGTTTGAGGATGTGTCCATCGATGTAGCCGGCATACTCAGCTTTTACTTTAATAAACCAATAATGAGTTTTCAGCTGAGGTTTTCTCCAGAATTATGTCAGTTGCACCCATGCTTGCTTCAGTGCATGATTCAGGAGTCTGACTGCCACATAGACCATGATACATGTGCGCCGCTGTCGTGATGGAAATGATATATATAAAGAGGGACCTCAATAGGTAAGATAAAAAACATGGGTTCCCCAAAAGGGTCTCTTAATCACCTTACATATCAAGACGCGGCTGAAGAACACTTGATATTACAGTCGTTCCATCTCAAATACGACAATAATACCGTCTATAAAAGCAAGTCAGGTCAACTTTGGATCGCCTGCATTCATCATGCCTTCTTCCACAATGGCACAATCTCGTTGCTTTTCACACTTCAAGTACTCCTTGCCAAATCAGCCCATCCCTCGGGAAACTACGTACGGTCTTAAAATTCAAGCTCTGGGAGCTGAATCTACCTACTAACCAGCTGCGCCAGAACCCATAGAACTACACCCATCAATTTCTAAACATAGTTACGACCATGTACATCGACACCAAAAGCGAGCTTAAGATCTTCATCTTCCCCATAGTCACCCTCGCCCTCCTGAGTGTCCTGTCGGGGCTCGCATTCATCCTTATCGCTACTACCTCCACTGGCCACAACGTTGACTACCTAATAAACACAGCGGAAGTCTTAAAGACGTACCCGCAACGTTCTCCTACGTCTGGATCCTCGTCTTCATATTCGGCTTTACCAACCAGCGCTCGGGAAAATCCATCCTCAAGGACGCAGCCAACAAGCCCTGGCGGGCGATCCCGTCGGGGAGACTTACCCCTGAGTCGGCCTGACATTAGATCGTCATCGCAATCACGATTTTGCTGCTGCTCAGTTCCGTCTGGCTGCCCGGCATGGTGGAAGCTGTAAACTTTCTGTTGCTTACCTTGGTGCATAATGATAAAGGGGGATGGGCTTGTCGTGAGTTATTGGCGGGAGGGGAAAGTTGAAGTTCTTGGGACTAGATGTGCGAAATCATGTCACGGGCATGGTGACTTGGTGCGCCATCGTGGTAACTATTATCATGACGACTGTACAGGTCCAGGATATGCCGGGTCAAGAAGGGACGCGCTGAGAGGGAGAGGAATAATGCCGCTCATTATTCGAGATGGGCCTGGCCGCTGGATCACTGTATACTTCGTTGGGTTCTGGTCGGTGGCTTGTCCGGTCTATCGGGGACTTGGGCCCGTGGGGTTCGCCATGTCTCTGCTACTGGGAAGTGTGGTTGCGATCCGAGGGCTGGTGTTAAGAACGGTTCAAGCAGACCGTGTCACTTTTGTTTGCTGGGCGGGTTGGCTTATGGTGCTGTATTGCCAGCCATTGATGAGCCGGTATGCTATCTTCACAGCACTCTGATCTGCGTTTCTAGTGTTGTTGCTGGCGATGTACGCGGGTATTGGGGGGCATCATTGCTTGTGGAGTAGCTTGTATTCTCGAGCATCGGGCGCTCTCCCTCGTCTACGACGTACTGCCGACAGACTTCTATATCTTGTTAGCCATTACGTTGGGAGCGGACTGGCGCCTGGTCACAATTTTTGATCACAATGTCTAATGGCAATACACATTCATTCAGCTGTGTGTGGCTGGTTTCGGGAAGGCAGCAGCTCTGAAACCACGACTCGCCCAACCCCTGGCCAGAAACTCGTCACATCGTGAGTTCGGGTCGTTGCCAAGACGGGAGGCAGGGAACGACTGCCAACATGAGCGGAGCCTTGGTGGATAGCAGGATCCCTTTTCGAGATGTGTCACTTGTGGTAAAGACGTCATTGCGGGTACAGACTGACTCGAATCTAAATGGTTAATTTTCTCGTTCGTCGGACAGAGTTGGTATGGATATCACTCTTGGAGTGTTCACGCGATGGTTGAACGTCCAGAGAACGACGCGTACCTGGTCAATACCACGGGAAGTATCCGAGACTCCTCATCACTTAAGCAGACAAAGCAGACAGGCAGGCAGGGATGGAAAGATCCTGGACTTCCACGTGCCGCGGCAGACCGTTTATAGTAATACTGCCCCACTAACATCAATGGTCGACCCACTGTGCCGCGTCTTTGCCGCCGTTCCATCTTCGCTTCCCAGCTTGCTACTTTCAACCCTGGAATGGATGCACCGAGACTGTTGTCCAACATGCCGTATGTCTGTTCATAATGGTCTGAGAAGATGGTCCCAAATCTCCTGTGTGGAAAGCCTGCCGCTTGGCATCATTTGAAATTTGTGTGTGGATCTTCTCAAGCACAAGAGCTTCCTCGCATCAGCCATTTAACTTGGAGTATGCTTGCTCAATAGCGAGTGAGCCCGTTCAGATGAACCCATCGTAACAAGCAATGCAATCTTTATGCCCCTGCCAAGACTCCCTCTAGATGCCGAGGTGTGCTTGTCGGCCGTGATGTTGCGGCATGAAGTTTTGGAGACATGTAGGTCTGATACTTGCTGATCTCGTATCGCAGATGGAGACCAGCTTTTTTATACAAAGCAGTTGGCCGCCAAGATGCAAAGTACGACGTATGCAAATTCCGTGGTCACGGACCTCCATCCGGTGACTTCAAGCGAGTCACCGGCCCAGGCTTTCCCGTCTCCGTTATGTGGAATGCCAACGATACCGGACCACTACGGCCCACACCGGCGTCGTCACCTTTGAAACTTGGAAGATTTCGATCACAGTCGCATTGGGGCCGGTTCTCAACTGCCTTCGCCATGTTGCTGCACGCTTGACCTGCCACAGCCGCCCATTGTCAGCATGAGGACGTATTCTTGCGCCTTCGCACTTCTTCTGGGGGCCGTCGCTCCTTCCCACCAGACAAACCCATCCTGGTATGATCAAGGGCTGTTGGGCGCCTATCCATCGCGCGAGTATCACTCCTTCCACCTCCCTTCACCGCGGTTGCACGTGCTGGAGGCGAGTGACCACTGCGATCAGAGTTACGTCTTTATCGAACCCCGTGGCAACTCGGTGTCCGACCCGGGCCCGATGATTCTCGAAGCCAATGGGGATCTCATTTACATGGAGGCCAAGTTCGGAGAGGCCATGGATTTCAGACCCCAAGTTTACAAGGGCGAGACCTACCTCACCTTTTGGTCGGGAACAGATGATGGCACTCACGGTCACGGGTCCTATTACATGCTTGATTCCTCGTACGAGGTCAAGTATATCATCAACCCCGCCAATGGGCTGGAGGGCGACCTGCACGAATTTACCATCACCGCAGATGGAACCGCCCTCATGACGATATACGAGATCACACCCGCCAATCTGAGCACCGTAGGCGGTCCCCCAGAAGGGTGGATCCATGACTCAATCTTCCAGGAGATGGACATCGAGACGGGCGAGCTGATCTTCGAATGGCGCGCATCCCAGTACTACCGCGTCGACGAGTCATTCGACCGGCCCAACGGAAAGGGCAAAAGCCAAGACCACGCCTGGGACTTCTTCCACATCAACAGTATCGACAAGGACGCCGACGGAAACTACTACATCTCGTCGCGGTACATGCACACCGTCACTTGCCTCAGCCCTGAAGGCAAGATTCTCTGGAAACTTGGGGGTCAGCACAGTGACTTCACTGACCTGTCCGACGGCGCGGCGTCCAATTTCTCGTGGCAGCACCACGTCCGCTGGCACGAGAACAACACGCTGACCATCTTCGACAACGGCGCCTATTCCAAATACGAACGGACCGCCGACTACTCGCGCGGCCTGCACGTCCAGCTCGACCTCGACCACATGACGACCACGCTCCTGGTCGCCTATGTGAACCCCATGCACATCCTGTCCGGGTCCCAGGGTAGCGTCCAGTTCCTCGACAACGGCAATGTTTTCGTCGGCTGGGGTTACAACGCCGCCTACACCGAGTTCTCCCGCGACGGCAAGGTCCTTTGCGATATCCACTTTGGCGCCTCGGCGTACTTCAACACAGGGTATATCAAGTCGTACCGCGCGTTCAGGGGACACTGGGTCGGGACGCCCAACACGAAGCCTGATATTGCCCGCCGAGATGATGGGGTTTACGTAAGCTGGAACGGCGCTACGGAGGTCGATGCTTGGAAGTTGCAGAGCGCTGGGCATGCGGACGCGCAGGATGGTGACTTTAGCGATGTGGAAATCATCAAGAAGAACGGGTTTGAGACCAAGTTCCTTCCTGAAGACATCGTAGGGAATTTTCTGCGGGTCGTAGCACTGGGCTCCAATGGCGAGGCCTTGGGGTTGTCAAAGGTGCTGGATAGGGGCGCTGGACGTATTGTGAGTTTTTGTGCCTTTCTACATATTGTCTAGAGAGATATGCTAACGTTGCCGCAGGTCGAGGGAATCTTTGAGCCGATACAGGACCGTGACTTTGTTGCGCTCCAATTACTACTTGGTCTTCTTGTATTCGCATCATTTGGGTTTGTTGTGTGTGCGCGTACAACCAGAGAGCCCGCTGTGCAACTTCCAGACGCTTCTCAAGCGATTTAGGGGCAGCTGATGTATCAATTAAGAAGTATATTGATTTTGTTTTGAAAATGCTGTTCAAGTTACTGCTTTTGTCATGGGCAACTCTTCAGAGTTTGGATTCTCCTGCTTGTGCGTAGGACTGAAATATCCAACATGTTTTTTGCTTGTATTTAGGGTCGATTTAGGGTCGATGCCAACCTATCCTTACCGTCACACACGTGGTCGTATCGTCGACTTGATGTGCTGGCAGCCCAATACCTGCAATGAAGCTTGTTGATCTCCGCGTAGCGAGCTCGAAGTGTACGTAAGTATCAACAAAATTACCTCCAATCACCGCCAACTACTATATTCTGCACTCCCCATTGCCGTTTTAGGATAAATCAACTCATCCTCCCAAATCCGCCGATTGACTCATCGGCCAGCAGTGGTCAGCGGCTGACAATCATGCGCGCTTGATGGATCCTGATTGGACCTCAGTTTAGATAACCTGAGGGATCTCGCTTCGCCACTTCAATCGACATCTGCATCAGATCGGTAGACTACAACCCACGTAACGCTTAAAGGGGATCTTACGATTCACGCTTGTGCCGCATTGTAGGTCTGACATGAAAAATCAGCCTTGCTAATGAGACCCATCCGTGGATAAAGCATGCATCATACCGAAGCGTACCGCTACGTCTGCCGTCGTCTTGCCCATGCCGATCGCGCAACGCCGTCGCCATGTGGGATCCGGGATGTCACTCATATCAAGCTATTAAGCAATATCATGGTCTCGTAAAATTGACGACTGTCTCTATCAAATAACGATCATTCAACCAGCCAACTGAATACCGTTGAACGATCTGACCCCTTTTCCCCCTTTCCCCGCTGTCGTTCCTCGACTAATCCTGTGTTCAAAACACACTTCACTATGACTATCTAACCCAAACCCAAACCTACCATTCGATTCATCCACGGCGGCTGGCACACCCCGTCCTTATTCCAGCGCATGCGCGACCTCTGCGAATCCCACGGCTTCCCCACCGAGTGCCCCTTACTGCCCAGCATTGACGCCCTGCCGCCCGTGGGGATGGTAGAAGACGCCCAAATGATCCGGGAATTGCTCAGGAAGTTCGTCGAGGAGGAAACGCGGGATGTCCTCATCGTGGGGCATTCCTATGGCGGCAACGTGATGACGGAAGCCGCTAGAGTCGAGCTCGCGAAAGCTAGACGGGAGGAAAAGGGGCAGCGGGGTGGTGTAGTAGAATTGTTGTATTTAGCGACTTTTTTGATGGCCCCGGGGGAGTCATTGCAATCGTCGTCAGGGGGGAAATTGCCGTGGTTTCTTAGTATTGATGTAAGTGGGTCGATCGACTAAATAGAGAAGCCTGGGTTTCAATGACTGGTATCGGGTCGGGTCCAAAGATGCCTTGCTTATATATCTAACTTCCTTGTAGGAACAAGGTAGGACACACATGTCGGAACCCGAGCGCCTGCTCTTCAACGATCTGCCCAAGGATGAGCAAGACCACTGGGTAGCCGAGATGAAAGGCCATTCCGTCAACGGCTCGGTGCCGATCACGCACGCGGGTTACCTGTACCATCCGGCGACATACCTATTTACCGAGAACGACCAGGCGATCCCAGTGCAGGCCCAGAAGATGGTTGTCGACAAGGTGTCCGAGAAAAAGGGTGTTCAGTTTCCGAGATAGTACTGCTCGTCTGGGCACTCGCCGTATCTGAGTCAGCCGCAGGTCGTGTTGGATGTGATTAGGAAGATCACTGGGCATTCTGACGGATGAGAGTTGTAAGGTCATTAATCAGTGGATTAGTTGATATGTTGCAGTTCAAATACTCAACCTTTCGGCATCCACGTATCCCTGCGCGAGCATGCCCTCGGCACTAGGCTTATCTGCATCGTACACTGGTAAATCTCGATTCTTCCCCATAGCGATCTCCAAGATGATATCATTCTTGAACTCGGGATTCTCACGTAGCTCTGACACGCCCTCGGCCACCTCTTTAGCCGTTAGCAAGGGGTTATTTCCGTCATGAATCATGGCCGCCTTTCCCGGGTCTTCTGTCCAGGACGGAGTCTCTTTAATGCTAGCTCCTTTGGTGAACATGCTTCACACGACGCCTCAACAACACGACGTCTCTCAATTTACCTCGCAATTGCTCCCTGTAACGAGGATACCACACGTCTCACAATATAATAGTCAGGTAGTGCAAAGGGTAGCTAGAAGTAGGCCAGTGTATGGGTGCGTATATTGCAAGACTGATTCTTGAAGAATCTAAACTAGGTGCGAGCGTCTCGAGTTCTCCTCTTAAGCTGGGCGGTTCCGGGGTTTTACCGGATCGGGGCGAATCCCTCCCGACTCAGCTTGTCAGCTGAGACCGGCCCGCCACAACGGCTCTTTCCTTACACTCCCTAACTACGTACAAAATGGCTGATCCAGTGGAGGATAGTCCGGGCAATTTTGAGCAGCGAATCGAAGGCGCTAAAGAGCTTGTCCGTCAGGGCTCTTCCTAGGCCGCAGCAGCTCATCGGTACGGTATTAAGGGGACTATATTGTCCTACCGCATTCGTCACGGTAATTCGTGTCGCGACGCGACCTCCGGGTAATAAAGTTGACTCTAGAGCAAGAGGAGGTTATTGTCAGATAGGACACCTGGTTCCTAGGTTCAGAAATAATATGGCACTAGAGAAGACTAGTGTCACTTGAAGTTCAGACGGCGAAATGAACCCCTCTTCCCGAAAGTAACTCCGAAGTTCGGGGTCAGACACCTGAACAATGCACCTCCGACATTTCCGAAAGAATCTATAAAGGGCAGAGCAACGGGAGTTCGCGAGAATAGAACACAGACAAGAACACACCTCATTCATATACAATCTTATGCACTTCTGACTACTCGATTGGACACACGTGATATTCGACAGTTATCGTGAAATGGATCCTACACGAAGAACTGTGCGGACGGGCTCCTAGTAAGCGTTATATGGCCGACTTTACTACCGAAATCATCCTTACTTAAGGGGATAATAATATACTCGGCTAATACTAGGTAGATTACTTCGTTAGCCGTTATCTATAGATACGTACTAAAATTAGGCGCGTCGTAGATACTAGCCGAGTTAGAGCGTCCGATTCGAATAAGATCCGAGACTTCTACACCCCTGTGAAGGTCAACCCTCGCAGACTCACTACAACCAGGTGACTTACAGCTGGAACACCTGCCATGGCAGTGCCAGATGGGAAGCCAATCATAACCCCTGCAGGAGCCCCGCCAAGCGTGGACGACTTAGTCGCGCTCCCTCAAACCTAAGTTTGTGATCTTCTTTCCTTCGCTCCTTAGAGTAGAATCTTCGTCGATAGCACCTAATCGAGGTCTTTACCAATGCGATGCAACCCAGGTCGTGACAACCCCCTCGAACGCTTACGTACGAAGTACCGTATTAAACCCGATAACGAGTATAATATAGATAAGATAGTGATACGTGACCCCATGGGGGTTACCCTGTAGCTATAGATAATATAGATAAGATAAGATAAGAGCTATAAAAGAGCTCTGCCAGGCCAGAATAGCTGACCTGCGCCATCCTTTCCCAATACAACAACTCACACCCCATATGCACTCGCATCAAAGCCCTAAGCTCTTAATAGTGTAACGGGGATACCACACGTCTCACGATATAATAGTCAGGTAGTACAAAGAGCAACTAGGATAGGCTAGTATATAGGTACGTATATTGTTAAGACTGATTCTTGAGGGAATCTAAGTTAGGTGGGAGCGTCTCGAGGTCTCCTCTTAAGCTGGGCGGTTCCGGAGTTCTACCGGATCGGGGGCGAAACCCTCCCGACTCAGCTGGTTGTCACGACCTGGGTTGCATCGCATTGGTAGAGACCTCGATTAGGTGCTATCGACGAAGTTTCTACTCTAAGGAGCGAAGGAAAGAAGATCACAACTTAGGTTTGAGGGAGCGCGACTAAGTCGTCCACGCTTGGCGGGGCTCCTACAAGGGTTAACCTTCACACTGGTCAGCTGAGACCGGCCCGTCAGGACGGCTCTTTCCTTACATAGTCGACGTATCTTATAATCCTCCGGAGCCTTATATACTAGATCCTCCGCCTTATATATTACTACCTCTAGTTACTTTTACTCCTTAGAAAGCGTAATAACTATCTAGCTAACTATAGTCGATAGAGAAAGCCGAGGGCGGGGTATCTCGTAAAATTCGTACCCTAGTAAGTAAGGCGGGTAAAGCCTTTATACTCTAGGCCGCCGAGAATACTAAATTACGTATCGAAAACAAGCAACTGTATAAAGAACTTGTGGGATCGCACTAGTACTAGTATTCCAGCTACATACGAAGGTGAAGAAGGGAAGGACAGGTGGGGGGGTCCAAGCCGCACAAAGGCACTTAAGTATCTTGCCCGTATCCCACGTGACCGTAGGCCACCAATCCCACATATTCTATATATAATAAATACGGATGAAGTATTTAGGCTGATTCAGTTAGACCCTGCAAAATAGGAGTGTATGCAAAAAGGTGGTCAATGCGGTTAGTTGTAAGGCTCACCTTCACCGCCCACCGCGCCGCGCCGCAGCCCCAATTCTTACCCCCACTCCACCCTGCAGTCGATGTTCATTCGCAAGATACATGGGCGTGCCGAAACCGGCGACATGGTACGCAAGACTACTCACATACACCAGACACTCGGACATCTTTATTCTCGTCCAGTGTCCAATGCCCAACTGACTCAACCGAATCGGACGAGTGAGATTCACACCAAGGACCCTGTACGTTCCGGCTCGCCGTCTGTATCAACGCATAAGGGAGAGTCCGGGTTTGTAGCTGTCCGTGTGGCAGAACTTTGAGGAGGTGGGCGCTTTTAAGTGTGGCTACATTCGGTCTTTGGTGGAAATCTAGAAAGGAGCTGCAGGAGCTGCTGTGCTTCAGGGCGGAGGGAGACGATACCACTGAGGACTGAGCAGCCGTGGGAGAGTAGGAGGCGGGTGAAGGCGAAGTTGATTCCTGGTCTGCGTCTGTGCTTGAGCAGGGGCTACGACGGTGGGCGCTGTGTGATTTAATAGATGACTGGCTTATTTGAGCCTCCAGCTGTGACGTCGTATTTATCGGCTACTGTAAAAGAGGCTATTTGGGACGCAGGCGTCAAGTCATACTCATACTATCGACCTCAACACCTGTCCAAGCTTCCTGTTTCTTGCCCCCACAGCCCAGGAAAGTTGGACATGAGCAACGATCCGACTCGATGGCAAAATGGAAGATATTATACACAAGTTTATGTGAGACAAGATCGACACGCTGGGATGTTCCGGTAGGACCTGAACCTCGTGTAACCGGGTCATCCATGCAGAAAGGTGCATTTGGAGTATCATATTCTTGTAGATCTGGCTCAGTAGTATTCTTCAATCAATCCTTGTACCTTTCCGCTACTAGGGGTAGTAGCGAGGGGTCAATGATTTGGGGTCCATGAGGGGAAAGCTCCTCCGCAGCAGCGGATTGTGGGGTATGCCATCATGCGAGCATGCGGCAAGCACTAGGATAGAGGTCAGGACCTTTGGAGGCCAATACTATATTGGGGCAAGTGCTGAAGCTCAGTTTTCCTTTGTACTTTTACCGGATCGAGAATCTCGCTGCATGGATTGCCTCTTAGGTTTCATCCTTAAGTACCTTGTTCTCATCTCCATAGTGTATTCACTGGCTTCTCGTCTCCTCCATCAGATATTATATCCATGCTAGGTTGAGGTTCACTAACAAAGCTTGCGAGCCTTTCCAAGTTGAACAGCTCCGCCAGAAGTAGGTGTACACCTCTCCAGGAATCGATAACGTTAGCGTGCTACTTTCCCTGAAATACTTGGTCGTCTTACTGATTTTGGTGTTCTCCAGGTAGCAGGCCCTTGTTCGCAGAGAAAATGGCTGCGTTGAGATACCTGATCTGTCATTCAATTTGAATGTGTAAATCAGAACTCTACACAAGCCAATTCTCACGCTAAAGGTATCGATCCCTAGAGAGGTATATAATTGCAGTAAGCGAAGCCCAAGCGGTCATTGTAATGCGCTGTGAATGAAGAAGATGCCAGATAGAGCTTACGAGGAATAATTATTTATCTATACGTGGTTCATTATGACGTCCCTTACAGCTGGAGGAATGGCAACAGACTGCTTGCTTGAGAAAAGCCCGGGAACACATTAGAGCTTCTTTCAAGGTATAGCATGGCGAGTCATTTTTAATGCTCCTGCTGACTGAACATCTTCAGAATCCAGATGACTTGACGGTCTCTACAGACCAGGTCTGCCAAATATAGATAGATGGAAATATAAAACATGACGATGAGACGGCGCTGACCTGACCTGGATACAGTCTAGTAAGTGAATATGAAAGAACTAAGGACCAACCTTACTACCATTGTAGAGCCAGACCGAGAACTTAATTCATGAGGTTAGAGCGTTTCGATAGCAAGAAAAAAAGACGCATCGGGAATTATTTCGTTGATGGACTTGATGATGGGTTTGCTCAAGCTTTGTGAGGTCTCAGGTCACAAGACACTGTAGATATGATTGGTTGGCTTTCGAGCGCGGGAAGCTTGGCACGCATACGTCATAAGGTATGCAAGCCCCAAATTATTTTTATCTTATCTTCTAATCTTATCTTATCTTATCGACGAGCCTCATTAGTGCCTCGGCGCAAGGAATCTCGAAATCTTTCCGAGAATATAACAAACACCTTTCATAGGTAACTTGGGTGACTGATCATGGGCTTTGTATGGACAGGATGAAGCCAAATCCACGATGACATCCGCTCACTCATCTAAACAGTCCATCCAACCTCCATAACTCTCACTTATAATGGCCGCTTCGTTTAGGCAAGCTGCCACCTCGGCTTCGAGCTCCTTCGTCGCCCGGCCGACCTTCGAAGTCTCATCTTCTATAGTACGATCATACTTCCTGGGCCATCACGCAGGTGCATTGGCGTCGATGCGCCAGAAGCTGTCGAACATCAGTCTCATCATCGAGTGTCGGGACAGCCGCGTCCCTCTGACCTCAACGAACCCTCTCCTCGAATCCGCTCTCGCCGGTCGCGACCGCATCATCGTCTACTCCAAGGCCGACCTGAGCTTCCCGCCCTCGGGGTCAAGACACAAGCAGAAACAAGAGGAGCTGCTGCGGAAATGGCACATGGAGCGTCGTGGTATGGGTGTGGGAGTGGTGGGCGATGCCAGCGGCATCGGCACTACCGAAGTGGTCTTCACCGATGAACGCCAGCCCAAGACGATCCAGCGGCTACTGGACGCCATGAAGGATCGCGCCTGCGCCATAGATTCACTGACAGGCATGCGCGCTCTCGTAGTTGGAATGCCCAACGCGGGGAAATCGACGCTGCTCAATGCCATGCGCCGGGTCGGTATGAGGATGGGCAAGGCAGCCAAGACGGGCGCGGAGCCGGGTGTGACGAGAAAATTGTCCACGCCCGTCCGAGTCATACCCGAAGACACGGCGGCGGGCATCGATTCGGGTGTCTTCGTCACTGATACACCGGGAGTCTTTGTACCCTACGTCGGGGACCTAGATTCCATGCTTAAGCTGAGCTTGGTCGGCTGCGTTAAGGACGGCGTAGTAAGCACGGAGACGATTGCGGATTATCTCCTATTCCACATGAACCTTCGGGACCCATCTCTATACAAGGAGTTCTGCCCTCCCACCAACAATATCTTCGAGTTCTTGGATGCTGTCGCCATACGTACGGGGAAGCTTCAAAAGGGAGGCGCACCGGCGCAAGAGCTCGCTGCTAATTGGGTAATACAACAGTGGCGCAAGGGAAACCTGGGTCGCTTTAGCCTGGATGAAGTTACCGAAGAAACCTTACAGAACTGGGCCAAGATGGGCCAGGCCGCCGGCGTTGGAGAGCAACAGACCAGTTTGAGTCAGGCGCGCAAGAAGGAGAAGGAGGTACGGAAGGCTAGGAATTTAGCGAAAAGGGAAGCCTCGGGAGCTTGATTGATGAAAGGGTTTTGCAGGAAAAGCCCAGCTGGACCAGGATCGCCTCATAGGGTTTATATCTCTCTTGGGGCGTCCGGCGTGTTCATGTATTGATACAGCACGACAGGTGTTGCATCCGTTTTATCTCCGATATTGCTTCGGCGTACGTTGGAACATCGATCAAATTCCGCGGCAGAGGCCGCAGGTGTACTGTACTTGTACAATGTAAACAATATGTACATATGATTATACGGCGCTAAGGCGCCCGAAAAGAACATCTGCCCTCTTAGGCTGACCGTTAGCCTACGAAGGACAGCGTCGACACCCACTTCAATACATCGTTCCTCGGAATCTGCTTTTCCCCCGTTACATGTACAGAAACTATTCATCTCGACTTTCATCGCTGATAGTCCCAGCTTATGAGAAGCATTATGTCGCCATGACTATTGAAGCGTTCCACTCACCTTCTTGCTTCCGTCTTGCCTTCCCTGACGAACTATACCAAGAGCGTCTGATACATATTCCACAACCAAGCCACAATCAAGTATGTATTGGAATTTGCGCTAGCGATTTCGTCCACGGCCAAGTGCGGTAGAGTGGGTTGTTTCCAACAGCCACATCCAATTTGATTCAGTAATGAAATTACCCTCATCCTGTACACGCGCACCTCCCTCTTGCTCTCACAAATCGAGTCACTCTACTTCTATTGCCAGCACATAGATAAGTTCACAATCAATACTAATCAAATCACCGAGCGCGAGGCGTCATGTAGACATTGTACATTATACAACCCGAATCACAGCCAACCTCACACCTTGGGGGTATACGATATACTTATGCAACATGACGTCCGCGTCCCATGAATGAACCGACATCAGTCACCACTGTCACTCCCGCTGCTGAGTTTTCATTGTTCTCGAAAACATCGACCCACAAAATAGGGTAGGAGGTGTACTGTTCGCTCCCAGAGCCAGGATTCCAGACCCCAATATAGTGGGCATTTTCAAACTCAGTGGTATTTTGAAAAACTCCAGAGGTGTCCTTTTCCGATTCCCGGCAACCTTGAAAAAGAAAGGAAAACGATGTGCCTATAAATACCTGTTTGCGGCATCATGTGGAGTGGTCCCCAGGCCATGTTAACAGAAAACGCCAAGCAATGCAAATGATTATCCGCCCCCCACATTCGCTCCGGCTTGATACCGAGACTCAATGCCCATCCATGTTACGCCGTAACAAAATGTCAAGTGGTGGACACACTAAATAGAAATGGTCATTATAAAACTCAGGTGCGCGGTGACTGCGCTCACGACACAAATTCTTGCTGCCATTTCACCAGGTCCCTCGTAAGCGCGTCCATCATCTCGACGCAGTCCAATTCCTTGAAGTCCTTCATGGGCACGGCAGGGGTGGTTGATGCTAAATTCGCAGTGCCACTCTCGACTGGTGTGTTTTCTTTGCTGGCATCTCCACCATTGGGTTGCATCGCTCGTACTTTGCCCGTACTTCCGTCATCCGTGTTACCGTGGCGAGGACTGTTCTTTTCCGATAGTGGCTCGTTTGCCAGTTCAACTTGTGTTCTCGTAATAAATTCCAAGATGTTGTTCGCGCGTCGTTTCAAGTCACTCATGGTGATCTTGGAGTTCATGCCTCCTTTGGCTCTGCTGCTGTGTTTACCGGGCCCTTCATGTAGTGAAGACTTCGTATGAGTTGCGACGTTTTCATCGGCATTGCGCGCGATCTCGCGAGACATGGATCTCGCGGGCGTATCCTCATTCTCCTGCATATCACGATCCTTGGTGTACTGATTTCGACCCTTGCCCTTCTTGTGCTGCGACGCGGCCTTCCTTTTATGAGAGCTCGTTGGTACCTTCTCCGCGGGTGGCGTGTCTGGGACCGGTTGTGACGAGGCCGGGGGATCTGGAGGTTGTACCGATTCGGTAGTCCGGTTCGCGGCCACGCGAGCTGCCAGGGGTATTTCTTCTGATGGATCTGAGTCTATATCCACATCCATATCAGCTTCAGACACCTTGACCACGATTGTTGTTGTTGCGGTAATACCATCAGCTCGTCGACGCTCAGCCCGGCCTTTGCGCTTGCTAGCCGCCTCAGCCCGTTTGCGTTCCTGTTCCTCGCGGCGCTCGTCACGCTCGGTTCTTTCTCGGTGAGTGCGCGCGACGTTGCGGGTTGCTTTCTTCAAAGCTCCGTTCCGGACGCCGTCCTCCTCGTCGGAATCTTCTCGGCTGGCCAGAAGAGCCTGGGCACCCAGAGGCGACGGGGATTTGGAATTCGTCCGCTGGCGCTTGATGTTCACAAGTTGCCTACAAGGCCTATAGTCAGCGGTTGTACTCGGAATGCGAGCCCGGTTGCAGGAATCATGAAAAACACACTCTTCGTCCTCGTCCCGGATTCGCTTCGCACGACGGGTCAGTAGCTCTGGTTCTTCGACGATGGTGTCTTCCTTGCTCGCCTCAATGGCGCGACGGAGCTGCTCCTCTTCATCATAGGCAGCGTCCCGACTATTCATTGTCGAACGTCGTTTCGCAGAAGACGACTGTGCCGCCGCAGATGCGCGCGACGACTTGCGATCGGTGCTCTTCGGCGACCGTGTACCATCTTTGGCTGTCGACGTCGCTCGGGAGGTACTCCGTGATGGTCGATGGATGGGTAGGTAAACGGAATACTTTTGTCTGCGAGGGGCCATCTCATCAGCATTCTTGAATATAAAGATAATAGATAAACAATGAAGAAAACAAGCTCTACAAGGTTGGGGGCAGGGGGTTTGTGAGGGTAGACGTTGGCGCTTGAGACGTGCGATCGACGATGCGTCGACCGTCAGTGTCAGCGCTCCGCCACGGCTGAGAGGCACAGCCAATGAAGCCAATGCGGTCGCACCTGTGCTAAATATGGCGACGATGCGAAAAGTGGTGATAATTACCCGTTGCTTGCTGTGAAAACTTTATGTAGGTCTTTTCGACAGAGTTCGCAATAGTATTCGTCCGGCGAGGACTCCTCGGTGACAATGCCCACGCATAAGCCGTGCTCCCAGACTTTGCAAATATCGCACTGGACGAAGAAGCCGGCCATGTCATTGTCAGAAGTGATTTCGACAACTGAGTATATAGGTTCAAGGTCAATTGCGTCTTTGAGCGCAAAATCCTTGAGCTCATCATCGAATTGTGGTGGTCCTGGCCAGTCGTCGAAGCCGCAGACACAGCGCACCGCTTCGTCCTCTTCCTGGATCTCGTTATCGTCGCTCGTGATAGCAATGTCAAGCTGCTCCATCTTGGGCTGTTTATCTCTGTCTTCGTCTTTGCCGCGTGTGCTTCGTCGGCGGAGGAGGGCAGTATCGTCAGTACTCGCAGTAGTTGGGGTAGAATCCTCGGGCGGTTCAGACGAGAGCGAACCAGTGCCCGAGGACTTGTGAGGCGACCCAGTCTTTACAAAGCCTCTGGTGGTTCGCTCAGCCCGCCCTGATGAGCTAGAATTCGCAGAAGAATGGTGTGATTGTGATTGGGTTGTTCGCGCCCGGGAAGACCGTCTGGTGGGAGACGTGCCGGCCATACTCGCGAAAGCGAGCGTGGACGAGGCGGAAGGATGGACTCGGATCGATTGAGGTACGAAGTCGAATGCTCGAGTGCTTGAAGGGCGTTTCAAAGAAGACGGAGGCTAAAATATCGTGGATTTTGATTGTAAAGTGGTCCAGTTAAGGTGGTAGTTGGAGCGACAGGATGGAAAAAGGTCGTGAGCGCTCGCGACGGGAGCTTGGAGGGGAGCGCCTGCAACAAGCTCTCTAGCTAAGAGGTGTGAGATGGAAAGCGGCGATACAGAGCGGTCCTAGAGATCTTGAAGTCTATCATGACTATGACTGAAACCAATGCTTGGGGCGGATTGCGTTGGGCGAACAGAAATGTGGGATGAGGGGGAGACTGGACAATGGCACAATGTGAAGGCGACTGACGGGACTGACTCCAGATGGTTTTTGGGAGACAGACCCTCGTCTCGATCGGTCCCACAGACTCTGAACCACCGAAGGACACCACTATGACTTTTTGCCGAGAGGAGAGCTCGACTTTCCGACGGCTTCCCACTTTGCGGCATGCACCGTACCCCAAGAGTTCGACAGTTGGTACCAGCTGGCCGCCCACTGACCTGTGGACCTCTGCTAAAGTGCAAGTGACTTCCAGGACCTCAAATCGCGGCCCCGGAACGCTTGCGCAAACGCACAGTGCTCGTTCTCGGTTTTGGCACGCGGGCGCCATTTCGATGATGCAGGACGAAGCCGTCGTCCATTCTTTTTTCGCCGCGACAGAGTCTTGCACCGGATCATTAGGAGGGAAGCGGTAGCAACTGTAGAAGAATACCAAGACCTGAATGAATGAATGACTTGTGGGTTGAATGGACGTCGTAGATAAAGTGCACATAAGTAAGTTAGCCCGATGACGGGGAATCAGTCTTGAGATGTGGAGTAGAAAGGGCACCAGCCAGCAAGCCAACAAGCTCATTGAAAAGCGCACATGCACTGGCCAAAAAGACCACAGGTTATTAATAAGGTAATTGCCGTAATATTCGCGCGCGCTGACAAGCCAAAGAGGCCCTTGCACTGTGGCATACCCCCCTTCGGGACCCGCTACACATCATTATCTCCAGCCCAGTTTATGTCAAATCCCCCCCCCGACGCTGCTGATTGATGACTGATGATTGAACTGCCCGCATGAATACACAAGACATTTGCTCTTGCTGCGACTTGCATCGATATCCCGACTTGCAGCAAGTGCTTGTTGACGATTGACCCTTCCACAAAGCCCATATTATGCTCGCGCAGTAGCCCCGGACAACTCGACATTGAAAGAACAAGTGGCAGGGACTCCGTCTCTTGCCCCTCGGCGAAGCTCCTCGGCGTTGGAATACCCGTCATTTGTACGTGTGAACCACGTCCCTTCTTCTTCCACCATCAGTTCTGGACAGCAATACTCCCACGGCTGCAAAGACTCAGTAGTACTTTCTGCATCGCCAATAGCTTGCTTGCATTGAACTGGTCATTGTCGGTCATACCCAGCTCTTGACCACCTGCTCCCCTCGTCATAGAATACTTGTTAATGCCTTCGTCACCGTCTAGAAAAGGGGAGGTCCTCTAGGACATCGAGAAATACCATCGCATCGAATCGACTCCCCGGGCCTGAGTTTCCATCACTACCTATCGTCATTGTTGTTCTTATGCCCCCGTGCCGGTCACCATTATTTGCTGGGAACAAGGCGTCACAAACAGAGGATAATCCCTGGGCAGGTGAGCTGTCTGACGGAAGAGTTGGCTTAGACATGTAATGGGTATGTTGTTCCCCAGTCCCCCAGTCAGCAGTTCGAATACCCAGCTGCCGTCACAGACAATCATTGGCAAAGTCAGCGGCGAAGTCGCCCTCTCGTCACGCCCGCACAACCATTGCAGTGTCCAAGTCTCGGCATCTTCAAACCCCCGTATGTTGCGGGTAACCAACGATGCTGGTCCCCCCAGACTTTGCTAACTTGAGCTTAATGGCCCTAACTTGTTGGATTTGTTGGTCTTGTTGCCGCTCGGGAAATATTTTGATCACCATGGGTGTAGTTCTTTCTGCAGATCAGCATCATGGCTAACACGCTTTTATTGCGGCTGCATAGCAGACTCTACCGACAACATGTCTCCAGAATCCGCGTCCCTGTTTCCTGAGCGGCCGATTCGCCCTCTCCCCAAGCGCCGGCTCCGGGAGCGACTATCACCAGATGTTGCCGAAGCCATTAAATACCCTCCGGCACCCCACAACACAGCTCCCCTGTTCTACTATCCGTACAACTTGAAGGACGAAGCAAGAGCTGGAGGCGACCATTCAAACGTGGGAAATCGCGAGGGCATGCCTGCCATGGTTCAGGATGGTGGACTGCGCAGAAACTTAGGTGGCGAGCTTGGCGATGACGGACTGATGTACCCAGCCAGGCGAGTTGCATTGTCACGGCCTTTCCACGACAGCCACTCCATGCGCACTTCGCAGAGGCAAGGTTCAGGCCGGCATCCCAACCCACAAGCGCCCCCTTCTACAGCGTCGTCCGCGGATGGCTATGATTCCTTCGAGAACACTAACAACAAGAAAAAGCGGAAGATCCCGACGGCAGGAGAGACAGCCCTCAATGGGGCTCACGTGCTCACCGATGCGAGTATCCTCGGCATCCCCTCTCCTCCTTCGACAAGCGATGAGGGTCCTGGGGATCTGGCGACAACACCCTACTACCAATCGGGAGGCACTCAGACTGTTGGTCAGGGCATTTCGGGGCCGGGCAGAGGCAGATATGGTCGAGCTCGAAATGGCAGAAGTCCTCTACGAGCATTGCCAGATCTTAACACTGGCTGGGCTGGCAGGAACGGCAAGCTGAGACCTGGTGGCCACTATCCGTCTTCTCCTACAGGTAAGTCGTGGTTGATGCAGACGTGCTCCTTTGTGCTTTCTGATATGGCAGACGGTGGGTAAGCTTAGCTTATTCGTCGGCAGCCCCACGCATTCGTACAAGAACAATCATCTAACACTTGTCTCAGGCGAAACTGGGATTATTTCGCATGCTATTGCCAGCGCAGGAAAAAACTTTATGCCCGAGGGTCAAGAGAACAGTATTTTGCCCAAGCAAACTTCGACTAAGGCCAATACAACTTCAGCACAGTTCACATTCACCTTTGATTCCCAGGTCCCTGGAACCGTATCTTGGCCAGGATCCGACCCTGCTCCTTCGCACATGATGACTGGAAATCACAATCAGCAAACTGTCGCCCAGAGTGACTTCCGCTCTCCACACAGCAACACCCAAGGCAACCAGGCAGGTCAAGCATCCCTCGGTGGCTCAGCTGCTACCATTTCTGGAGCCCCGCCAACTGGAGGAAAGCAGGGCCATGCAATAAACGCCCCGCCGAAGAAATCAAGGCGTCGAGGCAATGGCCTACTACGCCAGGCCAAGCAACGACGCGAAGTGGCAGAGCTACAGAACTACCATCACCCCCCAGCACCTGGAGATGTCTGGATCTGCGAATTCTGCGAGTATGAGCGTATCTTTGGCCATCCTCCCGAGGCTCTGATTCGGCAGTACGAGATCAAGGATCGCAAACGCCGCCGAGAGGATGCGCAACGCCGCAGACTTTTGGAGAAGGCAAAACAGAAATCAAGAAAGGGCAAGAAGGCGAGCAAGCTGCCAGCGAAGAACAGTGCTCCGGTTCAAGATCGCAATACCGCCCCTGCATCTGTACACCAGGCTCCCAATCAAGAGACCCAAAGTGAAGAGTTTGATGAGGACGACTGCTATGGAGATGACGTCCATGAAGAGAACTGCCCAGCCCTGGTGGTCCAGAATTCCATGAGGCACACAACTACATGTGGAAATACCGGCGCCAGTGGGATGGAAGAAGCAGGCGGCGGGGGCAATTACATTCCCGTGTCCTAGGTTTTCGGCCGTTTCTTGCTGATACCAAGCCTCTCTCGCCCTTTCGGTTTAAACAACGGGTCAATTTGACTGCATTTAGGTCGCATGCGTTTGCCGTCTGTTCTCCGCTCATCTGCTAATTCGGCGTCGTGCTTGCATAAACAATGGAATACACCAGAGATCTCCTGTTGGTGGGAACATCGGGTTCTCTGGGCTCCTAATTTGTCCGCCCCTACTTTTGGTAGTTGACTCCTACGAAGCTTCTTTACAAGACGATTGATCTCACTCCGCATCGACTGCAAACGGTACAGAACTGGACCTCAATCATTACAGAAAAACAATGGTATGGCTGAAAATGGACTCGACCCGTAGAGTAGAACTCACAAAACATGTACTGTCCAAAATACTTGGCAGCGGCATGAGCAACGTCAACTCTATGAATGTACGTCACGCTGCACGGGTCCATATCATATAGAACAATACACACAATCCATCACTACACGCTTAGTATATATATGTTGTGGTAGCCAAAAAGCCTCAGGAGGGAGTGAAGAGCCACATTCAGGGGTGGGAAGGACCGTTGCTGTACCTCATACCAGTAGCCAACGTTGTTAAGTACCCTCATGCTTAAGAAAAAAGTATCCGGCAAGGTGGATTTCTGCAAGCATTGACTCCACCAAGCTGTGTTGGCGCTTTACGAACCCAGTCCAAAGGAACGCCAGTGGCAGCAAGGAACGGGCCATGCTGCAGCAGAGCCGCAAGCCAGTTAATTAAATGTATTAACAATACCTCAAGCTGGACAGCAGAATCTAGATGGAGCTTTTGCTTGGATTGGGTTATCATGATTTGTCTGTTTAGTGCTTTCAGCTCTTCCAAGCAACCCTCATTACCCGTGAAACCCCACCTAATAATAAGAATACAACATCGTATTGACTGCTGACTTCTCAGTTCAACCACATCAATGCTCAGATGGGTGACATCATCAATTCCCAATTTTGAGTTCTTTGAGACTGCATTCCCGCACCCAGGCCACGCTGAGCGGCGCAGAAGATTTTCAGATATTGCAAACTCAAACGGGATGCTTGGGACGTGCTAGCTGCGTGGGTTGAGAATCGTCGATGGGATTACTTCATAAGTCTCAACTGAGTGTTTCGTAATCTTGGTACTTCATGGGTGGTAATAGACTACGGGGCTAGGCCCGGCTGGGGATCAAGGAGCTACAAGGGTGTACATCTTCGACTTGTCTTCGGGTAAAACCGAGACAAAGACCCAGCCTGTATCAAACTCTAGATCTCAGCAAGGACTTGCACATACACAGTTTGGAAAGCGGATTTCAGAAAAGTTTCTCAGGATACACTGGAACACAGTGAAACGACATACGGAGATGGAGGCCGTCCAAATTTATGTAGTGTCGAAGAATCGCCGACGGACCATCCAGAAGAAGCTCTGGTGGGTCCAGACTAGAGCGATTAGGTTGAGTACCTACGAAGGTACCTTACGTAGTGCGCGGCAATTGCCCAGGTGCATTTCGCATGGTGTGGCTTCCCTCCACTCATTCTCTGAAGAGGTCTCCACAGGCGTCATCACCCCCGTGGACGTTGAACTTCTACTGCTTAGGACTTTCTTCTCTCGTCTCTGCGCTGCCCAACGATGACTTTTCGCCTGGTTGATATGTTTACTTACTTCGCCTCAGCGCTCTCTGTACTCTACTAAACCTCACTTACATACGACCTCTTTCAACATCAATTGCTGATAAATTTACCTCCACATGATCAGTTTATAGCCATCCCGCAGGGGCTCGAGCCTGCATGAGTGAAGTAAAACTTGAGAGACTGAGGGAATAGACGGCCAGCATGTTTGGCTCACGGAGGCGTCGGGTGCCCAATGCGGTATGTCAAGTCATGTCTTGTCACTCTCCAAGCATGACACGTTGCGCTCTTCTTTGTCTTGATGGGTGTCTGTCGAGTGTGCAACTTGATGACAGCTGGTTAAGGATTCACATTGACGGCATGTGGGTGGCTACTACCTAGTCGCATATGCGACTAGCAGCGCCTGTCACATCGATGATTAGCCGTCCCAACACATTATAACGATGGCCCATCCCGCCGCATCTTGTCTCATATGCATTGCGATACTAAGTGATTGACTGACACTTTCCCCTTAGCCTGTGAACTCAGCCAACGCAAACCCCCACGCATCAACTGCGGCCACGGCGGCATTCATGGCTTCCAGTCAGAATCCGAACAGGACCCTGTCCTCAGCGGCAGCCGCTGCTGCGTTACGAGCCCGTCCCCAGACGCCCACCAATGTCGCCGAAGTCCAGACAAAACGCACGATGCGCCGTAGTCCATCAGTATCGTCCACTGGAAGTGCCGCTGGTCGTGGCAGAACTGGTCTGAGACTGGAACGACGAGGAAGCTCAGGTAGCATGACGGAAAGGACATTTCGAAGTCCGTCACCGCATCGAGGCCAGCCAGGGCAAGAGCCGCAACAGCACCCGCCCGTTCCGACCATTCCCGCCGGGCATCGCAAATCACCCAGTACCGGGTCTGCTGCGGTGGGCATGCAGAAGTTCCGCACGGCATCTCAAAAAATGGATGAGAGGCTGCCTTCCTGGTACACCCATCCAACTGGAGACCTCAGAAATATTCGAAAATCTGACGCACCTATGAATTCACTCTACACTCAGAAGCCGAGACCTGAAAGCATTAATTCCATCCCTCCGAGACCTGAAAGCACAAGCTCATCTGTCAACTTTTCATATCCGAGTCGCATGCGCTCCCAATCGCCACCTGCCTCTCCGTCCACTAGACACGACCCTCAATGGAGCAGTCCACCCCCGCGCACTCCTGCGTCGCCGCTAAGATCGAGCAGAGCCTCAGCGACTTTATCTATCATGGGGAAACCAGATGCGGCCATGGTATATGATCCAAACTCGCGGAGGATGGTCCCTAGCGCAGATCTAATGATCGTTGAACACCAGGCCAGAGAGGCTGCCAATAAGCAGCCCAGCAAGAAGAAAAGGAGCCACGGTGGGATGCAGCGATCTGGCAGCGATCTGGCTAGAGGGACAGTCGCAAGATCGAGTGGCACCATCGTTGAAGGTATGGCGCAAGAGCGACAATTGTCGCGACGAGAGTCACCTGTTACTACGCAACTGCATGCGAAGCAAGAATCGCAAGTCTTGAAGGATGAGCCTGCAGTCAAGACTTTGATCGCGTCGCCACCTGCCAAGGACCAGCGAAATATTATGACAGCTCAAGAGCTACCGCAAGGATTCAAGGATACTAGCGTTCGGACACCGTCGCATGCTGCTCAAGACGCCAATGAGCGCAATACCAGCCCTCTATTTAGGAGTACCCTGGGGAAGCGCCCGTCCGTAGTGCGGGAAGACCCCGAAGATGATGACGATGAGGAAGTTCCGCCACCTTTCGTGCCCTCGAGAGAGATTCTTGATGCTCTTGATGCTGTGCCCACTAGGCAGAATCTATACAATCAATCTCCAGAGCGACGCGACGAAGACGGAAGCCCCGTCGCACAACACCGAAAGCAGCCGCTGCCAGCGTGGCATGCGCACCATGCCCATTCTGAGCCTGTGGCAGAGGGTTCACCGGAAACGAAACCGGCTCTGGCGGATAACAAGCCAGTGACTGGATTGTCACGAGACGAGGACAGCAGTGTTTATCGTTCGACTTCTAGCAGTCCCGCCCATACGGCTCGATTCGCCTTAACGACATCGGAGAAGCTTGCTGTCAGGCATACGCCTCCTCCAAGGTCAGCCTCGCCCATCAAATCGGCGCTGAAGCAGAGCAGTCCGTCTCCGCGAACCGCCTCTCCTGACAACGGCTCGGACAACACTAAACTTCGAGAAGTATCTTCTGAAGTCGAACCTCCAATTTCACGCAAAAAGTCAGTTCGCGTTAGTTTCGACGACCGGAGCACTGTAGTTGTGGGTGAAGCGGCGCAAAGTGAGGACGTCGAGTCACCCGCTGCGCCAAGTCCTCAACAGCACACCAAACGCCCTTGGTACAGCAACATTGGGAGGAACAAGAAGAAGGACTTCGCCCTTGAAGATGATGAGGTGATGAAGCCTCGCCCGGCTTTGCCTAGTTTTGGTAGTGTGCGGGAAAAGAAACGTGAATCAGGTCTAGAAGAAAGGCCACTTGTCCGCCCTCATGATCCTTCGCACCCGCAAGCAGCACCCTCCCCCAATGCTCCCCCGTACAGCCCTAACAAGGCTACCGTTCCTAGCCGAACAGACATTTCAGCCATGGGGAAATCCAGCGACCAAGTATTAGGGTCCGTTTTGGCGCAGGATCAGGCTTCGCGCAACGAGGCTAATATCTCCAGGTTTAGAGAACCACTGCCACCTGTCGTTACTTCCCTCGAGGGTAATGGCTACGTCTCAGACAACACCTTCAGCTCGGTCGATAGTGATGAGGAGCGTTACGATAGTGTCCTTGGCGATAGTGACGTCGAGGCCATGCTCAGTACGCACAACACTCAATCCACCCCGCCGGAAACCCTTGACAACTCTCAGAGCGGGTCCATGATGCTAGAAGAGAAGCCTACAAAGGAACAACCGCCCAAGGCAATTGAGCTGCCAGCCAATGAGGTTCCTACAGAAGTACCTACCATTTCGGTTGTACAACCCAGTCCCGGTGTCAACGACTATGCTAGGGAACCAAACAAACACTCGAAGCCCCAGTACTTTGAACTTCCTGGTGGGTTTCCAGAGGACGAGTCCGAAGCCAGCCCGTCACCTGCAGGTGGGGCGCAAAAGGGGGTTACAACTGGCGATAGTGGTGCACCACCTACCGACAATACAATTTTTGAGCCAGAGGGCAAGATTTTACCTTCGCAGGCTAGTTCGCTGCCGCAGACGACGTTGGCTACGACTCCCAGCTTGGCGATCGTGGGCGAAATGGCAGGAAATGACACAGACTCGAATACTAGCATTTACAGCGATGCCTACGAAGACCTGGTTGAGGCCGAACGCGATGATTTTATGTCGTTGAATGCCGTGGTCGAGAGTCCAGCTGATAAAGCACAGCCAACACCCCCAACACCGCCTGCTGAACTGCCTCCGAACCAACCGCAAGAGGCTGGACGGTTGGAGTCGGAAGCAAAACCTCCGCTGCAGACTCAAGCTCAAGCCTCCGAAGCCTCTCACAACTCTCAATTTCCGCCGTCTGAGTCATCTGAACAGAAAGAATGGGAGACCATCAAGTCCTTCTGGCGCAGTCTTTCACAGGAGAAGAGACGCCAGCTTGAACGCGAAGCATTCGATGAGGGTGGCACCGAGGGTGATAGAGACGAGGATCTAGTGCCTGTGCGAAGATTGAGCAGCCGAAAGAAGACAGCAGAAGAAAGGCAGGCAACGGCAGTTGCGGCTAAGGCCCGTGCTGAGCGTATACCGAAGCCAGTGCAGCCAGTCAATCAGGATAGAGTCTACATGATCCAGCCTGGTGCAAAGGCGAACCACGAGCCTGTCGGCCCGACCACCAGTGGACGCATGCGTACGTCGATGCGTGAAGAACAGCCCGGCCAATCTGCACGAGTAGCCAAGGCTGCACCTGGCGAAGTACATCTGCGCAAGTCTATGAGACCCAATGCAGCAACCGATGCTGTTGATCAACATAAGCAGCCTGTAACTTCGCTGGCTACTCAACCAGCGCCTCCGCCGAAGCCTAACACGAGACTTCAAAATGCGCAAATTCATAGAAGAGACGCGGATTTTGATGTGGCCCTGGCGGCGGGAAATGCCTTTTCTCACAACCCGAATCCTGCTCTGGATTTGCGAGGTTCTGATCTTAGCGACAGCAGCTTCAAACGCAAACGTACCGGTCCCTCCGAGGGTTCTGGTTTTCGCAGCACAATGCGCCAGACATCTCCCGACGCGACCCAAGAAACCCGTCGGTTTAGTTTACGCTCCTTGTCTCCCGGCGGTTCTCCTTTCCGCCGCCCTTCGCGTACCGTCAAGAGTGGACCTCCGGTTAGTACCCCGATTCCGACGTCAATGCGCCGTACTCTCCGCTCCGGCAGTGAGTCGAGCCGAGAACGGGGGACCGAAGGAAGGCGAACCTCTATGTTCTCGTCGTTTGGTCGCTCCAGTAAGATATCAGACTCCAGACAATCAAATCATGGAAGCCGTCTCGGCGACTCTAGCGAGGACGACGAGCCTGCTGCATCAGCATTTCGCAGCCGCTATGAGGACTCCAGTAGTGATGATGCAGACATGGAGATTGGTGTCATGCCGATTGCTCCGCCTCCGAAGAGCACCATGAGAAGCTCGACTGCAGCGGCTAACTTTTTCAAGAAATCAGCGACTGTGCCTGAAGAGGAAGAAGACTCACCTGAATTACCCGACTCCGATGATGAGATGCCAAGCCCACTCCATAGTCCTCAGAGAGTGTTTCGTCCTACTACGCGGTTGAGCTCAGGCATCGGCACGTCGACACTTCAGCGAAGGCAGTCTGAACGAGAATCACTTGTGAGGGCGCCTATCACGCCCGCCATCACGGCTGGTAAAACCCGAAACTCACTCATGGGAAGCATCCTGCGACGCAACAAGAAAGCTGACCACGACGCTAAGATTCAGCGGTCCGAGTTGATGGAGAGTGCTGCGCGACAAGACACCAAGCTCGAGCGTAACGACAGCCAGCTGCGTAGTATTCGACGAGACTCACAGTCTAGCAGCCCCAAGTTGCGGAAGCGAAAACCCATGGCGCGAGGGAGCAGCTGGCCGCTGCCGGAGCCCGATCAAGAACGACCTAGCACGGCTGGTGGGTTCGCGAATGGCGGTGTCGATGCCACACGGCCGACCTTCAGTAGCCAGAGGAACACGAGTCTCAATGTGCCTGCTACCACGGGCCTAGATGCCACCGACACCGGGGAAAGCGATGCGGGAGTGCCTAAGAAGAAGAAGTTCATGCGCTTGAGAAAAATGTTCAGACTGGACGATTAGAGTGCGCCCATCCCTGCTTCAGACCGGAAAACACACGTCCATTCTTCTGGCGTTGGTCTTCAAGGAATTCGGACGGGGCAGCGACCGAAAGGACGGATCCTCGTCAAACGCAATTTGAACGAGTCGAGGCTTGTCGAATCCAGCACCGCAGGCCGTCTTTATTTGAGCCCGCAAGAGGGGTGGCGATGGTATCCGTCGTGAGGTTCAAACTGGAAAGTTAAGATTATGTATGTCCTGAGAAAAGCTATGGGACATGAATGGTTATGATGGCACACACACGTGGCATCGAGAGAGGGTTGTGCTCTTTTTCTCTACTCGAGATGCAGGCACGAAATGTTTTTTATGTTGGACTACAGGATAGGACAGGACATGTACATGCTGAATGATTATGAGCCGAGGCTCAGTTGCTTGCATAAATACGGAGGCGCATCGCATGGCACGGCGTTGCATTGCGTTGCCTTGCGTTGCGTTATGATTGATACTACCAGCACATACGTGTGGTTCTGGAGAAGCTTTTGACTGTGGGGTACAAAAGCAAAAGCAGCCGTGGAGTTGGTGTTTGGGTGTTTCAGGAAGCAAAGTTGATAACATGATGCCTGTAGTATATCGATTGGACGATTCGGACGGAGGAATCACGATTGCAGTAGATTTCTTGGTGCTAGGCTGAGCTTCGTGTTTGACTACCCGACACAAACGAGAGTGAGGAAGGTAATATATTGTCTTTTATTTCCCTGATTTTCTTTTCTTCTTAGATACTCCCGGTCCCCAGCCCTTCTTCATGCAGTGTTTGATGGTCGACTTCTTTGGTCGAAAGGAGTTATCACAGCAGTTAGATAAGTTGAGAAATATGGCGGTGGTAATGCTATAGTGGACGTAAAGCTACGAAGATGACTAGGGGAACTAGTAGAGGAGAATCCAAAAGCACTCCAAATCTGGACATGGACACGAATTTCGTTAACAGGCGCAACACGAGTATGGAGTCCTCACGGTACACAACACGAAGTGGCGACCAAAATACTGTCGGTATGGACCTTTTGGAGTCGGATTTTCTGATAATGGCCACTCTGGCCGCGACAGGGGCTCTGTACTCTCCCCAGAAACATGGGCAAGCAGGTAGATAAAATAAATATACGCAGGTGATACATCACCATCGCAACATCCTGCCCTATGAGTCTAGTGGCAACCTGCAAAATAGCATACTAGGTAGGTTCAAGCAGGACACTTCTAGCGTGCCTTCTTGCTTACTCCGGCTCGAGTTGTGAAACGGGGCCAATCGACTCCAGTGGCGGCTAGTACTACTCGGTTTGGCACTCACATAGAGTAGATTTAAGCACTCGAACCCAGGTTCCGCGAACGCTAGAAAAGTGCATACTCGACTGTGACAAGAATGTGACGGTCTTAGTCAAGTTCGTCAACGAACCCCAAACATTGGGGGTTGCAGGGTCTTGCCCCGACAACCGGGGTTTTCAAGTCTGTGGCAGGCTGGCCAGCTCGGGCAGAATACGAAGGCTTGTCCCTGGGCCAGACCATTTTTGCCATTGTTCTGGCACACCCCGACATCGGCACTTGGTATACGAGGAAATTTTGAAACCATCGTGACCTCTCGAGCTTTCTTGGCTCTTGCGCGAATAGGCGTTGCAACAGGCCAGACCGCCCACCTTCTAGATTTCCACGATTTCCCTCTGCATATTCAAGGGCCCAGCGGCAATGGACGTGGCGGTGTCCATCACATGGCTAGCTCCCTCATCCCACGGCAGCCATCACACGGCGGCCATCCCACTATAAAGGCCTGTAACTGTGGGCCACGGCTGGACCGGAAGCCACTGAGAGGTCCACATGTTGGGCTCTGGGGAGGGGTATTGGCCCCTGACCAGGCCTGAGGGTCCAAAGATTGGGGGGCCCCAGATGTCAGGTGCCCCCACCATAGCAAGCTACCCGACTGGGAAGCTCCAAGCATTATGCCAAGAAACAAGGCAGGAGGGGCAACCGTGCTCTTTCTCAAGGTGCTTGCTCAATGTGTGACCCTGCTGAGCATCGTGAGTTTTCTTTGACCAGATTTCCGTTTTAATGTTTGCGAGCTGGGCTTGAATTCCCTTTCTCTCTTCCATATTCCATGATCTGACCTTAGTCCTAAATTCACCTTGATTAATTGGCTTTGGTGCACCACTGATGACCCCTCCAACAACCACAATCGCTGGCAGCTGACCTCTTCCTTCCATTGTCCATTGTCCATCGTCGTTCGTTGTTCATTGGCGACCAGCAAGCTTATTCACTGTAATTTGTAGAAAAGACAACACACCTACGTCATCCCAGGTTGACGATCTCCCTTCTCCACTCTTCCGTTTGCCTGACTTCCGTTTACCTGAAGAGCCTCCGGGAGCTCTGGGCGATTCTTGCACATTCACGTTCTTTTCTCCAGCCTTGTTGTTTCGTTTGCATCACCACAAACATCACAATGTTGTTCCGCAACTCTGTCCGTGCATCGTCGAGGGTGCTTTTGCGACCGCAAGCCGCCCGCATGGCACCTGCATCGGCCCTCCACACCACGCGCATTCTCTCCAACGCTCACGACAAGAAGACGCCCTTGGCCGCCGGCTCCTTCGCACGTACGGATGACTCCATCACCGTTGAGTACCCTGAAGATCATGAGCTGCCGTCTAGTGTACCGGTCCAAGGCCGGGGCGGTCTTCACATGAAGCGCACGCTGGCCTCATTCTCCCTCGAGGGAAAGGTTGGTGTGGTCACTGGAGGTGCACGCGGTCTCGGTCTGGTCATGGGCCAAGGTATGGTCATCTCGGGTGCTAATCTCGCCATTGTCGATATGAACAGTACGTGTTTTCTTCTTTTCCCTTTGAGGTGCTGCTGGTACTGGTGTTAGCATGGTTGGGCAGTTGGCCAAGAAGTTGAGCGAGGGCGTTTCAAAAAGACACTTCATGAAGCGTCTCATTCCTCGCCTCCCGCGTTGCCCCTTTCTGCCTTGGCCCCTTCCCTCTCCTCCCCCGTTTCTCTCCTACCCTTCACACTCCTGCGACAACACATAATGGATGGAAGCTAACACCTGTCCGTCACTAAACAGAAGAAGAGGCCGAAAAGCAAGCTGCCGAATTAGTTGAGGTCTTCCGCAAGGAGAACCCCGGGTCTGCTCGTGTGCCCAAAGTTACGGCGCACTATGCCGATGTTAGTGATGCAGACAGTGTCCAAGGTTGCATCAGCAGCATTATCGCCGAGCACGGCAAGATCGACTCGCTCGTCACCAGCGCTGGGTTCACGGAGAATTTCGATGCTATTAACTATCCGATTGACCGTATGCGAAAATTGTGGAATGTCAACGTCGATGGAACTTACTTGTTTGCTATCACTGTTGCAAAGCATCTCATGGAACGTAAGGCGCCCGGCAGTATGGTCTTCATTGGAAGCATGAGCGGAAGCATTGTCAACATCCCGCAACCCCAGGCGTAAGTTCCCCCTCCCAGAAACTATTCCAGAATGGTCTGCCTCGGCATCTATTGTCGGGGCAGACTTGGTTTTTTTTTGGCTCCTAACCGGACTCGGCGACAGTGGCTAACAATATTGTCAACAGTCCCTACAATGCTGCCAAGGCAGCTGTTCGCCACATGGCTGCTTCGCTGGCTGTCGAGTGGGCCCATGCTGGTATCCGAGTCAACTGCATCTCTCCTGGCTACATGTTGACCGCCCTGTAAGTCATGGTCTATGTACTTATTAGTAGCTATCACTAACATTTGAATTAACAGCACGGAGAAGATCCTCGATGATAACCCGGAGCTGAAAAAGCAATGGACTTCCCTCATTCCCCAGGGCAAGATGGGCCAACCGGTGGATCTCATGGGTCCCGTGACCTTCTTGCTCTCAGATGCGTCGCAGTACGTCACTGGCGCAGACCTACGCGTCGACGGTGGTTACACGGTTACCTAAGTGCTTGGTCAAGAGATTGTAGCACGCGTTTGGTTTGTTCAGGATGGAGCTGCCGAGTACGCTTCAAAGTGGCTTGCAGTGCTGGCGAAAAGTTCTGAAAAGTTGGTTGTGATGATTTTCTCGAGAATACTGGACTTGGAGTCAAGGCGGCTATCATGATTGATGAAGCAAGCATGAGACTGATATTTCAAGAGGTCGGTTTAAGCTACATGTTCCGGCCATAGGCAACCGGCCCGGCTGGTTATTAAACATCCTCCCCCCCCCAAAAAAAAAATTTCCCGCGTCGTGATTGCGTAATGTGTATGATATGTGATATCGGAGGAACCCTACTTATTGATCTCAACCGTTTAATCCCGAAGATGGGGTACATATACACACTAAGCTTTTGTTTTCCCCTGCCGATATGCATCAAGCTTTCTTGAGCTTCGTATCTCAGTGGTTGGTTAGATCTGTGAGTCTGCACATGTCCGCGAACGCATTATGCAGGTGATATAGCGTTATTGATCGGCAGTTACGGGTTCCATGGTCTCGGTTATTTCTCGAGGCATTTGATGCGCCTTACACCTTTGCTCCATGGCACATACGTTAGCGCATTGCTGTCAGTCGTTCACTAATTGCTCCAGTTAAGCAAGTATCGGCTCGAGCAAATTTTGCCAGATTTTATTGTGGTCATGGCAGCAGGCTTCTCCTTGCATACCCGGCGGGCCACACCCGATGCGATTGCGGCATTCATGGATAGCCCACGGGGAAGATGTGTACAAGCTTTTTCACCTATCTGAGTATCATCTATAAAGGCATCAGACCCGAATTTACCCCCCCCCCCCCCACACACACATAATATGTCAGGTATAGCTTATTAGACAGTGGAATGCGCATTTATAATGACCCTAACTTGAGAAGACATTTCCTTACGGGTTGGAACCATCTGAGCCATGTATATCGTTACTTGATGCTGAGACTTACACACAGATTATACTCATACATACAACATCATCCTGTCGACTCTACGAATCAATGGCACCCTGTGTTACACCAACTCTGCGGTCTAGTGAGCAGACCGAAACGAGACTACTTCGCTTATCCTGAGAACCGGGCTACGCATCCACGACTGTGTCTGTAACCCGGTGTAAATGGCGTGGCTGGTTGCTTTGATTGCGTTTTCTGGTGATGCCAACTCCAAGCTGGCTGGGAATCCCTTCTTAGAGCATGATCCGCAACTCGCGATCATAAGTACACAACGTCAGTGGGCTACCAATGCGCGAAACGCTGGGTGCTATGGCTCATAATGGAATGGCAGCCTCTGGGGCCAATGAAGGTACACTGACGAAATCTGTATACGAAGTCCCCGCCATGCCAGGAGCAAGTCGCACAAGGAGCGCCGCACGGAGACGTTTGTGGCAGGGAGATCTGTCTGCGAGGGGTCGATAAGCTCAGCCGCCTCTGCCATCATCATGATTCAGCGAAGGTGTTAGCGATGACGGACCATGTGGGTTCCTGTGTGAGAGGACATACGCGTCAGGATTAGGACTCTAGATTTCCGAAGGAGGCGCAGGCCGGCGTGGACGATTACACGGCGTTTGCAGATCGGCAACGCTCGTATAAACCCAAGGGGACACCGGATGGTCACTGGGTCGGTCGAAGCTGACGTGAGTGATCGTGACGTTGACAAATTCCAGAGAGCCGGCGCGTTACTCGTGGTTGGATGGGGCGAGACAGATGGACTGCGACACGATCGGGCACCTCGGCTGGTCCGGTGCTGGTGAGGAGGATGTATACGAAGCTGATGGCCTGTGCGCGTTGTCAAGGCGTTTGGTAGTTTGGATATTTCGCTCTGTGCGTATACGTTTCGAGCCCGAACAGATGGAAAAATGCGATCGGCGTCGGAGTGCTCGTTCCTCATGTCCCATGTCACTAATAATGAGGGAATATTGGACTTTGTCCGTGACCTTGAGGGCACGCTGGGTAAGAAAGGGGGAACGGAGGCCAGTTTCTAAGTATCCATCAATGAAGGGGGGCGAAGTCAAGCTGCCAACCGCGCCTTTCGCCGAAGCACGAGCAGGTCGCCGAGTTTTTTTTTCTTTTTTTTCTCTTTTTGGTGGAGGGGTTGCTTGTCTTTATTGTCTTCACGTCGATATGTAACGGAATACGACACGATCGAAGACAAATGCATATGCGTCTGAATACTCAACAACGAAAACACGGTGTCTAGGCTACAGGAACTGCCATAATCCAAGAAAGGGGGATGGCATTGTAATATTTTTGGCAGTTGGGGCACATTCCGTCCATTATCCACAGTACGCGATATGCACTTGTCGGTGGCGGTGATAACTACCATGTGTGCGCACGGCTAAATAAGCAGGGAAGCGATGAGAATTCGAGCCCCAGGAAATGGCAGCGTGAATAATTATTACATCTCGTGTGTATTCGTACGAATATGAGGTGTCAGTGCCGGTTAGAAAGAAAATAGTCTCGTACCTCCTAAATTTGACCTAATCCCCTCCGGGCGGCTACCGGAGCTGCTTCAGGTCCGTGTCCGGACTGGACTCCGGCCGTCCACGCCGGAGCCGGGTTCCCCAGATAGGCAAGCCAGTCAGTCTGTTTTTCTTTCCCGTCGGCAACCTGGACGACCGTGCTTCGTTTCACCGCCCTTAACTATGGCTATCAAAACTCAACAATTTGCTCAACCCTTCCTGATCCTCCCTGTCTGAACGGCAGCTCCGACCGCCTGCCCTCAAGCGAATCGGAAGACAAAACTCGCGAAATGAGCAGTGGAGCAGCAGCGACGACAAAATTTTGGGCGTGGTGCTTGCCCGCTTGTTTTTGCCCTGGGACGATCCCCCTTGGGCAGCAACAGGGAGGGCCGGGGCCAGCAGCGGTCATTGGAGGGTTGGGCTCTGAGATGAAAAATGTCGAGTCTTGGAATAGCGGCAGCACGTGGGTCGTTGGTGTCGTTCTCCAGCATCCGACGAAGGACCTGGTTGGAAGCCAGGGAGTATCGTCACACCCAAAGGAAAGAAAAGCAAGAAAATGAAGTCCCATATCAGCGGTAATGTTGGCGTTCATGCGGGTGGGGCCGCAACGGCAAAGCGGTCATCTTGCTTCTTGTCCGAGCTACTAACCGCATTGACCACCTTTTGGATTGGACCCCCATATGCATAGAGTCAACTCCGAAAACACTATGTATTCAAGTATCAATTTACATAGCAAAACACACTAAAATTCGATATTTTAAGCTGTAGATACATTTTTCTTAGCTCTCTTATTAGGCTCGGATTGGTTTTCAAGAAATGACTCGATTTCCAATTGCGCATCTGGCCGCATTGGCCGTATTCGCTTCTCTCTCTTCTCCTGTGCCGTACGTACGGATGTAAGGTTCGCGAAAACCTTGTTTGGATCTGGTTCAACTGCCTGGCGTACGTCAGGGGCTACCCTCTCGAGTTCAGTCTTTAATTGGTTATTTTCTGTACGGAGAAAGGCGACTTCGGCCGAGTACTGGGCGATGGTTTTACCTGCTTTAGATACCAGTGTATGAATATCTTGAGAAATGCCGTAAGAGGCTTTGTCAAGCTGATGTAACTGGCCTATAAGGTCTTGAGCCTTCTTAGGGGTGACGATAGCCGTAGGCGGTGGCTTGTATGGAGGTGTGTCTGGCATATAGGGCTCTGGTATGCGGTCTGGAGTGCCATCTGCCTTGCCAATAACTATCTCTCTATTCAAGGGGTATAGACCGGCTCTCCGCCAGCCACCCTTGATATTCTTGTCCGTAAAGGCCTTCTCAGAGGCCCAAAGGTAGGCTTCCAACATACATTGCTTATATATTGGTGCTGTGGCCTTATATGATGCGTACGCCCGGAGCTCCTGTCGGTAGTAGGTCTTTAGGACCGAGAAGACGCCGACATCGAGCGGCTGGAGGTCGTCACTACAATGCGATGGCAAGTATAGAATAGCGACCTTATGAGTGTATGCCTTCCACATAAATTCGGCGTGTATATGCGTAGTATGGCCATCCAAGATCAATAATCGCCATTGATTGGCCCTAGGCTTGGTTTCTGGAGTAAATATCTAATCTAACCAGCGATTTGCGATAACGCGGTTCGACCACCCCTTCGCTGCCGCCGTATACTCCCACTCTGGCACGTTGTCCTTGGGAAACCACTGCGCCTGGGGCTTCTTACCATTGTATATACATACAGGGGTGCCGCGGCCAGAGACCAAGCCGACGTATTCGAGGACAGTGACCCAACTGTTGGTATCAGACTTAGCTACGCGTGCCCTACGTGTAGCCGATGAGCCTATGACCGTGCCTTGACAATCTTCGCCTTCCTGGACGCTAGTCTCATCCATATTGTATTCGTTCTTAGGGACGATATTGTATTTGCGACGTATATGCTGGAGGAGGTCATAGAAGTCGCGAATCTTAGTCGAATTCGTCGCTCGTACTCTTGAGGCCTCAGTACGGCGGCCAACCTTGGTTTGGATATCGGGATGACGGGATATAAACCCTCTAATCCAAGAAGTACCGATTGGCGCAACCTCTCCTTGGGCGTATATTATTTCGTTAGCGAATTCGGCCACATAACGCTTTGAAGGAGCGCGTCCACATAGTTCTTCGTGCGTGTAGGATCCAGTTCACAATAAGCTCCTCTTGCTCTGGCAATAGCCTCTGTAAATAGGCGGCGCCGTTCTTATGCGATTGAGTAGTCTGGAGTCGTCTGGAGAGGGTTGACTGCTGTACGCCGTATCGGTTAGCGGCAGCGGTCTGCGAGTACCCTTTTTGGATAAAAGAAATAGCGCGCGAGATTCGCTGCTCATAATTGTCTTGGTCGGACTCGGATTTAGCCATTATTCTGTATGTGGCTGTCGAGAAATTGAGGGTAAAGTTAGAGGGGTAGGTTTCGTTTACGTCGTAATTTGCTATGCGAATGGGGGTCCAATCCAAAAGGTGGTCAATGCGGTTAGCTAGCGCCTCTAGTCAGTAGGAGCAGGGAGCGCTGATGGTGCATGTCTCAAATCGGCGTATTTGATACACGCCTGGAGGAGTGGGTTTAGCTCCTTGGTGTTTCCAGCTACCCCTCGCGGCGTCTTTTTACCCCGCTATCTATCTTCGAGATGAGATTCTGGGGGTCTCTGGATTGGGGAAAGCTGAGGGGAAATCGTTTGTGTCTCGTCATAGTTGATAAGTCACTCACCAATCAACCGTGTTTCGCTGGGCCTGGGCGGCGGACAGAAAACGATCCGCCGGCGGCAACTTGCAACCTGCGGCCCATCTTATTCTTTCCGCTCACCGACGCGGTAGCTCGAGCGCCATTGCCACGGCACCCTCGTCAGAAGGCCAGCTTGGCTAGACAAGGCAGCGTGATCAAGTTGCAGGGTCTTCCCTAGAAGGGTTCCTAGAAAGGGGAATACAGTTAGTTCACGCCGTGTCACATCGAGGTCTTTTCTGGGGGCTGAAGTGTGTGAGAGTTGCGAAGTGTTGGAGATGTAATTGGGGCGTGGGTGCGTGGGGTGTGGCTGGCTGGCAGGCCCCTTCCCTCCGGTTTATCAGATTGTTTCTTCCCGACGCCAAATCACTCCAATGCCCGCACGCTATCTTGTCACGATATGTCGCTGTTTATCTCTCGTAAAAGTGTTGGCTTAGCTGCTATCCTCGTTTCCTCGGGCCCTCCTCTTGCTTTGGTGGTTGTTCCCCTTATCGTGGCGAAGAAGACAAGCCGAAAGTCGGTGAACAAGGGAATTTGGAATACGATGGATGATGCCCCGTCTCCAACGTGCTACACGGCGCAGCAGTCCCTAACAGAAACGACGGAGCGCGGCTTATCAGCATGGAATCGTCAGCAATAGAGACCCGATAATATGTCCGAGTTGCCCTGTCTGCTTCTGCGCTTTGCCACGGCTTTCATGCGATAACCCTGGATCTGTAGATTGATCTCCTGGCGTTTAGATAGCGTGGGATTGGTTCACTGATTCAGACCCTTCTTTGGAAACAGGGGTCTCGGCACCGCCCAGCCCACCAGAGAACGCATCGACTCTACGACGTCCCATCTTGCCCAGCCATCGTTTTCTCACACGAGATGCTGAGCGCCTTGTCGGGGGGAATGTTTGCGGACTGCCTCTTTGAACGCTGACCATCTTTTGAGATGCTACCTCGAGCTACCCCTATAATACACTGCCAAACAACGCCAGACAGACAGACCCTGGTGGATGAATGATAAGACACCACAAAACATTGGAAGGAAATAGAATTATACGCCATCAAAATGTGGCCGCTGTTCCGCCATATGAGTCACCATTTGTGCCTAGAAGCTCTGGACTCGTTTCCTAAACAAACTCCGCTGTAATGCAGTATATGCCAATGCTTGCCTCAACACCCGGATACGTACCCTTCCAACACACGGCCCTTCGCCCACGCAATGATACTCCTCCTCTAATCTCTTTCTTTTATAATGATGAACATATCATGACTTTGACAAAAGCTTTTATGTATCCGCTGTAAAACCGTCCTGTATAGAACTTTCCGGTCGAAAAAGGTGATTGCGTCTCTGTAAACGTATTATGACATATTCTGAGCGATAGGAACCCATTCATCGCCGTGAGCGCGTCTCGCCATCTCGTTCGAGAAGTAGGGTTAGTTGGCTTTTCGAGCGGCCCAAGGGAACGGTCGGTGTAGTGCTAGGTTGTGTAGGTGTGAACTGGGCACTGCCAAAGGAATTCAGTGGCCGCTGGACGCATTGCTCGGCCTCATCATCCTGTTGTGCCCTCAGGGCACTCGTGACCGCATTCGCCGGGGCATTTTCGTCGAATTCGATTATAGTTCCTTGAGCAGCCACATTCGACGTTGTCGTAGTGGTTGATGATATCAAGCCTTGCGTCTGACGGGGACGAAACTGGCCAGAAACATCTTGAGTCCTAAACCGAGGAGCGCCGCCTATGTCAGACCTTGAACGAGTCATAGGAGGTGCAGCGTTTGGCGCCGCGTGATCCTGTACATCTTCTCGGCGGTGCGACGTTGCTGCGTGCAATTCTTTTATCCGACTGGACTCGTAGGTCGGCTTCTTCCCCTTCTTGTCCGAAGCGGTCTTAAGTGGTTGCGCAGTTGCGACGACGTCCTCCGGCGCTGTCCCGACTTGAGCTCGTGAGCTGGCACTTTGCGAAGCTGACGACTTGGTGGCACTAGATTTGTCACTTGACGAGCGTACAACGGCTAGCCGCTTTCCAGTAGCCTTCGCACTAGGCTGTGCGCCAACTCCATCCGACTTCGTATCCGCTATTTTGCTAGGTCTCTCTGCTATTGGAGACACGAGCCGATTTGATCCAAGGTGCTTGGTCCCCATGGAGGAGTTCCCTTCCTTGGAGCCAACGTCGGAACCACCAGCAGAAGATTGAGAGCTCTGACGGCGAGGCATGGCGGGTCGACGCTTGGATGCGGTGGATGCGACGAAAGTTGCCGTCTTCTTCTTGGAAGTACTGGTGGAAGACCTCTTCTTGTCTTCTTTCGAGGCAGAGCTGCCTGGTGGCTTCGTGTCCAAGCCGGAGTTCGCCGCTGTGCTACTCGAGGAGGCAACCTCGCCATCCCGGTTGCCATCCTCTACTTCAGAACCGGCTGGCGACACGAAGCGAGCCTTGTTGGGCCGGGATCCAATTGCTGAGGGTCGACTAGGCTTCTTCAGGATTGGGTGTGGCGGAGTGGGCCTGGAAGAAGACGACTGGCTAGGCTTCAAGGGCTCCTTTCCCTTGGACTGCGATCCCTCATCCCCGCGTCGTGAAGCTGCGGGCTGGCCAACCGAGGCAGCAACGATAGCGGCAGCACCTTGCGGCTGCGGCGAAGGCTGCAAACGCTCATTAGCCTCGACGAGGTACTCCAGTTCAGATACATACCGGAGACGAGGGCCCCTCGTATCGATTCGCTGAAGACCGCAAAGGAACAAAGGCAGGCCCCTTGGAGATATCCTCGAAAAGCCTTGCAAGTGTGGGACCGGGAAGAAGACGGCGATCGCTACCCATGACATGCCACCAGAAGTTCTCAAGTCGGTTGGCCGTAGGATCGATGAGTTTCCGAAAAGTGGTGGTGTAGACTAAGGGTGGAATTAGTTTGGTGGTCAAGAAGCCGAGGAGCCGGGTGGGTTTGTCGTGTAAATACCCTTCCAGTACTGAATTATCTTTTCCGGTGGGACAACCGGATAGCTAGCCACCTCCTTGTAGATGTAGTCGGTGTTTGTGACTATGCCCTTGGGCAGGATCATGGGCATTGGTGGTGCCGCCATGCTGGGCCACAGTCAAATTGTATCTCGTCGGTTCCAGCCAAGGCTAAAGGCGTATTGCAATGCCTCCGGTGCAGACCTGACGACTCATAGCTAAGAAAATGGGACCCGGACTAATGTGCAGAATATTGCATTAATATGGTGACCGAGAAAGAGCAAGGTAATAAGTGAGTGTGGACGTTAATACGGCTGAACCATCATGGCCTTCATCCAGTTGTAGGCGTCTCAAAACGCGAGTGCCCGTATAAGAACGAGTCTAATAAGTGGTGGTGGTGGTGATGGTGGCGGTTGGAACGTGGTTTAGCTACGATGATATGACATGGAAGACCAGAAGTGCTGACCTTAAGACTTTAAGGTAAAAGGTACTTGGGGCAGTAATGGAAAACAGCAGGCGCGTTCACAAGCCAACAAATTTTCTGCGCTACAGGATCTCCCCGCTAAAGCAACTTCCCAGTGCTCCAGCTGTGCGGTTGCGGGCCACAACTGCCACTTTCGGGTGAAGCAGAGCTTGCAGAACTTGCAAGAAGCTGTGAGGGCGCTAGTTAACCTGGGGCTCACCCCCCCCCCCCCCCCCCCCCAAGAATGCTGCAAGGAAGGCTGGACCTCGTGCTGCAGCTCCAACCCTAGGGGCACTGTCGCCATATAAGTACTTCTATATTGCAATATCAGGTAATTATAAGGGCGACAAGGGAACCTCTTCTGATCGGCTTTGCTAACTTTGAAGTGATAAGTACAAGTAACATTCGTCGATGAGGGCCCCGCTGTCTCCACACTGTCAGAAGCTTCAGGGTGCTGGCCTGGACTGCTGGTCGCTGCAACCTACCTACTTTACTCGAAGGTTGTGAGAAGCTAGACCTCGCTCGAGATTCGGCAACTCGCCATTTCCGAATGGACTCCATCCCCCTGCTCAAGACTCACGACCAGGTGGGTTGAGAGACGGGCCAGGCCTTTTTTTGTACGAAGTGCACAGCTGCAAGCGCTGACTCGGTTACGGCACTTAAATACGGAGGCCGAGCCCCTCGCCTTTTCCTGTCTTGAGCATCAAGGTCTCATCAGACCTCAGAGTCGAGGCTCATCTGTGGGCACCGAAAAGCGGCTCATTCGAAACTTCCAAACTCTGCCTTCAAGCCGTGTGGGGCCGTCCCAAGATTAAGACCTGCTAACAGAACTCTAGCTGGTTGACAGCTGCTTTACATGTGGAATGTAGTCGGTTTCCCTCTCCGTAGCGGGTCAACAAACAGGGAAATTAACAAGCCAAGCACACAAGTCGAAGATGCAATACGGAGCTGACGACATGCTGACTTTGACGACTGCACGTCCTTACGGTGAAGGCAAGGAGACGTTTTTTGTTTGTTTGTTTTTTTGGAGGGGGGGCTCAAGCAAGAACCCTTGGCTAACAATGTTTGTCCCCCACATCTATTTTTCTTGGGCTGCCTTGATGGATTCCATGTCTGTTCTAGAATGGTTCGTTGGGATCATCTGGGAGCAAGGATATCGGATCAATACTTTCAGTTCCCCAGGAACTCCGCTTTATTGCCATGTGGCCTCGGGATCCGACTCAAGGTCTCAAGTCTTCACCTCAACTTAGTAACTCGTAGTCGACGTTTCGTCCTGTGTTCAAAACGGGACATGGCGCACAAATGTTTGATTCAAATAGTCTGCTCGCCACTGAGATTAACAGCACACGCTCCGTACCATCGACAACGCCGGGCCCTTCTCTTCGCTCGAACTCGTCAGCATGACTTCATTGCATCCGACCCCCAAACCTGCAATGGCACATAACATCGTGGACGTCTGCTGATTGTTGAGCTTGAGTACAGTCGCCCCAACTCGGCGAGGCCTTGCGGTCGACAACAAGGTCACTTTCAGCTTCGTGTGCCATCCACCACTATCTTGTGACCAGGGTATCATTTCCAAGCATTTGTTGCCTGGTTTCTTATAGCTCAAGGAGCCTGAACGGACATTTTTGGCCGGCGGACAACAGAGATGGTGCTCTAACCAAACGAATTGGTAATATGGTACGTAAGGAACCCAGCGAGCTTCCCAGGGCTAGGTTTCCAACCCCCGGCCCAATGGCGTTGCAAACATTGGTTTCTTTGCCTCCAAATCGTCGTTTTCTCCTCATTTGAGAGATCCTATGATCTAGCCCTTGCGGGGGCACTGGGACGTTGTGTGACCGCTTTTAATCCCGGTATGATGCTCGGACATAACTATTCGCCATTGGCTGAAATCATGGCAGCAAGCAGGCAAAAGTATTGTTGTCGAGACTCGAGGATGAGCAGGCCTTTGCAGTTCACAAGGCCAGTGACACGCTTCAAACTGAAGGAAACCTGTGCAGATTGGTCAGAATCAAGTCATGCATTCCTTTGTGTTGTTAGAGTCACAAATGATGTTGGGAGGTGGTATTCTGTCGAATCCCGCCTTTTGCCGATATCGTACCATTCATCGCCATGCACAGCTTGCCATTGGCGGATTGGACAATGTCAGTTTGGTGCCTTCTTTGGCAAGTTACACACGTCTACGCTGGGCCACACCGACTCCCCTGTGTGCGGAGCTGAACCGTCATATGACCAGACAGGCGCCTCCACGCTGCTACTTAGTACTATTCATTATTTCCCCACGATTTGGGGGCTTCCCCGGCCACTAATGTCAGCAGGAGCGCCACTATCCCAAGTTGATGGCCTGCCACCTCGCCCTTGAGAGTTTTTCCAAAACCCCCCATGCTATTTCGGATATAGTTGGTCATCATTCACACGATTGTTTGCTGCTCAAAGGTGTTATCAAACACACACTGGAGAACTTCCTTTTTGGGGATTTCCCCCTCCTTTCGCCTGACACTTACATTTATGTACATACCAGGCTTCAATAAACACTTCAACATGTTTCAAAGGGGGTTCGTCGGTTCGTCGGTTATTTCCCAGTATGCGAGGGATTTTTCATCAGGTGGTCGGCGGACTCAGAGGCAAACAAGCCTCTGGTTAGTTGTCTTGTTCACTTCTCAACCCTCACAGAATATAAATTGTGTCTCGTCCTCATCAGCCAATATCCGCCCAGCCTCGATGCTTACCAACCGTGAGCTTACCCTACCTAACTACGGCGCATTTTAGATTGCGTTTATATGAGCAACACTCCAACTTCTCTGCAGGAACGTAGTTGCCGTGCTCAGCTGACCCTCTGACCCGTCATTTAAGGCTTTCCACCTATACGGACCGGTGAGAGGATGGCGCACCAGTTGACCGGTTCAACGGTGTCTCTGACTTGTCAGCTTTTGCTTCAGATACTTTTTGATCCAAGGCGCCCGCCCTCCCACCACCACGACGGCCCGCTCGAGGTTGCATGTATAAGGCTCGCTAGCCTGGGATATATGCAACCTTGCCCACACCACCAGGGCGGCGCACTCCAACTCCAATAGTTTCTACTCCCACCTAATCGCATATGTACTTTATCGATCTCCGGTCATCAACAGGAACTTCTAAGTGGGGCGGATCCGGACTGTCCTCCGGGAACTAGAAGCTTAGGGCCAAAACTGACGGACCTCTCCGTCTTTGCATCCGAAGTTTCATGCGATGACAATTATAAGGCCACGTAAGATGGTGGAGGGATTCATTCCCCCCTGCTTCTAACCACACTTTCAGTTGCTCTGGTCCGCGGGATGGGGCTCAAGGCACCGCTTGCAACCACTGTTCGTCCCATCGCGACGCCCCGCCCGCTGCTAAGTACTCAAGTGAGGAATACTTCTCTAGTTCAAAGGATCTCATGTACGCAGACGTATCAGGCATCGCATGAACGAGCCAAGCCCTCTGGTGCTGCTTTGGACTTTGCTAGCTTCGCAGGAAGCTTCCGCAGCTACCATGATGAATGCAAGCAAGACCTGCCAGAGTTGAAAAAAAACAATCGGTCTAAAACATGCAAAATTCACACACGAGTAGGGAGATAGGCTCTGTCACATGTAAGCAACGGGCGCAGTCTAATGCAGTGAAACCTCAACTTTTGAGGCGGTTGGCTGGCTAGACAAGCACGCGATCTGGCTTTGGCTTTTAGTGAAGCCAATTCATCATTTCCAGATGTTAGTCCTATGGGCATGTGTTCCTAAGGTTAAACCCGATTGAAGAGGGGCCTTCTCACAAGTTCGGCTTATATCATCAATCGGATGCAAAGAAGACTACATTCGACATCACGACGATATTGTATCATAGCTACGCGTATGTGCATACTAGAGCGCGAGGTGTGGCGTAGGCCAGGTGTTCTGGCAGACTCTGTACGTCGTTGAGAGTTGACAGGATGATTACTGTCTCATTCCATCAATACTTACATGATTACATACTTGTTGCTCAGGGTGGAAATTTTCAATTAGCTAGCTCGAGACTGTTCCTTCCGAAGCGGTAGCTACTTCAGCTATTGGACTCCGGCTGCCGTATATCTGCATAGTGCCTGGGAAGTGATTCAGAAGGGTATCAAAGGATGTTGAGTATGAACACTTCTCGAATATTACTAGCTGTATATCATCCTCTACCAAGTGAACCTCAACCTCTGTTATTGGTATCAAGTTTCGACTTTCAGACGGAGGGTAGGTTCTTCATGGCGCACCAATTAGACACAAGTAACATGGGCCTTTAACCCATGCTAGAGACAAAGCTATATTGTTGATGTATCATCCAGCAATTGTTTGACTGTAAGAGCTCTCGATACTAATTTCAGGTCTACCAGGACATTTATCACTAAGCCAACATGATGATTTTAAACATGTAACTAAAGCACACATGCATTCAGGGGCTCCCAAGTATACCCAAGTATACCGCGAAGGTCCTGCCCTTGCCATTATTTCGCCTTCGGGCATGAAGATAAGTGTAACAACGATGGTATCGCCGATTCGCTTAGCGTTGCCACCTCGCCTCCATTATAATTGGGTTGGTTATCTGTATCCATCGGTTCACGGTTCGAGCCAAGTGTGTATATGAAATATGTAATTTCTTGCACCTTTTCTTCTCATTTCTGAGACACTCTTATGTATTATGCCATGGGACTTTGAGTCAAGTTACATTTCTGGAATTCAGGAAGCTCCCCAACCCCACTCCGCCTCCTCTTCTCACCTTTTCTCCCCCTTTTGTCGTTTCTTTTTTACATATTCCGGTTGGAGAGCGCATGGGCTACGTCTCAGCGGTGGGCAGTGAGGCACGGGATGGAGTTCGCTCCTGACAAGAGTGAGCTAATGCACTTTACTAGGGCCCGAGAGCCCTTGCCGCAAAGTATTCGCCTTGGGGACGCCACAGTGTCGCCGGTAGTCTCAGCGAGGTTCCTAGGAGTCTGGTTCGACCGCAAACTGACGTGGCACGCCCATGTTGAGCGTGTTAAAACAAAAATGGCAACTCAAAAGCTAGCCCTGACAAAGCTAGTCAATATGTCGTGGGGCTGCGATCTTATACGGGCGAGGTTGTTATATACGGTGGTTATCCGTAGCGCGATCGCCTTCGGGGCGACTGCGTGGCATACTATAAGTGAGGAACCGGCAGGGCCAGCTAAGAGCCTGATGGGGATACAGAACGAGTGCCTCCGGGTAGTCTGTGGCGCCCACAAAGCGACGCCGGTTCGCCACCTGGAAGCAGAAGCAGCAATCCCGCCACTAGACCTCTATCTTAGTTCCCGGGCTGCTAAGTTTGAAGAACGGCTACGGCTTAGCGGGAAGAGAAATCTGCTTCGCAGCGCGAGCGCTAAAGCGTCACATATACTCCGGCAGGATAGGCCGGCGAAGAGGAAGCAGGCGTCGCAGCTACTCCGACCGGCAGGGTACACTATGGAGAAGGAGGCCCGGGGCTCCGAGTGGATGAGTGAGGAAAAGGAGGTCCCGGCTGCCCTCCTCGGCCACTGGAGGAAGAGATGGCTCACCGGAGCAGAGCATCACGATCGCCAGCGACGCGCCATCGCTGAGGAATCGGAGGGCCCTTCGATGCAGATACCGAAAGGGGGTAAGTATTTCGGCCTGAACTGACTGGAAGCGTCTACGCTGTGCCAGATCAGGACGGAAAAAATAGGACTAGCAGCCTTCTTATTCAAGACAGGGGCTTTTGGCGTGTACTCGCCGCTATGCCGCTGTGGCGACGCCCCTGAGACGGCAGAGCACGTAATCCTCTTCTGCGGGCTGTTGGAAGGACCGAGGGAACGATTACGGGCCGCTATCGCACCACGGCCACTATACTCTCGCAGAGACCTCGCAACGGCAACAGGAGAACCAGTAGTTAGTGGGACTATTGTAAGGTGGCTGCTAGGGACGGGTCGGACAGCTTCAAGGCCCAGATAGCATCGATCTTCTCAGGGGGGACTTTGTTGGTAGGTTGAGAACCAACGTAGTATAGTAGTGAACGCAACGCAGTCGCCAATAGGGCGAACCGACGACGCAGCGTATGTATTTAGTCCAGCCATTAGGGCACGGTTTGACATACGGGAGTACTAGTAGAGGTACCGGGGGCTTCGAGCCTACGGCGTATTTAATAATAATAATTTTTACGTATTATGCATGTCAATATCAGCCCAATTGCAAATGGGATATCGTCCTGAGGTCCACGAAATATTTGGAATTGCCAAATACACCCTCGCCGGCCCCGAGATTACAGCTTATTGCTTACTCACGAATATGGCCACAGATTCTGCTCGTTACATTCATCGCTTCGTTAGTCCAATCCTTCATCATCAACTTGGACATTCGTCACATCTTCGCAACCACTTCCCCAGACATGATCACATTCGTTACCTCCACCAACAAACACATCAGTCCTTCTTCTCCCGGAACCGCTTAAGCAACATCTCGCATGCGTCTTCTCTTTCAAAGAAGGTAGCCTTAACACCATCCCCTCTGTTCTCCAGAATGAGAGTAGTATGGTAAGTGCTGTGCTTCTCCGCCAGCTGCGTGGTTCTCGTAAACAAAACCTTCAGAAACTCGACGACTCGTTTCAGATTTGCCTGATTACATACCTCCCAGCTGGCTAACCGCATTGACAACCTTTTTGCATGCACCTCCATTTTACAGGGTCTAACTGAATCAACCTAAATACTTCGTCCAAATTATTTATATACAGAACATACTTAATTTAAGTGTCCGAAGACTTAGATATATTCTTTCGAGCCCTCTTTTTAGGAGGGACCCTTCCTTCGAGAAAAGTATCAATTTCTAACTGCTTATCCGGTAAAATAGGCCGTATTCACTTATTTCGCTTGTCCTGGGCTGTTCGGATCGCTGATAAGTTAATGAATACTTTATTCGGGTCTGGCTCGACGGGCTGGCGTATATCTGGAGCGTATTTATCGAGTTCTTTATATAGTTGCTCGTTTTCGATACGTAATTTGGCATTCTCGGCGGCCTGGAGTGTAAGGGCCTTGCCCGCCTTGCCTACTAGGGTACGAATCTTACGAGATACCCCGCCCTCGGCTTTCTCTATCGACTGTAGTTGGCTAGATAGTTGCTGCGCTTTCTGAGGAGTAAAAGCAACTAAGGGTGGTGATATATGAGGCGGAGGATCTGGTGTATGAGGCTCCGGAGGATCACAAGATACGTCGACTAGTCCTTCAGAGCCTAGGGGCCATATACCAGTCTTCCGCCAGCCAGATTTAATATTTTCCGTAGTAAAGGCTCTCTCCGAGGCACGTAGATATGCTTCTAGTATACGTTGCTTGGAAATTGGGGCTGTAGCCTTGTAGGAAGCGTAAGCCCTGAACTCTTGGCGGTAGTAGGTCTTCAAAGGTGAGAACGGCCCGACATCGCACGGCTGGAGATCGTCACTGCAGTGTGAGGGTAAATACAGCACGGCGACTCTATTCGAGTAGGCTTTCCACATAAATTCGGCATGAATATGTGTCTGGTGGCCGTCGAGGATAAGGAGTCGCCATTCGGTACCCCTGGGCTTCGTCTCGGGGAGAAAAACCTGATCTAACCACCTACTTGCGATAACTTTATTACTCCAGCCCTTACTCGTCGCGGTGTATTCCCACTCAGGGATATTTTGGTCTGGGAACCACTGTGCTTGGACTCTCTTGCCGGAAAATACGCAGATAGGTGTACCCCGTTGGGTATGCGAAATGTACTCTAACCAGGAGCACCACGACGAAGCGTCCGACTTTGATACGCGTACCCGGCGTGAATTAGACGTCCCAATAACCGTACCATGCCCAGATTCCCCCTCTTGAACACCTGTCTCATCCATATTATACTCGTTGTCGGGTTTGATACGATACTTCGTACGTAAGCGTTCGAGGAGGGTGTAGAAGTCTCGGATCTTGTTTGAATCGGACGCTCTAACTCGGCTAGCATCTACGACGCGCCCAATTTTGGTACGTATCTGTGGATGGCGGCTAACGAAGCGATCCACCCAGTGTTGGCCAAGTGTATTGTTATCCCCTTGAGCAAGGAGGATTTCGGCAGCGAAGTCGGCCACATAACGCTTGCTAGGAGCCCGTCCACACACTTCTTCGTGTAGGATCCAGTTCACGATAACCTCCTCTTGCTCTGGAGTCAACTTTTGTTGCCTGGAGGCGGCGTCGCGATGCGAATTACCGTGACGAATACGGTAGGACAGTGTAGTCCCCTTGATACCGTACCGATGAGCTGCTACGGCCTGGGAAGAGCCCTGACGGACAAGCTCTTTAGCGCGTTCGATTCGCTGCTCAAAATCGTCCAGACTATTCTCCACTGGATTAGCCATTTTGTACGTAGATAGGGAGCAATTGCGAGGTAGATTAGAGACGTCGTGTTGTTGAGGCGTAGAAATTCCCTGCAAAATGGGGGTGCATGCAAAAAGGTGGTCAATGCGGTTAGTAGTTTCCGTAAGAAGTCAATGTCCGAAACCCACCATTCCTATGAAAATACCTCAATATACACATCATGTGTGGAATGACCGTGGCAAGCAAAGGACTTACGGACGTTACTCACCACCTCGTTTTGCGCTAGTAAAACTGGGTTCTTTTCCTGTTCAAGTACGAGATTCACAGTTGCTCTCACGAGCCGATGATGATGACCAATGGAGGAAGCTTCGACGCCATTTCCCACCCTAGTTGATGTTGCGAAATTTAAGAAATGGTCGGCGAGAGTCAAACTCCTGTAGCGTCGCCGCATGATGAGCCAAAACGGCGGCGGCGAATGCCGTCCACCCCTTTTTTTTTTTTTGAAAGCTCCGTCGACAAGTGAGCAAGGGCTTGGCAAGGCCGAGCCTCGGCAAAATTTCACTTCAGCTGCCTACGACGTATTTCATCAAAAGACACGACTCTGTTACCAGAATTGCGTGAAAACCTGACTTGACTGCTTGCAAGCCTACCCGCCGCTTACTGCTCATCATCCGCGCTGACTGTGAATTTGTGTCTTAGCACCGGGTTACTGATCGGTCGCTCACCCGGCGTCGCGTCACCCACCATGGCCGACCACCGCCCGACTCTCATCAGGGCGCCACCGGAGGACCCCACTAAGTCGCTGGTCGAGAATTGTCTCGAATTGACAGAATTGGGGATCATTGCGCCTGTGAGACGCCTCCCGCAGTAGCATGAGAATGCTTGCAGCAACTCATCTAACGCTGTCTCGTAGGACCTCTTCACGAATACGCGCGAACTATGGCACCCGCCAGGCGCTAGGGGCATCTACGGCGGCGCTGTCATCGCACAAACCCTGGCCGTAAGCTCGACTGACATGAACACCAAGACCACAGACTGACAGGACTTCAGGCAGCCCAGCGCACCGTGCCGCCAGACTTCGTGGTGCACTCTTTCCACTGCTACTTCGTCCTGGCTGGGGACTCCTCCACGCCCATCCTCTACCACGTGGAGCGGGTGCGCGAAGGCCGCTCCTTCTGCACGCGCACTGTGCAAGCCCGGCAGCGCGGGAAAGCCATCTTCACCGTGACCATGTCCTTCACGAAGGAGGATTCAGGCGGCCCCGAGCAAGTCCGCCACGCTGTGCCCATGCCCGAGGACGTGTCGCCCCCTCCCGAGGACTATGAGGAGGACTTACCGGGCGGCATCACCTCGCCTTTTGATACCTACCGCATGCAGATCACCGACAGGGACGGCCCGCCCGAGCGCAAGAAGACGTGCCATTGGGTCCGAGCCAAGGGCAAGATTAGCGAGAGTGGTGGCCATCAGGCCCATTTGAGCGCGTTGGCGTATGTAAGTGACAGCTACTTTATTGGGACGGTGAGCAGGATCCACCAGCTTTGGCGATTTCCGTTCAGGTTTGAAGAGATGGAGAATTTGCCTGAGGAGGTTCGGGGGCATGTTACCAAGTTGAATGACTGGGAAGGGTTAGGTGATCTGGAGAGTATGAGGGGGAGGCCGCAGGTTGGCATGATGGTTTCTCTCGATCAGTAAGTTCCGACCCCGATTCCACCTCGAGGATGCAGCGATGCTGATGGATAATTCGCAGCACCATCTACTTCCACAATCCTAAGAAGGTGCGTGCCGATGAGTGGATGTACACAGAGATGGATTCTCCGTGGTCAGGAGACGGCCGGGGCGTCGTCACGCAGAGGATTTTTAGCAAGGACGGTACCTTGCTGGCAACGTGTTTTCAGGAGGTCAGTCTGGCGTATCACATGTTTACGGTCATGGGCAGCTAATCTTTTTTTTGCATAGGGAGTGGTTAGACTGAAGCAAGAGCCAGCCGCAAAGTTGTGATTGGAAACATGGGGTCTCGCTCGGAAAGATCCCGTAATACTCTAGGAAAAAGCATATGGAGTTGGCAGAGAACATGAAGATCTCGGAGCATATCAAGTTTCTTCAAGGGGATGGGCGTTCTTGGCGAACAAGAGAGGGTAAGACATACGTTTCCTGACGTCGTTATAGATTGTATCATGTGTAACTGTATAGCGATGTACGATCGTGTATGAGTCGTGGCTCTTTTCCCCAGCACCGCCAATCGATCACATTACAGTTGTTGGCCCTCAAGTTCGGTGAGTATAGCCTGTCAGCACGGGGTTCTAGCAGTGGATAAGTGGGATGGTTTCATATTGAGACTGGGAAATACAACGTCGATCTTTCAAGCAGTCTGGTTGACCTTGCAGGCACAGCAGGACTGCTACCTGTCTACCTAGATACCATCGACAGGTTGGTGGGCCAAGTCGGTGGTCGGGTCGCTTTCTTATCTCGTAGAGCGACTCAGATAATTGATCGTCGATTTCGTAACTGTCTTGATACCCCGTCTTCTTCATTGAGTCGTGCTGTCGTGCCATCGTGCCATGTTTGCCGTGAAACCTGTTCTGACACTTGACAACAGGCCAATTTGGGGTTGGTTGTGAAAAGGGATTAAACGCCTGAGGTGGAAATGCTGGAGTAGTTGGGGGGGGGGCTTTGTTGGGGCTAGCAGGCTTGGGAACGAGTCAGTTGCAGAGATGTGCCCTATACTCTGCCCTCCAAACGGCGATGGGTTTCCGGGAACATAGCCAACAGCTAATTTGCACTGCCTTGACGGTTACCACAGTTGTAAGAGGATATTAGTCCAATTTCTGTGGGAACATCATTGGACGACACAGGGCGTTGGCAGCTCGATAGAGTGCCAAGCCGGGTTGAGCCCTATTTCCCTGTCGTCCTCTGGGTCGGGAGAGGAGGCCAGGTGAAGTGTATCTTCAGGTCCATGCTACATGCTGGGTCCGGGGCTGTTAGTTCGTGACAGCTGGTTTGGAGAAGTCGATCCCACTATCTGCCAGGGGCCTGCTCAGCGTTCGTTCCTGACGCGATCGCCGAAGGCTAGACCCTACAACAAATCTTCATCAGTGATCGGGCGCGCATCGGATAATGTGGACGACAGCCGGTCGTGTGTAGCTCCCAAAAATACGTTTTCAGGGGGATGCAAGCGCAGACATTAATTCAAGGACGCTAAACTCTAAATCGCCCTTCCCCCCACCCCCCATTTTAACTGACCAAGTTACCAGTCGGGAAGGGTTTAAGACGTATTGCGCTCGCCGTTCGATGTTAGGACGGCGTTTAAAACGGTCTGGGGAGACCAAGCAAACGCCGAGCATTCGGCGATTGAGGCAGGAGGAGACACGAATACTTTATTGCGACAAGTGCGAGAGCTTCAGCTTCGGCGAACACAGCCTTTGGTGTTCGCGCGTCTGACATGCAGGGAGGTCCTATCAAGCATTTGTGGTAAACACTTCATGATGCATTTTAGCCGAACCCTATTACGGTGTTGCATGCGCAGGCCGTGGCCGCATCATTGAATGTCTCATATGAAGAGACGAGCAGCGGCAGTGCGGGTATTCATGTCACCAGCAAAGCTAATTGAGACTAGGGCCAGTTTACCAAGATCCGCCCGTTGCTCAGAGCGCGAGGTTGGCCCGCTCCCGAGCTGAGTCTCATTGTGCCCCCTGCTCCCAAACACCCGCAGTCAAATCAGCCACGATGTTTGCCCAGTTTCTTCTCCACTTTGTCTTTGTCCGCTTGTGGAATATGGAATTGGGAGGAATCTCGATATGTCCCATCGCACCAAGCTCTCTTTCATTGCTTTCCCCATATCGGATCAGGCTCTGACCATGACTAGTACGATATGGAGACAAGCAAGCTCCTTCTGTTCAAGACTGTGGCTTGGTCTCGCTTGAGGGGGGGCTCCGCTTGGGTGCATTTATGCTTCTGTATGAGCTGTCGCGAAATGACTTCCTCACGGAGAAATTACAAGACTTGACCGCCCAGATTTGCCACATTAACTTTCATGAGAAAGGCTCAGCGTGATCTTGTCTGTACTCGACTTCGTACCCGTCTTGTCGCCCATCGGATGGGATAAGATGAGATGAGAGGAGATGAGATGAGATGCTCGATGTTGTTGTGGGTGAAAGTGGGATGATTCGCAGTGGAAATTGCCTGTGCATGCGGCGAAATGGGATGCCCGCATCGGTTCCGATACGGCAGTCTTATCTTACGTACATATTGCCTCTGACGGTCATCGACCTGCTGCTTCTAGAAACCTTGGAAGGAATTGGTGGCGTTCCAGTGTAGTTCCAGTGTAGTTCCAGCGCAGCTGAGCGCTGATCCCCCTCACCCTCCAATCGAGGCATAGCTGACATTTGAAATCATCTGCTTCATTGCTCTTATCGATTACTTTTTGGGCCTGTCAATTTCCCAAAAGGGAAATGCTCTTTTTTCCTTTCCCCTCGACTCGGGCCCGGTCTGAAATGTGGCGGTACACTTTAGGATTCTGACGGTTTTCATAGCATAGCTATTAGGGGCAGCTACACGTAAAGAAGTACCGCGATCGTTCTCCACCAGTCTTGAGATCACTTTTCACGAGTCACGATGCTAGTTTATCTATGGAACATGATCTCATCATTATTTCGCGTAGGAAACCTGCCAACTCCTCAAGATGATGGTGTAGATGCTACTGCACCTTGTCAGCTACTGCACCTTGTCAGCCACCCCGGTCAAATCCAGGTTCGCTTGGCAAGATGGTGCCAGTCTGATGGGATTCTTCCATCACATTCAGGTTAGTAAGACTACTATAATGACTCACGACCCAGGATTAAGCGACTGCCAGTGACTCCACTGCCGAGATCCGCAGCATAGGAACGGATGGCGATGTGAGTCGAAAATGGAGTGTTCAGTTGGTTCAAATTCCGTACGATCTGATACTAAGTAGTCTCTTTCCCAGCGGCGGTTGGCTTTGCAATCAAAGAAGTTTTCTGCCTTCTAAAGCCTTTTCCCTTCTCGTGAACTCAAATTAAGCCAAGATGTTGACTCACGCTTGGCTTGCTCTTGTAATCGTGACAGATCAAGGAAGTTTCCTAGACCTAGCGCCACCATGTTAGCCTGTCCTTTAAAGCATCGAGGTTGACACAAGAGCGTTGAAACAAGGTCCAACCTGGCTTCTTAACAGTCTGCCCTATCTAATGGGCCACAACAGAATGCGAGCTCTTACCAAACAAATTTGCAGCCCATGAAGCCAATTTGCCTCTCAAGACTCCAAGCTACGAGTTGGGTGACGTGCGGGCTACCTTGACGTAATGGATGCAAGCAATCAAAGCAATCGGGAAAGCGAATCGCAACTCGTTGCTCCACGATGCAGCAGCGTGTTGACGGCATTTTACACGGCAACGCAGCCACGGTGACAATGCCGTCAGAGGGTTTTCAGTGCAGCCCGCTTTTTACAGTTCGCGTCGAGCGCTCGCAATGGCTGCATCCCGAATACATGGACCGCTTGGAAATAAAATAGAGTGGCATCTCGCGATGATGAATTCGCGATCGCGAGGGAGTGGGGAAGCTTTGAACAATGGATAGAAAGTCGGACGGGTGGGTTCCGTTCTTCAGAGTTGTGCAACTAGCTGCGAGGATATCTCGGCATTGGGGACTCGGCGTCAGGGCTGGGTCAGGGGGGGTTGCAGGCAGAGTGGGAGAAGTTATGCTCCAGCAGGAGGATGCCATCCAATGGCGCAACAGCACCCAAGCGTAATACAGGCATATTCACAAATGAGCGTCAGTGCTCTGGCGTCGACAACGTTTTGCTCCATTTTGTCCATGTCACTTGAGCGTTGTCGCAGGCCCCTCGGGGAGTTTCCAGAAGCCCGCGGCTGCAGGGCTTACTGACCGACAAGCCCAATCACTCGGTTGATGGACTGGCCATCTCGACTCCGATGTAGCAGCATGTACCCAGCGGTACCGACTGCGGATGCCCAGACAGAACCCGCACCCGCCAATACACTATTGTCCTGGCAAATGCATCATAATGGCATGGCACTCAACACGTCCACTGTCAGACATGTTTCCCAGTATGCCAGGAGGGGGAGATATAAGTTGGGGCGAAACGCATCATCACATGAAGCTGTCATGAACACCTGAGTTGTCACATCCTCTCTTCCCTCTCTCTCTCTGCGAACTCGGCCACTCTATTTACTCGCAGTTCCCATTCCATCGTGCTCGATCGATAGCCTGGCACCCGTGATCGAGTACTCTCTGACTTGTCACTATACGTTCAACATAGACGTAGCCACGATTCCCCATTTCTCAGCCCAGTACAACAACATCAAACCACTCTTGAGGGCGGGTGGATAATCTGCAGCCTGTGACATTGGAATTGATAATCGACGCTGCTCGCATCCACCAAGCTCGAGATTCTCCCGGAGACTTGCAGAGACTTGCTGGGATCGACGAACCGTCAGCACCAGCAACTGACCAGCCTTCGGATATAAAGCGCGGCCGACCGTTTTACGCCCACCACCCTGCTTCCTGCTCTGCTTTCCTCTTCCGTGCAAGGGTTGAGCTATGAACAATAAAAGCGCCGGCATCATCACATAATCCTTCCGCTTTTCTGAGCTCAAACCGCATTATTAATGCGCATCGGTCGTCTCTCATAGTCAACGGGGGTCCTATTAGGTGCCCTTCAAAAACGTTTCCAACCCTCATCCATCTCTCGGCTTGATTATACTCTCACCCTGAACCTCTTCAATAATACGCCGGTGACCAATTACACACACACACCCGCCCGCGCGCACCAACCAACATACTCGGAGTTGGCACTTACATCACCCCGTCCAACTTTGCTGCTACCCCTACACTCGGTCCAGCTCACGCTACCACTGGTTGCTCAAAATGGAAAGAGGAATACCCACACCTCCCACGGAGGACAATATGAAGTCATCTTCGGGTCCCCGAAGAAACCCCAGCTCCAGTAACAAAGTTGTAAAACCGATACATCGCAATTCGAAACGATCCGCCAGCCACGCTTCGCATTCTCCCGTTCACGACCATGCACCTCCGTCACCACATAGCGCCGGTGCCGACCGACACAAGCGGGTATGGAAAGCCTGCGAACGGTGTAGGATGAAGAAGACGAAGTGCGACGGCGAATTTCCCTGCAAGCGGTGTAAGGACGACGGGCTTGTCTGCACGGCAGGGACGAGAAAAAAGACGGAATATAAGCAACTACCCAGAGGGTGAGTAGAACCCATTGCACGCCAACTTTGTGTGACCTACGATCGATAGATAAGCTAACGCTCCCCATCATAGCTATGCCGAAGTCTTGGAAAATACTCAATTTGCCTTAATTGCTACGGTTCACAAGCTATACCACATGGTTAGGAACGGGCAACAATGGGAGCTTGGCGAACCCGAGCTCAATGACAGAGGTCAACCGATAATTCATAACATCGCCACAAAATTGGGATGCATCCGACCCAACGCGGACGCCGACCTCCCTCCCCACTCCGTCTTCCCTGAAGACGAAGCCGGCTTGGCGAAACTAGCCACGGAGCTAGAGGCGCAACAACGCGAAAGAGACTCTCACGCCGCGGAGCACAAGTCGGAAACAGAATCGACTTGCAATAGAACAGATCGATCTGGCTCATCCGACGTCGAGCACTCCGATTTTGAGCAAGACTACCGAAAAGTGTTGATGGCAGGCCAAAACCCAAGAGAAGTGCAACAGACCATGTCGCCGCAGAGCTTCACATCCTACAACGACTTCGACACGACCAGCATGGCCAACGACATCGACCCAGCTACGACGCTATTCCCTCTGCTGTCGCCGCCAGGGCCGGGGTCCTACCAACCGTGGCATATGGCGAGGCCGGCGTCACTGGAGATGCCGCCGCATTATTTGCAGCACATGGATATCAACATGGCGGACATGATGCTGAGCCAGGGGCTCGTAGAATCGGAATTCGGCACCATCAAGCCGCATATGCTTTCATGCCCCAACCCGGAGGTTATGCTGGGAGTCGGGGACCCGATGATTTACTCCGGGTACAACATGGAATCAATGCGATCTTGATGAGATGGCGGAGCAGGTACGCGAGCGTACGCAATCGAGCGCAACGAATCAAAGGGGGGAGTTCCGGTACGGCAATGGAGTTAACAGGCATGTCAGGCACGCCATGACAGGAGGAATTTTGATATTCTTATGCTCACAATACGAGCCCGGGGGGATGGGCCAGGGATGCCCGGGAGGGGGGAAAGGCGGGCAACGGGCTACAGGGACTCGAACTATGCATGATTGATTCAACCATCATCGTTGGTTGTTTACTATTACTGCAGCACACACAAGCTGCTTAGAGAAAGGATACGCATTGCAGGTGTTGGCCGCTATATACCACCCTCTCAACTATTTGACCTGCGAGTATTTTTCTGTTGCATGAAAGGCATTATTGGTTAAACGAACATAGATAAGATACAAATCAAAGCCAGCTAAGCTACACACACACGTGCGCGCGCACACACACACAAGGGACAAGTTGCACAAATACGTGATGTCTTGGGCGACAGAAGAATCTCGGAGCTTATTCATAGCCGGCCCTGCCAGCTCCGATGCCCGGGCCTCGTGCATATGGCCAAAGAGTGGTTTATATTCGAGGAGGTAACACAGCTGTTGCAGAAATAGCTGTTTTCCGTAGTAGGCAAAATAGCCAGAGCATAAATTTGCTGACGCGGGCCATCGTAACAAATTAAGAACAATTAAGAAAGAACCACGCCGACATGTATGGATCTTACCTGCTTCTGGTGCTACCTGAGTTGGCAGCTAAGGATCATATCATGTACGGCACGGCTTCATGGTCATCAAGCGGAGAGTCTGGGTACCCCGCCGTCAGACTGGCTGACCGCGCTGTAAACCAACCGACCTGGGCCAACCCTGGATTTGCAGAAACGACGTGTCCAAGTCACTCTGCCGGCCGGGTGGGGGAGAGGGGACAAGAGGAGGGAGAAGAAAAGCAAGCAGAATTACATGGAACCAATAATCCAAATTCCACCACCAACCTTCTAATCATCTGCGCGTCGCTCTCGCATCTGGCTACCAACGTCCCGAACTGGGTAAGATCTGATAGAGGGAGCGGATAGCCTCAGCTCCACCATCCTACAAGGGCAGTACAGTGTCTTTGCCGGTGACAAATGCTCTCGCCGCCAGCACATGGCTCAGCCGCCAAACAGGACCAACGAACGATGGAGGAACGTTCCATGTGTGCGTGCCAATTCCCATCATCCCAGAATCGTGCCATGACCGTTCACCGTGCTCCGTCGCAAAGAGAGGGAAGTTTGTGTGGATCGCATCGCTGCGCCCAGTTGGCCCAAGCCAAGGGGGAAAGATGGGGAATCTACAGAACAGCCACAGTAACTAACGGCAAAACGGATTCATGACGATCTGCATGTTTCGTTCCTGGCCGAGCTCGACCTCGATCGCAAAGTAGATGATGAAAGCACGTGCAGGCTCAGTGCTGAGCAATACGCCGCACGTCATCGTCCGTCCGTGTCAGCAACGACCGAACCGTATCCCAATCGGGCGGAGCTGGATAATGAAGAACGAGCGTCGGACGGGAGACACTCGACGCTGTGACGGGTTGATTGATGGCAAACGGAAGAAGTGCTATGGGAAGTGCGCATATACTAGAAATGGATCCGAAACAGCACATTTCCAGAGTAACACGACGCTAGCCGAACGCGGGCAATGGTGACAGGTACAGTAGTCGGTCTGCCTTGCCTCTCCTCCCCGCCGCCCCGGGGTAAAGAAGGTTAGCGCAGTATAGGGTAAAGCCAATTCTCTCCTAGGGCTTTGATGTTGATCAACAGCCACGCTACTGTCGAAAATTGCGCGCAGGACACTGACTAACGTAACTCGACGCCTGGCGCCACGCTAGTAACCATTACCCTGGGGGGTTGTACCAATACCGGAGCCTGGCGGGGATGGGGAAGGGGGAAATGCCCCTCATCCATTTTAAGGGATGCGAGGAACCCGAGTTGAGGAGGGGCGGGGGCTCGCACTCGCGATTTCTGGTTGTTACAGGTTACGCGTACTCAGTGCTCCGTAATCACCAACCACACGTTTCAACGCCAGTTCACGGTCGAACATGGATGTTCAGAGCGTCCGTCGAAGACGCCCTTGTTTGGTGTTTCCTGGAAGCCCAGGAAGGTGGAGACGACTGGATCGATCCGCCTCCTATATTTTTCCTTTTTCTGATTGCGCGATTGGTTCTTGCTTGTGGCCGCGTAGATGATGCATCAACTGCATTCCCGCTCTACTGCGGTGAGCTCGGCTTCGGTGTTTACAAGGCTCCTAATTCCACGCATGTCACCAATCCTGCTTGCTGTTGGCTGGTACCTGAACACGCTCGATGGCTGCCTGTGGAGAGAGTAGGAGTGCCTTCGGGATCTATGTGGGTAAGGTGAATGACGGCCAGCGATTGTGATAGCGTGGGGTAGGGGTCATCGTATTTCGTAAATCTGAACCGCAGCGCTGGAATCTCGAACTCCACAGCCGTTCCCGACCCCATCGACGACTACATACGTAGTAGTGCGCGGTAGTTTATTTTGTGAAAGTTCAGGGATGGCGTTTACCCGGGAGGACTGCTGTCATTTGCTGTCATCGCGGCTCACGTTGGCCAAGCCAGCATCCGTGGTGCTTCTCTTGGTAATCGAACCATCCATTACTCCAATTGGTCTCTAATAAAACCGGTGTCTAATTTTGTCCGAGCCAGCGCACACTATCCTCAAAATGTGCCCCCCCCCTTGGGTATCGAATCAGTAGCGCTGTCCTCTCACATGCCTAGAACATCAGCTTCCAAAATCTATTTTCAGGGTCCGGTGCTTGTCCTCCAGGGGAGAAAGGCACCACCCGTTGATAGACGGCGGCTTTCACTTCCTGACCGCTTACCGAGATTGCAAAACGCATGGGAAAGCTGCCACAAACCTACCGGGGCGGAGGGTCGTTTGTTCCCACTCTCGTGGGAGAGTGTGCGTGCTTGGCAGCGAGCGGAGGAATTTTGACAGGTACTTAGGGTACTTCGGGTACTTTGGGCAACATCTCGAGCTATGGGTATGCTGGTCCCACGGTATATATAGCATATGTGCCAGTTGGCCTTTAGAGTTTGGCTGGTCCTGCTGGACATTGCGAATACGCTGCCTTGGTTTGGAGAACTCGCAAACTCAAGGGGTTACATCTTGGCAATGGGGGCGATGCTTTGTCGGTACCCAAGAGACACAGAGATACTGCACTGCACTACCGCCAATGACATGCCCAGCAGTCCGATGCTGTCCAATGCCAGTGCTGAATTCATCGCAGCTAGCTGGGTTGACAGAGATCTGCGGCAAGCTTTCTGTTACTCGCCATAGCAACCGATGTTAAGCATTCCAAGTCGTTCCCATCACCAGCTTCCCAAACTCAAAGGCTCGCGACAGTGCGTTCTCCCCATTACCCTCAGCTTGTTTCGAACCCTGTCCAGGTTATAGAGATCTGCAATTATTAAATCTTATCCAGGCATCTCAGAAACACGAAGCATGCGTTGGAAAGACCGTTCCCGCCCCTTACTGACGCCGCCAAGCCTTTCTGATCGTGTCAATATGTACGCAGCAGATCTCTCGCCGAGTGGGCTGTATCCCCGAAAGGACGGACGGTCGGTCGGTCGGCTCTAACGGACATACGGGGTATGCAGAAGAACCAACACCGTATTTGTCAGCGTGCGAATATGCACTCAAATCCGTGTTGTAGTCAAAGGAACGGCGGAGCGAGCTGGCGGCATAGTACCGTAGCAATTGACGCAGGTGGCAATGTGAACGGGGGATTGCTGACTTCTATGGCTTGTGTTGGGAAACACAGTCAACCCTAGAAGATTGTCCCTCAAATACGGCTACCTCGGGGTACCACAACCTCGAAGATTATCATGTTCACTTATAGAAGGTGAGCTGTATCTTGCTTGGCCCCCTTTGAAGTGAATCACAACGGACGCAGGCTCAGCCAAGAGGATTGTCCCTCAGGCTGTAGAAAGGGCAACCCGTATAATATGTAGTGTCATCTCACTTAGAGTACCTCTATGCGGCTTATTCTTCTTACAATATTTGATTTGGAGAAGTGATAGGCCCATTACATGGATAACTCGTCTTGCTGCAGCAGTGCTGTAAGATTGCCTTGTGGGATGTCAGGGTGCTGTATTTTCAATTCCCATGGACGCCAACCAAACAAACAATACGCCCCGCCCCCTTGCATCCGTTCGTTTCGAGAAAGCCTTGTTGATGGTGGGGTGACTGCGTAACTGCGTGCTTAGTTGTTGGGATCGAGCTCCGGGTACGGGTTACTGCCTCCGCATACCGGCGATGATGATAAGCCGACGCTTAAATCAGAAGCCCGAATTTTCAAACACTGCACCCTCATCCAACATGTCTCTTCGCTATGAGATCTAACTCGTCAGGACACAAGCAACCATGACCGGATGCCTTCCTCTGTCCGTGTTCAAACGTAATCTCGTAAATTCACAACACTCTATGCACACTTGCACACTTGAGTCCTCAGCACAATATCTAGGCAGCAAAGGCCAGCTCCTCCTCGACCGTCACCGTTACCGTCTGCAAAACATCCATAGCCGACTCTCCCAAGGAGAAGTCATATTGCCCCTTCTCGACAACCCACTTCCCCCTCGCCTCATTGTAGAAGCCCAGATCCCGCACCGCAGCAGATAATTGCACCTCCCGCCTCTCACCAGGCTGCAACCTGACCTTCTCAAAAGCGGCAAGGCCCTTCACGGGGTGCTTCTCGTCCTTCTCCTTCCTCCCAACATACACCTGCACCAACACCCCACCAGCCACATCCCCCGTATTCGTCACCTCGACCGTGACCTGATATGCATCATCCCCAGATCTTCCGCCATTGCTGACCTTCATCGCCGCAAACGCAAAAGTGGAGTACGACAACCCGTATCCAAAAGGAAAATTAACCTTGTCCCTGCCCACACGATCATAGTGTCTATACCCGACAAACACACCCTCCTTGTACTCCACCCTCAACTTGCTCTTCCCATCCCCATCCCTATCCTCGACGTACGCCCCGGGGAAATTTCCATAAGCCGGCGTGTCCTCGATCCTAGCCGGGAAACTAACCGGCATCCGGCCCTCAGGGTTCACCGCTCCCGTCAACACATCCGCGATGGAATTCCCACACTCCTGGCCGGGGAACCACGCCTGCACCAACCCCTTTATGTTGTCCAACCACGGCATCGCCACCGCGACGCCCGTCGAGTTGACCACGATCGTGTTCTTATTAGCCCCTGCGACGGCCTCAACCAGCTTATCCTGCGACCCGTCCCGCGGCAAGTTGAAAGAAACCTGATCCTGCCCCTCGGTCTCCCACTGCGGATCGTGCCCCGTAAATACGACCGCATAGTCTGCTCCCCTCGCCACATCTGCCGCCTCGCCCAGCAAATTCGCGTCGTGCTCCGCTTCCAGCATGAAGCCAACCCGCAATCCGGCCTTGCCCTCGAGGATTTCTAGTCCGGTGGCTTTGGTGCAAGGCTGCGTGCGCACTCGTAGCCGGTAGGCTTTGCCCTCCTTGAAAGAAAACGTGAATTTATCCTCGGACGTAGCCCCGAATAGGAACCCCATGGCGTCGGGCGTGGGATCCTTTTGCTCGTAGACGAGTTTCTCGTCGATGAAGAGCTGCGTAGGACCTAGGCCGCTGCAGGCTAGGTAGTGCTTTCCCGATTCCGAAGGGGTAAAGTCACCTTCGTACTCGACGGTACGCTCGCGGACGCTGGCGCCGCCAATGGGGGAGAGGCTGCACTCGGCATTGCCATGCTGCGTTGAGACGAGCTCCTGGGTGTCCATGTTGAACTGCTTGACTGTGAATCCCGGTCGCCCGTCGAGGCCGACTACCTTGCCGCTTTCGTTGCTGTCGCACACTGGGGGAAGTAGACGCAGGACGTGCCCCCCCTTCGCGTAGACGATGTCAACTTCGTCGCCTAGCGTAGCTTGCATTGCGTCCCACGGACTGATCTTGTAATGCGTGGTCACGCTTGCAGATCCGCCGCCGTGGGCGAGGGGCGTCTTGGCCAGCCCGATGAGGGCGATTTTCTTACCCCTGACTTTGTGCTTGGAAAGGGGCAAGACACCATCCTCATTCTTCAACAAAACACATCCCCGCGCCCCGGCCTCCCGGATGAGCGCCCGGTGCTCGGGCTTATCAATAGCCTGCTCCGGAGGTATCGTCGCGTCCTCGAACGCCTTCAGCCGGTTCAGAAACTCGAGCACATGCCTAGCCCTGTCATCAATAACACTCTCCGCCACTTTATCCGCCTTGACTGCCGCCACGACATCAGGCACCTTCCGCTTCAGCGTCGGACCGGGCATTTCAAGATCCAGCCCCGCGACCAGCGACTCCGCCGTCGAGTTGGTCCCGCCCCAGTCGCTCATCACCAGGCCATCCCACCCCCAGTCCCCCCTCAACACCTTCTTCAGCAGAAATTCGTTCATATCCGCATGCGTCCCATTGATAGAGTTATAACTCGTCATCACCGCCCACGGGCCCCTTTCCTCCTTGACGGCAATCTCAAACGGCCTGAGATAAACCTCCCGGAGCGCCCGTTCGCTGATGACTTCATCCACCGTCATACGGTCCGTTTCCTGCTCGTTGGCCGCAAAGTGCTTGATTGTCGCCGCCACCCCCTTGGACTGCACACCCTGGATCACCTGCGAGGCCAGTTTCCCTGCTAGGAATGGGTCTTCGGAGAAGGACTCAAAGTTGCGGCCACCTAGGGGGTGCCGGTGGATGCACGTCGTTGGTGCGAGAAGGCATCGCGCTCCTTTGCTCAGCGCTTCTTCGGCGAGCGCAGCCCCCACGCGCCGCGCGAGGGTGACGTCGAAGGTGGCGGCTACGCTGCAGGCGGCTGGGAAGCAGGCTGCTGGTGTGCCGCCTGTGAAGTCTGCGCCTCGGGCTCCGTTGGGGCCGTCGGTTGTCTGTAATTATTGGTAAGTCTGTTCTGGTTCTCCTCCACCTCGATGGGAGTGCAGAGGGTGGAAGTTCCTGGACGAACCTTGATACAAGGCACCTTGCCGGGAACAGGGACCGTTTCCCAAAAGTTCTGGCCTGCTAGAAGGGATATCTTGAGGACTTATTAGCAATGACTCGGACAATGAGTGAGAGATGTTGTCATATGAACTTCCAGACCCCTTCCCGCTGGAGTGGTAAGTTGCCTGGCAAAGCTGGATACTAGGTGTTGAACCAACTCAATGGCTCCGAAAGGGTAGGATCAGATTCGAGGGGCGACACTGATCTTCGTCGAACAAAGAAAGAAAGCCCCACGTCTATACCATACCTTCTCCTCCAAAGTCAGCGACTTCAACACCGTCACCAGGTCCACCTTAGATGCCATGCTTTCTTTCCAGCTGCTTCAAGATATTGTCTTCGGTATCAAAAGTTCAAAGGCCAAGATTCAAAGTCCTCCTCACCGACTATGACAACAAGAGAAAGGAAGTGGCTGCAAGCAGGGCAGCGGCATATTTAAACACAGCATAGCCAGAAACACCACTTCCACCCCTTTCCTCCCCAAGACATCCCTCCCAAGAACTCCGCACCGCAACCCCTCGGCGAGACAGGCAAAAGGTGGACAGAGGTGGGTAGTCGGTTGACCGCTCAGAAAGACTAGTATCCACCTTCTGTATCCCGGGCACAACCCGGGGGCCTCTTTACTGCACCTCTCCAGACACGCAGACTGTTAGCGGATGAAATACCCCATTGTAAACGAGTGATCATCGCATTCAAGTCGTGTGAAAGGTCAAGTACTGGTTTGTTTGGACAAGGGTACCGTTACCCTTGAAAGCACTGAAAACGAGGGGAAGACCAAGCATTATGGGGGTTGTAATACGCTAACAATCCCCATGCCTGGAGAGCTGCATGTAGCCCAAACCGGTCACCTCCATCCAATCATGGCTCTCTTCTGACCCGGTGATATACCGTCTGACCCGAATAAATACCGAGCGCCCTATGAAGTTTGTCCCGGTGGGTATGCTGCGTCAGTTGATATAGGTCTGACTCCAAGGTTTATCTGTCGTCTGGTCTGGTACTTGCTCGTCTTTGGCTGGCTGGAAGGATGGATGGATGAGTCCATCAGTTTTCTTCTATCCACATGGGAGATGGGAGAACATGAGAGGCCATGGGAGTGAGAATTTGATACCTAACGAGTACAATGTGAGCCATCGGGGTCCTTCCTGTGCATGTTTTCTCTGAAAGTAGTACATCGGGACTCGACCACAATCATAAACGTGCTGAGCTGAACTCTGTATCAAATGAGAAAATCCTGTTGTTTTCCGATAACGCAATACCTCCCGCCCCTCCCCCAGGCATACCGTCATTCCAAGCCTATCCCCACATGTTCATTCAACTCCCTTACTTGGATATTCAAGCAAGACGTACCCGCCAACCTCCCGCACGACATATTTTGTTGCCCTCGCGATCCTGCTCCCATTGCTCATCACATCATGAATCCTGTTGAGGCACGAAAAGGGGCTCCAGCCCATCCCAGGCGTGTTGATCCCCGCTGCCGTACTTCTCCCGCTGCTCCCAGTACTTGCCTGTGAACTTCCAGTACTCCTCACCCGTCGTAGGGCACTTGGCCTTCTCGAACCAGGCGGGAGTAAAATGCTCCCCGTGCTCTTCGCGGACCCTCCTCCGCTTGCGCTGGTCGTTTTCGAGACGATCCTTCTCTGCAGCTGCGGTGTCGTACTCGCCATCCTCCATGGCACGTTGGTCTGGGCGGTACCGAGAGTCGGTTGGTGCGATCCATTGCCGCAGATTCTCGTCGAGGTGATTGAATGTCAAGACGAAGGGCGTCAAGTTGAATGGAATGCCTTCTGGTCGCTCGTGGGCTTGCCAAAGGAGGAACGCCTTTTGAGAATCACTGATGCTCCCGCGGAGAATCGATCCTCCATCTGTGGGCTCCTCGACGGTAGCTTCATATCCAGGCGTGTAGCGAGCGTAAAGCTTCGAATTCCAGCGGCCTCCCAAGCTGAAGCGTGGTCTACCATCGGAATCCATAATCTTTCCGTTGAGGTGGTAGGCACTTGAAGCTTTCCAGCCGCGAGGCTTGAATTCGAGTTTGCATTCTTCGCCGGTTGTCCAGTTCTTGATTTCCATAGGGCCATAGTTGTCGACAGCTGGGTTTCCAGTTATGATTCCAACAACGCAAGAGGTGGGTTTCTTCCAGGTGTAGAAGTCGGGTTTGCCACCGTTCGTAGGCCGTAATTCCAGGAACCATGTGCCAAGATGCTGAATATCGAACGTTCTGCCCAAAAATTTGGACTTGACGTTGGCTTCGCCGTAGTATGTCCACTTGGCGGATTCGGCGAAGGCTGCACCGATCGGAGGATGATGGCTGACCTGCTCAATGAAGAAGCGGTAGCCCTTGTCCGGTCTTGCATACTCAAAAGTCTCGCCCAGGAGCGGATTGAACGGCTTTGCAACACGTCCGATGGTCGACGCAAATTCACTTGCTGCAAAAGCCGCCACGTACAAGAGTCGCTCAATGGAATCTGAACGGTCTGCTGCGAGGTCGAGGAGATCCGCGTACTCCATATCTTCACCAGTACGATATAATAACGATGTGGGTTCGTTGAAGGAAACCGGAAGCGTCATCTTGGTCATGTCTTTGCCAATCATTGACTTCAAAATACCCTAGTGTCCACGTTAGCACCCATTTCCGACAGGAGGGTTTGCATTTACGTACCCATAAGCCAACCTTGGGTCGGTTATCACTATCCAGCTTGAGCCTTGTCCTTACGCCATTTTCGTAACCCTTGTAGGTGCTGCTGACATCCAGCCCGCCCGAGACGACTACTGCCTGTTCGGCATTACCCAGGTTTGCCGATTCAGATGGAGGTAGTTCTTCGACATCGACCTCGCCAGCATCCACTGCGTCGAAGAACTCCTCCTGCTCAGATTCCGAGTCCTCTGAGATGTCGACCACCTGAGAGAGCGCAGTCGGGCGCCGAAGAATACTTTTCGTCGACGGTGACTTCCTCCCTTCAGTGACTTCCTCTTCCGTTACGCCAGTCGATTCGGCGGGGACGGCGGGGACGGCAGGGGCTGCGCTGTAGCTGCTACCAGGGCGTCCGCCATCATGGCTACTTTCCATAACCTCCCGGAGGGCACGCTTGGTAATCTTGCGTTTGTGTTCAGCTTCTCCAATTCGAGCCTCGAGGATTTCTTGCTCCTTTGCGACCTTTGCCATGCTTTCCTCCCACATTTGTCGCATCTCGATCTCTTGGTCCAGACGGTACTGCCAATGCGCGTCACGGTCTTTGGATATCCTTAGGAGATCACCCATAAGACCCTTCAAACTCTTGATAGCGGCGTCATATGTCGCAAGTGCCTGCGCTGCTTTGGGATCGGCCATCGACATGCCTGGGTTTCTGTTTGCCTCCGCCTGTAGTGCCGCGCTGACCTGGGCCAATGTATCGAGCTGCAGCTTTGCCGACTGTGCGGTGATGTTGAAAGCGTCTTTGGTGGCGGTGGGCCTCTCTCCACCGCTCGACTCCTCGTCATCGTCCTCATCATCATCGTCGTTGTCGTCACCAGGGACTGTTGGGGCGCCGTTGCTATGAGCTCGCGACAAGTCATCGGCCCCTCCAGTTTCGGCAAACTCATCGTCAATACTTCCTGTGGTACTAGCGTGTGACAGTCCAGTTCGAGAAGTGGACAGCTTGGTCGAGGGAAACCTGGACAACTGGACGCTACTCCGCGCTTCCCCCACACTGGCAGCCTCACTCGGGTCATTGATAGAAGCCTCAGCTGACTTGGAGGTCAGTTGGTCCTTCGCCTGACGGAGGTACTCGGCGGTCTGCGCCTTTTGCTTCTGCTCCTCTTTGGCTTGGTCTTTCATCCACTGGATTGCGTTGTTCAGAGCCCAGAACCATCGCTTCGCCTCGACCTCGTGATTGGCCTTGAGAGTATATTTGACCGAGGACTTCCCAATGATTTCAAATTTGGTCTTCTCGTCCGGGCTCATATTAAGCTTCGCAATGCGCATGCTAATAGCACCGCGGCAAGCATTTTCCGCGTCGTCTTGGTGTTTGTAGTAACTCAAGACGCCATTCTCGAGGACGAACCATCGTAATTGGTAACCCTTGCGGTAGTTTGTCCACTTCTTGAGGTAACCCTTCATGGTCTGCTCGCGGCCACCGAGGGGATCGGCGGCAGTAGGCACAGCCCCACCTTGCGACGCAGCATGCCCGAGCACGGCTTTCTCCTGGATGCCCCGTTGCGCCGCGACTGCGGCAGGGGACTTCTTCAGCATGGCGCGGGTCAAATCGTCTTTAGTCACATCCTGAGGCAGTTTGCCTCTGCGGTCTCGTTGGAATGGGTCTGCGCCATGTAGAAGCAAGGCTTGGATGAGCTTCGTGTCCTTTCTGCGAGCGGCCTCGTGCAGTAGGGTACCTCCTGCTTGCACTGTGATAATATCAGAAGGCAGCTCGTTACTGTTGATATCCAGAATGGTCTTGACTCGAGGCTCCTCTAGCACCTGACCGAGAGTGTCGTAGTCCTGACGTCTAACGAGGTCCTGTACGTGCTTGACTTTGTCCTGAACAAACAACGTCCGGGAAAGTTGCAGTTGTTGGAAGATGTCGGGGTTTCGTGCGACGTCCAGAGGCAACTTTCCTTGGTTGTTCGCAATCGCATCGTTTATATCTTTTTGCTCCAGGAGCAGCCGGACTATGGGCCCACGACCCTGAGCTGCGGCTATGTGTAGTGGAACATTGCCATCTTTGTCACGAGCATTTACGTCGATATACCCGGCACCATCTGACATTACGTATTCGACAACATCGAACTCGGCGCATTGTATGGCAAGGTGGAGCACTGTGGTGTCCTCGAGTGGAGCAATATTTGTCGCATTGATCGAAGAGGTGCTGATTCTCGTGGGGTTCTCTGAGGTCTCACGGATCGCTTTAGAGATTGCTGCTGTGTTGCCGCTCCGCAAGGCTTCCACGATTCTAAACTTGCGAACCGACTGTTCGATAGTGGTTGCGCCTCTATCACCGATGTTGAGGCTCGCTCGAGAAACCGCCTGCGGGTTGGCGGCCGGCTGAGAGGAGACACGGCCAAGGGACATTCTGGAGTTGTGTCCTTTGACCGACTGCTGATGGACGGGTATCGAGGTGGGGGACTGGGCCGTTGTTGGACGAGAAGTGAGACCCAAAGTCGCATGCGACACAACGTCTTCGGATGGACTGTTGTCGTCGTGGCGGACGTCTTTGTCCTTGCGACGCAGCAGAGAAAGTGCCGCCGAGGATCTTGACCGCTTGTGTTGACTGCTTACAGAGCGTGTCTCGATTAGCTACCGCGGAGAAGACGACGCGTTCATGGTATTGACAAGCACAGGCGCACACAGGAAGCTGTTGAGTGGGCAATAGACGGGGCGCACGCCAGCAAGTGGTAAAGCTTGATGGTTCACGTTTGTTTAGATGTGGCTACTCACCTATCCCCTGTGTCGGGCATGTCGAGCAGATTCCACCGAGAGTCAGAGTTTATTCACTGTAATTGTGGAGAGGAGGGGAGATGGCCATGGATAGGCCGACTTTTAGGAGTGCGTTTAGAACTGTAGACGTGGGACGGGTGACGGGATGAAAAGCGATCGTGGCTCTTGAGGTATTCCCCCTTCTGCAGGATACAGGATCGTCTCGAAATGACGTCTGGGTTGATGACGCACGGACTCTGACCATGTCCTAATCCGGCCCGGCAGCCCAGGATTAGCTTTTGCTGTGGACTGGGAATGCTCACAAACAAGGAAACATGTACATGTGAGTTGTTCATTGTAGTCGAGTCCATTTCTTCAAGATACGGTGACATAACGTGCGGGATCGAGAACACCTTGCGTGTTACGTGGTGATAAGCCTCGAGCTCTTAATGCCCCCAAATATACCGTCGCTAGCGGGTCAGGGAGCACATGAGAGGAAGTCTTTAATCCAACCACCTTCGGGGTGTCTCAATATAAGGCCGACCACTGTACAGAGCGAAACAAATCAAGTGGATTCTGGGTTATACCAATAGCTATGGTTACATGCCATGTTCGTGCTTGCGGCTACTCAACCAACAGAGGGAATTTTGGCCGTTAGAATCAGTATTCTTTGGCAGGATGACAGGGTGGCAGGGTATGGCAGGGTATGGCTGAGTGTATATAAACCGATTTCCAAGCTGTCTTTCCATTGGCCGGAATGTTGATGTCCTATTCTGCAACAAACAGTGAGTATAAGGGAGTTGACTGATCGACATGATCAGTTCGTAGCCTTACTTCGACTGCCTGACCATGGACATTGTTCCAGGAACTCATCCTGAGCCATGATATAAGTCGGCAATAAGCTTATGGCCAGCTCTAGATGTGTCACCTGTGATGAGGAACACCTTGTCTTGTTGGTGCGGGAGATAGCTCTCTGTACAGGAGAAAAGGTCTGGGCTCAAATGTTCACAGTTCCTGTTTGCTGTCCCGGGCTTGGAAGAGATAGTAATGCTAATGCTAGAAGCAATTGGGCAATTCGAAAATGAAAGAAGTACCTTAACTTTAGCTTTCACATAGATAGCTGGGTAAACACTTGCTTGCGCCCCAAAGCACATGGTGCTCAATCGAACAATCATATGCCGCCAATAACTCGAGGCTGAAGTGATGGTTTTATTGTGATTGTCAGTATTGGCGTTTTCAAGCACACATCTTTCGCCGAGGATAGTCATTGTTGGTGTCAACAGCCAACGTACGGTTTGACGTGACAAGCCAGGTAGTAAACGCCGCCATGAGGCTCTGATTATGAAGCTCAGAAGCTCAGAAGCTCAGAGCAAGGTCGACTTCTGAATAATGGAGGGCACTCACTTCGAGCCTTAGGCGACGTCATCAGCCAATAATGCCCCACGGGCTTGTGTCATTTTAGCCCCATCTAATGGGAGAAAGTATGGTGCTCCGGCTGAGTCAGCAGACCGTCGTTGAGAAAAATTATAATACTATTCATTCAACCGAGAAACAATGAAAGCTGCACTAGCTAAGTCAATACGTATTCGTTCCCGAGGGAGGTTTGTAGAACAAAGTCGTGATACATACACAGCATGGTGGTCAGCCCCATTCCGAAGCGCCGATTCCTTACCATTTACCCCGCCAAATCTCCATACCTGCCGAGAAATCCTCATTGAATCAACTGAAGCGTATAGTCGGAGCTTCATGCCAGAAGCCATACAATATTAACTTTAAGTCGCAACATGAAGCAACGCTTCTCCTCCCTAGATGTCAAGGTTAGCTTCCATAGTCCCTACGGATCTTGGGTCGTCGTCGAGCTGACTCGAACGCTTCGCAGGTCATAACCCATGAGCTCTCTTCGAGCTTAGTTTCCTTGCGACTGTCCAATATCTACGATCTGTCCTCCAAGATCCTTCTGCTCAAGTTTGCGAAACCAGACAACAAGAAGCAGCTCCTCATCGACTCGGGCTTCCGATGCCACCTTAGCGACTTCGCGCGCACCACGGCTGCGGCTCCCTCTGTCTTCGTCCAGAAGCTCCGCAAAGCCCTCAAGACCCGCCGGCTCACTGCAGTGTCGCAAATCGGCACCGATCGAATCATCGAGTTCCAGTTCAGTGAGGGCCAGTACAGGCTGTACCTGGAGTTCTTCGCCGGCGGCAATGTCATCCTTACCGATAACGAGCTCAGGATTCTCACTCTGCTGCGCCATGTGCCCGAAGGAGAAGGTCAAGAGCCCCAGCGGCCTGGCCTGATGTATTCGTTGGAGAACAGGCAGAACTATAGAGGCGTACCTCCGTTGACCAAGGAGCGAGTGCGTACTGCTCTGACCACGGCTGTCGAGAAAGCCGCTGCTGCAGCTGCGTCGGCCGCAACTGCGGGCAAGAAAATCAAGAAGAAGCCCGGAGACGAGTTGATAAAAGGCTTGGCCACCACCATGCCAGAGTTCCCGCCCATGCTGGTTGACCATGTCTTCAAAGTGACCGAATTTGACTCCACCACACCGCCAGCAGCTGTGTTAGGAAAGGAAGAGCTGTTGGATCACCTACTTCGCTCCCTCGAGGAAGCTCAGAAGATTGTTGGTGACATCACAAGGTCAGGGACGTGTAAAGGTTTCATTCTCGCCAAGAAGAAGCCTGACTCGGCCAGCGATGACACCAATGAGTCCGATCAGGGCCGGCCTTCGAACCTGCTCTATGAGGACTTCCATCCATTTCTACCTCGGCAATTCCAGGACGACCCAGCTTACACGGTCGTCACTTTCGACAATTTCAATAAAACGGTAGATGACTTCTTCTCGTCCATTGAAGGACAGAAACTGGAATCAAAACTATCAGAAAGAGAGGTTGCAGCCAAGAGAAAGCTCGAGGCGGCTAGAAAGGATCAAGCGAAAAGGATAGAAGGCCTGCAAGAAACTCAACAGCTCAACATTCGGAAAGCGGGCGCTATACAGGCTAACGTTGAACGTGTCGAAGAAGCTATGGAAGCCGTCAATGGCCTCATAGCGCAGGGCATGGACTGGGTAAACATCGAAAAGCTTATCGAGAGGGAGCGTATGCGGAATAATCCAGTTGCTGCTCTGATATCACTGCCTCTGAAGCTGTCTGAGAACAGCATTACTCTTCTGCTAGGAGAAGCGGAGGATGTAGAGGATGACGTGGAGGCGTACGAGACCGATTCCTCCGAATCTGACAGCGGCTATGCAGGCACAGAAGCCTCGAAACAAAAAGCTCCAGACAGACGATTGGCAGTTGAAATCAATCTGGGGCTGTCGCCATGGGCGAATGCAAGAGAATACTATGACGAGAAGAAACAAGCTGCTGTGAAGGAACAGAAGACGGCACAACAGACAGCGATGGCCCTGAAAAATGCAGAACAGAAGATCGCTGCAGAGCTCAAGAAGGGGTTGAAGAAGGAGAAACCAATTCTCCAACCCCTCCGACGCCAAATGTGGTTCGAGAAGTTCGCCTGGTTTATATCTTCCGATGGTTACCTTGTCCTTGGCGGCAAAGATGCGATGCAGAACGAATTCATATATCGCCGCCATCTCAAGAAAGGAGACATATATGTGCACGCTGATCTTCACGGTGCACCAAGCGTCATAATCAAGAACAATCCAAGAACGCCTAATGCTCCAATACCGCCTTCGACTCTATCTCAAGCCGGCGCCCTGTCTGTTTGTTCCTCCTCTGCGTGGGACTCGAAAGCCGTCATGCCGGCGTACTGGGTCAACGCTGACCAAGTGTCCAAGTCGACGGAGACTGGAGAGTTTCTGCCCACCGGTAGTTTTATGATTCGTGGGAAAAAGAACTTTCTGCCTCCAACACCACTTCTGCTTGGTTTCGGGTTGATGTTCCGAATCAGCGAAGAGAGCAAGGCCAAGCACGTAAAGCATCGGCTCCACGACACGGACGAGGTATCGGTACCGGTGGCGATGTCTTCGACTGCTCAGGCCAGCGAAGAAGCTGATTCGTTAATCGACGACAACGATACCCTCGTAGACGGCGAAACCGTACCGGCTAGTGACTCGGAGCCCGACGTCGGCGACGCTGAAGGCAATGCTTCTGAGCAAAGACAAAATCCGTTGCAGTCATCTAGATGTCAAGAGAACGAGGATGAAAGTGTGGATATGGAAGAACCTTTACTCTCAGAAGACATGCAAGGCCTCAAAATCTCCGAAACTTCTGGGCCAGGCGATGCTGAACATGAGAGTCAAGATGCACATCAAGAAGATGAGGGAGATGATTCCGATTCTGAACCCCCTGTCGCCAATGTCACGACTCAGTCTGGGAAACCAGTGCCGCAACCCCAAGTGCCGAAGAAGCAACAAGCGAAGCGCGGTCAACGCGGCAAGGCCAAGAAAATAGCAGCCAAATACCGCGATCAGGATGACGAAGACCGTGCTGCCATCGAAACTTTGATAGGCGCCACCGCTGGCCAGAAGAAGGCCGAAGCAGAGGCGCAAGCAAAAGCAGAGCGCGAAGCCGCCCAAGCCGCAGCCAAAGAACGCCGCCAGGCCCAGCATCAGCGCCAGCAGCGTGAGACGGCTAAGCACGAAGAAGTGCGCAGGCTGATGCTCGAGGAGGGCATTGAAACGCTAGACGACGACGACGAGGCAGACCAGACCACATCGTTAGACAGCCTCATCGGCACGCCACTCCCGGGCGACGAGATTCTCGAGGCGATACCCGTCTGCGCGCCGTACGTGGTCATTGGCAAGCTGAAATACAAGGCCAAGCTGCAGCCGGGGAGTCAGAAGAAGGGCAAGGCGGTCAAGGAGATTTTTGACATCTGGCGCAGGGCTGCGGAGAATAAGGGCGTCGTGGATGAGAACAGTCAGGATTCAGAACGCATGTGGCCGCGCGAGGTGGAGCTCATTAGGGGGATGAAGCCAGAGGAGGCGATCAATTCGGTGCCGGTAAGGCTGCTAAGGGTTATGGTGAGTGGTGGTGGAGGCGGCCATGGGAATGGAGGGGCTAGTAAGGGGAAGGCAAAGGGGGGGCAGAGGGGGAAGAAGAGGTAGGCTCTTAATTGAGCATAACCAGAGTCAGACATCGAGGTTATTACCCAGTTGTCACATCAGGTGCTACTGGAAAAGACGATAGTCCATCTGTGCGACGGTACCGACCAGCAGAAGACTGTGTAGAGATATAATGCAAGGACATCTATACTTGGCAGCAGCATAGTCTCCTAGTATATAGACTTGATGATATAAATATTGCTTGGTAAACAGCTGGTATAAATGGATAGAAGCTGAATGTACTTAGTCACTCCACGAGTTGCGATCTGACATGACCGTAGTTGACGTATCCGACAGCACCAGGTAGGGAGGATTTGTTACTTGACCCAGTTGTGAATTTATCACCGATTGATATTCTTAAATTGGACTGTTACTCTGGGAATCAAATTCAATCCAAGGTACTGTGCTCAGCTACTTGGTGTCGCAACATAATCATGTATGGAAACAGAGTATCCTGGAGTGGAGCAACCCCTTGTGAGTCTAAGAGGAATACCCTATCCTGCTTCATCCGTCGCTTCTGCACCTGTGATACGAGGAGTAGCACCTAAGTAAGCAGAAATACTATACCTGGTGTGATTAAACACGTGAAGACACATGCGACGATGGGCAATATCACAAAGATATGTACATGGCCATTTTCTATCTTACAAAGCATGTATGATAGGCAAGGCCATCTCTATCGAAATACACACAAATATCAACCACTGTTCATGTTGTGAAGATCATGTTTCACATCAGGCCTAGAGAAGCATGGTTCTTTTCGCTCTCAAATTTATCAACAGGCCAGAGAACCCAGCATCATACTGGAAAGTCAACATACGTATGAGCAGTAAGTTGATCTCTTTCGAAGCTTCAGTGACTAAAAAGCCAAGTCATCGAGAGCATCACCTACCCCATAGCACACGTCAGCAGAAATGTAAAGCTTTGGATAAGGAGAGTCCTATAGTAGCTATTCAATCTGACATATTCCCCTTCACCCAGATTGCACTGCCATCCTGTCGACGGAACCAACATCTTCAAGCCTGTGACGTTTCTGATTTGAGTCCCCCCCCCTTCCCAACGAATCCAAGGCTTAGCTCGTGTGAGAGAAGGGCAAGTAGGTAGATAGGCGTTTCGCCTTTCGCATTCAAAGTATCGAACGCCGACCTCTCTCCCAAGACAACGGCTTGTAGATACCGTGAGAGCCAAGAGACTAACTTCCCACTAGACCAACGTCGTAATCTAACGGCATGGGAAAACGGTAGTGAAGTTATCACAATATGAGCCATATCGAGAAGAACAAGACTACTACTTACATTATACATGCCCCGACACCACGCTACACAAACTTGACGAGTCAAGTGATGATAATCCACCGAACATGTAGGGCATGGGTGGGTAGCTTAACTAATAGAATTCAAGTTTCAAGAACCATGAAGCCTTCATACTTTAGTAAAGTACCGCCTAACCACCTACCTGTCCACCTATCGGGATGCATGTTGTGACACAACTCTACCCTACCCTACCCTACCCTATTGCAACTAAACAAGCATAATATTAAGGTTTTGGGGCAGCACTCGGTTCCTCCCGCATCCCACAATGCACTTGTAAAGTTGTTGTTGTTGTTGTTGTTATTGTTGCTGTCGTAGATTCATCCATCTCTAGAGCTGGCTCCAGCCGTCTATCCTTATCCTTACCTTTACTCTGACCCAAGAACCCTGCCAACCTAATCAACACAATAAGCCCTCGTGAACCGCGCCTAACTCTTCTTACTACCAGATGCCAACTTGTCAACTTGTCAAATATGCAGTGGGTGGTAGGCATGTGGTGAACCGATAGGCCTCGTGCCGTCTGGCCACATCTTGCATTGTGCGGCCGCTTGGCAGGCCCGCAGCTGCGAGCGAACCTACACCACACAACCTTACTGGCAAATGAATGCTTCAGTTGAAATGCAGATCTGGACAAGCCACGCCACAGGCAGGAGTAGGCCCTCACGCAACCCCAACCGGTGAGACTAAAGTAGGTATTGTGGTCCCCTCGTCTCGAATAAAGCCAAGCTGCGAATCGTTGAATGGCTTTCCAATCGTTCCTTTGGCAGGCACACCCTGGAACATCTAACTAGCTTTAATGGGAACGGACTAATGTCAACGATGACGTTCCCATGCGCCGATGCAAGACATCGGCACTGGGATCGACGTAACAGAGACCGGCCTCCAAACCAACACTGAAAGAGCGTGTGAACAGTTTTCAGGGCAACCAGAATATATTAAGAATGCAATCGGTGAGGTATAGGAGCTTGGTCCCCCCCTGGTAAGCACAACGTAGTATAGAAACAGCGCAATGCCAAACGTGTCTATCCCCTGGTACAGTGTGACTCGAAGACTCCTACATAACATCCTGTGGTATCTCCTCCTTGAGCTCACTTGGTCTCGTTTTTTCTCTTTGCAAACCGGTCCAAAGGGCAAACAAAAATCGTCTATTTTGAGGGTTGAGACCTTGCGCAAGCAAATCAAATATGCAAAGCCCAAGCCAGCTCGTCGCTCTGCTTAGGTAGTACCTCGTAACCGGCCAATTCGGGAAACACAAAAATCAAAAACAAGCAGACTGATAAAAGGCAGTCCAAATCGAAGATTCGTAAATTTGCCTGCCTACCCTGGCAAGTTGCAAACGTAACCTGTTTGCCGTATATCGAGGAGTCGTCTGACCATCATGTCGTCGTTGACTGCCAAAGTGGACCTTCAGCCGTCTATTTTTGTACGATTATGGTACAATGCGCGCGGGCGCACTCGAGTTGAACACTAAAACAGTGCAAGACAACGCGTGGGTTTCTGGTGGTCCGAGAAATTCATCGAAACAAGGAGCGTAATCAACGCAAAATTGGTTCCAAGAGAACAGGAAGCAGACTGGTGATATGAGGGACGGGGGATTACACAGCTCATCACAGCGAGCCCACTGATCACTCATCATCACGTTTCTCTCCACGTCGCATGCGTTCGCCCCAGCGTCTCTTGCCGATTCGAGTTTCGTAGTGAGGCGCCGCCGTCTTCACATCTTGCATCATGGTCTCGATGGCGCTGCGAGTTTTGTTGCGATAACAATCCACTAGTACGATTAGTTTGGTCCATGAGAATAGTCAGGAAAGGATTTCGGTGTCTTACGGGCTCTTTGCAGGAAAATGGTGCGACCTGCAAACACACGACTCTGCAACCACGCCATGCGGTAGCCCAGGTCGTTCAACCGAACCTCTCTGCCACGTGTGCCCTTACGAGTTCGGGGGATAGCAACCTCGGCGTCGGAGCCGTCGGCAGTAGGGATCTTGACCATGATACGATCTCGACTATTGTTGCCTCTTGATCGTCCAGTCCGGCCACCTTCGACCTCTACATCGTCGTCGCTCATATCGTCTTGGAAAAACCGACTTCCCGTAGCGCTGGGTGGCGGGCTCTGCATCTCACGCGGGAAGTAGCTGCGAGGGAACACGGATGAGCTTTTACGGAAAGAGTCTGGAATCTCCTTTGTGTCGACACTTTCTAAGGTGACGCGAACCCGCAGGCGGCAGCCTCGCTTGTTGTCTTCGACAAGAATGAACTTGCGTTTCTTAGCTTCAGGGATATCCGGAAACAAGCCTGAAGGGTTCTCGTCGTCCTCTCTGCTGTGGCGGTGGTTGGCGGCGATGGCATTCTGATGAGAAGAGCCGCTGATGCCGTCGTGGACCGGCGGCATGGACGATCCGGAAGCCGAGGTGCTGGGATACTGCTGGGGGTAGCCGGCGAAGACCTGGGCGGGACGAACGTCGTCCGAGCTGCCAGAGCCGGGCCCAGCCGGGGCTTGGTGGTGGTGATGATGAGCCTCATCCATATATTCTCCGTCCCCTATCCGAGAGAATCGGGTTAGCATGCCGATTTTGACCAAGAGGCTGTGGCAGGAGGTTTGGAAATCAGAAATCAGTGGCGACAGGACTCGTAGAAGCAACGTGACAACTTGCAATGACAGTGAAGGGGTTGCTGTGCAAAAACAGGCAATGACATGGTGATGTATGTGCCAAAGGTTTTGTGTGCAGTGGGATATGCAGACCAATGCCATGCAACTTTCGCCAGCAGACAGACGACTGGGGCGCCTTGAACCAGCAAAGGTCTAAAAGTGCAAGACAAGGCAACTAGATAATATACAGAACAGTGCCAATATCCCCGAGGATTCCCATGCGCGCCTGCGGCTATGTGCCGCTATATAAACAAAACATCCAAAAATACCAGACAAAAGCCACTAGGTATAATGATAAAAGGTATCATGTAGTAATAGCACAACAATGACAACGACAACAATAATGCATCAATCAATCACATCGAGTGAAACATACCGACTTCGTCTCCTCCACCCTGGGCGTTTCCTTCGTGCGCGTGGTGGTGGTGCATCTGCGGACCCATGTTGCTCATTCCAGGCTTCCCCATGGCTGGTCCCCCACCAGGGCCCATGGAGCCAGGGGCGGGGATCCCTGCCGGACCACTGGGGCCGGACATGTGCGAGGGATGGGGGGTCTGAACCGCCTTGCGATTATTCATCTTCGCCATGCGACGAACCCGGCGACTTCGCAGCCGCGGATCTTGATTGCTGTTGCGCCAGCTGTCAACTGCGCGCTGGATCAGTCCTCGCTTGCCGCGAAGAGAAGGGTTGAGCTGTGCCAAGGCCCACCCAACCGTGTTGCACTCTGTCTCATACTGCAGACGGTTGCCTCGATACTGATCCTTGGCGCAACACGCACGCGGGTAAACGCAGTTTTCGGTCTTGAACTCAGCCGAAAGCTCGTCCGTGTTCACCGATTCTACGTCGCAACGAATCGTGTACTCCATCTTGACGCGATCCCGAGAATACTCAAAGGCAATCCACTGGACACCATTGTTGTCCTGCCGCACCACGAGCGGCGTTGTCGCCGGAATAGGACCCGGAGCAGCGTTATTGTTAACGCCCGGAGTAGATCCCGTCGGCGTGGACAACGGCCCTTGGCCGTTCTGGCTGTGCTGTTGCGGCGTACCAAGAGGACCAGAGGCCGGTCTTTGCAGTTGCGGTGGTACTTGCGACTCCATCTTGGCGTGTCGCGGGCTACCCGTCATTCCAGACTGCGCGTGCTGACTCGCATGTTGGGTCATCTGATGCGGTTGTCCACCGTGCGACATCATCATGTTAGGTTGCGATGTCATGGACTGGTGCGGTTGCTGGGCGTGTTGTTGGTATGGAGAGGGAGCAGGTTGTGCCGGCATCGACGAGTACTGAGGCTGCTGCGCGCCATAGTACATGGATTGCTGTTGGAGTTGCGAAGGCGGCTGGCCGTAGATGCTGCGGTGCTGGTCGTGACCAGAAGGCGACGCGACGGAAGCTGGAGAATTGGATTGAGGCGTGTGATATGACATTGGCGGGTAGGGTCTGGGCATTTGTGCGGCGGCCATCATGTCGGAGGTATCTGTATTTGCCTATCAGTACGCGATTCGGCGCGTCGCCCATGCGCGAAGCCAAGTTGGTGTTGAAAACTCACCTGCGGATGTGTATCCGCTGGTCGTACCTGGAGTGCTATAAGGGCTCTGGTGAGCGTAGTACGGCAAATCCTGCGCGTGCTGAGCACTGGGAGGTTGACCCGCGGGTTGATAGGACGAGTACGCGGATGGAAGCTGCGGCTGCGGTGGAGGCGCCTGATGGTGTTGTTGGTGAACAATGCTTGAGGGTCGAGGATGCTGTAAGTGCTGGGGAGGCGCCGGACCCTGCGAGTGGTGGGGGTGGTGCTGCATAGAGGAGACAACCATTAGTTCTGAACTCTGAAGTGTCAAAGCCAAACAGAGACAACCATGGAAAGTCAAGAAAGTAAGAACGCGTCGATATTTTATTTTTTCGACACTGTCAAGGTCTGGGGAGCTTTAAACATCCCCTGGTGACGAGGTTCAACGGGTGAGGCGTGCCTGGGACAAGGGGCAGCAGGTGGATATATGACCAGGGCTCTGCCTACTACAGCAGGAGATAAAAGGAAGGAAAAGCGGTACCAGGTAATAACCACTCTGCAGAAGTTCTCGCTCCGCTCCTTGAAAGGAGCGAGTGGATATAGGTCGGAAGCGGAATCCGAGGGCCAAAAGGTTGATCAACTAGGTACTCCTCCAAGCTTATTTGGGACGCGACAATAACAATGCTTCGAGCTGACCGGAAAAGTAACAAGATGGGGCCGACAGGGGAGCACGAAGGACAAAAAAAAAGTGACCAGAGATTTGGAGATCGGAGCGAGGATTTTAGAATGTGACTGTGAAGGGGGCAGGGTCGGTGATATTTGAGGTATGGGAAGCGGGTTTGGGTAGGGAGTGAATTGGGGCCACGGTATGGGGGTTTTCTTGTTGTACCAGAGTACAAAGTACGTCCCAAGAGACCGTCCCGAGATATAGCAGGAACGATATGGATGCTTGCTTGGTACAAGACCAGTACGGGTGCAATGCCTGCGGCGAAAGCAGATTTGTTGGACGGGGGCAGACGGGGGTGGTGTGGTAGTGTGGGACAGCGCATGGAAGAAACGTGACAGGGGGCCGGGGGGAAGGCTGCATTTTAGATGAAATGGCCAATGGCGGCAGACCTTAGAGAGCCCGAGGAGTACGTCTTTACCCAATAGGGCAGCTTTGCCCCGGTGCTAGCCAACGGAGCAGGGGGAGCTCTTTTGGCGAGCCCTCATGGATCCAGGCGGTGTGTGAGAGGCCGAGTGCAAAGTACTTGGGTAGTCTATGCAGTCCTGCGGGGACATCAAGGTATTCCTCAAGTACTCGGAACGAAAGCATGGCATGTCAACGCCTCCTTGATTCCATCGAGGAATAGGTAGCGCAGGATATCTTTGAGTCTTCGCTGCAAACGCATTGCACTACTTTGCTTGCGATGTGTATTTGCTCTGCACAATCGCCTTCCCTTCCCTCCCCAAACAACTGTTGGGTCGGTGTCTTGCTGGAAGTCTGAATCAAAATGTCCCCCGCAGTGTGGGCTGGCCGGCTTGTGCGATTGCTGAAAGGTCGCTGTGATTGGAGAATGATGAAGGCCCCACTGGAGACCCCCACCACCGTCACCCACTAGGTACTCAAAAGTCTTTCTCCAGGTGGGTTTGGTAGACGCGTCGACAACTTTTCAGACCGTCAAGCTTCTTCTTGCCGATGCCCGACTGCTGTCTCCCTTCCATCCGTCCATCTATGTGAAGCGGCCCTTCAGTCAATGCCCGACGTCGACGGGTCGGTCAGCGTGCTTAGGCGCTCAGAGACATGGAGAGACAGCTTTTTTGTTTTTGGTTCTTTTCGGGTTGAAGATTTTGCTGACGTCGTGTGTCGCAACTGATTCATCGGGGCTTTTCCACCACACGGGACCGTTTTCAACTAGTCTCTCAATTTCCTCACCCGCCACGCAGGTTTCGCACTCGCGTCATGTTCGAAATTTCCTTTTCGGCTGTCAAATTGAGGATTCCGCGCCCTCGAAGATTGCACTGTGGCTAGTGCACCGCATAGCAATGACGAATCCCCAAAGACTCCAAATGTCCCGCATCTGCAGCAGCACACTGCACCAATCCATGCCCACTTGAGCTCGGACGTTGCAGTCACGTAAGCTTCCAGCAAGGGGTGGAGCCAAACATTTGCATCGCTGCCCTTGACGGTGGAAGCTAACGCAGCCCACACACGCGCTGTTCCAGAAGAGTCCCCCGGTCTCTTGTGAAACTGAGATCGCCCCTGCAATTCCCTCCATGGAGTCCGTACCTGGTCAAGCTTGCGACAGGCCTGCGATCTTCTGGGAGCGATAGGAATCGGTGCATGCTGTTGTGTGATCCCATGAAGCCCACCCAAGCACTACATGGGTACCCTGAGCCAAGGCATATCCTCGACACTCTTGAGGCTGATTGCCCTGGGCCCACGACCTCGAAGCAGAGAGCCGCTTGAACTACATCTGACGAGCAGGCCCGAAGAATGCTCAGACTTATCTGCGAGTACCGTGACAAGTGTTGAAATGCATACAACGCGTTGAAAAGTGACTACAGCAAAAACCTCAACTCACCGGATCGTTTGATTGCTCCTCCTTAACGTACGGGCCTGGAGCCTGCCGACGCTGGGCCATTTCCAAGAGCATCTGCGCGTGCCGCGTATGAGCCCTTATGCGATCTGTGACGAAAGTTACTATAAGTCAGCTGAAAGACCCAGCCGTTAGAGACAACGATAATCCATGACTCGGAAAGGCTTCTTCTCCACATGGCTCATCTCGGGTCCGCCGTTGGCAATGCCACGAGTTGGAGTTTTGGAGAAGTATGGCCAGTGGCTGACCGGCAGACAAGAAAATAGCCCTTGTCATCCAGGAATTCCCGGCTTCAGGTTGCCTGTGCGTAAAGGCACTCGACGACACTTTCGGCATGGATTGTGGGATTATGCTTCGATGGTGCCAAGGGAGGAAAACTCACATGACAGCCAATAATCCCAGTCCGGCTTTCCGTGATCGTGGGTACCAAACTGATGGTTGGTGTTTTTCCCTTCTTCCTTGGCTAGTGATCAGATGTGAAACGACAGCTGCGCTTGTTTCTTCTATTGACGATGTCAGTTTCGAAGAAGAATATTATGGAGTCGACTGAGACTCAGCGGAGTCAAGTATCTCAATGCACACAAATCATGGTAGTTCAATAAATACCACTTCTATGAATCGAACAAGAGACAAGCCTGAAGAATGAATTGTGGTAAACAAGTCATGCGGCACGATTCACTCTCATTTATCTTGGGAAGAAGGGTGCAGGGGGGTTGGATGGACACATTCCCATTGATATTAGGCACTCCAATAGTCGACAAGAAGTCAAACAATCAGCAGGCCTTACGATGGTGATAACATATTCAGATCATGGGATGACAATAACCGCGCTTTGCAGACATACCTTAAAGAAGAAAATTATGGCTGGGATTTACCAGGTCTGGATACCGTTAGTTGCGTGTTTGGTGAGGCCGGTTGAGTGCGTAAGAATCCGGTGTACGAAGGGCTAGACAAACCCGAGTTGCTGGATATGGCGGCGCGTCTTGGTCGCTCTTTTTGTTCGTGGTTTACAAGGTTGGACCCTTTCAGGTGATGTCTCGAAGTTGGAACTGCGTCGCAAAGACTCGGAATCGGAATTATGCTTTGATATACCCTTGCAGACAAGCGTCCATTCAGAAAAGATAATGAATCTGTCGTGCCGGGGCTGAGGATTTGGGTTTGGGTACTGTGTCGCTGAATTAGTCCATGCATGCCAACCTGGTCTAGGCTGCAAACGTCAAAAGAGGAATCAACAGGGATAGTAAACATTGTCCAAAATACAGGATGAGATGCGGCTTGGCAGGGAAATGTATAGAGCATGCAGAGACCAGGGTGGTTTTGGTAGGGGCTGCTCAATGACGCAATGCGCATCAAGTCGAGGCTTGTGCGGCCGCGTGCTGCTAGAGGTAGGAAGACGGTTGGGTATGGCGCAACTGGCACCAGACGTTCAAGGTCGTGTTCGGGATTTCATGTACAGGCATCAAAGTAGTGACGGACCATGCAGAGAACGGATGCTGATAGACCACTGGGTCCATTTGTGAAGAGAGAACGTATGGTGAAAGAAAGGTGCTGGGCAAGGGTGATGGCTAACTTGTAAGTTCCCTGCCTGCGAGACCTGGAAATAAGACGCCGCGTAAATAGTGCAAGCAGGGGGTGACAGTGGGCTTTAAGAATCCGAGATATCTCAGGCTTGGGAACAAATTATTTGACTTTTGAGAAGCCACAGCCACTGTCCCAGTATGCCTTTCACATTGCAGAGGGAGGTAAAATTTGACTTACGGATTGTTTCATGCGTTAGGATATTTTGTTGATAGTTTCCGCGAGCAGTGAGTAACAGAATACTTGGCTAGTGGGCCGTTACTTGTCGCTGCTATCTCTCATTAGTCCAGGGTTGCGGACAATGTGTGGGCATGACTCTCTCATACTCACTCTCATTTGTGTTGGGTCTACAACCCGGTGAGCCCTGTTAAGCTTGAGAATCGATATATGCTGAAAATGGCCTGCTGGCAACAGGAACGAGCTTTGTGTTACGCTGATGGCTGTGAATAGTCTAACTCAGCCACTTGTAAGCTCGATCGTCGTTCCAATAGCTTGACAAAACGCGGAGAAGGTCGACGGCGACCTGCAGTGAAATGAATTGGGCTGAAGTCGGGACGACGCTGCGACCTGATTGGACCCGGTCCGCGCTGTGCGATCTGCTTCTCACTCAGATATATACGCACCTACCCGTCGTGTGGTGTCGCCAAATATAACTTATGTAAGTCGCAACTTGTCGATCAAGAAGCTTGCCACTTGTGATTCTCGACTGTAGCAGGCTGGGAAGACTCGGGATGACGTGTGCTAGGTATTTCCTCCTTCGGATATCAGATAGTCAATCGACTTGGTTGCGGGTCGCGGTGAAGAAGAAATCTTTGAGCTGGCTGCTCAGGGGGGCTAGGCCCAGGGTACGGGAAGGTTGCAGGGATAACCGTAGTCGGTCAAAAACCTAGTCGAGACAACAACAGCTGCTGGGTGTCAGAAGGTGACTAAACATTTTAAAGTTGTGGAAGCTAGAAGGAAGGTACATAGCATATATGCGACGGGGTGGACAGAGATGGGAACAGAGATAGGACCACAGCATGACACCACTGCATGTACCAGAACACGCTGCCATTCGACATCTCGCAGGGTAACTCGACACACATTGTGTTGCTTGCTCTGACCAGGGAACGTGCAGGGGCGTTTATGCGAACAAAGCCAAGATCCGACGTAAAAGTGAAGGCGCGCGTCGCTGGCGCGTGCCGCCCACGCGCAATTGACTCAGGTTTGTCCGCTTCAATGCAGACGGGATCATGAAGAGAAACGAGGGACATGAATATTGCAAATCAGAAAGAGTTTGTTATTTCGTACATACCTGTAGAACGCAGTGGACTCAAATCTGACAGAGACCTGGTATGGATAACGGTCGTCCTAGGATCTGCTGCTGTGTAGAAAGTGTCGTGCACCTCCAAAAGTCGAGATGGTTTGACTGCAGGTACTCGATGCGTAGTACGATACAACTTGGGACAGCAGCGCCGCGTTTTGTCGCAATCTGCGTGTTGAAAGTCAGAATATCGGAATGTAACAATGGTGGCTGGCGCTGGGCAGAAAGAGAAAACGCGAACTCGGGCGTTAATGCGAGCAATTGCCTCTGGAGCTGAACAACTCGTAATCTGGAAGATTTTGAAGTCATCACAGGAGGTTATATTCGAGCGGGGGGCGCGACGCTTTCCCATGGCTGTGACGTCGGAAGCGTGCAGGGATTCAGATAGAGGTAGAACTTACGGTTCAGTGTCTTGTCAGCCGTCGAAAATACTCATCAAAGTGTCAAAGGATTGACGGAGCGACAATGAGGTTGGTTGGTACGATGTCGTTGCTTAAGTTGAGCAAGCGTGATGGCTGGCAGTTGTGGCAGGCGCAGAGAGAAGACGAGTGCGCTGGGCAGGTGCGCAAAAACTTGTCAGGCTGCTTGAATCACGTCAATGCCCTGTAGTGAGGAGAGAAACAGGCGATTTGCAAGCTCCCTTAGCAAAGATTAAAGTCATAGAAATGGGAAACTGAGTACGTACCTGAGATACCAGACGATGAGATTTGATCGGAAGTTGTCTTGTAATTTTCAGGTTTGAATTGCAACCTCAAAACTTTGACCAGGGTCGTGAGAACGGGCGACAAGGGACCGTGGTCAGTGGAGTGTGCACCGGTAGCCGTTGAAGCGGTTCAACGGCGGCTGGTAGACGTGCTATGTCAGGGGGGCCCACGACAACACCCAGGCAGTGCAGACGACAGGACTTCAAGAACCTTGGAAGAAGCAGGGGGGATTAAGGTCCCGCCAGTGCAGGAACCCTTGCAGGGTAGGTGGTCCAGTGAGCTGAGCTTGCGATGCGACAGGCACTGAACTGAGATCTCACGAAGTCATTCGTTCGGCCTGATGGATGCGACTTGATTCAGTAGAACGGGTTTGAACTGCACGGGCGTATATGTCGCTCACGCACGCGGGATAGGGCTGAGATGCCAGAAAGATTCAACGGCTTCCACTGTTGAGTGCTGTCAAAGTTTTGGCGTCCACTGGGTCGGGTGGTTCATGGGTTGCTAGTGAATTCTACCGGGTAGCGTCGAGTCTCGACATCAAAAAAGCTTCGAGGTCAGCACAGGGATTCATCAGACGGGGCGATAGGAAACGACTAATAACGCACGAATGCACGAGTTTGACAGGCAGGAGCGAGGTCAGTTTCAGGGTCAAGGGTGGAAGGAACAGCCTAGACTTTAATATGGATATCCTTTACCACTTACTTGCCTTGCAACTCGAATATGAATTAGCAATGCAAGTACTTCGTACTTATGTAGGATTCCAGCAGCTCGGGTACGGGGCAGCGCAGCACGACATATCAATCACACTTGGCCTCGACGCCTGGTGCCTTAATGCTGTCAACACCAGCTCCAATCAATATATCTCTACAAGCCCACCTAGCCCACCACAAAATGGTAATGTGATGCAGATGGCGGCGCCTCCTTGGCCTGCCTGGCAAGGCGCGGCTCGTCGGGAACGCCAAAAAAGAGTTGGAACGGGCGGTGATTGAAGAGGAACAAGGAGTGCGCCGCCAGGCTCCACCTAGGGAACTACTTCGGACAGGAGGGCCAAAAAGCGACACTCGGGCACATGAACGCGGGAAGAAATCAAATCGCTGGTGGTCTGAAGTCTTGCGGTGTTGGAGGGATCAGTGTGCCGTGCGAATGAATGCCTTATCTAGTATACGGTACCCGCGATGTCGCCCTTGTATTTCCCCGCGTGCAGGTCAATACCAATAGTCGCGACCTTCCAGGGTACTGTATACGTGTTGGAAGATACCTAGTGTCACGGCTGCGTTCTTCCACACAGTCCAGCAGCGGTATCTCCGTGGTCAAAATACGTTCTGTGAGGTTACGCAGCATCAGTTGCGGAAGGAGGGTCCCACCGACCCGGTCTCCACGGTTGGGAGATGTTACAATTTGACACATGCAAACATTGAATCGTGGCATTCTTTGCTTTTGACATTGCTATAACAAGTCTCTGGAAGTCCAAGCGCTTGTTTCTGTTTGAGACAGGCTTATGAGCCGTGCCTCTCCCTACCGCGCGTCTTTGAAGAAAACAAATGTCGTTACAGTCGGCATCGCTCGCTCTCTCCGCTTGGTAATTCCCGCGTGCATGCCATTAGCCATGCTAAGGACCAAATGGGAAGTTGTCGCCGCTGCGACAATCTCGTCTTGGGTCTATTTTTAAAGTCGCCCGTCTCTCCGGTACCTTGCTGTGTGAGTGTCCCAATCACGCACAAGCCATCTTCTTCCCATTGAGGGCGGTCCAATCACGACGGCCAGCGTCCCGAAGTAGACACGAAGTTGCCTGCACATCCCGTCGGTTTGTTGGAATTAGATATATGCACAGGGTTGGGGGCTGATCAGAAGCCAGCAAGCAGACCGATCCAAGGGTGTATACAACATTATTAGGTACGAATCATGCAGAGCCGGAAAGCAGATTCCGCATTGGTGTCGATGCGCCCGAAAATGATAAGTGGAAATTTCATTGCAAATTGAAGTCTATTGCTGCGTAATCTCGATCATAAATGCTATGCAGGTTTTGCTGAGGTGAATACGTAAGTCTTCACACGGCCTGGAGTCGCTGTCATCACCTCTGACGACCTTCCGCCTTGGGTAACGCCCCTAGAGTAGCTGCTCTAGGCCACCTTTTGGCAGAAGTGATGAGCAGGCAGCTTGTCAAATCTCTGGCGGTCGTATAATGCACTAACTTCAATTGCAGACAGGGCTCGTGTTTGATAAACATGATGCTATTTATACGTAGGCGATTCCCATCTTGACTCCCACCTGCATGATTACTAAGAATCATGACCGGGACATTACGTTGGCTGTTCTCAATGCTCAGCGCTCAGACTATGCACTCTGCTCCTTGTGCCGAGCAAGCCCTGGCTGGAGCCTGGCGGTTCATGATAGTAAATAAGTGTAGGTAATGACAAGCTGCCTTGCATCGAACAGCTGCATCAAAGCTGGCTGCATCAACCCATGGCCGGCAGATCTCTGTTCCTTGACGTCTGCCCACCGAGTGCCTGGCTCGCCTGGGCCATGGAGTCATCGAGTTCGCTCTAGGTGAGGTGCGGCCCGGTTGGGCACGCAAGGTTCTGACGCCCGTGGGACGAACGTCAAGTGCCTGACAAGCCTGGTGTGTTTGGTACCCTGTCGATTGGATCGCAAGGTGAAGCTGGTCGACAACTCGGAGATTTTGCCGACCTTGCACATTTCTTGTTCCCGTTGTTCGGAGGCTTATTGTTCAATTGAGTTCGTCGTAGCAAATCCCAGCAAAAACTTCAAGCCACACAACAGCCCGTCCCAAAGTTGAAATGGCAAGGACGGACAGTTGAACCCTGACGATTTGACAGATCTGACTTGGAGCATGGCATGGCACCTCCAAGATTCTAGCTACCAACCAACTCCCCCAACTTCGCCAAGCCTATCCTAGTAGTTCCCAGAAAACCAATCCTTACCTCAACACACCCTCAGGGGATCGGTTCTAATTGGCGGCTGGTATGCCACCACGGTCGCGTTGGTCGATTGAAGGCACGAGTATCCCGCCTTGAATCGAATGCATCGAGCATTCTTGTTTGCGACATTTGAAGGATGCTCACGCACAAGAAGGCGCATGAGCAAGTAAACGGTCTTGCAGATTTTTCGCTGTTGGTTTGAGGACGCGTCGAGCACCCAATGGCAGCACGCCGATTCTAGAGCTCCGGTCTCAACTGCATCTAATGACGCTTCGATTGCTCTCCAACTTGCACCACCTGCAAGCCCTGCACCATCTGCACCGGAATCCTCGCCAATAACACTCCCCTGTCCACCCACAGACAGTCGGTCAAGGATCATGCAGAGTGAGACATCAGGTTTTTCGTCCAGGATACGAATTACTACTCCCAACTGCACTAGCACGATACCACGGAGCAACATCAGGGATGGGTTACCCCCCATCCGCGACCAGGTGCAAGGTGTGAGTGGACTCCTGCTCCTGGCCGGCGTGGGAGTGTCGACGCTACACCATTTCGCAATGCAGCCATGATGATGCATGGCTTCCATCATGCCTGTCGCCCACCCTGGACCGTTGCTCACGCCACGGTCGCGATCCAGGTCGCTGAATCTCAGACCCACGAGCCACAATATCAACTGCTGAGCATATGTGAGCCCAACTGCCAGAAGCCGTTGGAGGCATGAGACACACCAGCCGCAATGTAGAAGAACAGGGTTCGACATTTGACGATGACCTTGCGATATGCAAAGCCCGGCTATCGTGGACTGCCTTTGCAACTGGGTAAGCCCAGACAATAGCCACGCCAAACGTGCAGAAGGTGCTTGCAACGCGCTACGGACAGCGTATGTGGTATAGCATCTGCCGCCGAATCTTGGACATGACCGGCCCCAAGATTTAAGCTCCTGCCCCAGCTACGCTCGAGTAGGGATGGGGCCTGTCAGATGTATACACGGTAACGGTGCTGGCAGGCAGCTATCACACTCACTGTGGTGTAATTACACTGACTCTGCGTCCAATGTGACCCTGTCTCCCGCACCGCACGCATCCGACGATGTCTGCCACTATGGATATTTCTTCGAGCAGTGTGCCGCTAGCTAGCTCGTTTCTCACACGACCGAATACATTCAAGTCACGATTAGCAATCCACTCGGGTATGATCTTCTGTTCTGAAAACAATATTTGTGTTGGCGTCAAGGCGTTATGATTCAGCCTTTCCTGATTCTGACAGCTTCGCCGCCCCTAAGATCGAAAAGAGGCATCATCTCCTTGTTTCAAGGAATCGTCGATTTCGCGGCAAGTTGCCGGTCGACCCAATGCGCACCACTTTATCATTATATTCGTTTTCTCCAACAGCTCTCTATCCAACACGGGCACCGCGACGGGAAATGGTCTATCCGCGATGATCGTGGCCCATCTTGTCACGGGTGGACCTTGACGCCAAGGTGATAACGATGCCGTTTGCTCGTTTCACTGCAATCGCGCTGGTAAACTCCACATTTCTCCTGCAGCTCGTCGCATTGACAGTTTGACGAGATTATGAGTAGGAGGTTCGTCGTGCTCACTCTACAATGCTAAACTTTATTGGCCAAGGAACTCGATCAACCATCCAGATTTCCGTGCCGTCGGAGCTTGCAGCGGCTGATAGGAGCCCAAGACGTGTCATGGTACGAGTGTGAGGATCTGGGAAGAGCCGCGTCAAGATACCAACTGGATGGTTGAGGAAATGATGACAGCACCACTACCCTCAGAAATGTTACGACTAGCGCATGATGTTCCACTCCGAATTTTCATTGAGATTAACAATCGTGCATTACAGAGTCTCATAGGATGCTAAGTTGACATGACAGCAGTCGTCTGGGGTTGTTCCACGGTTCGGGCATGTGGGCTTGGACTCGATGAGTTGAGCCAAGGTTGTTGGATTTTTGTCTTTTGGTTTTCAGGTCAATTTCAAATTCCCGATTCTCTTTTTTGGAGGTGGTGTTGAAAAGTCGATCCATGGGAATAACCACCAACCTGGAGAATCCCTGATTGGCATCCGCTCATCAGGAATGCCTGCTTCCAGCCCTACAGAGCCTGTTCTGAGGATCTCGCGAACCATGCCGTACCATGTAGGTTTCTGAGAAGTCCTGGCAAGCCTGGCTGTCGAATCCCGGGCGGTTTACTGGGCATCGACAACCTCCCTGGACGTCACTAACTAGGGTCAGCCCACTCTCCCTGCTGTGGCTGGAGAGGTGGCCAAGGGCTGTATTATAGTCTGGGGCCCCTATATTAACTCCGCAACAACACTTACCCCAAGGAATCGCAGAAGTCAGAACCATCACAACATCTTCAGTTGACATTCGTCCATAACGAGGTTGCCGAGTGGCCGTTCTCAATCATGCCCGTGGCCTAGCAGATCTTCAACGGCCATGGGCACTGAAAGCCACAACGGTGCTCATGAGCTGTTCTGCCTTGTGATTGGAGCGTTAACTAAATACAAAAGAAGCAAACTTTGTCCATCTTGCTCTGGGGGAATACGAGACAGTCAACGTGGCAAGCGTGGGTGAAGTGGCCTCTTTGTTTTGTGGCGCGAGAAGATAACCACCCGCAGACGGCTCAAGTCAGCTGCATACGGCCCCGCTCCGCTGCCGATGCCGGGAGACGACGCAGTAATTAGTCGAGCTTATCACTGGTCGAAGAAGTCACATCCGCCGGCTCATCCTGCTATCTCGGGCGTGCAACACAGCATTCAAGCCCCGTGGTGGCATGTGACCAACCAGCCGACCTAGGTGCGTCTAACACGTGCAGCCACTTTGATTCGATAAAATCCAGCCTTTTGAAGGCCTCGCCTCTGCCGAGTCAGCCGTGGTCTGATGAGTGTTGAAAGCAGCAGATGCTGAACTTGGAGGTAAGCCTCATACCCTCGTATGTGGTGGCGACTGTCAAGTGCCAGCCTACTGCTCTCGCAACCCACACACATCATGATGGAGACAACGCCATTGGACAAGCTTTAAGAATATGCACTAGAAAGCTGGTTTGGGCGTTGGGGGCCAACATGCTGTGCATGTGTTTTTGATATCGTCAGTACTACGCAGGGCGAGGTCAGCAATTGGCAGTCCTACCTGTAGCCCATCTATTCTTCGGACCGAAGATGGAAGGTGGTCACGAGTTGGATGATATGCTGATACTCATTCAGTACGAGGACGGAAACTGTCTACCTAATATGGACTGAAGAAGTACAAGATACTTCAACAAGTGCTGGAGTGTTGAAGAGTGCCCATACTAGAAGCTGTCGATGACAAAGCTGCACGGTGAACACACTACACTAGTATAATGCTCGTAGTGATCCATGTCAACTTTATTCAATACTCTACAACTTACTCGTAGAGCTCTCAAAGAAGTGTGGCGCTGGCCTATCGTAACCAGCACAAGCGGCTGTTCGGAACCACCCCTTGGGTCGAGTCAATGGATACCTATCACGTACGAAATAGATTAAAACCCAGCGCCGAGTCTGTGATGGTGTTACCGTTTTCTGAGGAGCCTCGAGAGCAAATCAACGTTTGGTTCTTCTATCCACAACCTCGGGGCTGTCTTTGGCACACTGTGTGGATCGGTGGATGTTGGATGTGGACTTTCAAGTCAAGTCCGCCGGTAACTCCTGTCGGTTGATAATCATGATTACGATTACGAAGTACTCGTGCAAGTCTCACTGTCTAACATCAGTCTTCATTAGTCAGTTGTTCCACCACAAACTCACCACAAACTCAAAATATCGAGGACTTGTTCGCACTTCTCGTTGCGATAACGAATTTGTTTCATCTTCAGAATGTGGCTCGTTGCGTACCAGACTTGTCGAGTTCATGGTTCAGCATGGGGGAGGCTCAAGTCTGCAATGTAGGTACGGAGTACTACTCCCTCCCACCCAAATCGTCCCCTGGTCATATTTCAAGGGCAAGGGAGAAACGCAGCACCAGCCTCCCACGCATCATCTTATTAGCCAGCACAGGGCACAGGGGAAGAAGGGGAGGAGGGGAAGGACGAGGGCCTCGCAACGTAAGCGCGGGGAAACCCATCCCAGCAGTCCAAAGGGAGATCCTCCTGAACCTTGCATGTGAAGTTGGAGTATGAGAGAGAAGGCAGCGGCGAGAAGGTGGGAGGGAGAGAAATGTTCGCGAGGAGAGAGCTCTCTCCAAGCTTGATGTTACAGTACGGCTCAGCAAGGCTACGGTACCATGTCGCTGCTTGAGTGCTGATGGATGGGCTGGCTGCCGCTACCAACAGCGAGAGACCAAAAGAGAATACAGTGCTCCCTTCGGCTCCTCTTTGCCGATTTTGTGACAATCCATGTTTCCACTGACGTTCCACCATCCTGAATGCTCCTCAATCTATTTTCTAAACAGAACGGCCATGTGTGCGTACGTGCCTGCATGTGCCTATCATATTCCTTGAGAAAGAAGCCCTCCGGTCACTGGCTCGTGGCCGCAATCTCCCTTCTCGCCCCCCCTCTCTCTCCATTCGGAGAGAGTTTTACGAAAGGTGTTCAAAAGGTACATACATACATGTGTACATCATATTCATCATATGGCAACTAATGAGAAGCTTGGTGGAAAAATCATCCCGATATTATGCATACTCAGCCGGCGCTTTTGCAGATGGACATCCATCACTTGGACGGCCATACTTCACCTGTACCTCGTTTTCTCCGACATCCAGGCCTTCTGCGCCACGACGCGTTGAATTGCGCATGACGCGTCGTCGAACGGCGGCCCCCGGGTGTTGCATTCGGGAAACACTGTTCCTGCATCGTGGGCAAGGTCCAAGAAGCACCCTTGAGTGCATCTATTTCCCTTTTGTTCATTCCACAAACATCGTCTGTAGGTACTGCTTTCGGTACTATGCCTGCTGCTGCCGTTTTGCTAGGTCTTTGCTTTCCTAGGCGCACCAACAACCCACGCACCCACGGTTCGTTCCAAGGATGCTTTCCTCATGGGTTTGGGCTGGTCCTGGGCTTGTCAGGTTTAAAATTGGGGTTTGGTTCTTGCATTTCACAGGGGAGGGGACAGTGGAGACGTCAAACGGAATCGGGAGTAATTTCAGGGGGTCAGAGATGCAGGACAAGGGGACAGAGCAGAGCAGGGTAAAAAGGGTGGGAGCCAGGGTGCCACCGCGGGCATTCTGACGTTGTGGGTAAATATGGCGCTACGTACGAACTCAACAGGGGACGGGGGAGTCGCGTGCTTTTCCCTGGCGAGCGCGAAGTACAACGTGTGTGCTTTTTCTTGAAAAAAGAGGATCCTGCAATCCAGGAAGACAGAAGCCGGTGCCGAGATGAGAAGAAAAGTATTGTAGAATACTGAATAGGTCATAGTGTATATACATCCCATGCAAGTCTAGGCGAGCCTTATTATAGGTGGAACACGCAGATAACTTTCAAAGCAAACGCCGCCAAGACTTCCAATAGTCTCAAGGAGGTCAAGCCAACGCTCACCTCCAATGGGATAGACAGTCGACCGTGTCCTTTTCAGTAACTCAATCGTGTGAGACCCGGCGCGTTGGGAGTTGACGTGTTGCAACCTCGTGCCTAGGCCGGTCAATATGGTTGGTGTGTTGTTGTGTCAACGTCACACAGGAGTTTCAACTTATCAACTTGATGTTGACAATGGCTTTGAGTGCTTCCGAGCTGTGCTCAAGCAGCGCAGGTCATTGCAAGTAAGAATCGAGGAAGGCAGCATTGTTCTCGTCCAGTGCCACAGTGCCAAGCCCCTATTTCACGACGCATCCAACGTGTCTGAGTTGATAGTGTTTCCAAAGTGTCTGATGTACTTTGTAGACGTTGTTTGATGGCAGGTTGGAAATGCTTGAACCAGCTGTGATAGTGTTCGCAGAGAAGAGAGCATGACGTCAATCAGAGTGACAAAATATTCAGAAACTCGCACTGCTTCCCTTTGAGTTGTACTTCGATGCGGTTGGAGAGTAAGCTTGCTTTCCCTCGAGTGGATGTGACTCAACCATGCTGTACACCATCAGACGACTTATAGATTGTCAAGCCAGCAGTTCGCAACCATTCAAGAACAAAGGAGACCAAGTATCCATTTCCCAATCCAACCGCAGGCCATGTGTAAAACTTCCCCATCATCAACCATCTCCCTTCGCCTCTTGATACTCTCAAGCGAACAAGGACCATAACTCCTTGCCAATCCCTCGTCTCAGATCCTATCATTCCTAGAAAATGCCGCAGATCCTCCCTGCCGCCCACTTCCCCAACCGCTTCTCGCCCTTCCAAGCGTGCAGACTACCAACGGTCTGTTCACCAGGCTGCGAGAACCACGGAATCTCTGTGACCGACAACTAGATCCGGCACAGTCCTCATCTTCATCGATGATACTGAGATCGCGGGCCGTCAAACGCTCCATGAAGGTCTTCTGTTCCCCTTCGGTAAACATGAACTGCAGCCCTATAGTTGGCTTGACAGGGTCTGCAGCTGATGGGGACGGCACTCAAAATGTGGCTTTCATTTAGTTGTCGACACCGGTTGCGAGGGATAGGGAGACGGGCTCGAGTGACAGAGATGTCATTTTGAAGGGATGGGTGGCTGGGAAGGGAGAAGAACCGAAGTAATCGGTTTTATATGTGTACTAGTGGCTACTACAACGAGTGACAAAAGAAATCGAAGTTATCAGTCATTAGTTGGCGGGTGAAGAGTGGCAATAAGTATTTTTGTGCTGTTGCAGATTCGTTGATATCTCAACTAAAGTTGACTTGGTACTAAAACACTTTAGCCCGTAGCTAATCAGTGTCTTCAGTAGCTTGTAGAAAGCAATGTGAGATAAGCCTTGCTACTAAAGAGAAACCTCGGGCTAGTTAACTCTGTGTGTCGTGAGCTTCTAGTTCATAAGTAGAGTACATCATAGTGGAATTAGCTTCTGTCTACACAAATTATACAGTAAATACTTACGCAACCAAATTGACTAGTCTCCGCCGTGAATATATAAACATCGAGTTCGCTGGTTATACTGACAGCATGACCACAGTTAGAATCATTTGCCTACTTTATGGTTCATGGGTCAACAATACAACAGCTTGATGTTGAACTGGGGGTTTATTTGGTCAGGGTGTACTGGTGCTGATATTCAACCTCGTCTCCAACCACACCTCTGTGAGTCGAAAGGCACAGCAGGTTCCTAGCCGTTCTCTCCGATATGTCAGGAAGCCGTTGTCCGACTGTTAATAGCTCGAAAGGTACGTGAAGGTTTAATTAGAGCTTCCTTAAAAACGACGACACCAGATAAATACAAGACCAAGTCTAAAACTAAACTGAACGATATAGTTAGACACACTCCAGCTCCTCGAAGCAGTTACACGAGTCCCTAGAAGTAATTAGACTGTCAACTAGATATTAGATATTATCAAGGGATATAGCTAATCCAACACATCAGTCTACTGAGGTATATGAGCCAGTACACAATCGAGCACTATTTATGTTAGCAAGTGTTCAGGACAAATGGAGGCACTACCTGCGTAACCTGGAACTTTAATACGTATCAACTGCAACATTTACTACAAGGCGTATCGTCTTGAGTAACTATCAACAAGCAGTCAACTACCCAAATATGCATCTCAACTATACTCTCTATGACTAACGAACCAAACCAAAGGCCTTGGGTGCCAACAGTCTGAACGTGCAACATACGGGCACAGCTCCAACATTATCTCGCTACCCGGTTGCTGTCCTCCTACTGGGCGGCTTGCCCAACGAACAAGAAACCATCAACCACAACGCAGTCCCCGAGCAAGTCGAGATAAACCCCACAAAGGAACCTCTAATCTGTTGGCTTCTGCTCAAACAACCCACTGGACCAAAGTGCCCTCGTAATCGTCACCGTCGGGCATCCAACCACGACAGTCGCCACCCAACTTCGCCACTAGCGGCTGGACACAGACACAGAGCAGCAACATACATTCTTCGCCTTCTGCCAGCGTGGAGCAAAGCAACGTTGCCACGAGCATGGCGGATTGTTGGAAAACATCGAGAAGACCGTGCCAGTGCCAGTGCCAGATAGTTTCTACGCGTCGATGACTAGGTGTATCTAATTACTTGGGTTTGCGGCGGTCGGAAGAGGCTCATAGCACCGCCCAGGTACGATTCTACCCCTCCTCTCGTCTATACATACATGCGTACACACTATCCCACTATCCCACTTTTGATAAGTACGAATTCCAGCTCGACCTCTCTATAGCTTCCTTCTCCATCAGTAATCCCACAGAAGAAACCCCAAAGGCCGGCGAGCTGGGCTGTGGTTAGAACAACACATTCATGTGGAGTAAGAATATGGAACGATGTAACCACGACGTAAACAGCACATCACACATAAACGACATTACAACCGAAAGACATATCATAGAAATATCAAATAAACCTAGACAGCCAAAACCCTTCAGAAACCTTAGCCACTCGACTTGTTAGGTTGTCAGATATACAAAACTTTACTCAGTCACACATACGCCCTTAGTACATGTTCTTTGGTATATCCTAACAAACAAACAAACAAACAAAAAAGCGAAAAACCAAAAATCTTTCGCCAGATCGCTCCAAATGCATCAAATGTCATCGTATATGGCTGCACCTCTTCATCTCTTCTCGTCGACTCTATTCACCATGTAACCTCGGAATTAGTCTCTATCCCGATGCGAATGCGAGCGAGTATGGTGACTACCATGATCAAGGTAGTCATCCGCCGACCTTCGCTCCTCTTCCTCGACATCCGCGTCATATTTGTGGCGACGGGTGCGACCCCCACGATCACGGTCGTAATCTCTGTCCCGGTCTTTGCGATCATCGTCCTCCTCGCCACGCTCGCGGCGGTGACGGTGTCGTCTCCTGCGCTCCTCTTCGTCATCACCACGATCTCGGTCATCATAGCTCCGACCCTCATTCTCCCTCTCATACTCCCTTCTTCGCTTTTCTGTGATATGTCAGCAACGGGCAACGGCTGGTAGCCTCATACTGATGATTTTGCTCACCTCTAATTTGTGCAGTTGCAGTTGCATATCCTTGAATCTCTTCCTTGCTCAGGACACGCAGAACGATGACAAAGTCGTCGCGGACCTCATAACGTTCCTTACCAATGGTTAAGGCTTCCGGGTTGACCATCTTACGACTGATCTTGGTCCAGCGTGCGTCGGGCGGGACGTCTTTCTTTTTTTCGTCATTTTTATGAGGCGCAACGCCCTCACGGACGGGGTAGGGCTCTTCAGGGAACTGTTCCTTGGGCTGCTTCAGGATGCCCTTAATGGGTTTCTGCTCTGACTTGTCCCGAGGTGGCGATACAACCCGGACTTGCTTTTGTTGATCGAAGTCGACAGGCGCCAATTCACGTCCTCGAGACTCGTCGTCTCTCCCACGAGGTCGCGAGGCGGCCGATTGTCTCTCGGAGCTCGAGGATACAATGGTGTCGACATCAGTAGCGCGATCACGCTCACGCGCTGATAGCCTCTCCTTCTCCTTGGGCTTCTCAGGGCCGTCAATGGCGGCTAATTCGGCCTTCAGATCCATTATACCTCTCGTGTCAGTGGGGTTGAATGGGGCAGCCGAAGACGCACGACGCCGTCGTTGAGGAGCCATAGCAGGGTCCTCAGTTATGGGCGAGCTGTCTCTGGTGTTGAGAGGACCGCTCAACCTCGCTTCGGTCTCGCGCCGGTAGCTATCTCGCTCGAGGGTCCTCTCACGCTCCCTCTCATGCGAATTGCGGTCGCGTGAGCCGTCGGTACTTGAACCGTCACGAGGATCGGTTCTTTCCTTTCTGGCTTCTCGTTTCTGCTCCACAATGGTGGGATCCTCACGGGGAGAGGATTTCCGCTCGACCACGTCCGTCTCACGAGGCTTGTACCTTGCGGCAGCGTGGGCACCGACGGGCTCCAGGTCTTCTTCAGATGCTCTGGGTCGACGAGGAGACCCCCTGCCGTCCCTCGGGTCTTCCTCTTCTTTGGATGCTACAGCGCCAAGACCAATAGCTGCGGCAGCGGCGCCCAGGCCAGCAGCTACTTTGTCGCGAATCTTGCTATCCGTGTTGTCTTTCCGGTCCCTGCTCTCCTCCATACGGGGCCTGAACTCTATGCCCTTACGCTCATCGGGCCCACGAGCTCTGTCCAGGTCATCATCAGACCGGTGTCTTGGCTCGGCGTCCTCATGCTCCCTACGGAAGCGGCGGTCATCGTACTCTCGTCGATCCGCAGTTTCAACGTGGCGACGGTGATCTGGCTGCGGCGGCTCAACAAGTTCTGGACGAAGTCCAAACCCACGCGAAGCTACCACATCATCGCGGAAGAACTCATCACTACGTTCCCGGTGATCTCTGTGTGCGCGCTCATCGTCACGCGCACGATACAGCTCATCTGGCTGCGACATCCGAGGAGCCGCATCTTGATAAAGCGAGACAGGCCTTGCTCGCCCTGCACTCCATCGATCGACCGTCGGGCTTGCGGCGGCATCAGGGAGGCCAGACCGACGAGCAGCATCAACCGGCGGAGGGGGTAGCGCAGGTGGTAGAGAAGGCAGGGTGACGGTTGGACGATCATAGATGCCGGCGGAAGCGGCAGCGGCAGCAGCAGCACTGCGGTTGTACCGGTCGATGGCGGAGGACGTGGGTGGTGGACCCCTACGTTCAGGGCGACTGACTTCACTGCTGACCACACTGACAGATGGCCGATAGTAGTTCCGATCAATGCTCTCACGCCGGCTGGCACGAGTTCTGGATTGGTCATGATCCAGATCGTATCTTGCGAGTTCACTCGGCTTCGTATATTCGTATCCATCGACTGGATTGAAGTCTACCAGCGAGGTGCTGTTCCGTGGTGTGTTCACGTACATGGACTGACGACTGTGCGGGTGGTAGGGGTCGGCTCCAGTCCCGATGCTAGGGCGAGGCGCCCGGAGTCTTTCATCGCCCTGCCGCTCCCACAGTCGGTAGAACTCATCATTATCCATAGTCGCACTCGAGCTGTGGTGACGGTTATGGCTCCGCGAGCGAATCGAGGATGCCGGCTGAGCATAGTAGGTTTCGTCAACGCTGCGATGCGCATCTCGCGTAGGACTGCTCGCTCTGGCGGTGGCGGACGAAGCGTGCGACGATGGATTGCTAGATCGGCTAGGCGGATGGTTTGTGGTGACGATGATGGGTTTGACGTGTGGCGCGGCGTCGACAGTCGAAGGACGATGACGGTTGCGGCTGTGATCGCGAACACTTGAGCTTCGCGTCACGGGATCCTTAGTAACATTGTAAGTCGTTATTGTCGTTGTGCCGCCCTGCCTTCGTGGGACACTCGAGTCATAGCGAGCAGTGGGGATCGCATGTATATCCCCGCCATACGGGGAACTATACCCAACGCTGAGGGGCAAAGATGCCCGCGCCGGGTTGAATGTAGGGGAACGTCGGCCCGAGGCCGAGTATCTGTAATGCGGTTCGGCCATGACGTAGCTTACGGAAGCTTCTTGGTGCCAAATTTGTGGCGACGGCGTCCACGTAGCTAAGAAGCAGTGGCTGTTTAATCGCGCTTTTCTCAATTTCAATTGTCCGAGGAGGAGGGGCTTCGACGGATAGCGTCAGCGCGCAAATGAACTTCCCAGCGCGGGATGGACGAAACGTCACCAATCCCGCACGTGAGGTAGCGTAATTGATTATGCCGCAGTTCGAAGTGCTATCGGTGGAAGGTTGCGGTCAGGGACAAAACGTTGGCAAGTCGGTTGCAGTCCGTTGAGTCATATGGATGGGGCTCTCTGGCACTAGTTAAGGCCCGTCAGTAAGGGTAAAGGAAAAGTGCAGCTGGGGATGTCGGCCGCGCAAAGTCGTCGTAGACTTTTAGTAGTTTGAAGTTTCCGGCTCACATACCCAAAGTTAGCCAGACACCCAATAGGGTGATAAGGGTCCAGACTATGGTGGTGTATCGCGGGGTAAAATAATGGTGTCGGCGCCGTCGAGATGTCCGTTGATCTGCAGACAGCGGGACGAGGAGACCAGCGGTGAGGTTTGGGCCACTAACAACCAGAACCTCGAGTTTGCTTGGATCCAATTGGAGGCTTAAGCCGCGTTGACGAAGGAAGGGGAATTGCCGCTGCTCCCGCCGTGTATCGTTGAAGAACGAGGTGGATTCGGATATGGGCTGGATGATCAAATGACTGGGCGTGTTGAATCAGATGGAGGTGTAGTTGAGACTTCCAAGGTCGACAGGAGGGTGTTGTTGGTCGTCACATGAAGCCAAGACTAACTTGGTGGATAATGGTGCGGAAAAGGCTGAGGCTCTTCTCTCCAGACCAATGCGCAATCGAGATTGTCAAGCTCGAGAAGTGCTACGAACCACGGGCCGGACGGGTTGCTGCTTGCTGCTGGTTTCGGCTGCAGGCTATGACAGGCGGACGGATGCTTATCGAATTGTTGCGCTGTTTCATTTCCGTGGTCTCGTGGAGCTCGTCTACAACACGGCGTGCTAATTCAGAAACGGGCACGGGACGATGGAGGGTCTTGATTCCCGCAGGTGACGTCGACTACGTATAACAGGGTAACTAAATGCAGCAGAACTAGCGGCGGTAGTGGTGGCTTACCCTTATTATGCACAGAGAAACGACTGCGCTCTGCACGATGGAAGTGGGGTTAGTTACTTCGTAGAAGGGGCAAGATGCACTTTAGTTTCGCCCAGCTTTGCAGGGCAGGTTTGGGTTGCGTCCTTCCCATGAAACGCTGTCAGAAGCGACAGAAGCTGGGAGACTGGATGTCCAGGTGGAAATGGGGGAGAGGAGTGCGATGACGTCCGTTTCAAGGGAGAAATGGCATGCGTCCCCTACGCAATTGCTTGAATGAACAGGGGGTAAGGAGGGGGGAGGTGATGGGCGGGGTGGTAAGCACGTTGGTGGTCCCAGAGGGCCGTTCCTTGCCGGGTCGACAGGTGCCACAATGTGACCGGTTCAGAACGACTTCTCACGTATTGGGAACTTCCTAATTGGCGTCGCAGGATTGCAGAATCTTGGCTGGTGACGATCGACAGCAACTATGTCCCCAAGTTGTCCGTCCCGTCATGGAAAATGGAACTCAATTGTGCTGTCGTGTTGTCGTGCGTCGTTGCGTGGTGCGTTCGGTTGCCTTGTTTCTGTACCACGGGTGCTATCCGGCGTAGAGGATTGGGGAAGGGTGCCACGGTGCTTGGTTGCTTAGGTTTGCTTTGCGTGCTGCAACCTGGGGTGATACCGACGTCAGCACAACCTTAGACGGCACAGGATGAACGTGCACCTCGGATAAAAAACAGACTGTGTGTAGTCCTCGAACGATGTGCGGCGCAACGTCTGGCGAGCGGTATTTGACGATGCGCCGATTCAGCTTAAATAGGCCGGGGCTTCTTCTGTTGTTCTAGCCCCTAACACCAACCATATTTTGATATTTGTTGACTTATCGTTGTTTTGGGGGATACAGAAGAGTCACCGGGTGATGCAGATGGCGAATGGAGGTTTAGCTATGGTGTTCGGCAGCCACGTAAACCACCGATTTCATCACATCGAAGGCTATCAGCCTATTAATAGCTAGCCTGTTGCTAAATCGTTGAATCCTCGAGTCGGAGCTTGGATTCGTTCCCGTTGGCTTCTTGCGGTGGCGACCCGCCGGTGACACCTGCCGGAGCAAGTACCGCCAGTCAGGTCACAGCTGCGCATGCTCCTAAGGTGTGTAGGTTTCATCTGGGCCTGTCCCGTGTTCCTCTCCACAGTTCACTCAGCACCAAGAAAAAGACGTTGGGACCATCGCTTGTCGCCTTAGCTTTGGGCAGAGTCCATGCTAGAAACCTAACTTCTTACTGATGCTGAGATCCGCTCATTACCCCTTCTTCGTGACAGGCTTGGTACCTGGTGCTTGTAAGTCGTGATGGGTAGCGTGGGTCTGGTTCAAGCTATCCCGAGTCAATTTACCATGCGAAACATATCAACTCTCCGCGTGAAAGATATCGGTAGATTACCTCCAGCTAGGGCGTAAGGGCTTGTAATTACTTTTGCAAAGGACAGCAACTATCTTGGCATATGTACGACGCACAGGATTACAGCAGCGCAGTTGCGATGAGCGAGATCCGAATTGCCAACGGCCAAGTATAACGCCCGGCGCCTGCATCCGAATTTAGACTTTGGTGCATTTCCGAGTTTTCACACCGTTTTGAGCTTTATCCCAAGGATCTAACTCTACGCCGCGGAGCGCCAGGCTTTCCTCGCATGTCACCACCCGTCAAAAGTCTCAGTCAGACAGATTGCATAGTTGCCTCTTGACAATGCTGTGGCATCAGCAAAATCGGCGCTATGGCCATTGCTGACGGTGGTTGAGGCCTTACTAGGTTGCCCTCACTGCTTGCTTGACAGTCGCTGGAATTTCTAGACGCCTTGGCTTGTCGTAGACGTAGCAACCCATCTGAAGCTTTCAGCGTAACAAATATTCTACTTGATAACTGGGAAAATAGCAAAATGGAGTCATCTCCCGCTCAAACGCTCCGACCATACTGGTTGGGTTAGGTTGCCATGTGCTTTTCTGCCCAATTCGCCACTGCGACTTACAACCAGCCTGCTGCCAGGAGGGTTGATCCCAGCACGAAAAATTCGACCTAACCCATCCAGTGGTGTCCACCTCGTCAGAAGCAAAGAGTCCAATATTGGTAGCAGGGCGAGACGCAAATTCCATATCCCTCAAAAATCCATGTTCGTCCGAGACCCTAGCTGATCGAGGTTCTTCTCAGTTTGCAGAGTTAGTATTGGGTAACAACCAAGGGGGTATACACCTCCTCCGGCATGGGGAATGTTAGTGCAGTTACGGCCGCACTACCTACACTACCATTAGCTAGTACAGCATGAAGTATCCCCGCATACAAATAAGTATGAAAGGCAGTTGATAGCACATCTTTCTAGCAACTTCGTATTACGATGATTACTCCAAGGCGCCTTTTACGAAATAAGTTAGTGCTTACTAGCCCCAGTGTACAGCGAGTTAAACAACTACAAGACCTTCAAAATCATTCAGTGCTTAAGGAACGACGTACTCCTTGCAATAGGAGGACTGGAATCGCACCTTATTGTAAGCATTTATTACGAGAAGACCGCCTGGAGTTTCGAGTTCTCAAGAGCGTCGTCGGCTGGACCTATTGAGAACGTGTGGTTTTGGATGCAAGACTGGCTATTGAAGCATTACGACCTAAGTTTTGGGCGTAAAGCAGCTGGAAATGGCTATTGTAGCTGCTTGGCAAGCCGTACCAGAGGAATTGTTAGAGGCGTTAGCAATGTCGATGCCAAAACAAACGACTGCAATGGGTGCTTGAGTATGACAGCAATTTATGTCGGTTTTGACTTGTATGTACCTTTTCATAGAAATTTGTATGTGTGGTTACGTCTGGAGAAAATATGGAACAAAGAGGGCTATGTATTGCACTAACATTTGAAATGCTGGAGGAGGTGTAGTGATTGGGTTGCAACTTGGGATCCCATAGTGGAGTCAACTTAGGCAGATCTCATATCCCGTAATCAAGGTCGCAAGCTCATGGGATATGTCATGGTGGATCTTTACTATAATTTCTCAGGAGCGTTGCCAAGGGGTTGATGTTCCCCGTAAATGGTTTCATCCAACTAAGCAACCTATGCCGTTTCGTAACCGCCTTCGAGCATCGTCTCATGCTACTCGTTCCAGAACAACAACAAGGCAAGGCAACTCCGGGTTGGGCAGAAATGTTGGCATAGAAAAGCACCCGTGATATGACGTAGCATATAGCCTATGCCCCGTCAGGTAACTGGGCAAGGTTAGCAGCCTGAAGTACTTGGGGTATGTAGCATCGAGGTCTGCGAATAACAGACAGACGGCGTCTTGGTAAATAGCAGTCCTCAGTGAAGGCCCCGTCTTGGGCAGCCATCGCCTTGCCATTACTCGACTGACTTGCTTAGACTTCTCCCGGGCGCTCTCCGAGCTCTCCGATGCAATATCAACGGGCATAAGGCTCCACCGTTGAGCATCTAGACGGCAAAGAAAGGAAATACTCAGCATCGATCCTACGCGTAAGTTCCAGATCGCCGTCATCAAGGGGAGGCGGTCGTTCCCGTGGCTCGCCCGAAGGTTGTCCCTCACTGCATACGCGTAGAGCAGACGCCCGACGGGTTTCACCCGGGGGCGTAGAGCTGCAACCATGCAACCGCCTGTGCTATAATACTTTCCGCGTGTCGGATCAGGGCGATGGCATCTTCGTCCCCTGGCTGCCATTGGACCATAAGTGCCTTGCAAGTGCCGTTGACGTTCAGGGGTCTTGACGAAACGACCACGATGTCCCTAGATGCCTTCCCAGACGTTGATGCGTTGTTCCCATTGAGATTAGGCCGCGCCGTAGAGCTTTCCTGGGTACTGAACACTGGAAACAGCTACGTGACGATATAAGATGCGAACTGGTACTTCGGGGTACGTTGGCTTGGCTGGGACGACACCTATCGGCAAGATTCTTTCGCTTGGCTTGGCTTGAGACTCGCCCTGTTTCTCCGACTGGCTACCCTGAGTGTGACAAAAACAAGAGGCACAGAAATGGTGTGACAAGCTAAGAAAAACGGTGTCTGCCACATATTTTCAGTAGATGCCCAGTAGAGTAGTCCGCTCGTATCCGGTTTTGTGGTTCACTCTTGCATTTTGCAAGAGCCGATGTAAGACGACCTTGGAGAGCCAGACTGCTTTCTCACGTCCACTTGCAGGATAAATCCAGTTAAGTCTAATATCTGGTTATAGGTGGGCATTCATGCTTGCTGCTGATATTACACAAGCCAGGTGCATTAACTCAGAACTTGTACAACCTCAACATATTGGCAACTCCTGCGCCCCTGGTTTACACATGTCGTGAAGCATCAGAGCAGAAAGACAAATAAAGCGAAAATATGGATCCTGTTCCGTGCTTTATGATTGGGGATGCTTCTATAGCCAAAGTTATTGTGGGACTATGCCTTGATAACTTACTCAAATACACTAAGTTTATATGCCGATCGAAGTCATCAGTCATATTGGTCTCGTGTTCACTTCGTGTTTATTTGATCACGGTCTCATGAAAAAATAGACCTAATCACACCCGGATCAAATGCATTGAACTTGACCCACTGTAAGCTAGTAAGCTTCACTGTAAGTCGGGTTGGGCTCCTGTGGATCTGAATATTCTTTACTACCAAAAACTAGACATTACGCTTGCCATAATGCTGAGCAAAGCTCCCCCGGTTACACTCGATTCAACTCGAACTGACTCATTGTAAGCTAGTCAGGTTCGCTACGAATACAGTCAGATACTGTTGGGCCTCAGTGTCCCCTGAGAGTCTCCTCTTGGAAGAAGCTAGACATGCATTGCACACTCACCGGAATGCAGAGTGAGCTTCTCGATTTAGCCCAATTGGTTTGAAATGAATCCTTGCATGATGAACTGAGTCATTTGAGAATACAGCTTGGGCAATCATGGCGAGTGACGCGCTGTTATGTGAGACCCAAATTTTCTTCTGGAAAGGGGGCATCTAGCTACGATTGAGAAATTAGGAAGACCTCACCTCGCTATCGTATAGATCTCACTGGATATAATCTATGGAAAGACTGTCAGGTCTGAAACAAAAATAAAACCTATATGGAAAACCACAAGGCCCAGTAAAAAAAACTAATAATACACAATACATCTGGTAATATTGAAACGCACGAGTTTCCTAACTGAACTTTGCGTACCTGTTATGACCAAATTGTATAGTCCAGCACTTGACCCTAGCAGAATTTCTAGTACTTAAGTAAGCAATTAATTACCAAGCACATACGGAGAGTACGATTATTGCGAGTTATCTGGTGAAGTTGAGATACTGTCAAGTTTGCATAAGTGGATGAAGTTACTTCGAGTTCATTGGAAGATGCTGGGCATAAACGGACCCTATCAAAGCGTTGTCCTTCGTTTCTTCATCTTATCTATATTTATGACCGTGAAGTTGCCCCCTTTTGGAGACGCGGTCAAGCTTGGAGGACAGAGCCAGCGACGATTTCGAGTAGAGGTATCACGTACCACGTCATATTAAATCAAATACTAACTCTGTGTGTAAAGGGCGCCATTGACCGACTGACAATTCCATGCCATTCCTCATATCCTATCAAAACCCGCGAGCCATCGCTTAATCTCATTCCACAATTCCAGTTCAAGCCAAAGACCCCATTGGATCCCACAACGGCAAAACGACAGGTTCCTTCTTAAGCACATCCTTGACCTCCTTTACCAAGAACCTAGGATCGATAACAGCCTGGTACACAAATTCGTCCATCCAGCGGTCCGACATGACAAACCAGCCCTTGTCGCCGGCCGCCTCACCCCAGCTGTTCTGCACTCTCCACCTGACGCTTTTACCTTCGCCATCCACATGCACCGCCGTCAAAACCATAGCGTGCGTCATGGCGGACTCGCCCACGCGTAGCCGCGCCGCCTTGTCCAGGCCAAGCATGTTGATGTTGAAGCCGAGCTCGTAGTCGATGAGATTCAGGTCCATGATGCCCGACGTCGAGTTGCTGAACTTGCCCACGTCGGAGCCGAAGAAGACGGGGAGTCCGGCCTTGAGCATGGAAATACAAGCCTGCTTCAATGTTGGGATGGACACGTTGATGTAAGTGATACCCCTGCCGCCAACAATATTGCCCAGCCGGTCGACAGTCATCAGCGTCAGGGGTTCATGCCGAGGGTCATGGACGAGCGAAACCATGCTGGAGATGGCTGAATAGTTGGTGAGACGGAATTCAGGAGACGCGATGTCCTTTGCGAAGTCCAGGGGCGACGCGCGAACGCATCGTGCCTTGCCGTTCTTATCGATGAAGTTCCACTCAAACTTGTCCGTGGAGCTAGGGGGTGGACCAAGAGTAAGAGTCAGGATGAGATGGATCTCTCGCATCATCTTCTGCTTGGTAACAGCCAGGGTTGCGGCTGTTGTGGTGGATGATTTGAGCAGCTTTCGCAGGGTGAGTGCGTACTCACGCAACTTGGCGATGACGATGTAGTTCACGGTGCCGCTCGACATAGCGTTGTAACTGTCGGGATAAAGAGCTTGGGGAACCAAGCCGTATTTCTCGACCAGATTATAGACTGAAAGGGTGTCAAATAGCCAGTTAAAATCAAACTTGGATTAAGAATATGCCCTTACCCATGTCCCATTGCCCACCGTCGGATACAGGCTCAGCTAGAATGCGCTGCACCAGTCTGCTCTCGAGATCTTCATTCGCAGTATCAATGATGTTCTCAAGAAAGTAGTTTGACTTCTCGAGCTTGTCCCAGAAGAACAAGTAAGCCTGCGACAGCTCGAACGAATCAAGATTGTAGCGCTTCATGAGCGCGACACGAAAAACGTTGGTGGAGGCGAACAGCCAGCACCGGCCCGACGAGCGCTGGTTCGTGATGGGCGCGCCCTCGAACGGGATCTTGATATTAAAGACCTGCTGATCCTCGATCTTGGCCGAGCGCTGTGTCAGGATCTCCTTGGGGTTGTTAGCGCTTAGGGCCGAAAGCGCCAATCTGTTGCCAGCCACAGTCACATCAGTGTCGGTACTACAGGAATGGACACGCATGATTGTAGACAAGAGAGCAAACAAACCTATTCTTGGGGTCGTCGAGGAGCCTCGACTGCCACGACGCCATGAGGGAGACAGGGAGGCCCTCGGCATGCCGGTCGAGGCGAACATCGCGGCTGGCCTTCTCGTCGCCGACGTGGACGAATTCATCCTCAGCCGAGTCTTCATTCAGCTGATAGGATTGAAGACGCTCCAATACAGCCTTTTCATGCATTGCAGTCTCGGGCGAGACCTTGGATGGGTACGCACCCATGGCTACCTGTACTCGAGTACGGAAACGAACTATATCACTAACGTATTATGGGAACAAGACGTGAACAACTGGAGACGCTGTTTGACGATGGCGAGGACGCGATCTTCTCAACTACGAAATGGAAAGAACACGGCGCTGAAGATGGGCAGCTTATGTTGAAATATCACAAGCAGATGTTCAGTCAAGCTGGATCAGCTTCCACGCATGAAGTGGAGAGGTTGCGACACACGCCATACCCGCGGTAGCAAGTCATGCATCTTATCTTGTGGGGTTTGTAAGTCAGACATCGCAGCTAGCCATTGCTCGATCCTACCGATAAGACCAAACATTGACGTGATTGGCTGAAGCTATGAGACGGGAGTTCGCCGGATCACTTCTGCGCACCTTGATGTACACCTTTGCACACCCTCTCCCCCCGGCCCCCCCATGAGCTTCACACCGTATGTCGGCTGATCATCTGGAGTGAAAACGCGCTGGCGTTCATACACGATCAGAAACTCAATTCAACGCATTCATGACTCGCGGGGATGAGATGAGCGAGAGTGACACAAACATACACTAAACACCTCACATTCGATTACCCTCATGTACAGAGCTACCTAATCTAATAAGTACTTGGCAAACCATCCTTTTCCAACCTCCATTAGATCATCAACATTGCCCTCTCTAGTACATAAACGAGATTCTCATGTGCGCAATACTAACTCACTTCCACTTATACCCGTACACTATGAACGACGAAATGATGCACAAGCTTATAGGCGAGATCCATGGACCGTCTTCATGTCGACGACGAGCTCACGGCCATTGTCAGCAAGGACAAGCACGCGGACGCTGCCACGGCCCGACTCGAAGGCTGTGTTCAGGCGGTTCCAGAGTCCGGATTGGTCAATAACGGGGAGGCCACTCTTGACGTCGCCAGTCTCGGTCATGGCAATGACCATGCCATCCTGCATGTCGAGAACGCGGTACTGCTTGAAGATGGGGCCGAGCATGGTTTGGACGACGACGCTGGGGGCCGGGTTGGAGACCGAGGACGACTCTTCGTGGAGCTGCTTGGTGAACAGGTCGACGCCGAGGTAGCGGTGCTGGCCCGTGGCGGCCGACGTCGAGATCCGGATAACTTGGCAAGGGCGGCCTTGGAGGATAAGGATGTCTCCCATGCGGATGTGGTGGCACGGGATCGTCACCGTGTTGGGGACCGGAGCGGCGGGCGCTGAGAATGTGTGAGCCAATGGAGCAACATACGTGGGAGGGCCAGAAGGGTCACGAGTTTCCCGGACTTCCGTGATCTCGATGATTTCCTGTTTGGGAGGGTGGTGGTGCATCACTTTGTCTGCCAATTTATGGAGACCATGGCGGAACGAGTGGTAGTGACCTGAAGATACACGTGAATAAGCCACTTGGCCTGGTATGTTGGTGGGAGGGAAATGGGGGTAAGAGGGGAAGGAATGGTGCTCAAAGCTTACCATCTTCGTCGTAGTAGCCCATCTTGGATTTCTGGTGAGTAGAGTTGTGGTGAGGGGGCTCAACAGATTCTTGGATGACCTTGGTGTCCTTGTGGTACGAAATAAGGGCCTTGGGGGTGTCGACTTTACTTTCCGAGATACGAACCTTCTCGTAGACGGGACGAGAGTGGTCGGATTGGGAAGCGTCGAAAGTGCTTTCGGAAACGCGAACCTTCTCGTCGTAAACGGGACGAGAGTGATGAGAGTTGTGGGAGTGGTGGCTGTGGACGGTGAGGCCGGTGCTACTAACCTTCTCGTCGTACGTGGGACGAGAGTGCTGGGAGTGTTGAGAGTGATGAGAGTAAGTAGAAGGGGCAACAGAGCTTCCGACCACGGTTCCGATTACGCGGCCTTGTTCCTTGTAAGCCGGCTGGTATCGAGAGCGGTATTCACGTTCGATCTTGTCAATGGCGTTGTAGTGGTCGTGGTGATGGTTGTCAAACTCGACGTGTGACTCGTGTGCCTCAGTGAAAGAGCTGTCGGGGTAGTGAGAAGGCTTGCGAGCAGGTCTGGAGAGTTGAGCGTGTCAGTCGAGGTCTTTTAATACAAGAACCGTGTCATGTTGACTTTTTTGTCAACAAAGCTTGCGAACACTGTCCAAGCGCCAACATGGATTATAGGGTCCACCGCTATCCCATAACAGACCACAGTGGGGGCAGTGAAGCTATGTTCCAATCCACTGGCGCCGCCCATGGAGATCCCAAGGAAGGCCAGCTCAATAGTTTCCGAGGCTGATCTCCAAGGCCCTCACCGCCATGAGGGATGGATAGGTATATATATGTGACCCAATTCGTCATTTGAAAAGTGAAAAATAAATAATAGCTACTGACCTGCGTTCTTCGTAGTGCTCGCGATGGACACCGGGACGGTGGTAATGTTCCTCTTCACGTGTAATACGAACCTCTTCTTCGCTGAACCGTGGCTCCTCGCGAGGAGGCAGGGGGGCAGAGTATGAAGAGTGTCGACCTTCCCGTCCGGCTTTCTTCTCGGGGAGCTTGATCTCGACCTCTTGATGGGTCTGAGTGGTGGTCTCGACCTTTTCAGCCTCTTTGTAGGTAGAGGGGAAGATGCTGAAGGGAACGGGTATGCGGGCTTCAAAGTCCAGGTTGGCGACCTTTGGGCGCGAGAGTCCTCTCCTCGACAACCTTTCGAGATACGAAAGGAAGACAAGAAGATTCCTCTTGCTCTTCTTTCTAAAGAGAAGAAAAGAAGGGAGGAGGAAGCGGCGGGTTGGACGCGCTTCTTAACTCGATTCTTTCCGGCTAAAGGAAGACGTGGGAGGAATTGGGCTGAAGTTGGGGGAAGTGTTGAGTGAAGCGGTGCAAGTGGTTATTGGAGAAGGAGGAAGGAGGAAATGCAACAGAGCGGGCGAAGTGGCAGTGGTTTGGGGTTTTGTGTGGACGAGTTGAAGGGTGGCAGCTGAATGCAGGGTTCTAGTGGCCCGTTGTTGTTTACGACGGGTGGAGCTTCGAGCTGCAACTTGTTTATCCCAACCAGAGAAAGTTAGGAGGCTGGGGGAGATGTGGACCTGGGCAGAACCTGGCGAACCTGGCGAACCTGAGCAGAACCTGGCGAACCTGCAGATGGCGAACCTGGCCTTTCCGAAGCTCCTCCACACAGTCTATCATGTTAGTCGCGGGCACGCATCTGGACGGTCGCCTAGGTGGTCTAGAATTCAGTTTGGACAGTTAACACCATCTTTTTCGGTTCTCATAAAGGTCCATTTTTGCTAATCGAGATGATGGTGGGCTCAATTGGCGGACTGGCACCTCGAGGCAGGCATTCAATTGAGTGAGTGCACGTCAAACAAACTCTTGCTGCTTTGTCGTCCTGTCAGATTGTAGGTTAGCTACCAAGCTGTCACCCCTAGGGGCAAGTGGCCGCCGTTGGCAGCTCTTCGCGCCAACAAAGTGTCCATTTGAACCATTGACACCCTCGGCACGGCGCCACCAGCAGCTGTCACACTCAATTGAATTCTGTCATATCAGATCAGCAGCACTCGCCCTCCGTCGCGCCTCGTGTTGCTGGTGCACCGTGCTGTTGCTTCTACTAGCCCGCACTGAGACGACATAGGCTTCAGCGGTGGTTGGGCTGCAAGTGGATCTCAACTTGGCATGGCTGGGAGGCAGATATCGCCTGTATGAGCCTGTAACTTGCTCTTCAAGTGGCTGGGTATCACGGCTGCTGCTGACCAATTCATCACTAGTCTTGCTAATCCCCAACCACGTCGTCGAGGCTTGCAGACGGTGAGAAAGCATCTTCCATGGAACGCACATCAGCGTGGATCCCTCTCATTGGGTTGATCCGTGCAACACACCACCACTCATGCGGCCCCGACCTCATAGCGAGCCTTCGGACCTCGTGGTCCCCCATCTTGCCGTCTGCTCCAAAATGGAGCTCCCACAGTGCACAGGACAGGTTCCACAGATCTGGTGCTGTATTGTCTGTGATACGATGGCACGCACCGAGTCGATCGATGACTTTGGTTTAAAGAGTATTCCTTCGCATCTTCGCCCATTTTCCATCTCCATACGCGGCTGCAAAGCTAGCTGTTGATTGCTACCGTTCATGAAAAGCTCCAATTCGCCATGACCCCTGCGAAATCAGGCTCGTTGCTATAACAACCGGGGGGTGTGAGCGCACTAAATTTGTGTCGAATGTTTTGGATCAGATCCAAATGCGGAGACTCGGGTATTGTCAATTGATTACGACCTTGGCTTCATCGACTCGAAACTCATTACTCCGTTCACATGCTAGAATCGACCTCACCGCAACAAATTTTGACAAGTCTGCCAGGGTGTTTAAGAAGAATAACTAGCGATAATTGCGTTGCGTCTTTATTGGCGAGGAAATCAATTGAAACGAAGCCCCGCGTACCAAGTACAGCAAGGAGAAAACAACTCTCGTAACCACTCCATATCATCTGAGTACCGTCTTGGCAGCTATGTGGACCCAGGACGGCCTCGTTCTGCCTAGGTACTGAAATTACCTGTGCGAACCTAAACATAGTTTTCGGGTTTCCTTCTTTTCTGGACCTCTCCAAATGCCAACAGGATTGGAATCCTACTTCCCGGATTGTGAGAGCCCATGTGGGGCATCAGATGTCGTAATGTGATATGATACCAGCCTTTGCTGCAAACAAAGAGGGTGTTTGGTCTGTCATGAGTGAGTTTGATACCGTGTTCATAACAAATAATAGTCTCATGACAAATGTCTGCTGGATAGAGTCTTGGGGTTCTCTCGGAAGGTCTAATGTTCTCATTCTGTCACAGCCATGCCTCGCTCCTCGGGGAAAAACCCCCATGTAAAAAGTTTGTCATCTGACAATATGATATGTTGAACGCAATGTCACTATTGCAATAGACTTTACAGTCAAAGGATAATCATTACTTGACTTGGAGATAAGCTGGGAATCCAGCCGCAATATTTGTTTTTTCCGTGCAGTTGTAAGAGACCTGGCTGGGCGCATGGTCGATCATAACAACTTTAGAAATCCGAGATTGACAATTGAGAACCTTCGCCACGCCGTCTTCTATGGTAAAGAGACTAGTCACATCAGTATTGCTAAACATCATTAGCGACTTCAGTTGATTATTGTCGTCTCTTATTTTTCCTGTCAAATCTTCAGTTCTATGAAAACCGCGGACCAAGCCAAAGTGACGAGACGTCAATCGGATTGCTCCAACCACCCAGCTCCCAAGCCCATCGACGGCGAAAGCTCGGCGCCTCTTGCACCGAAAGCCTCAAGGAGTTTGAAGATGGTACACCATGTTTGATCGTATCCTACCAACTTCCCACGTCGCCCTTCGCCCTCTGTCTCTCTGTACACGAGTATTTGTAAAGAACTCTGTGATTATACCCTCATATATGCCCTTGCCGTTCCGCTATGTCTTTACGCTTTCCGTTCTTCGTGGAAAAAAACCTTTGGTGACGAATTTCAAACTGGGTGTAATGAGCTGTGGGACCAACCATGTCTTGCTTAATGGTCCCACTAACAAACCCACGCTGCTTTCCTACCGCGAGCCTACTGGCTCAAAACCTGCTCCTTCTCATTCATCTGAATCGTCCAATCCAGGTCTTTCATCTATACCAGCTGTCAGATCTGTTAGATATCCAACCAACCCCATTAGATTCGGGCCAGGTTGCGTGTTGGGTTGAGTTTCCTTGCTTATCTGCAATTGCCGTATCTTTTTCAGGGTGAAGCAAGCTGAGATGCTCCAAAGACATGTTTGCTGACCTGGGCGCGTTATAGCCTTGATGTCTAGTTTCGCTTCGAAGTACGATACCCAATCCAGTCGGCGCTCTCCTGTCAACTGGAGAATTCGTAGCTTCGGTGAGCGCCCTAGGAAATCGCAGAGATGACCACGTCGTTGTATCTGAGGATTGCCGATCTCAATCCGCAGTCGATTATGTTGAGTTACAGCGATTTGACTGTTGGTTCTGGCCGAGGCTTCAATATATCGCTTAGCTCGCGTGCTAGAGTCAAGGAATTATAACTGCAATCCCGTTGGAAGACCAAAGTCCGGAATTCTGGGGGTGTGAACCTGCCGACGGCTCGAAGCCAACGCGATAAATCTAAATTTTTAATCGTATTCAACTTCTCTTAAATATGAAGACCAGATACTGAAGCAATCAAATCAATGCTTGAGGCGACCGATGGTGCCCAGAGCTTGTCCAAGGCCTAACATATTACAAGAGCATTTAATACACCAAATACTTGAAGACTAAGATAGATTAATCGGCATAATGCAGATAAAGGCACTTCAGAGGAAGTTGCGAGAGCATAGTGAGTGGCAAAGCGTTACTGTGTAAGATGCACTAATATCCTGGGCCAGAGGTTGTCTCTCCCCACGATCTTGGCAATGGGTAACACAGTCGTGTTACCACCAAACTGACCCCAGACCTAGCAATATATCTTTAGAGATAGAGTAGGCAGGGTATTGACAGGTCTCTAAGGTATCCGAAATATTTATTCTCCGGGGGTCCAGGAATTACGCTCGAGGGGGGCTTCGTCGAGCTTGCAAATCTTAGTTGGCCCCAACACTTTTCGGATATAAGTATAGGGTATTATTTGGGATGACACTCAATAGTTGATTAATTCGAACTGGATTTGAAAACAGACTTCCCATGAAAATGGGTGTACAGCAAGGTATCTGGTATGATCTTAACTTGAATACACATTGTTGAAAGCTACCCCGGCTCTTGTGTGGTACGTTGTCATCTGTGATGGGGCCATGTCTTGGCAGTCAGATCGTCTCCGTTGCCATGACCCGTATAGCATAGTGTGGAGGGACACGATAACCTCAAAATTATGCGAAAAGAATAAAACTCCTTAGGCCTGTGTAGTGGTGTTAGGCTCTGTAGATCGTCTAATAATGTATATTGTTTGTGCTGCTAGATTGAGCCCTGTCTTGGAACTAGTATCAAAACACTGTGAAATACTAGACTGGCTAGAGTGACTATGAACATGTCACTTAGATCTAGGGAGGGAAAAATTCTTTCCTCTATAGCCTGCTAAAGGGCACCTGTTGCTACATGATCAAGACCCAAGCCTGCAACAATATGTAAGAATTGAGATCAGACACTTGCGAGCGTCGGTTAACTGCATCATCAAAGTTGCCAGTGAAAGTCTATATAAGTGTTCCTGTACAGTCAATGTTCCTGAAAACTCGGTAAGCCTACCGTAGATTCCCAATATAACTGAAGGGAAGGTGCAACCTGTTTAGAACTCGGAAGGATCAATGTATCCCAAGGTGACTGACTACCCAAGAACCATTTCATCGGCAATTTCTTAATATCAAGGTCAAAGGGTAACCCAGTACATGTGGCCATTCTGGTCGTTCATATGACGGAAAATTTCAAATGCTTAGCAACTTGCTGAATGACAGCATCCCTCACCGCACCATTACTTAGGAACCAACATTGTGATTGCTTTGTCTCACGACGCGACCGTCCTTTCTCCTACGAACAGCAACAGCGCCCTAAGCGTATCTTCCCTTCGAGATTTCTTGGTCCCGGAATCACTGCCCATTCCTTTCCCGCTCACCCAAAAATCATCCAACACTTCATCTTCCATCGTCCTCCACTCCAAATCAGAAGCAGCCTTGCTTACCGACACAAGAAAGGTAGGTCACATACCGCGTGTTCTAACTGATGTTCTGTTCATTATTCTCCTCCTTTTTTAACCTGTTGAAATTTTCAGGACTTGGATAAGATCTTCAGAGGGAAATCGCCACGCGTCGACGTGAACAGAAGTCAGTGTTACCCCAACTCATCGCACCTTCCTTGACCCCTAATTACAGCATCGAAATACTTGTCCCATGCACGCAAACATTCAGTGATGAGTACTAATGTGATTTAGAAGCAGAGAATCGACCTGAAATACCTTCGCAAGACACAATGGCCTTGGCGTCTCCTTCGGCGTCTCCTTCGCTGTTTGGGAGCAGGCTTGCTCCAACGGCAACGTCGTTCGAGTCTCGTCCGGCTCCCATCAACACCAGCAAGATTATGGATGCAACTTTTGTCACGCGCTCGCCTCCTGACGTTAGTCGCAATGCCAGCGTCGTCGGTCTTTGCGCCATTCCCTGCGAGCGAGCCGGTGCAGATGACCTGGGTTGGCACATCGCCGACTTTTTGGCCTTCAAGACGCTGCTCTCGCCCATTGTCCGTCCGGCTGCCCAGACTTGGATTTCGCACTGCGACGTTGCAGCTGAGGTGAAGAAGAACCCCGAGAGCTATACGCATGGTGGACGTGTTGTCGCCGCCGCTGCCAACAACAAGGTTGGATCAGAGAACGGCAAGATGTTCGACGACGAGATTAAGATCCACGTCGAGCCGTCCGCTACCAAGTTGGCAACTAAGTTCCAGATCGAGGTCTATCAGAGAGCTAAGCGCGCCCGAGAGAACAGGCAGCCCTTGATCATCATCATATGTGGCCTTACAACTCTTGAACAGGACATCTATTTTGGAGACCAGAAGTACAGCGTTTGTGTTACGAACGAGCAGCTGCGCGTTGCCATAGGCTCCGATGTTAAAGCCACGCTCTTAACTCCTTCTTTGACGTCGGCTGGCTGGCAGGTCAACCCTTCCATCAGCCTGCAGCCCACCTTGCCGTCAATCTCAACCCCAATAAAGTTTTTGGCTAAGCAATGCGGTGGCGTATTTTCAAGCTTTATCAGTCACGAATTCCTCAGCTGGAAGTCGCCCTTCATCGATCATGATCGGGTGGACGAGGAAGTCAAGGCCACTGAAGCCTTCCCAGGTCCTCCGAAGCTGTCTGAGGAGCAACAAGCTGCTCGGGAGGAATTTCGAGATCAGCTCCATTCGCTTCTTGCTGCGCGACTGATGCGTCATCATGATGACCATACCTTTTCCTTCGATAGCACGGAAGATGACTGGGATCAGCTCATCGGCCCTCGCAGAGGCCAACGGCTTGAAGAATATGCACTGCAATGGCGTCAGCTCGACGACGCGACGACAGAGACCGACCCTCATCGACTTAAATTCCTTGGAACTGCCTTTGGCGGTCGTAAGGAATCGCAATTGAACCATATCAAGCACCTGGTCCAGGAGTCGTTCTCCTCGTTTCCTGGATACTATGAGAGCGAGTTCGGAAAGCGCCTTCTGTCGGAGGCTAAGCAATTCCCGGGAGACAGTCATCCCAATGAACTCGACTGCCGCGCGATGTTCAACACTATGGAGCACCGGATGTCACAGGTTTATCTTAGTGACCTTATTGTGAAGTATGCCGGCTTGCATCCGGCATTCAACCAACGATGCCGCGATTGGGATGAGCCTAAATGGACCCAGGTCGCTACGGAGGATACCAAGCGCATCGCAAGCGAAGTTTTTGGCTCCATCATCCGGAACCTGCCTTCGATCCAGATGCCCCTTGGACGAAATGTCAACTTGCAAAGCAAGTTACATGCCCCTTATCGAGTACCGACCTTCTATTTGGCTGCATCTTTGGCATTGCGTTACAATGCCGGATCTCAGCTTGAAAGTGCTCTTGATGGGCTTTTGAATCGTAAGTTATTTCACCCATGTAGTCTGCGCTCATTCTCCAATTGGGCCGTATTGACTAACATTCTCAGTGATCGACCAAATCAGAGACCACCAAGTTACCTTGTTGATGAGCAGCCCTGAGCTTGAAAAGAAGGCCAAGGCTTGGCTCGACTCAGTTAACGTTGCTGCGCGTCAACCTCGCACGAACAGTATTCATCAGTTCAGCAATGGCACTGCTAACCGCTCCGCTAACGGCCTCAATACGAAGGAGATGGATGAGAATATGAAGCTGACTGAGAGCAACGGCTCCATTGCGCTGAATGAGACGGTTTACACCTCGGTCGGACATCCTAACGATATGTCATCGAAGGAGAGGGTTGTGCACGTCGTCATGACTAACGACGAAACCGGCCTTCGTCGGCCCCTTGCGACCACTATGACTACTAACAGTGCCGCTGCTGATACTGGTCGGGAGTCTTGCTCGCGTAGCCCAGCCGAGGCCACAGGTCAACAGGAGGAGGTGAAGATGCGGGGGACCTGGGTGCCTCCACACCTACGCCATAAGATTCCAGTAAAGGCCGAGCCTATGACAACTGGATCTTTTACTAGCCAGACCGCGGGAAACGAGACCAGCCCGGCACCGCTCGGAGGTCCCTCTGAGGAGAATCACGAGGCTAGCACCATCCAATCTGTTCCGGCAGATCACACTGAGGCTCAACTACAAGAGCCAGTCAGAGCGATCGCGTTTGGAAACCGCCTTCAGTCCAACCAGAAGCCCACCCCCGAAGCCACGGGTTATGTGCCTCCTCATCTGCGAAATAGAGCGATCGCGTTTGGAAACCGCCCTCAGTCCAACCAGAAGCCCACCCCCGAGGCCACGGGTTATGTGCCTCCTCATCTGCGAAATAGAGCACCTGGCTTCGTTCCTCAAGTCTCATACCGCTAAAGAGGCGATGTTGTTTGGCGATTAGTATTTTCCACGTGTGTTCAGGAAAGACCTGCCACAATCGCCATCGGAATACCTTTTCCTTCTACACCACAAGCTCATGACCTCATGTCACATGGGCATGATCAGGGCATACGATGACTTCAACCTTTTATGCCGCTACATGCCGAGATCTCCTGATGAGCTTAGGCTTGCCATGGCGTTTTCACCAACGATGGAAAGTCTTCAACGACTGACAACCTGGAGAGATGATCTTCGATCTAGACTTGATTGCATCATTTCCACGGTAAATGGAAGACAAGACTGTTCTGGATTGAGATAAACTCAGAAATTGGCGAGGCGAAATACGAGAGCATGATGCGATAATTTGCTAGGGAAGGGAGACCGGCCGAGAAGAATGGCTATCCCAGTAGGTAATTCATTAGCCTCGCTGAGTCCATGATTCCGATGATTTGTGTTAAAAGATCCTGCCTTGTGACACATCTTGTAAAGTCAGTAAATACCACGAACCCTTCGGGATAGTCCCTGTTACCTTAAGAGAACCTTATGATGCGCTGCTGAAGTCCATGTTAAGAAAATTACGTTCAAAAAAGTCTGGCGCACATGCACCCCACTTCCGAGGTCCCTACCATTCAACACCATCCATAGTTACCAGCTCAATTGCTTAGGCAGTCCTCAGATAAGTTTAATAATAATACGTTCATCTTTATGATCTGTTTCTGCTCTTCAGTATTGTGTATACTTGTCGCGTACGCGACGTAGCTCTCTGACGCGGTTAACAATGGAGTCGAAGGGCCTGTGAGACTACCAACGACGCCTCCGGAATCTAGTCTCTTAACGTCTCTCTGTTAGCCTTGTTATCCTTAGAGAGCATAAGTTAGGGTGTTTTTTTTATGAATTTAGGCCTCCATATGGCGCTACAAATGCTCGATTAGTGACTGATCAGGACTGTGAGCAGGCTAATCGATAGTCTATATGCTGTGGGCTTCTAGCCACTCTTGTGAAGACCTGTAAGTGCGCCTTCTAGCGTTATCTTGCTGGAAAAAGTCGCATGGAGTGTTGATACGTGATCCTAAGGAGGGTGACTCTGTAGCTATAGATAAAATAAGGTGGGGAGCCCAGGAGGGCCTTCGGCCAGCCAGATGGCTTAGCTAACCAAGCTTCCCCAATACAACATTTACACCCTATTTGCACTCGCATCAAGTGTACACTGGTAGTGAGACCTCCTGTAGGGCCCACGTCTACCGGTGTGACCTCTCTGTGAGATGGCTGTGACTTTGAAGTCGCCAGTCCAATTGATTGTTGTTGTTATGTGGAAGGCCCCCATCAGAAGGCTCTTCGGCACTGACCCAAGTGGCTGGTAATCTTAACCCCACTCTATTGGTGACTCACGTGACCATTGTATCTGCCATCTACGACTGGGAAGAAAAACTGTTACGCGCTGCGCACGCTACGTTAGAATTCCGCTCTATAATGGCGATGTTAGAGCCCCCACCTTGTATATGGCCCCCTGAATTATAATGCTAATAGCCGGCTTGCCGTGATCGGTACCGTTAATTATTCGCTTATCAAATCGCTTATTAGGCATTCGCTAGACCTAGCCGGCGCTAGAATTCGTCATATTTTGGACCGTATATTCGGTACTAAAGATGTCCGTCAGCCAGAGCACATGATTGATATTTATATACAAGTCCTCGGTGGATTTAGTTAGGTCTTTAAGGGGGGCTTCTCCCACAAAACTACGTTTACGTACTAATGGATATATCGCACTAAAGTGCAACATCTCAGGAATCGCAGTAGGTTCACTGAGCTTGAGTTCACTCTGAGCAACGTCGGTGACTGATTACCGGTGACTGGTTATCGGCATGAAAAATTCCGACTCGCATGGTATTTACACATATTCTCGAATCAGCGTAAGTTACATTATCATCTCGAGGCAAAACTTACCTTGACACGTTTGTTTTCCATCATTGATATTTTTAACTGTCCTGGCCCTGACCTATAGTCTTGGGCGGTGCCCTCTCGCCACTCTGGAAAACGAACAAAGCTTCGTCCTTCCCCGGAAAACTGGGCAAAGGCACCTGGACAACTTTCGTCCACCCCGGCTGCTCACGCTCCATGTACTCATCTATACTCATATTCTTGAACCCTGTGTACCCGTTATGATTCTGGGTACCTACGACAGCGACGGTATCTCCTTTGTATTCCCTAAGCAACCCCCTTGTAAAGCCGCCCTCCTGCCCACCAGCGATGCCACCCCCGACAATGGGGTACACAAGCAGGAGAACGGCGTCCCTACCACTATCATGGCTGCGTATATACGCCTCGCCATCTGCAATTTCCGTATCGGACACCCAACTTACCCGCCAACTGCTCTGCGCATTGTCTACCGGCTTCACGACCAGCCCGTACGCCCGTAGCATGAACGCCCAGTACCCGTTTCCGCTGCCCATATCCCAGATCTCTCTACCCGCGGCGAGGACTTTTAGTATGGACAGCGCCTCGTGCGAGGGGCATACGCACCCAAAGTGATGCATAAACACAGGTAAAACATGGTGCGAGCCTTTGAGGGCTTCGGAAGCCGGGCAAGGGCCTGCCCATTCCAGGTTCACACAGGCCCAGGAGATGAAGTCGAGATAGGGATTGGGCGGCGCGGATTTTTTGGACCGCGGGATCTGCAGTGCGGGGAGGAAGGGGTGCAGATATCTTTTTGTGATGAGGTAGGATGCGATGGATTGGCGGAGGGAACCCTTTCTTGCGTTCGAGGAGAAGGTTTTGAGAATGTTGGGGGTTAGAGTTTGGGGCGCGAAGATGGAGATGTAGGTTTCGATGTCCTGCTTCGGCGGCGGGGGCGGGGAGGGGTCTGGCAACTCTCTTTGCTGTTGTTGTTGCGACTGCTTAGGGATGGCTACCGATTCGGGCTTTTCATTGGCGGAAGGGGGTTTCGGAGAGTAGTACCAGACGTGCAGGCCATTTGCGTTGCCTAGAGAGATGACATATTGGACTTGTGCGAGGGAGACGCTCATGTTGGCGTGGTATGTGTAGCTGTCGCGCGTGGGTAGGGAGAAGGCGGTTGCGATGGCGGATGCTAGGTCATTTTCGGCGAGGTGGGCGGCGACACGGGCGTGGAGCTTGGTGTCGGAGACGTACGCCGCTGAATCCCAGTTCGAGCCTTCGCAGGGGCGGATGAACGGTTTGGAAGATTTAATCGGAGACATTGCTGGGTATAATCGTACAATTACCCCAGCTGATCCTCAAGAGGCTTGGAGAGTTTCAACAGTTGTAGGTTTCACTCAGAAGAGTCTAGCTTAAATAGGGATACAGGGATACTTTAATGACGTATTAGCTAGAATTCAAAGCAGATTGACAGGGGTAGTTACTACCGTACCTCTAGGACTCGACGTCCGAGTTGACCAGGGGGTCCAACTCTGACCCCTATCACACCAAAAAGATACTTCGATATTGGGAACGACCAGCAACTTGTATATGACGGGTTAGTGGTTAGGTTTAGTCCGGGTTGTCACCATGTTCAACAACTCGCGGCTCTGAACGATACCTGCCTAGCCAACAGCAAACTCAGTCCCGCCGCCACGTTCTGCAGGATTGATAATATAGGACGGCAACGAGGAGTTCAAGTTTCCCCATACGCTATATGTATCGGGCTCGTAGAAGAAGTACCATTGCCTATCCGGACGTATAGCCCAAGCTTCACGAATCATAGAGTACATCTTGGCTTTACCAGCCGCTTCCAGATCGATACGCGAAGTATAGGTCCCACTGGGATCGTTGCCGCAAAAATTAGTGAGATGGTTAGGAAAGGAGGCGCACACGGCGTGCATCAGATAAAATTCTTGTTTCAGAGGCAACGGTATGGAACGGCTCGTTGTTTGCCATTCGTAGATATCAGCATAACCAGGATGGTTGTCTTGATGGTACTCCCCATGTTGGGCGCGGTCAGTCCACAGCATACTGGCGGAATAGAGGACGGCGAAGGTAAGTATAGAACAAAGGTAAAAAGAATTGTTGCATAGACCTTGTTACATTGGATGGCTCTGTCATTGATTCTGTACCTGTCTACTGAATCCATTCCCGGCTGTTCGTTCCCTTTACCTATGGTGACGGTGGTGCGGAAGTGATGACCAGGGATACTTGCAAGTCGCTTGGCCTCACCGATGGTTTGGGGTTTATAGCTACAAACACCGGTAAGTTTGTGGCCCTTGGCCGCTTCCAACCGTTGGGCAGCTCGTTACGTCTCGTCTCACCAAAATGTAACATCGTCCACGGCAGTTCGTCTTTCCTCTCAAGCCGACTGGTGAAGTCTTCTATATATTTAGTGATTGAGTCTCGTCAAAGCATGTCGAATAAGTCCACGGCTCGTACTGGGTTTCTGAGGTAAGATATGAGGTTTTTGCTGAAAACAAAAAAGACGAATATTACTCGTCTATCATAACAGAACGTCGACGGCAGTTAGCGGGCAGTTTTACACAGAACGCACGCAATCTTCCTGGACCACAAACATGGTGGAACGAAGAAGAGGATACCGGACGTGTGCGACTAGCCTTACGGCCGACAAAGTAATATTCGGCGGATGTCTCGTCAACCTTGCAAGCAAGCACCCATGAGCCAATGGGGCATATTGAAAGCACGTTCATGAAATTTCAACGGGTAAGTCGTCATTTCATCGCCATATTTCAGTATGGTATGGTGCCGTGCCGCAATATTGCTGACTGTCTGCTAGTTGAGAGATGGACAAGCGAGCTTGATATCAAATTAGCACGTTATGCTGTCATCAGAACTGCGACCTGCTTGAGTAATCTTAAGTGTGCGGCCGGTACTCCTTGACTAGGTGAACTGTCGCGATCACTCTTAAACCTGCATGCATGTTTCAAACGTTCTTCTTTCCCAAGTCGTCGGTACCTCAGGACATGGTGTGATTGGTCTTTTGCAGACTGGCAGCTATGCGGCTCAATGTAGCCGTAGGAGAAAAGAACTTGTTTGCAGCTTGCAGAAGCTCATCACGATCTTTGGGCCCAAATGGATGTTTTCCCACCTCGGTTACCGTTCAATCATTTTCCACTTTCCCAAGATGCAAAGGGATGTACGTCGGAGAATGGACTGCGGCTATCCGTCAGGTTGGTCTGTAAGAGGAGCCGAGGAAACGAAGTGTGACTTGGGCGGCATGCCTTCCGTGGCGTAAGAGGTCAGCAGTCTGAAGCCCTTGCCTCCAAATAATTGTTTGCTAACTGACCCCAAAAGAATACTTCGATAATATCTACGAGGTTCCGATCTGAGGCCTTCCCATGGCTAGATCTGAAGCCCCCTATACGGCTATTATACATACTGTACCCCTGTTTCAATGCTCGTTGAGCCGTCATCAAGTTCAGATCGATTGGCACTATTGGGGATGAACCATTATGATCTGATAATTGCGACCTACTCCTCTTGGGTCTTTACAGTCGACGGGTATCGCTCATGCAGACAACCGAACAAACCACTACGACGTGTTTCAGCAACACAAGATGTTCTAATTTGTCCCTAGCCTCGTGGAACGTGGGTTATTGTGGCGTTCGCTGAGGGGAAGAATATGGCGATTGAAGAGGGATGTCGTCGTGGCAGTCTCCGATAACCGCAGATACTCCTAGGTTTCTCTCGAGTTCGTCAATATTTTCCACCGACTATGAAACCCTCCATATCCCCATAATTGACCCTGGGTGATTACTACGAAATCAGCCTAGATGTCTTACTTTCAAGAACTGCAACATAACAACAAGACAAGAGGATAAAATATTGTTGCGTGGGTCTCTTCACGATGGCAAACTTTCGCCATGGGTCAACCGTCATCGCCCACCCAAACGCTCACTACTTTGGGGGCAACATAGACCCAAACTTTCGCTACCTTGGTTACCAGTCTGATGTTCCCCTTGCATCAGCCGAGCCTCAGCAGATTAAACGTACAGACTCTTCTAATACGCACTTTTCGAACGACGAGGAGGCTGCGTCAGCGGAGGAGCGCCATGCGCAAAACCTGAGACTCGAGACACGGTCGGCGCCGCCAACATCTTTCAATTGTGGAGTTCGCCTGGCGCTCGATACGTCACTCAAAACTCCAACAGAACGCCAGGATCGCCCCCTGTACCGCCATATCGACGATACAACCCCCAAAGCGGAGCAGCTGGTATGGTCGTACACATCTGCACAACTACCACGATTAGCACAGCCAGGCCCAATGAATCGTGAAGACTTCCCATTCGATGAATTAGTCCACGCTGAACCGACACCCAAGAAGCGGCGAACGGAGACCGGTTCTTCTTCTCAAGTCGATATCAACAGTGTAAGCCCTACTGTCGAGTCGTGGCTCGCCTCGTACGCACCCAGACCGCCCCCCACCCCTGTGTTAGGTTTCAACAGTGGCAACGAGGCCAACACCACCAATGTCTATCCTACGGTAGAGCAGAATATTCCTTGTCGCCCAGCCTCTTTACCTTCTACTCCTGGGCCGGGGCTGAACGGCAACGAATTCTTCTACGATTCATATGAGGGCATGACGGAGGAACAGCAGGCGCAGGAAGATGCCGATGCAGTTGAGCAGGCCGAGGGAGGAATCATCGCTGATCATGAGTCAGTGACCGATGGGGGATACGAATCCGATACGGTGTCGAGTGCTTCGACCTCGATATCATCCAGTGTGAGAGACTTTTCATTCGAAAATGGCAGGCGCTACCACAAATTCAGGGAAGGTCGCTATAACTTCCCCAATGACGATAGCGAGCAGGAAAGGGAAGACATGAAGCACAAAATGCTCACCATGCTGTGTCAGCAACTCCACTTTGCTCCCATCGGAGACAGCCCGCACGAGATCTTGGACATAGGCACGGGAACAGGGGCGTGGGCCATAGAAAGTATGATCGGACCCCAGCTTTCGCGGGAATTGGTTGTGGCTAACACGATGGTTTCCCACAGTGGGTGATGAATTCCCAAGCGCCAATATCCTGGGCATCGATCTGTCCCCAATCCAACCTGACTGGGTGCCACCAAATGTACGCTTCATGGTCGACGACGTGGAAAGCCCTTGGTTGCATCCTCGGAATCACTTCGACTATATCCACTCCAGACACACAGTCATGGCAATCAGAGACTGGGAAGCGCTGTTAAGGAGATCCTACGAGTGAGGTTTCTCCAATTCCCGTGGTATGAAACAGAGGCTGACAATCTTGTGCAACGACAGACACCTCAAGCCAGGCGGGTGGGTGGAACTCCAAGAGATCTACCACTTCCCCATGAGCGAAAACGACACAATGGGCGCCGACCACCCCGTGTACGAATACTGGAAGCACATCGGCGACGGCCTCGCCGCCCTGGGCGTCCACTTTGAGTTTTCCGGCCACGGGCAGATTGCCGACCTGATGCGGCGGTGCGGATACATCAACGTAACGGAGCGTGTCTTTCACGTCCCCATCGGCACGTGGCCCAAGAACCGGAAGCTCAAGAGTGTTGGTTTGTATTGGAAGACGATTTTATTGGATGGCGTGCAAGCCATCGCTTTGGGACCCATGATGAGGGGGTTGAGGTGGCCTCGGGAACGGGTCGAGATATTTCTCGTGGCTGTGAGGAGGGCGTATCATGATAATTCTTGTTTGATGTACATGCCTCTGGTCTGTGTTTATGGCCAGAAGCCACACCGGAATCTTGTGCATGAGAATGGAGGAATGAATTAGCGGCGGTTACACGAAGGGAGTGGAAGAAAACCCATTGGCTGCATGGGGCTTGCAAGTTCTAAAGGGGATAGTCTTATCCGAGGAGGCCTTTGGAAGAGCCGAAGTACTCGGGGCCGGCCAAGCTGAAATGCGTAGGGTTGGTGCTGCAGCTGACTGCGGACCTGCCTGGGCTGTTAGTAATTGCTACCTAATTCTTTTCTCGCAGTCCAAGCGCAGCCCCATCAAACTTGCAATGCTTCAATTGGACCGGCTAATTTGATTGATACGCAATAAGTTGACTACGGACAACTTTGTTAAGCCTTCAAGGTCTGCCGAATTAGGCATAGTCATGGGCAGTTGATGTGATGTCGCAGATACCAGATGGCCGAAACAGGAAAGAGCAGATCCCCGCCCATGGCCTGTGGCTTCCCTTATGAATCCGTCCAATACAACCTGATCTGGAAGCGACGGTGGTGGCACTCAGCAAACATTGCTAGCGTCAAAGTTTTTCACACACTAGGATTTGGGTTCTGGTTGGAACAGGCTGGCTTCTAAGTTGCCAGAAGTAGGCCTTATAGCACTGCAGTGATACCCAAAGCGGCGGATGACAGCATATGTGACTAGGGTTCTACGAATGCATCATTCCTTCCGCTCCTATCTGACAGTAAGCACCCTTCAACTGTAATAACCACAAGAAACTGTGCTGTCCTGGTGCAAAGATTCCCAGCCTATTGGGTCCATTTGACAGGCCCAGTTGGACAAATCCGACCATCAGACGCCACTCACGATATTCGACGATAGCCGTGTCTTATCATCGCGCCTCTTCCCTCGTTGCAGGGAACCAGGTCTTGCATGGCGGCCAACCAGTAGACCGTCTCCCGACCTGCATACACCAGGGCGCCTTCGGATGTACAATTCCGCTGTCAACTCAACGATGTCATGCACCCCATTTCAAACAAGGTTAGCACTGAATGCTTTATATAAGTTGGGCTCTTTGATTTCTACCTCAGTTCCAATGAAGGCGGCTGTGTACCTCAATCGGCCATGCCGTGTCACGGTATAGGTGAGCGGGTGGTCTGACTCCTCACTTCGTGCCTTGAGCCCGGGAACGAATTGGACCTTTCACGGTTTCCATATACGACTTCCGCAAGCACTCTGCCGACTACTAGAAGACGGCCTGTGAAGCTTACCAACGGCTACCTCCATGGTCCTCCATCCAACACAACGTCGAGTGCCACCGCTTCTTTTCATGGACTTTTGATCGGAAGCCAACTCGGATGGGGTGAAATACCGCTAGGCTGACTTCCTTATTGTTGGCAAGACTTGGGAGGCTCCGACATAATATGTCTTCCCTCTGAGAGGCTGCACCCATAGCCTCTCAGTGAAATTGCTGGGATACTTTCAGCTCAGAAAACTATATAGTCGACGGCGATACATCCTGGCAAGAAAAAACCCCCGGCATCATCATCTCCGACTTGGCACTTGATTACGACAAATATCTTTATCAATATTATGTTTTATCCTGCACCTTTAGCTTGGTCTTCGGCGCTGGCACGCATACATCGAGGCCGCTTGAAACCTCGTCATCAATCAATGCTGTTCTTTTTTTTTTCGGCCATATCTGGCCAGATTCATCCTGTATTGTACACAGGGAAACATTTCAGTCTCTTTTAATCCTCGGGTCGCTTCTCTGTTGCGCACTCAGGATTGGGGATTGAGCCGCCTTGTTCTGTGTCACGGAGGCGACGGTTACGCTGACGTATGCACATAGGTGTCAACAATGCATTAAACATAGAACTGGCACTATAAGAATACCATGATATCATATCTCCTCCTTTTGCATAAGTGTACATCACAACCGAGAGGGGGATGGTCTATATCCTTCAGTATGGAAAAGTGGACCACGGTCTACTGCAGCTTAGGGTCCCCTATTGGCACCAGAGCTGCAACTTTGCACGCCATTTCGCCAAAGTTCTACACATGACGGCGACCACAACAGACGGGCCCCCTGCATGCACACATACGACGGAGGCGCTGGGGGACGCAGGCCCAGCGTTGATATCATCAAGGTGCAGACGGCCGAGAGAGAAGGGATAACTGCGTCAGCAAGATATTACCCTTAGTGCCCCAACAGCGCACGCCAAATTCCAGGAAAATACTAGTAGCTTGGGTCCAATCTCCTTCATTCACGTCATTTGAAATCTCCTTTACCGGATACAACTTGCCAGATCCGATTTGACAAATACGACGGGTTATACACAGTGGTACCTACATCGTCGGTGCTGCTTGTCTTTCGTTACTCGTCTTTGCTGGCCCGTCTCATTTTCCCTCCAGAGATTCCACCTTCTCCAATCGCCTCTCTGCCTCTGGAGTTTCTACCGTGTGACGCCCCACAGACAAACACCATAGGAGCCCACTACCAGGGACTTGGGCCTGTCATCAGATCATCTGCCTAGGACTCCCTGGGTTGAGGATCTAGTCACTGCAGTCAGAACGTGACTGGCCCGAGCTGGTGGTATTTCTATCATCTGAGACATTAAATCAATCTGGATCTGAGTTGGTGGACTCAAGTGGATGTCCACTGAACGGCCTTCTCTCTGGCCTGTCAGTTTGGAGACCTGGATATTTTGAACATTGGCAAACACGCTAAGAAGCGAAATATCAAGCCAACTACATCTCCAGTTTTATATGGCAGTAAAACTAGGCCACTGTTTACGCCTCTCTGCTTGATTGCCTGTTACCCGGAGTTGGGAAAGAAAAGAAAGATGCTGAGTGAATCTGATCTGACCTTCACTTCACCTTCCCTTACCCTTATAGCCTGCTTGACTTCGGCTCACGATACCATTCAACCCAAGCCTTGCAGGAACCAACATTCTCACGTTTCCTGTAACGATCAAGTCTTGACACAACCGGATCTTTCAGCACCCACCGATCTTGAATCTCCAGACATAGTGAAGGAATACGCTCAATACAGCCAAGATGATCAGACACAAGTTGGGATCATGGCTCTACTTCTCTGCAGACCAAACACCACATAAAAAGGAGACGAGAAGAAAGAACGGCGGGTCACAATCTAACCACACACCGTCCTCTACAGCTAAGGCAATTACAGAGGAAACACACCAATTGGAGGTGCAGCCAGCTGTGCCCCCAGAACACGCGAAGAAAACCATGAAATTCCCATCTAGCATGTCCTCTCTGGCTCAAAAGATCAGTAGAGAAACGGAAAAGGTCGAGATGTACTTTCGAGACCGAGGATTGCCTCTCCCCAGCTTTGATGCTGATGCTCCCGGTGACTTCGAAAACTTGCCCGAGGATATCGCAAGAAGTCGCAGAGAGGTGATTCAAACAACGAGCGAGTTACGAGATCTTATGGTCAGTCCGAAAGAACGTGTAAGATGGCTGGCTTGGGATGTAAGTTTTTTTTCCTTTCTTTTTTCTTTTCTGCATTTACACTCGCCTGCCCAACACTCGCTTAATCGTACACTGCATGCGAGATTCGCCAATCTGAAACAGATAGATGCAGCCACAAGACGTTCGACTTTGAGAAATTACTAACTTCATTTACTTATCCAGTTTCTCGGTACACAGAGCTTGCAGTTACTGTCCCATTTCGGGATACGTAAGCCGCTATACTATGATTGTTTATTTGGCTGTGAACTGACAAAAGGGGCTAGCGAAACTTGTTCCTATCGAGGGTACAATCACGCTTACAGAACTGCAAAGCAAGACAACCCTCGACCCCACCAATCTCGCCCGCGTTCTACGCCATGCCATGACAAAACGCATCTTCATCGAGCCGTCGCCTGGGGTCATCGCCCACACAGCCGCCTCGAGACTTCTTGTCGAGGACGAGAGCCTCAACGCCTGGGTTGGTTTCAACACGGAGGACATCTACCCAGCCTCTAGCCACGTCCTCGAAGCTATTACGAAGTATCCCGAAGCGACCAACTTGACCCGCACCGGATTCAATGTTGCCTTTAACACGGTTGACCAGGAACCCATGTTCGTCACGTTTGGCAAGGACCCCAAACGTGCCCGACGCATGGCCCTCGCTATGAGCAGCCTAACTGGCGGCGAGGGATACGAGGTCTCCTACCTAGTCAACGAAGATATCTTTTCGGACATCGATGCGCGTGGGGGCACGCTGGTCGATATGGGCGGTAGCCACGGCTTCATATCCGTCGACCTAGCCAAGCGATACCGTAACATGAGATTCATCGTACAAGACCTACCCAAGACAGTCAGCAGCGCCCCCAACCCCATCAGTGACGACACTCAGGTCGTGGAGCGCGTCGTCTTCCAGGCGCACGATTTCTTCACCCCGCAGGTGGCGAAGGATGCAGATGTGTATTTCTTCCGGTGGATCATCCACAACTACTCCAAGCCGTACGCGGTGCAGATCCTGCGGAACTTGATACCGGCGCTAAAACCTGGGGCGAGGATTGTGATTAATGATATTTGTCTCAAGGAGCCCGGCATGGAGACCCCGTGGAACGAGCAGCTGATACGGAGCATGGATATGGTTATGATGACGCTGCTGAATGCGCAGGAGAGGCAGGAGTGGGAGTTTAGGGAGTTGTTTGAGTTGGCGGATAAGGGGTTTGTCTTTAAGGTGAGTTTTTGCCAAATTTTGTTTTCCCTTTTTGCCCGCTTTCTCTCTTCACTATAGGGATCGGTACTGATGTGATCTATGCAGGGCATCACTAGACCGAAAGGCTGCCGATTGAGTATTGTGAATGCGGTTTGGAAGCCCGATGAAGTTGGGAAGAACTTCAGCTTGGGCTTGGCTTCGGGTTTGGGTTCGGGGGAGGATAGGAATGAAGTAAACGGCAAAATTTGATGATGCTTCCAACTTGAGGTCTGGGGAGTCAACTCTGGAAGGCATTTAATGGCACAGGAAAAGGATGCGAGAAAATTCTGCATGATGCGTAGAGACGCACCGGACATAATTCAGGGAAAAGGGGACGGGATGAGAAGCACTTGATTTGAGCATAGAGCCAGTACTTCTTGGCATCCTGATGCATAGCGATACTTGGTTGTGTTTTCCATGTGTTCTGTGGAAAGCTGGCGCTTTTATTATTATTGATGCGAACGCATATAGGTAGACTACTTGAATATCTCGCTATCTTTTATTCCATGAGTGGCGAGAGACTGACTGGGGGTGTTGACATCCCTATCTCAGTAAAGTGAACAAGGTTCGCTTCAGGCTTGCATTCTATTCTTTGGGGTGAATGCGCGTAACGTCAAAGCTGGTAAGGTGGTCAAATGAATGAACATGGTTTGCTTTTTTCAACGCTGATTGTATATCATACTCTGTCATAATCCTGGATTGCTATGTAAGAAGCCCACTTCTTCCTCAAGTTTTGCTGCCCGAGGGAAGATTTTTCACTCCTGGCCGCCTGCAAGCAGTGCAACATCCATATCATCAGTCTTTAAAAATCCAGAAATGCCATGGAGAATACCGCATTTTGCCATCTGGTTCCCTAATCTTGGCTCAAGGGCAGATAAGCAGCTACTACCTCGAGCAGTGTGAAACTCATCTCATCCTTCTTCAAACAAGTAGGAATTCTAAAATACCTCCTGTAGCACCTGTTTCTCCTTTTGTGGCTCGAGAAAAAACCTCAATGGGTGCTATTTTTCCCTTCTCGAAATACCGGTGATGCAAGGAGGAAAAGAGCTTGTGCCATCTGAAATGACCTTTAACAGCATCTTAAAAAAAGACCACCTCAATGCAATATAAGTCGATGACCCTTGCCGGCTGAAATGGAGTTGACCTCAGCAGGCTGGGCAAGATTCTCTTAATGACACATCAATGACTCCTTATGCCGCACAGAATCGGTGGCATTTAAATTTTGTAAGCGACGTAGTCATAGCGCGAAGGCGCTCCGAAGACTCTCTCAAGAGACCTAACGACGCACGTTCGCTCCGCCTGCTCTTCCTGCCGGGTGGGGACTTGAGATCCGCCAGAGCTCCAGGAATGAACTCTCCAGTACGTCACTGTGACCTTCTCCTCATTGCGTCCGTTCTCGGCCGGGAGTGTACCAATGACGAGCTTCTTCTGTCTCCAAACTGGCTCGCTGATTTGGTGATGGTCTAGGATTCGCCAGATGTCGAGTTGAGTCCCCTTCGTTGCGTTGATAATCTGCGGAAAACGCTGGTCAATGGCCTTCTGGATGTTGAAGCAGGAGTGCTGCATATGAGTTGTCGAGTTAGTGACTGACTATATCAAATGGGAAGGTGTAGGGGTCAAGAGGAAAACTCACGCAATGGTCATCGAAATTGCTGATGCGGCGGAACTGTGGGCGAGCTGCCAGGTCAAGGGGATAATCCAATCGGCTCGTCTTGGTCGACTCATATCGGTTACACTGATAGAATCTCTCGAGATTGATCTCGCGCAGGTTTGGATACTGCCATCGGAGCAGTCTCCATACACGTCCGAACTCTGGAAACGAGATGGGAGGGTCTTCAATTGTAGGGACGATTGTCCAGCCCGCAGTGGTGATTTCAGCTTCATCCCATTGCCCCACATTGTTCGCGAAGCTCGAGAGGGCAGGCGACAGCTCGGGGATACTGATACGCTGTAGTCTCTTGAACTGCTTTGGGTGGAGAACCATGCCAACGGCGTTGTGAACGGGGACTCGCACGATATCCAGATCGAAGTTGAAGTAACAGACTGAACCTCCTCCGGCAAGGTAAAGAGCTTGCTCATAGTGTCGAAGGGTCTCGGCCCGTGACTCCTTGTTGATGAAGAGGCTGGGAGGAGGTTTGGTGGCACTCCACGTCGCCGTGTCAAGATACTCTCTCGGCTTTGATGGCATGTTGACATTGATGCCCCAGATTTGACGGACCAGTCGAGATGCATAGATCCGCATGAGCCGATGGCTAGACTCGTTACCTGCAGTAATGTCTTCGATTTGATACTTGGCACCGTGCAGCACAGTTCGGTAAATGTAACGTGATAAGGTCACGGTTCGATGCTCCCAGGTTTCCCGCCAGATGTGGCAGCGGATCTCGGAGGGCAGATCGTTGAACCGACGGAAAGTGACGCCTATATGGAGGTTCTTGAACCTCAGCGCCATGTTGGTAGTGACGTCCTTAATCGATGGACATGTGGCACGAGGACGCGACTTGTAGACGCGAATTTCGGAGAAATCACCTGTCGCAGGGGGTGATACGATCTCGTTGCCTTCACCTTCCGGGGCGGGCGAGGAACTAGATTCGTGATTTTGAGGCTTATGAATGGCGTAGATGCCAGCTCGATATTTTCCTGGCATAGAGAGATCGACTTCATGCTCCATAGCGTCATGGCGGGGCCTCATGATGATGGTGGGTTACGTGGTGATGAACAGCAGGCTCGACAACAATCTGATGTTCGCAATAATGCAAGAACGAAGGATACGGATTAATAGCGCGAGTAACGTCGGGAGTGAGGTAATTGAAAAATACAGAATGCCGTGAGCTTTGGTAGTGTGCAAAGTCGGTGAGGAATCATATGGTCCTATTGCTGTTTGAGAGTGCGCGTTTCTGGTGAAGAGGCGTCGATGTTGGTGGTTGCCGACCGCAAGACCGGAACCAGGTGTTCGAGACGGGAGGATCACCAAAATAAGATGTTGAAGGGTTGGGCACATAAGACAGAAGGCGCAAACGACGCACAGCAGAACCAGTTGCCACCTGAGGCAAAGGTAGTCCAAAGTCGTCTGAAGTGATAACATCGCCCTCAAAATAAAGGTAAAGAAACTCTGGTCAATTGCAAATTCTTGCACAGCGACCAAACACACGAAGTTTACTTTTCCATCATGTGCCTGAGAAGCAACTACAGTTCATGCTTATTTAGCCAGATTGTTCCAGTACTGTTCCACCGAGATAGAACTATTTATGCTACGTTCATCTCAGCGTACTTTTACATATGTATATATATATATGAAGGATGTATTTTCAATTCCAGTGTTATCCCATCCCACAGGAAAACGACGTCTAATACTTGGTTAGATATAAGAGATGACGATTGGATTCCCTTGTCTAGTCCTGCCCGCTGTGCATCGCGTCCCCTTTGCTAAAATGGAATACCTAGTATCACGTATAACGACTATCCAGACTACTGTAGAGCCCTGATTTCTGCTACCCTTTTGAGTGGTTTCTGATTGACACCTGTTCGATTTTCCGACTAAATGCAGCCACAACTTGGTTATTCATATGTAAACCACCATACCGTATTTACAAACAACAAATCCACATCATAAAGCACACGCTGTTATCACAAACAACAAATCTGGTACCTGTTCGGTCGAGTCGCGGGATTATCTCATAGTGCGTATGATGGGTACGTGACTACACCCTCACGAGCAATCAAGTCCTGTGATAAGGCTCTAATGGAATATTGGTGAGTCTACATTCCCTGGAGTAGAACTTTGCCAGTCGCCAAAATTGTGGCCAGACACAGGTTTGATTCCATAGATGGCTGGCTTGAAGCTGCGGGAGTCTTTCATGTTCGTCAATCTGTCCCAGACTGAGACTCCATCTCACTATCATTTTCTTCTTTTCTTTACGTCAATCGAAACAGAAATAGAAACTTAAAGTGAAAAAATGAACTCATAGGATTGATACCGAATATTCTGTTCTATTTCTATAAATTGTGGTTCCGTGAGTATGAGCAGCATGAAGTAGAATCAAAAGACTGGTAGGATGAAAAGGAGCCGTGGTAGACTCGTTCATCGGAGTGGACATAGTTTATGAGAAGTTCACGGATCATCACGGAGTCCGCACAATGTAAAGAATTGGAATTCTCTTCGTATACAAGAATATGAGTTACTGGATGGACTATTTAGACGAAGCAAGCGATAGGAAGCAATAGGAAGCAATTAGTCACGTCGTTCCACCCAACCGTAGATGAATTGGTGGAACTTGAAACAACCAGCATTTGTTGCCAGGAAACGATAGATTCTGGTATTTTATTCTGCATACCCGTTATAAAATGTGGTTAAGGACGAGACAAGCGTAGTAGTAGCTTCAGCAGGTTCGGCATCTTGGGTCCCCCCTGGCAACAGCTGGTGGTTTTAATATGCAGGTTTCAGTGAGACGACTTGTTCATAGTACGTTTTGGCCGCGGTCTCGCCAATGCTTCAACATACTTCAAAGCAATATTTCAGACTTCCAAACCGAAGAACCGTCTGCGAGTTGGGACATCGAAAAGGTTAACAGGGATTATGCATGAACATACAACCGCCCCAGGGCGGGGTTAGCAAATATCCCAGCTCATACAAGTCCCACAAATATCAATCCTTCACCGTATACATGCGCCACCTTTCAATGATAATCATGAGATAAGATGCCAGAGAATATTTATACCATCCATACCTCAACTCTATTTGACCCACAGAGGAAGAATTTCTTCAAAAATGTGTCAATCGTCATCGACCCGCAAGCCGGTGTGATCGTTGATGCTTATCAGCGAGAAGCTCAGCTCTGCAAGTTGGGCGCAACCGACGTCGACCTTCGGGGCAAAGTGGTGATGCCCGGCTTCGTCGATGCTCATACGCACATATTTCTGCATTCTTACAAGTAAGAACTACCCGAGCATAGCTGTGCAACTCGAGCCCAAAGCTGCGTCCCTGACAACTCCACAGTGAGCGACCAGCCGCAGAGCAGATGCGTGACGAGAGCATCGTGGAACGAGTTGTCCGTGCAACCAACCATGTGCGCACCGCGCTGCTGGCGGGCTACACAACCTACCGTGACTTGGGGTCTGAGGCGATGCAAAGCTTCGATGTCAATCTGCGGGACTCCATCAACCGTGGGCTGATACCTGGGCCTCGGCTCTTTGTTGCGACTCATCCGCTGGGCAGTACCGGTGGTTTCGAGGTAAGGACCGAGAACTTCCACGGTGGCGTGCGGGCGCCGCCTGCTTCCGATCCGGGAGATGGCCCCGAGGGTGTCAGACAGGCGGTGCGTAGACGTGTGGCCGAAGGCGCCGACGTTATCAAGTTCTACGCGGACTACCGCCGGAAGATCATGCGGTTTCCGCCCAAACAGCAGCATCCGTACAAGTTGAGAGTGCAATTCCCGCCGGCGGATCCCAACCCCCATGTGCCGCTATTCAGCCAAGAGGAGATGAACATGATTGTCCAGGAAGCCAAGCTGGCGGAGTTGCCGGTGGCGGCACATGCTGGGGGGTTCAAGGCAGCAATGATGGCCGTCAAGGCTGGCGTTACATCTCTCGAGCATGGCTTTGAGACTACGGACGAATTGTTTGACGAGATGAAACAGCGAGGATGCATCTTCGTGCCGACGCTGGCAGCCGCAGAGATGTTCAATAAAGATGGCATCAAGGGCATTCTAGCACAAACAAAACGGGCGCACGAACTTGGCGTTCGTCTAGCAGCAGGTGGTGATACCGGGGTATTCTCACATGGCCAGGGTGCACGAGAGATGGAGTTGATGGTGGAGGCTGGCATACCCCTCAATGATGTCCTGACAGCATGTACGATTGGCGGCTGGGAGAGCTGTGGGGGTGATTTATGTGGCTTCAAATTTGGCTGGTTTGGAAAGGACAATCGCGCTGACATTATCGCCTTGGATTCGGACCCGAGAGAAGACAAAACTGCGCTGCGGAGGATCAGCTTTGTGATGAAGGACGGCAGGGTCTGGAAGAACGATGGTATCGCTGTTGATATGATTCAAAACCACCATGCATGGGACTGCTGACCGCACCATCCCATCTTAGCGATTCCCTAATACGGCCCAAATTATGGAATGTGATGCAGGTGCGATGCTGTACCTAATGGTTTATCACTGCCGTCAAAACTGGTATCATCCCAGGTTTTGTCCTTATCAATCAGTTGTAAGTAGCCAATATCAGACTGTACTAGGGTGTGGTTACGGCATAAGCTACCCTCAGAACCACCAACTCGTTCCACTTGAGCAACAGGCTTACATTATGTGTAGCCCTTTATTATGCTTGATATATCTAGACTTGTTTATTTCACAGATTCGTTTTATTATCGCTTTAAACATCATGATCCAGTTACTTCGCAGTCATATCTCGTCAAGTCGATTGACGCCTCTTGGCAGCCGCTGTCAAGTTCTACCATCTGTCTTTGTGGTTTGAGGGTCACACTTTCAATACTGTAATATCACCTCACCCGCGTTGCTCATATATATTTGGTGTTTGAGTTTCATGGGGTTTTCCTGTTTCCTTTAACGCGCGTCTACGCTGTCGTTCGGTTGCGATCTCATCTCTTACGGCATATATGTAGACTCAGGGACATCACCCCGCCAGTTTCTTCACGTTGCAAGGGCCGGTACAGAAATGGGATGGCCCAGGACACAATACTTACACTGAATTCCTCTGTATGCTAATAATTTATGAGAGACCAGATCGAAAATTTGTTTAAAGAGGTTAATATTCCACTTTGATTAGGGCACAGCGTCATGCCACTTGAATATGTTGTTGAAACTGTGTACTCATTAGGAACTGATGATTTCCAAGAAATAGGTAAGACACGAAGTGAACTCTTATATTTCGTTCTTGAACCCCTTTTTATTCCGAAATCAAGGCTCTTGAGTAGTACTTATACACAGTTTCATCTCTATCAAACGAAGGAGTATGGTAAATACTACCATTGTGTCTTCACGCCCCTGAATTCTCCAAGGTGCAGGTTTCACCCGAGACAAAGCAGTTTACTTAGAAAAATGACTTATATAACCGTGGAAATTTCAAATCCTAGCGATTAGCGTGGCCCACGAGGCAGCGGAAGTTACTGTATCTTATTTCGATTAGTTGTAGTAGCTCCAACGGGATACTCTGTAGTTCTAGTTGGGAAACACTTTTGTAGGCAAGAAGTCACTCTTACCACGAAGCCCAGAACAATAGCTATACAGGAATAAATACGACATTGTCAACAGAGCCTCAGCCGATGAGATGGTCGAGTTACCATCGAAAGTGAACATGATACGCAGCAACTGTATTGACTCTCTCTCCATTCTTAGCCGCAGGTAGTCAAGAAGACAGTATTATCTGTTGTTGAGAACCTGGATCTTTCTAGCGAGTCTAGCTACATCTTACCTTGGCGGCGATTTCCTGTTAAACTCTGCCAATGCGGCTTTCAAGTGTTTTATTATCTGATGCCCTGTAATTACCTTCCTCGTACCCGCCTTCTGATTCCCTGAAGCTACCACCAACTACGAGACACCAAATCGTGAACCGATATAGGTCCGCGGACAGCCCAGTAATCTTTTATTGTATCTTCTGTCTTTTGGTCTTTCTCTGTAATAGTTTTAGAAGGTAATATTTCTCAGATTCGCACACTGCGCCCCACCCGTTTTCTTTCCCATACGCACCAACCCGCTGCTACATCTTCCTCGCAATTGCGACCCTATTCTCTGTTCATATGGATCGCCAATGGCTCCAGGGCCAACAAAGGTCCTTCTTCGACAGATACGGGGGCTTCGGTTCAAGCGTAGATGACGTGATGGTCATTGATGATGACCAGGACGAAGGAACTGCCGATTCCGATGTGGAGGGAAATATCAACCCTGGCCAGTTCGATCGCGATCACCGCCCATTCATTGAGAGATTCAAGAACTTGGGCCAAACCAGCCGTACACCTATTGTCATCGATGACGAACAGAACGAAGAAGCAGAAGTCGAACTTACCGAAGAAATCGCCGAGGTCATCGATTTGAGCGTGCCATCTCCATCTCTAACGCCTGACCTGCAGCAAGCACAGCGTATCACACGAAACGCGCCGATTGCAGCTGATCTCATCCGGCCGAGCTGCAATCACAATGGAATGACCATCGAGAAGAGGGATACTGTAGAGTTTGACGGACTCGACGAAGCGAACCTCTTGGCCACATTTCTGAAAGTCGACCTGGTTTGGATGTCGGATGGCCACACCAAGCTTAGAGGCATACTCTACGCTCGCACACACAATACCAAGGCCAAGCTTCCTTACAAGCGAAACGAGGTTGTTCAAGTACTGCACGTTGACGAGAATGATCGGCGCCCTTGGGACGAGCAGGCTGCAGTCGACATCATGGCAGAGACCGTTATTGGCAAGCGAGACATGCGAAGTACCAATGCCTTGTTTTCACAACACGCCCTCAAGGCCTCCCAATATGCATCCAAGCTCGAGGCTTACGAGATTGGACCGCTGATGAACAGATGGAAGTTAGTAACCTTCTACAAGGACGCACTCCAAAGAAGGGCCGGCAAGCAACGTGGAGTGGCTATAATCCATCTTCGAGCAGAAGATGTCCCCGAGGCATTTCGAGTGCCGGATGACGTTGTAACCAATAATTCGAGAGGAGGTATTGTTAGAGGCGGATCCTACAACCCTGGCCAGCTTGACGGGGTTGTTTTCGACCTGGAATCTGCCCTCCTAAACCCGAACAGTAACCAAATTCGTCTCCCTCAGGGCCGTTTTCAACAATACACCTACGCAGATATCTTCTGCGGAGCTGGAGGAACTTCGCGCGGTGCGAAGTCCGCCGGCTTTCGTCTTAAGATGGCGTGCGATATTTGGGAAGCAGCTTGCCTTACGTACCAGCGCAGTTTTCCAGAGTGCGACATCAGACAGCTAGATGTTCATCACTTGATCCAGTACCTTTCGAACACCGAACAACGGCCCGACGTCCTACATATTTCACCGCCTTGTCAAGATGGTCGCCGGCTCATACGCGTCCTGGTCAGAACGACGACACGAACCTAGCCGCGTTGTTCTCGTGCTTCCAGATCATCAAGAAGCTGAAACCAAGGATTGTGATGCTCGAACAGACATTCGGCATCCTCCACCGCCGATTTGAACACTACTTCAATCTACTCAACAACTGCTTCACCAACAGCCATTACTCCGTTTCGTACCGAGTTATCCACATGGAAACCTGGGGCGTGCCTCAGCCTCGCAAGCGACTCATCATCATCGCGTCCGGCCCCGGCGAAAAGCTGCCCAGCTTCCCTCCCCCCAAGCCCGGAAGACCCACCGTCGCTAAAGCCCTCGCTACTATCGGCCGCCGCGCAACGCTTCATAACCCTGAGGAGCTCAAGCGAGGTGGACGCGCCAAAGGAACTTACCCCAAAGCCCCCTGGGACCCGGAGGGTGTGCTGCATAACACCGTGGCGACCAGCGGTGGCCGGAGCAACAACTAACACCCCTCGGGAGAGCGAGCCTTCACGCTTCGCGAGTTCGCGGCGTTGCAGACTTTTCCGTCGCACCATCGTTTCAAGGGCCAGGCCATCAAGAAGCAAATTGGGAATGCTGTGCCCCCTGCCGCGGCGGAGTGGCTCTGTCGCTACATTCTGCAGCACTTGTTGCGCGATGACGGAATGGAGGCTCGCGTCGAGGACGACGATGTAGTGGTGCTGGACTAAGTACGAAAACTTGCCTCCGATGCGGACAACGCAGTACCAGGTCGATTCAGAAAAGACAGCTCAGTGGATAAGATTGGTATCTGTAGGTAGTTTGTATGATGTTTGGAATCGCCGGCTTAGAAGGTACGTGTCCCTATTTTCTCAAAACCTGGATCAAGTTGAAAACTGGTGATTTTCTCCAGACCTGGCCTCGATATTGGAAGAATCGCTAACTTCTTTACGAGCAATTTACAGACTTGATCAGGGGATAATGAGGTTGTTTGCTCCCTTAAATAACAATCATGCTTCATCAGGCTGGAGGAAAGGCATCAATTGCACCTATCCCACATTGGGAACCTCGAGAGCTCACTTTGATAGATAATAAATCGCTACGAAACACAGTATCTCGTTACGTTCTCGTTCTTCCATTCTTTCCCCGCTCAACGTAGAGTCCCCTCACTCACCTCTCCCCGGACCCCAGCGTCGCCGGATCAATCCAGGCAACATCCGGTTGCTCCCCCGCCGGCGTCATGAAAACATCCACTGGCCTCACGTAAGGTTCAATCTCCTCATCGTCAAAAATCATCGTCACATTACTCTTCCTCTCCGCCACCCCATCGTACCCCGGCCCATACACATCCCACACCGCCATCGTCGTGTTCACCCCTATATTCCCATTCACCGCGCCGCCCCACGCGGTGTACCCCGCTGGTAAAATACTCGAATCAAAGTAAGTGTCCATGAATACACTCCGGTGCAGCGCGTTCCAAGGCCGGCCGAGCGAACACTTATCCACGAGGGCGGGCGCGATGGAGGAATTGGCGACGAGGACGCGAGATGAAGAGATGTAGACACCGTATTTGTTGGCGAATGTAGTATTAGTCCCCTTCCAGGCCGTGATGCCGCCACCGCAAGCGCGCAGTGACAGAGTCGATTTTGAGATCCAGAACGTGCCGAAGCCGTAGAGGAAGTCAGTTTCCCCGGCCACGACCGTGTCATACAAATATGCATTTCCCAGTTTGCCGATGTATATCTATATCCATATTTGGTGTCAAAGTTCACGGTCATGAGTTCACAACTTATAACTTACAGTGTCTTGCCAACTATAAAACCCGCAAGAATAGAACCCCGCATTCGCCCTACTCACCCCCAACGCGTGCGCCGGTCCATTCGAGTACGGAAACTCTTCGTTCCTGAAATCGATATTATACGCCCGGAAATCCGTGCAACCGAAGGGCGTATCGTCTGGCACGGGGAATCCCGTCGGACCTGAGCCGGTAAGCGTGGCGTTGAGGGTCGGCCCAATGGTCAGGACGCCTGTGTACACATTATCAGTGAAGACGGCGTCGTTGTTGGCTGAGTTCCAATACACTTGGACGTCGTTCTCGTGCGGAGTGTCGTAATCGATGTCGGCGTATGACTTGTTTTGCCATGGGAGGTTTGATGCGCCTAGTAGCGTTAGGGGGCCGCCGCGGGTGACGTTCAGTTGTTCGATGTAAGTACCGGGGGCGATGAGGATAGTGTAGGGCGTGGTGTTGTTAGGGATGGAAGAAATGGCGCTCTGGATTGTGCGGAACGTTGCGTTCGTGTCGACTTGGCTCACGTAGAGGGTCCCAGGGGGGCAGCCTGAGAGTGGGTTGGGGGTCTTCCTCTGGCAGTTGGCGAAAGTTTGGACTGGGGTGTTTGTTGTCCTCGCTGTTGTTGGCAGCAAGAGGGAAGCGATGAGTGTAAGTGGTTTGACCGTCAACATTATCACGACTGTATGTTACTTATGGCGATATATACATTGTGAGTTGACTGCCAATAATTAGCGCTCTCAACATAGCATAGGATTCTTTCGTATATTCAAGGAGTAAGATCCCACAAAGAAAATACGATCGAAGACGTTAGATTTCCTGAACCTGGACCGACAATATTAATAATAATAATATTAAATACGCCGTAGGTGTTAATCCTCGGTACCTCTACAAGTACTCCCTTAAGGGGCTATAGATGATACAGCGGGCCCTTAAGCCTAAGTGCTACAACCCCTGCCTGAACTACCGATAAGTGTGGTAATGTGGCACTTAAATTCGTCCTCAGGGGTGGGATGCTGCTGATGTGCAGAAGATGCTCGACTATTTTTTGTCGCGACAAGTCGTAGTATCTGCTAATTGGGGTTCTCGTCGAGCGTATACATCTCAACCATACGCTCAAGTGGATAGACCGTAACGTGGTCTAGACGCTCGCAAGAATCACGGCGAGAGGGCGTGCTGCGCGCCTTCTATCGTGAGGGGACGGGTTCGCCGACGAGCGTTATGTATAGGCGAGGTCCGATAAGGGGTCGGGTTAACGATTCGAATTCTGGACCGGCTGTCGAGTTATATTCCGCCAACGTAGTGCTTGACGGTCGACTGGCTAGGATGCTCGTAATCCTAAACTGCACCAATCTCCCTATTATCGCTAGGTAGGCGAAGTCAACAAGGTGGGCAGCGCGCCGTAAGGGTTGACTAAACCCCCTTGTGTGTCAGCTGCGGGATTCGCACCCGCGACTCGTCACCGACCCAAGTGGGCGAGGCTCAATTCGGGACTTATCTACCAGCGAAGTGACCAACTACACCAGCCGACCGACAATATTAAAAGCCCCAGATGTTGCCCCAGCTGCCTTCGTAACTCCTTCGTAGCTCCAGAGGAGTATAGTGCGGGGATGCAAGCTTCCCCAACTTTGACCCCTGAAAATATACTCAAGTGTCCCCAATGCCAAGTATTTAAACCACTTTATCCGACTGGGACTGTGGCGCTAATCAAGGATCTTTCAGGACTGGATGTTGTTCTGGGCATTGTAGCCCGGTGAACTGGGCCCAAACCAGGAATAGCTGCGATGATCTTCTGTTGACGAGGCGTTCTCACTGACGGAAAAATCATAGATGCGGAAAAAATGGATGGAATCTATCGATCCGGGCACAATGGGTCCTTTGTCTCCAATCATTACGAACTGTCAAAATGCATGGTGACATGGTAGCTTGGACAGGCAATTGGATCGACTTAATCATATATACCAGCACGTAGATTTACTTTCATAGGGCAATATGTCAATCAGGGTCGCAGTTGGTCTTAGTCGTGGCTGGATCTTTGAAAAGTCATAAATAATCCCCACGATGGTGTCAAAAGTCATCACCAGCGCGGTCGTGGCCGGTTTGGCAGTCGCATCTAGCGCAAGACTTGCTGGCAAATCCTCGATATCGCGGCCAAACATCGAACCGTATCCGAAAACCCTCAGTCATCCGCTGCCAACGTCGCCTCAGAGAAATAAGACCTGCTCCGTCACCTCCAGAGGTTCTGGCGACGATGATGCCTCAGCCATTCTGCAAGCTTTTAACGATTGCAACAATGGAGGCACAGTTGTTCTGGATTCAGACTACACTATTGGCACGGCGCTGGACTTGACATTCCTCAACGGCGTCGATGTTGCACTCTCTGGCAGCATCACCTTCACCGACGACATCGATTACTGGGTCGAAAACTCGTTTAAGTACGATTACCAGAATTCGTCTACATTTTGGAAGTTTGGCGGCAAGGACGTAAATATATATGGCGGTGGAATTGGGTTGCTAGACGGCAATGGTCAGGCCTGGTACGACCAGTTCGCAGCAGAGCCGACTCTGCTGCGACCCATCACTTTGGTGCTCGACGGCCTGCAAGGCGGAAGCGTTGCTGGCATCAACATGATCAACTCGCCAAATGTAAGAAGACGCCGTAATGCATGAATTTCCAGTGACTGACATGAAGCAGTGGTTCAACCTCATCGCCAACAGTTCCGACATCCTCGTCAGCGACGTAACAATCAACGTCGGCAGCACATCCAGCAATCCAGCCAAGAACACAGACGGCTGGGACACCTTGCGCTCCGACTCGGTCGTCATCCAGGACTCTATAGTCAACAATGGCGACGACTGCGTGTCCTTCAAGCCCAACAGCACCAACATCGTCGTCCAGGGTCTTTCATGCAACGGATCGCACGGCATCTCCGTCGGCTCTTTGGGCCAGTACCCCTTGGAGTACGACATTGTCGAGAACGTGTACGTGTACAACAATACCATGTCCAACGCGGGCGACGGCGCGCGCATCAAGGTCTGGCCTGGCATCGACACTGCGTTCGAGCCGGGGCTGAATGGGGGTGGTGGTGCTGGGTATGTGAGGAATGTTACGTATGAGATGTATCATAATGTCAACAACGACTGGATAATTGAGCTCAATCAGTGTTATGGGCAGTCCAACACGACACTGTGCCAGATGTATCCTGTAAGTTGGGAGGATTTCCGCTCACTCTCCAATCTTATGCCCCCGCCCCCTCCCCCCTCCCCCCTCTTGACAGCCGTCCTAACGATCATTTGCAGTCTAACATGACGATATCGGACATTTATTTCCTCGATTTCACGGGCACCTCGTCCAAGAAGTACGACCCGAGAGTTGGCACTCTCGTATGCTCATCATCCGAGGTTTGTTATGGGTTCTCATGTGCGAAGTTGTGGATAATGCTAACTCGACTGGTAGCAATGCTACAACATCCACGCTCGCAATATTTCCATCACCCCGCCGAGTGGAAAGGCACCTCAGTGGATTTGCAATGGATTTGACACGGTTGACTTGGAGGGGTTCAACTGTACTTCATCTTAGGAACTGCTGGGGGGTCGACCCCCTTTGGCTATCAAGTAGTCTTCCACCATACTTTAATGAAATAATTGCATTAGTAGTGAATAACAGCAGTCTTAGTGCTCAAACCCCCGAGGGCGCCGCCAAGACGGCTACCTACCCGATACGGCGGAAGCAGCCTGCATTGCTGCTGCTTATTGGACAAGCCAAGCCGATCTATTGCTCTTTTGGGTTCTTTAGAACAGTTACACATCAACATTAAGGCGCATTCGACATGTTGCTGATATGTCACCACTGCGACGCCTTCTCAAACAGAGAAGCAGCCGCTGAAATACTTAGAATGCCACAGCTGCGCCGACTTGAATCATGTCAAGTAGTTTCCAGGTTGACCAGGAAACTCTGAACGACATCCTCCATCTTCCACCAAGTATAACAGCCAATTGACCAAAAGGATGCCACCCACTCCTGACAACTTTGCCAAACCCGAGTTCGTCACCGGTGGCTGCCTCTGCGGCTCGGTGAGATACAAGGTCGATTTCCCCCCGGATCACGACTTCTTGAAAGCGGTAGGCACTCCCTTGGACCAACAAGACCGCCTTCAGGGACTTCCTTGTTGCTCTGAAGTCCTGTTCAGCATGCCTTGCCTCCAGTCGAGAAAACGTCATCGAGCTAACCACCCACCCCACAGAGCGGAAGCTGCCAATGCACGCAATGCCGCCGCAACACGGGCTCGCTTATCTTCTACGCCCACGACATCCGCAAGGCGCAGATGTCCTTCCTCACATCGACAAGCACGCTCGAGAACTTCGAGGCTACGCCGGGTTGTCAGCGCAGTTTCTGCACCAAATGCGGTAGCTTTCTGTATTGGGCCGACGGCAAGGGCGATGAGGTAGGATTGGCCGTTGGTACTGTGGATCCCGAGTTTTTGGTTGGCGATGGGGAGAAGGGCGAAGATGTGTTTGCATTTGCACTAGCAAATACATGCGGTGCGAATTTGTTTTGCGAGAATGAGATTAAGGGCGTTACGGCAGGGATCGTCGGTAGGTATGGGAAGAGGTTTGCGAGAACTAGTGAAGAGGGGTTGTTGATGAAGTAGGGCTTTGGGGATGGGCTACTCAGGTTTAAAAGTAGTGATAAAAAATAAAGAGAAATTGCCGCACAAGCTCAGTGTGTAAAGACGCTTCAATGTCGTATATCCAAGTGTCGCAATGGAGCAAAATGAAGAGCTAAACTACTGATGAGGTTCAACGGTGATAAAAGTAAAAATAAATCTTTGCACTAGCCGCGAATCGAACGCGGGGCCCATCGATGGCAACGATGGATTTTACCACTAAACCACTAGTGCCTGCAATTAACCCGGAAAGGCTGCTTCCAAGGGCCGATGAATGAGTTGGTCTTTTCAAAAAATATATCGATGTTCCATTAGTGCGCAGTTGACCCACTCACTCATCGCTAAACTGTGTGACTCTCACCACTGCACTTAAACTGTAAGAATGAGTGGCAAAAAGGTCTCATCACTTATCGAGCGTGGGAAAGCTGATATATTTACTTTATTGAACAACTTAGCGCTCATTTGATACTCAGCTACCATACTAAGGGGTGTAGATGGAGGTGCATACCCATGTAGTACCTGTGAATCAGCTAGACATTAGAAGTGCCTGGGACAAAAGTAGTAAACATGACGCACCCAGCTTCTTAATGCTAATTATCCTAGGGGTACCCTGTGACTTAAAGTAGTGAACCGTAGATTGAACTGGACTTTGTCCGCGCTCAGAAAGGTTCCAACATGAGAATGCAGTAGATAACGCCCTAATAATAGACCGTGGCCTCAGGAATCTTCAGGGATCGCTGCATACTTATGATTCAGATGAGGAACTCGCCCGACGCAGAATCCCAAACCCAAGCAAGGGCAGAGAGGACTAAACCAGCTACTCCGCTGTATACAACCTTCGGAAAACGAAATACTCGGGAGGATTCGAAGCTACAGTCAGGCTCCAAAAGTCTGGGGACACTCCACTTTTACTACAGCGCTCTTTAGGGGACTGGGATTTTAATATGGCATGTCTCTATGAATATATAGGCTACAGGTATTAAAATAGAGTCATTTTGAAGCTTATAACCCGTAGATTAATATTTTGTAATATCGATCTTCTCAGGGGGACTTTGTTAGTGTCAGGGTACGGCTAGGCCGAAGGCAATAGTACAGAGTGATGGGGAGTAACGGGCGTCCCTCCTACGTAGCACCGGGTGGTCACTGGCGGTCTCAGGTAGGGGTGCCCACGGTGATGCATTGATCTCTGCTCCTTCCCTATCCTACTTCGAGATGGTCCTTATATAGATAGCTAGGCCGCCGCTTGGACCCGGCATAACAGCAGGGTCGGCGATGCCAAGGATCTTGACTCTCGTCATCCCAAAGCTTCACATAGATTGTAATCATGACTCGGGAGTCTTTTGTCCGAAACACCCCTCCGGCGCCCCACCGGTGTCTTGCGTTCAGTGTCCTGACACCCACTGGTGCCTATGGCATTCTGTTCTCTGACAGTTAGTAGGGTGAGAACTAACATAGTATTGTGGTGGATGTAACGCAGTCGCTAATAGAGCGAACCTACGTAGCAGCGTATGTATTTAGTCCAGCCATTAGGGCACGGTTTGACATACGGGAGCACTTGTAGAGGTACCGGGGGCTTCGAGCCTACGGCGTATTTAATAATAATAATATTAAAATAATATAATATTAAATACGCCGTAGGTGTTAACCCTCGGTACCTCTACAAGTACTCCCTTAAGGGGCTATAGATGATATAGCGGGCCCTTAAGCCGCGTCGGGCGGTTATACAGGTAAACTTGTAGCCAAACGACTACTAAACCTCCTGTCCCTCCCTAAGTCTGTGCTACAACCCCTGCCTGAACTACCGATAAGTGTGGTAATGTGGCACTTAAATTCGTCCTCAGGGGTGGGATGCTGCTGATGTGCAGAAGATGCTCGACTATTTTTTGTCGCGACAAGTCGTAGTATCTGCTAATTGGGGTTCTCGTCGAGCGTATACATCTCAACCATACGCTCAAGTGGATAGACCGTAACGTGGTCTAGACGCTCGCAAGAATCGCGGCGAGAGGGGGTCCGATAAGGGGTCGGATTAACGATTCGAATTCTGGACCGGCTGTCGAGTTATATTCCGCCGACGTAGTGCTTGACGGTCGACTGGCTAGGATGCTCGTAATCCTAAACTGCACCAATCTCCCTATTATCGCTAGGTAGGCGAAGTCAACAAGGTGGGCAGCGCGCCGTAAGGGTTGACTAAACCCCCTTGTGTGTCAGCTGCGGGATTCGAACCCGCGACTCGTCACCGACCCAAGTGGGCGAGGCTCAAATCGGGACTTATCTACCAGCGAAGTGACCAACTACACCAGCCGACATAATAATATTTTGTATACCAGCCGCGGGATTTAATAATAGCGCGGAGCCTATGCTCTAGAGTGTCGTATGTCACGACCTGGGTTGCATCGCATGGGTATAGACCTCGATTAGGTGCTATCGACCAAGATTCTACTCTAAGGAGCGAAGGAAAGAAGATGACAACTTAGGTTTGAGGGAGCGCGACTAAGTCATCCACGCTTGGCGGGGCTCCTACAAGGGTTATGATTGGCTTCCCACCTGGCACTGCCATGGCAGGTGTTCCAGCTGTACGTCACCTGGTTGTAGTGAGTCTGCGAGGGTTGACCGTCACATCGTATAGCTTCTTAATCAGCGCTGCCGGTACTGCCTTCCACGCTAACTGCAGCGCAGCTTTAAATTTCTCAATATTCAGCTAGTCTTTTTTAGGATAAAGAATTCAGGGCATTCCCTAGATAGATACCTCTTTAACCAGGCCCATACGTGCTCTATAGGGTTGAGATCTGGGGAATGCGCTGGCCAGTCTATTAGAGAAATAGCGTGCCGGCCGAACCACTCCATAGCTTACGCCGAGAGGTGTATCTTCGCATTATCTTGCTGAAAATGCTGCCAATCCTTATAAAATGGGAGTAAGCCCTACCTCAAGGCCTTAAGATAACGCCAGGTATTGTAGCCCTTCTGTCTCTTACCCTCCTCCTGGGGGGGTCGCTCCATCACGATCAGGTCGCTCTTCTTCCCTACTCCTCCCTCGACGTAGATCCCACCCCAGACCATAACCGAAATATTCGCTTTTACGTGTGCCTTAAGATTCACGAAGTCCTTATTATACTTCTCGCTCGGAAATCGGAAGACCCAGGCGGTCGGGGATGACGTAGAATTCTGTATAGAGGACTCGTCGGAGAAGATTACCTGTGGACTAGATTAGCGGGGGAACCCTCGGTACGCCGGAGGCTATACCGTCATCAATTCCTCCAGATTTTCGAGCTAATAAGTTGCAAATGCAAGGCGATCGGCTGCTAATTCTTTGGTGAGTGGTATGCGCTTAAGCGCACGCCATTTCTTCATATTAACGGCGCATAGGTACCTCCGAAGGGTACTCTTCGAAACCTTGCCACTCATAGATTGCATAAGCTCCTTATAAGTCCAATTTCGATTACGCTTGCATAATTGAACGAGGAAACGCTTACCCCGACGTGAAAATCTAGGGCGACGACCGCTTCGAGCTAGCGAATCGAAGTTATGGCGAGATTTCCAGGACACCAGGGATTTCGTGACGGTCGATCGGTGTACGTTAAAGAGGCTAGCCACGGTAGTCTGCGGGATACCGCACATAACTGCCGTTACCATGGCCGCCCGTTGGACTTGAGTATACTCACAGCCAGGCCGATGATCAGCCATTACTTGCTGCGCAAATTCGGTGAGATTCGGCCTCATTTTGATATAATTGTGGTGGTTAAAATGTTAGAGGGTGTAGGTGCGAAGTGCGCGAATTTTCGCGTTGGCGTAAAGTGTCCCCAGAGTTGTGGAGCCTGACTGTACATACTGAAGAACGCTAGGGGCATTTTCCTGTGTGTAAGCTGGTCCAAGATGCAGAAGCGTATCGTGGAGCATCCCGAAAAAGCATTGAGAGCCCAACAGGGCAAGACGGGCAGTTGTGTGACGAATGGGAGAAGCCCGACATCTTTGATGATATACGTGAATGCACTCAGTTCATCATCTCCCATTTGAAGTGGGTACGTAGGCAATCCAGTCAACAAATAATAACTTGAGTTGCGATTAACGGGAACAGGCCATTGACCAAGAACCACGCAAGACAGCCCTCGGGGGCTACTTTGATCCGTCTGCTTTCGGTGTACGTTATCCCGCTATTTGTATATATACTTGTTGTCTACTGTCCACTGTTGCCGCTGACTCAGTTTCACCGCAAAAAAGGAAAGCTTCTCAGATGAGACACATATCGACTAGCTTGAGGCTTAGTCCGATGGGGAGTTCGACATCATTACGCACCGGACTCGATAGAAAATCCGATGAGGAACAGCCAACGGGGCGAGCGGCCTCCCAGCTCGACAGAAATAACAATAAGGTTACGCGTCGAACAACATGACGTTGGATTATTAACACTGCCGCTTCAGTCGCAGAAGTCTAAAGGACCCAGCTCGGAATGGGCAGTTTCAAGACATCAGGATCAACCAAGCGGCTATTTAGGCGTAGTCGTTGGTGGCTGCTAGTTGCTGTGTCGTGGAAGAGTGCTGTCTTTGATATACAATATATACAGACATTATCCATTAAAGCTAACTACGTATATATGTAATTAATTGAGTAATAAACTGAACAACATCTAACGCATTCCCGGTTTGAAGTTGAGATACCTTTACCCTCTAGATAATCTATTTCTCTCAGTGCGGATAGCCTCATCGATCAAATAATGGTTGCCTTTACGCCCATTAAGGTAGCACATGTAGGTGACATCCTTGCGCTGCTCGCAGCGCACACTCTGGTATATACTGCTTAAGAAGTATTCTCTACACTCATGTTATAAAGACGGAGCCACCTGGAGCCAAACGGAACATGGAAGCATTTGGGGCCGAAGTTTACGTAGCACTGTCTCGAAGCGGGTAAATCAAGCCAGGATTCACTGGATATTTTCAATAGATGTGATTACCAAAATCTAGTATTTCTAAAGTTAAGAGAAAGAACGCGAACTTGGAAGCCTCTGTGTTGCACATGCGCATACGTAGCCAAGTCACGGCGTATGTATCGGACGGGTGACCTAGTGCGCCAACAGCCACACGGTACAAATGTCTGTGGGTCGCAAAAACTCGCAGGTCAAGATTCGTGGGCGGCGTTGTGAGACGTTTAAATCGAGCGACAGGTCTTCCGGTACGCTCGTGTTTCCCAAGCCGCCGTGATTCTTGATGAGACGACAGGAAAGCGCAATAAGCATCTGGTTGCTTTGCTGTCTCTGTGCAGGGTGGATGTCGACGTTGATGCGCCCGGCTCCGGCAACAATGAAACTGAATTGCACTTACTGGAAGACAAAGTCACTTCGCGAGCAGTGATAGCGTGGGCATCTTTCGGAATCCCAGCTTAGCTCCTCAAATTGCCTAGCACCGGTCGCCGAGACTCATAGCGAGCCAGCCAACGTACTGGAAACCCAGCTTCGGAACATATGGGCCAATGTGCTCAACATGGCGTCAGAGTTGATATCGACCAACACATCATTCATACTTCTGGGCGACGACTCTATCTCGGCTAGGCAAGTCATGGCCAGATGTCGCTCCGACGGGGTTGGATCGGTGGCGGTGCAGGACGTCCTCAAGACGAAAGGTTTTGCCGCGCTGGCTTCTCTGATCACGAACCGCCTGCAAGCTGACGGCAAATACCGTGAAAATCAAGTTGAAGAAACTGACCACTGCCCCTTCAGCCTCTCGCCGGTGCAGCAGTGGTTTCCCCCCATTTTCCAGGGGGCTCGGACGGTTCAACCAAAGCAGTATCCTGCAGCCCAGCCGGCGCGTCCTGCCTACAGACATGGCCAATGCCATCACCACAGTTGTCGACATACACTCGATGCTGCGAGCTCGTTTTCATCAGGACAGGAGTACGGGGGTTGGGGATCAAAGCATCGTCCCGAGGGAAGAAGTCCCCGGGTTCTTTGAGACGCACCATCCGCGAGGTACGGAGGAAATGGCTCCCATCATGAAAGCAACTGAGAAGAGGATCGACATTCGCCAGGGCCCAGTTTTCATCGCAGTCCTCCTCGAGATGGAAGGAAAACAGGATCTGCATTTGACCGCTCACCACCTTGTGGTAGATCTGGTGTCCTGGCGCATATCCTCTGGGATCTGGGAGACTTCCCTCAATGATTGCCAGCAGCTGCAAAAGCCACCATTGTCCTTCCAGGCTTGGCTCAAGAGCAGGAATGGTGTACAAAAGCCTCCCTGCAGTTATGATAACGACACCGAATTGGTCAAGGGGGAAGAAAATTTTTCGGAGTTCGGGGGGCTGGGTCAGAGAAAAATCACGTTTGGTGACGCCATGTCCCGCCAGTTCCGACTGTCAAAGGGGACAACTGAGACGTTGCTAACGTCTTCGTCGTCAAACAACGCTTACCGCGTCGAACCATAGGAACTTCTAATGACAGCCGTGACGCACTCATTCTATGAGTTTTCCAGGGCCGTGGCCCTCATCAGCTATTCACCGAAAGCCACGGGCGGGACCTTCGAACAAGCTATGGAGACGTCATGTGCGAGGCCGTTGGATGGTTCACAGCCTCGCATCAGGTAGTTCCGGAAGGACAATCTATGGAAATTTGGCAAACGGTGCGGCAGGTTAAAGACCAAGGCCGACTCCAGATGAACCCTGGAACGGACTACCTCCGCCAGTTCTTGGCTAACGCTGCGAACGTGGTGGCCTGCGATACCGTTGACAAGGGAAGAGGTAAATGTCGCCCGGAGATACTTTTCAACTTAAAATAAATCGGGAAAGAACTACAGTGATCAGAAGGAGTGAACGAAGAACACGTAGAGGGAAGGAACAGACATTGGGTTCACGAAACAGGGTGAAGTATACGCATATACAACGCTAAGGTAGGGCAGATGCCAGAGTTGATAGCTGTGTGGGGACTCTAGTGTCGTAGGTACATTTAATATCCATAGAATTGTTTTCAAGATATGGCCGGTTGTCAATGATGTTCGTTGTTTGGCCGCTGACTTAAGTAAAGGAACGTAAGTACTTCGGTACACGGTGCAAAGTCGCAGCTCCATACATTGGACCGACCCAAAGGAGTGCAACCGGGGTACGGGAGTCATGTGGAGATTACTCGGAGAGTTGTTTATTGAGGCTGGTGCCTGGTGCCTGAACTTTGCCTCATTCGTGCTTACTTTTTACACTAGTGTTATTTTCTCGTTGTTCATCAGGCCCATCGGATACGAAGTACTCGATCCCGTTGCAACGTTTCTGTTTTCAGCGGGCTAACGCTGGTGCGTATTAGTTCACCCACCAACAGTTACTGAGGAAAAAGCCGAGCTGTTGGTCATTTCGGGCTGTTCGCCCCGTCTCACTTGTGACTGTGAGGGGGTGCCTGTCCAGAGCTTCATGTGAGCAGACGTCTGATGCGTTTTGAGAATCAACATCTGCGATCATTCACAGCCAACAGGCAACGACGACATGAGAAGTGCTCATCAGAGGAGGTCGTAGCGTTCGGGCAATAGGTGCGAGACTGGCACCCTCTTGAAAGAGCCTACCTTACCGGGCACACCCACTTTCACACGATTGCTTTCTCTATTGGCATCACTAGGGCGCGTAGGGCGCAGAATGGTGGTATCCAACTGATATGCATGGGATATTGGAGTAGGGCATCGCATGCTTCCAGGCACAGCTGCGTTTCCTTACTGCTTGACACCAGCGCAGGAATGAAGGAAAAGGATAAATGCATTTAGACATACTCGCACACGACGTCAACAGCTCATCATCATGGGCATAGCCATGTCGGCAACCAGTGATGATCTTTTCCTCTAGTTCCAAATTCTCCATCGAACAAGCTCACTCTGCAGCATCGGAATTGGACAAGATCTCCTGGCCAAGATGTGGTCAGTGTTCTCGGATTGCTTCCCGACGCTGAGGCGGCCCCTGGCTGGGAATCCAGATTTCCCAATTAGAAAAGGGCTGGTCTACTTGGCATTTCTCTATAGTACCCGTCTACCTATTTTGGCGACTAGTCATCAGCTCATCCATACTCCTCTAGTCTGTGGTGGACCTGGTTGCTGAGGGAGACGCTATTCCTGTTCCTAGGATTTGATATCACCAATATTGACTGTGGCGTTCCTAGCGTGAGCTGCACAACTAGAATAGCCGGAACGACCGCACAACGACCAGCTCCCCATTGTGAGCTTACCGCCGCCCAGTGGAAAATACGGCAACGGGCATGGGTTTAGTAGGCGCCTCGTCTGTGCAGGGCATAGGCTAACTACACTGGACTTTGTTTTAGTCGGGGGTAATGACCTACGCCCAATTCGGGGTGCATGGTCGTGAACTGGATGGGACGAATGTTCTTATTATACCTGCCGCCTTTCTCTTTCTCGACTTGCCTTCCCTCTCTTTTATCCCCATCTCCAGCTTGTTGAGTCGTTAATACGCGGTCTGATAGCCAGCCGTTGCGACCGTTTGGTTTGCGTCCTTTTATTGTTCTCGTTGATCACTACACTCATTACCTACCGGTTTCGGCCACTTCACTACCTTTTTTGTCTATAATAATCGTAATCACTCATTCAAATGCATTTCACAAGATCACTTGCTGCGGCCGCGCTCTCGGCCGCCCCGGTCCTGGCCACAAAGTCTTACAAGGTTAACACCTATTGGGCAAGTCACACTCATCAAGAATAGTCTCCAATTTGGTTGCTGACAGTTGGGAACAGGGACAAGCAGGTGTTGGTGACACCCTCGGCCAGTACTGTGAATCGACTTCCATCGACTACATTACCCTTGGCTTCGTGAACAACTCACCTGAACACGGAAATGGCACTCATTACCCAGGAACCAACTTCGCTGCACACTGCGCGGCCGATGTCTATGTCAAAAATGGTCAGAACTCGAAGCTCCTCAGCGGTTGTTCGTTCATCAAGGACGACATCAAGAAGTGCCAGACCCTAGGCAAGAAGGTTCTGCTCTCGATTGGTGGTGAGATGAACTGGCAAAGCGACTACTCCGTATCTTCGGTTGCCGAAGGCGAGTACTTTGCCCAATTCATGTTCGAGGCTTTCGGCCCTTTCCAGTCTGGCTATGAAGGCCCCCGACCATTCGATATCGGCGAGTACGACCATACCTGTGTTGATGGTTTTGACTTTGATATTAAGACCAAGTTTGGTACGTTGTCATTTCTGTGTAACAACATGGACCTGCTTGCAATGGCCCTGCAGAGACCGTTGACCATTCCCTTTCTAGTGCAAACCACTAACATACCGAGTAGCTGACCAGCAACCCTACATCGCAATGATTAACAAGTTGCGTGAGCTTATCAACAACTATGATGAGGACATCATCCTCACCGCCGCGCCTCAATGCCCCCTGTCCACCCAGTACTTCCAGATGGACAGCATCCTGGCTGAGGCCCAATTCGACAAGATCTGGATCCAGTTCTACAACAACGAGGGCTGCGACGCAACGACCGAGGCCTTCAACTACGATGACTGGGAGACTTTCATCGAGACCACTGCCAACAAAGACGCGGAGCTTTACATCGGTCTTCCGGGATCCCCCAATGCTGCCGCCTCCGGGTATATCACGCCTGAAGCGGCAAAGACCCTTATCTGCGACTACCGCTCCAAGGCACACTTTGGTGGTGTTATGCTGCGGGATGCATACTACGCGTCGCAGAATATTAAGGATAGCAAGACTTGTAAGCAACCGTCGAATGCGCTAACGTCCTACTGCGATTTCCAGAAGGCACTGCCTGTGGAACCGATTTAGAAGCCCCCGTTCAACCCCCCGAATTCCTAATTACGTATTAATTACTAATTCCTATTTCTAAACAGACTACGACTCAATTCACGAGGCTCTTCAGTATGGCGCATGCGATGGTGATGCTATTAGCAGTTCATCCTACGTTGTGTCTTCGACGACTTCGTCCAACAGCAGCTCGCATGCCTCCTCTACCGTGAGTGAGACATATTCCGGCACCTCAAATGCATCATCGACTGAGCGCACCACGTCTTACCCCATCTCATCAACAACATTGTCCGCTCCGTTCCCGACCATCACCGTACCTCCATACAGGAATTCGTCGTTCAGCATCCGCACCCGTACCTACACCAGCAGCTCAACCAGCTCTGATGATAACGACGATTACTGCACGGATGATTGTGACGATGAAACAACTGCCTACTCCGTTACTACGACGTACAGCTACCCGGCGACTGAGAGTTTGAGCAGTAGCTCCTACGCTATCACGAGTAGCACTACCGCCCCGGAGACGACCTCTAACACGTTGTCATACGGTGCTACCCCGACCATCACTGGCGACTCGCTTCCTGAGGACGAGACTTCAAGCTCATATACCATGTCGGAGACCTCGAGCTATTCTGCCACTACTACCTATGGTGCTTCGGAGACCACCACATATGGTATCTCTGAGACCACGACTTACGGTGCTTCGGAGACTTCCACATATGGTATCTCTGAGACTACGACGTACGGTGCTTCGGAAACTTCCGCATATGGTATCTCTGAGACCACGACTTACGGTGCTTCGGAGACTTCCACACATGGTATCTCTGAGACCACAACGTACGGTGCTTCGGAGACCACCACATATGGTATCTCTGAGACCACGACTTACGGTGCTTCGGATACCTTCACATATGGTATCTCTGAGACTACGACGTACGGTGCTTCGGAAACTTCCGCATATGGTATCTCTGAGACCACGACTTACGGTGCTTCGGAGACTTCCACACATGGTATCTCTGAGACCACAACGTACGGTGCTTCAGAAACTTCCGCATATGGTATCTCTGAGACCACGACGTACGGTGCTTCGGAGACCACATATGGTATCTCTGAGACTACGACGTACGGTGCTTCGGAAACTTCCGAATATAGTATCTCTGAGACCACAACATACGGCGCGTCAGAAACTTCCGCATATGGTATCTCTGAGACTACGACGTACGGTGCTTCGGATACCTTCACATATGGTATCTCTGAGACTACGACGTACGGTGCTTCGGATACCTTCACATATGGTATGTCTGAGACCACGAAGTACGGTGCTTCGGAGACTTCCGTATATGATATGTCTGAGACCATGACGTACGGTGCTTCGGAGACTACATCCTACCAGGCTTCCGTAATAGGAACAGCATCGGCTACGGAGTACACAACGAGCACCGTCTACACCACTAGGGTATATACCGTGACTTCCTGCGCACCAACTGTGACCAACTGTCCAGGAAAGGGAGGCGTCGTCACCGAGACGATCCCTCTCTACGTCACCATGTGTCCCGTCACCGCTACGCAAAATCCAACTTCAGTAGCTGTCCCCTTGACCACCAGCACTGTCTACTCGACCGAGATTAGCACTGTAACCGCGTGCCCGCCCTCAGTGACCAACTGCCCCATCGGATCCGTCACCACGGAAATCATCTCGTACATCACCGTCTGCCCCGTGACCGAGACAGAGAAGACTCATCCTAAGCCTACCGCATCCGCGACGACGTACCGAGCTGGCGGAAACGGTAGCTCTGGATCCGGCCCAACCAAAGAAATCATCGAGATCACGAAGACCGTCTCTCCGGTTACCACTTACCCGGCCGGTGGAAACGGGGTTTCTGAATCCACCCTCAGCCCCAGCACTGTCATTTCGGAAACCTACCCCGCTGGCGGCCCTGACTTTGATTCAGGCTCCGGCCTCAAGCCCACCACCACCACCAGCACCTCAATAACGGAAGCTTTCGGCGTCTATCCCAGCAGCACACCCTCCGACTTCTTCACCACTCTCACCGTACCCGTCTACGCCACAAGCAAGACAAACAGCACCGGCGGCGCCGCTTCGACTACGGGCAAGGACTCGTACATGCCGTCAACTATACTGAGTAGCAGCATGTCAAGGGAGAGTAGTGATAAGTCGGCGAGCGCTACCGCGCCTGTTGTCACTGCCGGGGCTGGTCGGACCTCAGCGTTCAGCTCATGCGCTGTGATGATTGCTGTTCTGGCTCTGGCTGTGTAACTTGGTTCTGTCCGGAGGGGTGAATTTTTGAGATAATTAAGTTGCTTGGTTTTATAGCGGTTTTGACAGCACCGTTACAAGCGTGATGATGAAACGGACACACTATAAAGCCCCGCCCTTGGTCTATAGTATTTAGTTTTAATGGATATAATAGGTTTCTCGCATGGCATGGCTACATCGGCGTTAATACGACCAACTAGAAAGTCCCAGGATTACCGTAGAGAGCACCGATTCGGACAACTGTCCATGAGCCAATCACGCCAAAACCATATAGGGTACTCCACAAGACGACAAAAACCACACAAGTTCCATCAGATAGCAAGATAGTGTAGTTATCACCTAGCCTAATCTCCTATCCCTGTGCACCTCCAGGTTTGGGTTGACCATACTGGATCCAGTGGGTAGCGAAGTAGACCACGACGTTCTCACGTCACATCTGTCTACAAGATGCATGATCTTTGCCTAACCTAATCTCCAATGCGGCATGGTCCTTGCCAGCCAAGCTTGGTCAATATTCCCTGATATGCCCGTCCTTAGCGTCGGTCGGCGTCCTTGGCAAGATTGTGAAGACTAATGTCTCCGCGGATGGGGGACAGCGGCACAATCCTGTCTCCCGCTGCCTCGCTGTGAGTCCCTGCGGTGCCATCGGCAATGCGGACTGGACCGCTACTTGCGACCTGGTGGGCGTCCGCGGCGGAAGAAGCGGCCAACTTGCTGCGTTTCTTCTTGCCTCGGAGCTCATCCAGATGCTCAAAATATCCATCGGGGACCGGCGTGACGTATTTGCCACAGAATACTCCCACTTCGAAATTCTTGGGGCCGTCTTCCGGTGAACACTCAGCACATGCTTCTTCGAGGTCTTTCAGATCCTGGTAGAAGACCTGCGGGAACAGATTAGCATTTGACATAATTTGAATGCCAAGCTAGCATCAGGAGGTCCTTGTCAAGTCTCAAGGCACTTCTTCCCAAAATAGACCTCGTTGGGCAGTTTTTGTCTTCGTGATAGGCTAGGAAGGGGCATTGGACGACAGTTAGGGGGACATACTTCCTCAGCACCAATCTCTTTGGCTATAGCCTGGCGGTTCCGGTCAGTTGCAATCAGGTCGGATTTTGCCGCCAAATCGACTGCATAAAAAGTAAGTAATTGTCACTGTGAGGTGGGGATGAGAAATTAGATATTCCGAGGTTGCATACTTCCAAAAATATGAGGGAACCGAATCGGCGGCGCGCAACTAGCAAAGTAGACCTTTCTCGCCCCTGCCTCCCTGGCCATCGTCACGATCTCTCTACTTGTAGTACCTCGGACAACTAGCTCATATTAGTGTCATGTACCAGAGCCCAATAATGATTACCTTTCCATTTAGGAAAAGGTTTCGGGTAAGTCAAAAGTGGTGGACATACTTGAGTCGTCAACCAGAAGGACACATCGCCCCTCGAACTCGTCCAGAACAGGGCTGAGCTTCTTCCGGACACCTTTCGTACGTTCTTCTTGGCCGGGCACTGTAGGAAACAGGTTAGCCATCACTACTTCAAGGTCAAGTACAAAAATAAGTTAGCGGCCCCGAGGCATGTTGAAAGAGCGGAAGCTCTTAACCAGCCACCGTGACGGAGTTCTCCACGAAATCCTAGAGAAACAGAGGACCAGATCATTTAGAATGTGACTTACTGATGAAGGTTCGGAATATATAACGATTCTTCACGAAGCCCTGACAATATGGCTTGCCCAAACTCTCAGCAACACATGCAGCAGAGGTGTTCGCAGTCTCTGGAATAGGGATCACCGCATCAATCTCCTTGATGGCCTCTTCACCAAGAAGCTCTCGAATTTTGTTCGCTAGCTTGTAGCCCATCACCTGACGACTCTTGTGCACAGAGATTCCGTCCATGATAGAGTCGGGACGGCCGAAATACACTGTGATAGCCCATATTAGCCTTCATTCGCTTTGGAAGTTGTGTCGAAGAGATTCTTGAAGCCGCGTACCGTACTCGAAGATGCTACACGAACGAGAGTTAGCTTAAGCTTCAGGGAGAATCGAGGAGGTGGTCATGGGCTCTTAGCCTTACTCTAAGAGCAAAGGCGCGCAAAAAAGCCACTATGAATTTTTGTTCTAGGGACAGGCTTGAGAGCCAAAGAGGCTGAGTGTTGCTTACTCTGGAGTGTAACTGAGAGCCGGTTGCACCTGTCGGAAGACTGGTCGTCCGCCCTTTTGGATGAAGACGGCCTCGCCTGGTTTGATATCTCGGAACTTTCCAAATCCAAGCTGACGTAGTGCGATAGATTCGCTTGCCATCATGTAGTCGATTGCGCCAGGTAAAGTCGCAGATGGGCGTTCGCCAATAATGAGAGGTCTGATGCCCCAGGAATCGCGGAAGCCCAAAACGCCAAAGCCAGCTATCATAGCGGTACATGCCCAGGCTCCCTTGCATCGTCCATACATGCCTTCTCTGACGTTAGTTAAAAGGCTACACGGTAGAGCACAAGCAGCAATGAGACTCACGTGAGAGTGCGTTGAACAAATCGTTCTCGTTAACACGAGCCTTTCCAGTGTGGTTCAGTTCTATGAAACAGAGTCAGCATTCAAAGTTTGACCAGTGAGCCGACCAACAATGGCAATTAGCTCACGTGGGAATACGTACCGCTCGCGAAGATGTTGAGCATGAGTTCACTGTCACTATCAGTGTTGATGTGCCGGTGTGCCTCCTCGTCAAGGAATGCGCGTAATTCCGGCGCGTTGATCAGGTTGCCATTGTGCGCAAGGGTTATGCCATAGGGCGAATTGACGTAAAAAGGCTGAGCCTCAGCACTACTCAGTGTCAGGGAATACTCTACAAACGGCTAGAGCAGCACATAAAGGAATGTACACCGTCCAGGGGTGAACAGTCCACATCGGGAATAGAGTTTAATAGGCGCGCTTACCTTGAGCTGGTGCCTGCAGTTGGGTACCGCTATTTGGCAACCAAAGTCAGCAATTTCTGCTTTGCGGCATTTGCGTTGTATGCCATATCATGAGGGCAGTAAGACTCAGACCCGGTTGGGTTAAAAAAAGGGGGAGAGGAAGGAGGGTGGGGTGGTGGGTTGAAGCCAAACCAGGGGAGCACAGATTATACGAACCAAATGGCCAAGTCCCATAGAGCCCAGCAAATGCTCAACACTTTTGCCGTTCTGGAACACATCCTCTGCTCGACTATTCCAACGAGACTTAGCAACAATTTCATTGTGGGTGCTTGTAATGCTCGGCGGTCTCAGGGACACTCTCGTCAGGGTTTTGCGAGACCCCTGCTCCTGAGACAGACGGAAAATATTTGCGACTGGAGAAGTTCCTCACCCATTGCCCTTGCATTGATAGATGCGGCCTCCAGCAGCGCATGTGGCTATACCGCAAGCTGGCAGATGATCGAGTTAGTTAGGTCGGGTCAAACCAGCGGAGGTTTCATCGGTAGGGTCCAGTGTGCTTGAAGTATGTGACTAGGCTAGAGGTCCATGCCTAGTCCTACCAGGGAATCTCTTTTCCTTCCTCAGCGCATCAACGATGTACGTTGGACCCTGCTCGAAGCTCACACTTGCTGTTTGGGCAATTGGAAAAAGGGACATATAGCTTGAAGACATACCATCTTGGCCTCGGTCTAGTTGATTCTCAGTGTTAGTACCTATTACTTGTATCTTGACTGCTTTTTACACAGTATATCACCCCTGGGACGCGACAAGTAGGGATAATTAATAAGGACACCGAGAGTGACGAACGCTGTAGGAAATATAATGCGTTGTGGAGATCCACGGCAGCCGGGACATCATCACCGATATGCCCAAGGATCAGGGCGATAATGCCACACATCTTCCGAGCCTGATGACAGTGGTTAGCTGTGCTCCGTACAGTTATGGCAATATAGACAGAATCGAGACGAAGGTAGGTCAGAGATGGTTAAGTATCCGCAGCATAATCTAGGCAGTCGAACATTTGAAAATAAACAGTGCTCATCATGAAATGGCAACGCAAATACTCCTCAGGATGTATGGATGAGCGTCTTTGCAGTATTGTGTCATTGCTCGTAACCACAAGCCCTCGCTGGTCTGATGGGATTCCAAGGGCCTGGGACGGGCTAACATCATGACCGTGGCCTCATGATAGTCCATAGATACATCGAGAGGAGTATGCGAGCACAGAAACTGGAAACAAGGCCATGCTTACCTTCTCTGATTGTAATGCGACAGTAACGCCAATGGCCAGGAATGGCGGATGGTGTAGCTGGGTTGTAAAGCTGGCAGTGATAGCTGCTGTCGAAGTCGAACAGTCAAATTCGTTGCAGCAGTGGTGAAGGACGACGATGAGTTGTGACAAGGAGTGCCTAGAATTCGCGGGGTAGTGGGATAGCTTCACGTCAGAATTCACGATCGAGGCAAAATAGTCGTCTCCGATAAGGATAAGCACCACGGCAGGTAATAATTTGGCTGAATGGTGGGGTGGACCAGAATAAGTGTGAACTGACTCAAGGCACACGTCTTGATTTGAAATTCACTCGAAGAGAAAAGAGTGCATATGCACTACAATAAGGAGGATATCTATGCAATACAAACATCATGGCTAACTAGTTTTCATCTGAGGAAATTTCGAATCTTGCTGACCAACTGGTTAATGTAGAGAAAAATTTAAAGTGGAGGATGATTGGTGCTGATCAGAAAATTCAAGTGAGCCGGATAAAGTAATTCTCCGAAACTTCGTTTTCATATGGAATTATACTTCGTACTTCCCATGAGCAAGCAAGTCTTTTTCGTGAATAGTGAAAGAACTGGCTTTCGTCAGCCTGAACCCTTCAAATTAAATCAACAATCATAAATCCACGATGCACATTGGGATTATCAAGCATGCTTGCCTCTTCCAATCCCCCAATTCCTTCTAGTGAAGAGGCTCGCGATATCGGAAGCAGCAAAAGGCGCCTCAACCTGACTTCCGCGGTTTAGCCATTTGCAACTTCCGAGGTCTACTGCCAAGGTTATTCAACTTTACAGGTAGGTATTGGGCGAGAACTGAGCTATAACTATGGAAGGCAACTGTTAAAGTTATTGCCTCCTATCAGAAAACATTGCAGGATTTAGTGATACCCGAGTGCGTACTTACATATCATGAGTGACGCTATATTGTCACCTGTAGGTAGTCGGTCATTTCGGTGTTAGCTACCTGTGTACTACCTATATACCTCGTACACAGTGTCTAGATCTCAGTGACAGGCATTAGCCAAAGCTCTTCCAAGTAAGTAGCTGGAAAAATAAATGGCACAGCGCAAGATAAATAACACGGGATTAGCGATATTCGAGTGTAGTCAACTCACCTGGGTTCGCCGTTTGGACTTTTATGGTCTTCGTCAGCAACCAAGCTAACCTAGCTGCTTTCGGTGTAGCGGGCCACGCAGGGATTAGTGTTTGTTTAAGCATGAGCTAATCGCCCATAAGCAACGTTAGTGCATCGCAATCCAGAATTGGAGCATTACACATTGCCACGAGCAAAAACGGTCGTAAGTACGCCATTCTGAGTAATAGACTATACGTACTATTTCATATTTGAAAGTAAAGGGATAGAGCTATAGAATAAGTTTTATCTTATCAACTTCGGATTAAAGGTAAGTCATTACCTTCCAATCATCTGCCATTGCTCCAAGATCTCGCCCGATTACCCTAGAAGCCCTACCAGAGGTCTATAGATGACACCCTTCATTCTTCTCCCCTCCATTTTCGTCATTTCCATGTTATTGCTTTCTATACACGATACACGACATCAAGTTTGTCATTCTACAGAAGCTTCTAAGTAAATTTTTTCACTTTATCATCCCCAGAGTCACGGACACAGTCAAATCCACCATTGCACTTGATACCTTCACATATCCACGACCAAAGGCCGCTTAGAATTAACAAAATCCATAAAACGGATCAAGAACACAATGTCCAATGCTTTTTCTCATGCAAAATTCACACCTCATTGGTCAGGTACCCGCGGGCACTCTAACCATGGTTGAGCACTTACCAAAGCTTCAGTTTCGCTGATAGGTATGATCCGAGGTTCTCTCGCTTTGGAACTCTCCATGTGTTGAACGAGAACCGTATCAAGCCCAGCTCGGGCTTCCCGACTCATCCCCACCGCGATTTCGAGATTTTCAACTACATGATCTCAGGAGAACTCACTCGTCGCGATTCTATGCTGAAAAAAGTGCCGAAGGCGGAGAAAGTGATTCTTTTCTACCCCATGTGCCGTGGTGATGTCCAGTTTACAACTGGCGGCACTGGAATCGCGCACTCTGAGTACAACGAGCATCGGAAGGATCCAGTCCACTTTCTTCAGATCTGAGCTATCCCATGGAAGCGCGGGCTGCCGCCGAGATACCACACTCGGCGCTTTGATGAGGATGAAAAGGGGAAGGCATTTTTCCCCATCCTGAGTCCAATGAAAGGCGGCCGCGAGGCCTCGATTGAGGAAGAGAACAACGCAGAACCCTCAATCGCGAGAACAATTCCCATCTATGCAGAAATTCCAGTGGACGGTTGGTGACAGGGCTACCGAAACAACAAGAGGAAAGTATTCGTCCATCTTCCAATGACCAAGGCCGGCAAGGCCGTAATTTGGTTGGACGGCAGAGAATATTTTCCCAGGGATGGCGGTGGAGTATTGATAGAGTGAATGCTGGGTACAATTGGGTATTGAAAGTGTAGGCGAGGTTGAAGCTGAAGTCATTGTACTTGACATAGCATAGAGCACTCGAATTCCTGATTTCTTCTATAGATGGTTTCACAAGGCGTTGTTAGGTCATGCATTGTAAATTTGTTTGTTCAAAGTTGGTACTCATTTGCATATTCTTTACACATCAAAAGAACCATTGGATGTCAATAGTTGTTTACTTACAAAATCAAAACTACTTGTGGCATTTACATACTTCACATAGGCTTATCTTTTCAATATTCCACTTCAATGATTCTCCCGGAATTATTGGGCCTGTATCTGGTGATTGGAACGGGGAGCATTGTTTCAAAGTGCAGACTGGATGGAGATCGGCCAAACCCACAAACAGACTTGCGTTCTCAAATATTGTTATGTGTTCAGGTTATTTGAGGTTGGTACTTATCAATTATTTAAGCCCCTGGGCTTACTGAGACAGGTTTTGAACAAGAGGAAGCTGCGGTTCATTTGATGTCTGAAGGAAGGAGCAAGCCTCAACATCTGAATCCACTAAAGCCCAAATACTTTGGCTCAGATAATTTCGCCCTGCGCTCTTTCCTTGCCAAGTATCACCACTACAAGGAAATCGCCAACTTTGTACATCTTAACAGAGGCATTTATTCACTAGGTATTCATGAAGTTGTTGCTTGAATTTTCTCCTTCTTTTTCCTTTTGTGCAAATCAGCCATTCACTATCTGTTTGTTCTCAAATTGCAAGGCAGATTCTGATTCACTGTCTAACTCTGGACAAGGAAGTCATGAACCACAGACATTGTGTGAGAAAGTATCTTTAATATTATTTTCTTACTATTGAGGAGCCGCTGATTGAGCTCAGTATTCCTCTTGGGCATCACAAGTTCGTTGTCGACAAATTCTCGCTTTACAGGAAAATTCACTGGAGCCTGCAAGCCCATCGTATCGTCGAGTCTACTCTACGAACTTGAATTGAGAACTCCCCAAGCAGCCATTGACCAACCACTCCTATTCTAAAAGTTGTCGGCCCTACCTTGTCGCCTTATGAAGAAGTCGCCAGTCAGTCACTGACCAACCCTCATTCTGGAGTCGTTGACTTCGCCTTATCACCACTTGTTACATATTCGCTGAGTAGTCTTCAATCAACCTCTATTTAGGAGTTTGTGGATCAGTAATTATCATCCTCACGATGCAGACTCGTGCTGCTGCCAGGAGGGCAGCCGAGGCTGTACCAGTTTCATCATCAACGTCACCACACACAGAGATACGCTCGCAGGTTGAGGAGGCCCTCCAGTCACCTCTCGCTCCGCCACCATCTGCACCATCTGCTAAGTTGAGCACTGACAGCATTGCTGTCATTATCAGAAGTGAAGTCAGTGTAGGCTCACCACAGATTATCGGACCCAAGCGGAAGCGAGTTTGCAAGATGCCTTCTGAGCCTATCCGAGGTGGTTGGGATATATTGCCTCATAACCTTGGTCGACTCTGGACGCCTGGCACTGCCAATACATCCATAGGTGCATTGGTCAGCCCCCCAACCGGTAAATCAAGTGTTAACACGGAGGCTCCTATCATAGAGTCAAAAGTGGAGGTCATGACGAATGACATACTGGCAAATACGACCATTACCTCAGTTGATGCGACTGAAGAGTCTCAGGGGGGACAAACACAATATGGTCTGCGATCCAGAAACGTCAAAACATTGGTGGATCAGTCTCTAGTCTCCGCCACAGTCACCAGTGAGACCCAAACCGAGGTGAACAACCTGGAGATTGAGCAACCACGAAAAAAACGCCGAAGAGACGTGGCGAGCATAGTGGTTAAGACCGAAAATAAGCCATCTAATGATGCCAATGAGCCCGACGCTCAAAGTGGGCAATTGAGGCCAAAGAGACAAAGCAGGAAAAGCAAGGACAACCCGTACGGCCTGATTCCTGGAGAGACACCTTATCCGGACTGGGAGGGCCCGAGTGCAGAACAGTGTGAACAAGTCTATCGTGTCTTGGCTGACATACACGCCGATGTCCCTTCATTGCCCCCGGAAACAATCCCGGCTCCATCACTCGAGGTCGCTGGATGCGGGGAGGTGCCGTCTGTTCTAGATGGGCTCATCCGAACCGTCTTGAGCGGTTCAGTAACATTTGAGGCAGCCGATAAAATGTTGCAGGCCTTGGTGAAGAAGTTTGGCATACTTGAGGAAGGTGTCGGAAAAGGCAGTGTCAACTGGAACAAGGTCAGAACTGCGTCTTACGGAGAGCTATTTGAGCAGCTCAAGGACGGTGGCTTAGGAAGAATCAAGTCCAAGCACATTCAAGCAATCTTGAACATGGTTTACGAGGAGAATATGGAACGCCGGGCAGCATTTCTTGAGGAAAAGAAAACTGGCGTCGAGACGGACATTGCTGGGGCATCTGATAAGACGGAAGGTCAGAAGAATCTGGAGATCCTGAAGACAGATCAGGAGATCCTGTCCTTGGACCATATGCACGGCATGACAAAAGACGAAGCAATGCGACACCTTGTCAGGTATCCTGGAGTCGGTGTGAAGACAGCTGCATGCGTCACACTCTTCTCTCTACAGAAGCCATGCTTCGCAGTGGACACTCATGTATATCGCATGTCGAAGTGGTTACGATGGGTACCGGAGAAGACCAATGAAGACAACACATTCCATCATCTGGAGGTTCGATGTCCAGACCACCTCAAGTATGGTCTACACCAGCTGTTTATCCGCCATGGCAAGACCTGCCACAGATGCAATGACAAGAGCTTCACTGGGACCAAAGCCTGGAATAAAACAATTTGTCCCCTTGAAGATCTCCTCGATCGCTATACCAAGAAAGAAGTCAAGCCAAAGGAGACCGCGGTGAAGAAGGGCCAGGTTAAGAAGACCAAAGACGATGAAAATGGCGAAGTTGAGGATGCTGGAGAGAATGTGGAGGACAATCAAGGAAGCTATTAAAGTCTTGATTTCCCACCGGAAAGGGCAGCAGGGAAATGTGGCAATATTTGCTTTGGTTGTGGTTTCACATGGAGGTCTGAGGAGACTGCGTTAATTTCCGTGCGCCGGTCCAGAATTCGAATCGTTAATCCGACCCCTTATCGGACCCCCTCTCGCCGCGATTCTTGCGAGCGTCTAGACCACGTTACGGTCTATCCACTTGAGCGTATGGTTGAGATGTATACGCTCGACGAGAACCCCAATTAGCAGATACTACGACTTGTCGCGACAAAAAATAGTCGAGCATCTTCTGCACATCAGCAGCATCCCACCCCTGAGGACGAATTTAAGTGCCACATTGCCACACTTATCGGTAGTTCAGGCAGGGGTTGTAGCACAGACTTAGGAGGGACAGGAGGTTTAGTAGTCGTTTGGCTACAAGTTTACCTGTATAACCGCCCGACGCGGCTTAAGGGCCCGCTATATCATCTATAGCCCCTTAAGGGAGTACCGAGGGTTAACACCTACGGCGTATTTAATATTATTTATTTAATTTCCGTGCGCAAAGATTTGTGGTATTCACGTTGAGTTCTTTATTCCAGTAAATGGTCTGAGATTGGGCTCCGAGGTACCTATATAGCTTGACAATCCCGCCTCTCATATCTAAGGTCAATTCTTAACCTAGCGTTGTTGGGTGCTCAAGTGATGGGTAGAAGTCTGCTGTCTTATCATCGTACAGGCAGTCGGTCTCTTTTGCCAATACTCAGAGCTTATCGATAGCGCTAGGAGGCCCGGACAACAGGCTAGCGCGGCGTAGTGAAATGCCAAAAATGCTTTACGCGTCTACCCTTGCTGCAGTACGAAGTGAGTGCATCACCATTGCTCGTCTTCGACACTATCCTGGGCTCAACCTCACCACAGCATGGCTTTCAGATGTTGAGCCTTTCCATCCTTTTGTTCTAGTAATTGGAAGACCCAAAGGCCCACATACGCGGATTTCCTTTTTCATTTCTATTTTCCTTCGACGGGCTCTCGATCTTTACCCGTACCAACGCATCCAGAACCTTGACGCTTCATTGCGACCCGAACCGTAGGAGCAGTCTAGCTTCCGCGATTCGCTCTGCAGCTGCTTCGTTCTTGCCTGGAAAATTTTATGAATTTCCCCCGTATCAGACGCTCCTTCTGCCATAGGCAACTGGCCAAGGAAACGGTGCACCTGCAAGCTCGACCGGACCTTTCAGCCAGTCCACCCCAGCCGACCTGCGCAAAGCAATTCCGACGAGGACAACAACCTTGACGAACACGTCGGATACTACATCAGTCTGCTGCCTGGCCTCGAATATTTTGCCCTCTTAACCTGACCGAGATGCTGCGTTGCATCGCGAACCGAAACTACAATGGCGGACGCTTCAGATATTGAGCAGGTGCTAGGGCATGCTTGCAACGAATTTCTCACTTTATCCCAAGAGATTCACCTATTATGCCCCAAGGTTTCGGACGATGACGAGGAAGACTACGATGATGCAGAGGAGCCTGGGGATATTGGTGTTGCCGCCAAACATAGCAGAATTGAAGATGGCAAGAAGCGAGTAGACCTCGTCTATCGTTGTTCTCTGATACTGGGCTTTCCCAGGGAAACTGCCGCGGAGCTATACGACGAATTTGAAAAACGTACCACTACGTTTCTCACCACGTGTGCGGGCTGTGTTCGTAATTGGCATCGAAACCGGAAGCATTTCTTGAAAGAGCTATCAGAGTACGTTCACAACGCTCTTAACTCTCGATATTCCGGCACTTAGGTATTCTAACTATGTTCGGCAGGACCCAGCCAGATGCTGCTGTAACCCAGATGGAAGCTGTGCTCCTTGAGTTTGACTCGAACCGAATCTCGGCAGGCCTGCAAAGTGCCACTGACTTCATAAATGCCCATAATGGCATGGTTGACCAGAAGACATTCATCGAAGAGGAACACGCGGAGATGCTGATCGCTCTTTATGAGGCATTATGCTGCATTTCGTATCTAAGCCAGCCATCAAACCGCGTCAATTTCAACATTGTGTTCGAGAAGGTGCAAGAGAGGCGGGTCTTGAGGTTGGGCGAGGTCTTGCCAACAATGACCCATTTCCTCTTTGAAGAAGACAAGGTCCGGTACACCTTTGCGAGGACGGCATGGTCACGTATGCCTCGCGTTAGTACCGACGACTTCGAATGGGCAGTGAAAGACAGTCTGCAAGATGCTCTACAGAGAACAGCCATGACGACAATTACCACCCAGCAATCTCAGCACTTTTGGGAAGGATTAGTACTCATCCTGAAAACCCTGGGGCAAGACATTTTCGTTCCATCTCTAGGAGCATTGGATGCCCATACCAACATATACCAGGCTATGTTAAATCACATGGCCCTCAATTCCGAGTCGAATCTGGCTGTGGTGTTAAAGGTCTTTTGCATCATCCTCCGGAAAGGACCTCGGGGCCTATGGGGGACTTTCGCCAATTACTCCCCTGTATCCGTTGCCGAACAGGTCTTTGGAAGCCCAGCCTTCAGGCGGTTGCTTAATCAGACTCGGGAGTACTCGATATCGATGCCCGAGGATGATACGATTGGCGGACCTGTGGCCATTGCTTGGGTGAAGCCTTTTATAGATTCCATACCTGCAAGCCAGAAAGGTGACATTTGCGACGCGATAATGCACCACTTCCTTGAAGATTTTGCCAAGGACACCTCCCTTTCCCAAGAAGGTCGGGCTGTCTGCGGGCGTGGGGCCGCCGAGGCCCTGTTGTCCACGTTGAGCGCCTTCATAATGCCCAACTTCGAGATTCGAGCAGCATCCTCGACCATACACACCAATCGCATGCTCAATCTGACGCTCAAGTATAGCGATACGTTGATAGGCATGACCCGACTCTCGCCACAAAACCCCCATGATACCTCTGTGTCCCAAACCGCCCTAGCAGTCATAGGTTGTGCTCTTATGCTTGATTCGCGTGTCACTGCGGAGGAGTTTCATGGTTTCCAACAGGGTGACCATAAGGTGCAGCGTGAGGTAACGAGAAACTCTGCTGGGCTGTGGGAGTCTTTCTTAGAGCCCCTGGTTCCTGGTGCCATGCAGCTTGCCAAAGCAACGTTATTAGCAACTATCCCTCTCATTCCTGTCGAAGTTTTTCGGCCAAAGAAAAAGGAGAGCCTTTCAAAGCCGAAGGAGCTCTTCAATTCAGATTTTCGAAAGACGGCGGAGGTTATAGGGAGAACGATCGAACGCTTGACCGATTTCAGCACCTCCGATCTCACTCACCTTTGCTCGGACTCCTACACGATCAAGCCTATTGTCGCTGCTCTGATAAGTGGCGAGGGCCCCATTAACGAGGCTGCGATGTCTCTAATTAAGACCGTGACAGACGAGATCAGCCGAAATGATGCGGTCTCGAGGCTCCTGGAGCTTCATTTCTCGCCAGCCCTGATCTCATTCACTCAAGCTGTCAATGAGATTACAGGCGGGCACCGGCAATTGTGGTCCCCTCAGCTTCAAATCCTCAATGTGTCAAAAGCCGTGCTTTCCGGCCTCTGCGACGCTGCTTCCGGAGTTTTGCGCTCGAAGAGCTTGACAGATGGAGAACGCGCTGTGCTAATGGATTGGTGGGCATCTCAATGGGCGTTTATCCAAGCAGCTTTCAAGGGTTTGGACAACTGGAGTAAGGTGGTCGAAACCGACACGATGAAGAACTTCTGCCGTGATATGATGCAGCTCGCAGACGATCTCCTGGCCCAGGCTGGTCTGCTCTCATCAGCTATGGGAATCGAGTCTGGCAGTAGCTCTGGTACGGTCATGCAGGACCTTCTAGCTGAACCCCGTGACAATTGCTACGGGATGGTCATGATGCTGCGACTGAAGGACACATGGCTTATCAGCATCACTATTCATAGCCTGACGAAGTTGTTTAGGCGTCTGGCTGAAAATAGCATGAGTGTCCCGGAGACATCCCGCGAGTTTGTCCGAAACGTTTGCACCAAAAACTCGATGGGCAAATACAAGATGAACTCCAACCTAACCAACCAGCAGCGGGCTGAGCTAATGCGGGCGCTGGGTGAGGACGACGATGACGACGATGTTGAAATCATCGATGTGAATAAATTTGAGGCCCCGAAGAAGCAATCAAGATTGGATGCTTGGTCGAAGTCTGCAGGGGATAGCACAAGTACGAGCACGAGCACGAGCATCTCATTGAAACCGAAGCCAACCGTGGCTCAAGCCAACAAGCATACCGGTTTGGGTTTGACTCCGACTGTCGACAAGAGCCAGTCTATACTATCCCAGATGAGAGCTTCGCAAGCCGCCAAGCCTGGAAAGAAATCAGTTATAGCACAACCCGATCCCAAAGCTGCCGCAAGTCTGAAGGAGAAGCGCCAGAAAGAAAAAGAAGACAAGCTGAGGAGAGACGCCGAGGCCGCCGCTAAGGCCAAGGCGCTGCGTAACCCCAAGGGACTCGTTGCAGGCGAGGGCTCGGGTCTACAAGGCTTAGCAGGGGTAATCGGAAAGGATCATGCTCCGCAGAAAAGCGAGATCATGGTTGGCTCCTCATCGGAGGACGAATCCGATTCTGATGATGACGCAGCCTTCCTAGAGCAGACCAAGGCAAGCCAGATGTCTAGGGAAGATGCTGCGAGACGTGTGAAGGAGCTTAAGCAACAAATACGCGGCCCACTGAAGAAGACGAAGATTCAAAGATCGCAGAAGGACATGCGGGCTCGTCTAATCCCACCGATGGAAGTGCTCCATCAGGCAATTCTCGATTGGGACATATTTCATGAAGGTAGCGACCCCCCTAATGGTGTGCGGTGCTCACAGGTACACAATACCTACGGAGACCCCCTCCAGTACAAGGATACCTTCTTCCCTCTATTGATCTATGAGGCGTGGAGATCTTTTGTCACCGCCAAAGATGAGACAACGTCGAAACCATTTGGTATCAAGGTAATGAATCGGATGAACGTGGACAAGTTCATAGAAGTCACCACAGCGATGCCAATGTCGGAGACCAAGGACCGCTGGCTCGCCGAAGGTGATATCATACTTCTGTCAACTTCAGCCCGGCCTCTGGAGAGTCCGAACGATCCGCACTGCCTTGCAAGAATCTGGCGGACGACAGTAAAGCATGGGAATTTGGAAGCATCATACCGCCTCAGTGGGAAAGCCGGTCAGATTCTGCAATTTCTGGCACCAAAGGCTGAGATTCATGCTGTGAAGATTACCAACATGACGACGATTGAACGCGAATACGCTTCTCTCGAAAGTCTCAAGTACTTCGACCTCATGCCTGAGATCTTGGATGCGAAGCCGTCCCCGATGCTTGGTTTTAGTGAGGAGAATATTCGCAACGTCATGACCAACTACAATCTGAACCAAGGTCAGGCGAAAGCTATATTACATGGCATGGAGAACGACGGTTTTACACTGGTTCAAGGTCCACCGGGAACCGGCAAGACGAAAACCATCATTGCCATGGTCGGTGCTCTTATGACCGGCTCGTTCTCGAGCAATACTGGTGTTGCGATCAAGCGGCCCGGCGCAAAAGCAGCAAATTCAGCACCATCCAAAAAGTTACTGGTCTGTGCACCTAGTAATGCCGCTGTGGATGAGTTAGTGCTTCGACTGAAGGCAGGGGTAAAGTCCAGGAACGGTACGTTCCACAAGATCAATGTTATTCGCTTAGGTCGGAGTGATGCTATCAACGCTGCCGTACGGGATGTAACGCTTGACGAGCTGATAAAAGCGCGCATCGACGGCGACAAGGACAATGGCGGGCCGACTGACCGACAGAAAATGCATGAAGAAGCTGGACAGATCAAGAAGGATCTCAATGAGCTTCGTCCACAACTGGAAGCTGCCAGGGCCACTGATGACCGGGCCCAGACAAACATACTACAACGAAAGTTCGACGAACTGAAGCGCCGCCAAGCTCATATTGGTACCAAAATCGATGCCGACAAAGACAGTGGCAACACAGCAGCTCGAGAGAACGATATTCGAAAGCGTCAAATGCAACAGGAGATATTGGATTCTGCACACGTTCTCTGTGCTACCCTTAGCGGTAGTGGACATGAAATGTTCAAGAACCTGAACGTTGAGTTTGAGACGGTCATTATCGACGAAGCTGCCCAGTGTGTTGAGTTGAGTGCTCTCATTCCTCTAAAATACGGCTGCTCTAAGTGTATTCTCGTTGGTGATCCGAAGCAATTGCCCCCCACGGTTCTATCGCAGTCGGCTGCTCGGTACGGCTACGACCAGAGTTTGTTCGTGCGCATGCAGCGAAATCACCCGGACGACATTCACTTGCTCGATACACAGTATCGTATGCATCCTGAAATCAGCCAGTTCCCTAGTCAGGAATTCTATGAGCGCCGTCTCATCGATGGCAATGACATGGCCAAACTTCGCCACCAGCCGTGGCATCAGACGGGTCTCCTAGGTCCTTACCGTTTCTTTGATGTCAAAGGTAGTCAAGAGAGAGGCCGAAAGGGTCAGTCATTGGTGAATACAGAAGAGCTTAAAGTCGCTATACAGCTCTATGAGAGATTCAAGTTGGACAATCCTCGTGTTGAACTCAAAGGCAAGGTTGGCATCATCACGCCTTACAAAGCTCAGCTGGCCGAGCTTCGCGACCGTTTTTCGGCTCGGTACGGCGAAGGCATCAAAGAGGAAATTGAGTTCAATACAACGGACGCGTTCCAAGGTCGCGAGTGCGAAATTATCATATTCTCCTGCGTTCGTGCAAGTCCCACGGGCGGCATTGGTTTTATGACGGACATTCGCCGTATGAATGTCGGTCTGACACGTGCTAAGTCGTCACTCTGGATTCTTGGTGACTCAAGAGCTTTGGTTCAGGGCGAATTCTGGAATAAGCTCATCGAGGATGCGAAGGCAAGAGACCGCTACACGACGGGAGACATCATCTCCCTACTTAGAAAGGCGGGCGCCACATTGCCTCCTCCGTCCTTCAGCTATGTTCAAAACACAGTTCCCCAGAACCGAGAAGTGAAGATTGAGGTCGAGGTTGAGGACGTGGACATGACGGATGCTTCACCGCTGAAGCCCCCTGACTTTCGGAATAAAACGCCGCAATTACCCGAAACGTATACTATCCTGGAGCGGCATCAACCACCGTCCCAGGCATTCAACAACCTTCCCAGCGGCTACTCGGGTTTGAATGAGCGGGGGCAAGCGCAGTCCAAGTTGACAAGCTCTGGCCGACCTATCATACACTCTTCCGGCCAAAAAAGACCCAGGGACAACTCCACAGATGTTGGTCAGCCTGCCAAACGTGTAAGTGATGCTCAATCCTCGCGTGTGCCAACGACTAATTTCAATTAAATGTGCAGGCACCAAGTGGGTTTCTTCCGGGCAAGCCTATTCCAACGAAACCCAAGAACATGCCACGACCCAGTGATCCTGCGGCAATGTCTGTTCTAGGGATTGAGGCAACAAAGACAGCATCCTCGAGAGGTGGCAGCAAGCCTACGCCGCCGAACCCTTCAAATCCCTCTCAGGTTTGTGATGCTCTACCGATTAACGACCGTAAGAATGAAAAAGCAACTAACACCCTTAGGGCTCTTCGACTTCACGGCCTTTTAACCCCATGATACCCCCCAAGAAGAAACCAGGATCGGATCCATTCATCAAACGTAAACCCACTAAGCCCCGTTAGAACTAAACTCTCAAGCCAAGGTTCCCACCGACTCATTCCTCCTATCTACTCCCAGTATGAATCCATACCGTGCCTCCACTACCACCGACCTGCATATTCCACCTTTTCCTGACCTCATAGGCGACTTTTATTTTAGATAGTAACCAAGCATAGACGACGGTATGGTACGGCGTTGAGACAGTGATATCTACTTTCACCTTGGCCGCACATCACGGACGGAAGGCAAGGCATATCCCAAAGCATCTCTCAAAGCATCTCTCAGGGGAAAAGCATTTGTGTTAGGATACCAGGCAGTTCTCGGTCTTTCTTGACCTTACAAGGTTATTGCCTCGAGCAGTTCATCGCATTTCCGTAGATTTGAGGCGCCTACCACCTCACCTCAATCATGAGGACGTGGTATTGCTGAATAGAGGACGCGATAGCCGCGTGGTCCTTCTTTGAGCCATGTTTCTATTGAGCGGACCTAGATGGACCCGGACCCCTTCCGCAGCATTAATCTCGTATATTGCATCTAAGCTATCCAGTGGCTTGATCGACAGACCGACACACACACATGGGGCATTCGTGAGGTCCTTGGTAAGTGTCGTGTATCCAGTCTCCCGTGATACTGTTGATTTGTGCATGTGAATTATTGGCCGAAAACTGTTTTCTTGGCAGATTGCTTTCCACCATTTCCACCAAAATCATGAATACACCTACGTGAATCCACAATACATTCACGATGTCTATCCCTATACGCGAGCCGTGGACTGTATCAGTTTCCTTCCTTATTGCCCCGAACTCTGTATCACTGTATCACTTCAATGGGGGACTGACCGGCACTGAGACGCACACCCTTTGCTGCTTAGCCACCCATTGTGATATGACTACATCTAGATTAGTGAGTGGTACCTCAACCGCAATCCTCCATATTGATGAATAAGTCTTTCCACATGGGTTTGCACACACACCTGCCTATACACACCACCGGTCTCGGCCTGTAAACGAATACCACATGGTTGCCCATACCTTCAGTCGCCACAGTTGCCACATCTATATGGGGCGTGCTGCGAATATTAAGGGATTTTTTATCACACTACTGAGTCGATGAACATATGTTCATAATCGTAGTCAGTATTCTAGAGTTTAGCCCCTTTCATTGATCAATCCACACCTTATAGATCCTCAATCCCCACTCTAAATCACAAAACCGCAAAAAGCCATCTTCCCCCACACCCCAGACCTTTACGCTTCAGGTTTACATACTTCAAGCTACACACCTCTTGAAGCTACATGACGACTGGTACAAAAGAAAAAGCACGTCTGGCAGTTCTGCACTCAATTTACCTCAACCCACATCTACCGCAACTCCAGACGAACCCGCGCCACGCCCTGTAGCTCGCGCATCAACGGCTCCAGCGTCTCGAATCCAGTGGCTTTGCTGCTGCTACTGCTAATACTGCTTTTGCAATTACGCGTGCTCATCTCAGCGCTGAAATAACTGTCAGGGCTATCACTGTCCCGCGAATACCGCTGCTCCGTCTCCCGCTTGCGAGCATCGAGATCACCATCGCGCTCACCCGTAGCGCGGAGTTTCTGGAACCCCCTCTCAAACTCTTTATACAGCTGACCGCCACTATAGTGTTGTTGGCTGCCACTAACCATCAGGCTCACGGGTCTCCTCTTCTTAGCCCGCGCTTCACCCCCATCTGTGTGCTGCCGGTGGATTGCTGACAAATCGAACAACGACTCATAGCTCCGGGAGGGCCTCAATAGATGATTCTTACGGCCGTCGCGATGAGAGTGCGGAGCTGAGGACCGTGTGCTACTATCCACATGACGTTGGTGATACGTGTGGTGCTCCCGCTCCTGGAGAATGGTTTCCGTTAGGGCCTCAACGAGCGGGACTAGCGAACGAAGCCATACCTCAGAATTGCGTTCGATACGTCTGAGTTGCTTCTCCATGTCATGTATGCGAATTTCCTTCAGCGCAAGGTAACGGGCGAGCAGTTCCTCCCGCGAAAGCCGTTCGGCGGTCTCCTGATCCTCGGCCATGGCGGCTTGGGCGGCGTGGTGGGACTTGCGTTCTGCCTGACGCTCCTTGCGTCGTTTATATGACGTTCGGTCGAAGCTCAGGTCTGAATATCTAGACGGAGAGAGCGGACTGACTTTTTCGGACAAATTCTTGGCGCTGTGTCTGCTTGTCTTGGGAACCGCGCCAGGAGATATCTCGGGTATCTCGGGCATCTCGGACATGGCTAAATTGATATGGGCGACCACATTGATAGGAGGGGGTTTGCGCTTCTTTTTGGTCGAGGAAGATGTTTTTGAGGACTTAGATGGGTGTGAGTCGAGACTGTCGCTGAAGTTGCCCAGGACGGGCGATTCGGGCGAGATTTTGGCAGTTGGAGGTTGGAGAAGATGGGAGGCGGAAGGCTGGCTTGAATCCCGCGGCATCTTCATTGCCCCGATGTCTCGCTTTTTCTTCTCCCGCAGGCGATCTCTGCGCTTCTTTATCTTGTCCAGGGTCGGATGGATCGACGGAATATCAGTTTGAACGGAGCGACTAGTAGTCGATGGCTGTGGGAAGTTGGGATCCAAAGGAGAATCCACCTGTTGTCTTGAATGTGGCCGTACGTAAGTCGGTATGGCCTTGGCATCGAGTAATGTTGGCTCTAGCCCTGATGTGAATATGCTCTCGGTGAGAGACCTTCGGATCAAATCTTTCTGGGATTTTCTGGCCGAGCCACTGCGGCTCAAGACGCCGTCAATCGAGTCCTTAGAGCCTGGGGCCATACTTGAATTCCTGCTTGACCTCCTAGCTGGCAGGTTTGGCCGCATGGCAGATTTTGTGGATTGGACACTGGGTGCATTAGATGCCACGCTAGCATTGCGTGTATGGGATCTTGCAGCAGCGCGGCTTGCGATTGGTTCAGGCCGAGGCAGCATTGGGCTTAAGGAGCTCGGCTGTTTCTCTGTCAGAACATATGAGAAGCCATCACCTTGGGGGGAGGTAACAGCCTCGAATTCACTTGTCTTCATCGGTTTCGACTCTTGGGTTGTGGCAGATGCTGTGGTGGTACGCGCGGCACGTCCGGACGGGGATCTTCGACCTCCAGATGGTGAAATAGTTGGGAACGGCACGGGCAGACCTTGCGAGGCTGACGAGAGACGCAGTGATTTAGGCGAAAGGGGCGATCGCTCTGCGCCGGAGGAGCAGGATTCGGGATCTTCTGCAACAGGCTTGAGCACTGTTACAACCCCTCGTTCTGGGTTGTAAGTACGCATTGGGCCCAGCCGCGTCTCGATTTCCCTTGTGAATTCTCGCTCGATAGAATCAAACACCGGGTATTGGGTGGGGGAGATAGGTCCGAGATGGCAATGCTCAAAAGGAATTGATATGGCAATGTGTTGATGTCCCCCGATGGTTTTTGCAGCAACCGCTGAATCTGGCAGTCTAATGACGGGTGGACGATGCTTCTTGCTGGTTTCGCGATTTTTCCGAAAGGCCTTGAGCTTGGTCCATATGTTGCCTTGTTCCGATAATGAGGTGCTAGAGCTGTCTGGTCTAGACATGTAGTTACCAGGAGGCGGAGTCTCCTGGAGAAACTCAATGAGGTATCGCAAGTTGTCTTGGTTTCGTTGCTCTTCGAGAAGATCTTCGAGCCTTGCTTCTTGGACATCGGTATGGCGGACTATGCTGTTAAGCCGCAGCGGGGTGTCCGATACGTCGGACCGTAGTGGCTCAGGTGATCTCTGTTCTCGCCGTATATCCGAAAGGGAGCGCACAACCGATACAACCGACGGTGGATGTGAAGCTGGCTGTTCTCCGTTGGAATTATAATCAGTGTAAACGACAATTTCCCTGTCCACTCGAATTCCCGAACTGGTCGACCCCTTTCGTTCCATGACGTCGATAAATCACCACCCATGGGCAAAAGTTGAGTGAGCGGCTGGCCAGCCCAAGTGAAACCGTGTAGCTGAAGATCAGTGCCTTTTTCTTGTCAACGACGCGATACACGTCCGTGTTTAAGGCTGCAGTGCTCGAACAATGTCAGCTCGCCTGCGGCTCAACGAGCTGCACTACAGACCAAAGCTCCAGAGCTTAGTATAAGCGAGGATGGATTAAAGGAGCTAGTTAAAACAAAAACAAAGTAATAAATCGGACCATATCGTGAAGAGAGCAAATAAAGCATAAAGTATCAGGATCATGTGTAGTAACGCCCGGCTCACAATGACAAAAGAAACTTGATGAGGAAAAAACCATGCAAATTCGGGTATCGCAAACGGGGAGCGAGCTCCACTTGAAGCTGTAGCAGAAGAATCCGGCGAGGAAAAATCCTAAGAAGATGCAATGCCATTCTGTCTGGTTTACGCATGGCGACAAGCCACACAGAGTCGACTGACGAGCTGTGGTCTGCAAGATAGGATACCCACCACCTGCTAGCCCAACATAGGTAGGCTAGATAGCGCGGGCCAACACATTTTTGTCCATGGGGTTCCGAAGAACAAGAATTTCGGTGCTAGACTCAACGTTAATCTGCACGGGTAGCCGTGTCGTCGGAGTACGGCCTACAAGATTGTCAGATGTTAATATGCCATCTAGACTTGGCGAGGTGAACAAACAACTGCAGGTGATAGGAGACTCGGGTTTTTGATGATATCTTACGCAGGAGATGCAGAGTGATTCCTCTGAAGGTCTGAGACTGGCTGCTTTCCCCCTATTGCCTCGATCAAATTCCTGCTCTTGATCTTGAGAAGAAACCATAGAAGGATATTCCCAAATCCGGGGCGCTAGTGGTGACTAGAGAAAACCATTGGCCAACGCGACTGGTCGAGCAACAGAGTTGGTGATCTCGGGCCAGGAACGAACCCCAGAGCGCCAATAGCTTTGGGTTACCCCAACTGCGGCTGGTGTGTTAGCATGTTATTCTTCGCGCGCGGCGTCGATGGTTCTATCCGTAAAGGACTTGGGCAGTTGTGACGATGCCAATCGCACTTTGGGGTGCCTGGCAACGAGTGTACGGTGAAGCAGCCACCCAAGTGCTCATCAGCGGGCGACGGTCACTCCCAAATTGTTGCTGGGCCATCGACTAAAATTGTTCTAGCAAGGACTCTAGAAGTACGCGCTGAGTCTGGCCTCGTGCGTGGAGTATCTACCATGAAGACTCAATTAAGAAGTTCCTGGGACGGGCTGACGTTGATGATTTGCAGCACTGCAGCACAAAGGATCGATTGATCAGCAGTTGTCGATCCAAAGTCAATGGCGCTGCGGGAGAGTGCCGAGGCGCCCTTGTCGGATGCCCACAGACTGGCGATCCAAGTCCGGGCTGCAAACCGTACCGGTGGTCCATTTGTGTAGAAGTCTGAAAACGTTGGGCGGGCATTCGGCAACCTAATTGCAGCCGGATCGGATTGTGTGGGCAATACAGGCAAGAGAGTTTGTGTTGGTAAGGAGGATGATGATGATGGGACTAACTCCCAGAGGCTGCAGCTACGGACGGGCTATCTATGAGCAGTTGGCCAAAGCGCTGCACCCAGCACACATCCGGTGTGCCTGGGACACGCAACAGATTGTTCTCTTTCCCGTTCTGGGGTTTTGCATTTTTCTGCTTCCAAGGCTGTTGGGTACAAGTTGCAATCGTACCATTATACGAATATAGGAGGGTAAAGTTCTCCGTAGATATCGTCTTTGTAAGCCTGAAGACCAATTTTCCCCTTCACCTTTCCCATCCGACGGCAAATTGGGCCCGATTCCCAGTGACTCATCTCCAGTTCCTCGTGTGTTAAATTTTTGCCATCTGTGTCACTTCCTTCCACTTGTTCGTCGTCCATGTCGGTTCAGTCAGAGGTGATGGTGTCCTGGGGCATCTTCTCTGGCGCGTCGTTAGGTCTCGTGTCGACAGGGGACAAGATAGAGTCCAATATGTTCGTGATTGATGGAAAGTATGTATACTGTCGACCGGGTCTAACGGAGTCCAAGAAAACCAACGTCTTCTTTCGTGTTTTCTTCCCCCATGGAATTTCCGGGCGCAGCAAATCGTCCTTGTCCAACAAACTAGCATCTGGCACATGAAATCCATATCCAGCATTAGCATCTTCTTATGTTAGCTGGGACAAAGATGACTGTTACATTGTGAAAAGCTTCTTTGTAGACCTTGAGCATAAGAAAACGATTTGAGGGTCCATGAGACGGGTGCTTGAAGTGGAGGTTCTCCGAAGAAGTATCTTGCATGGATATTACCCACGTTACGCAGGACATCGTGACTCGCAGTGCATTGTCCAAGTCGGGGCTCCGAATCCGTTGAGTTACAGCATATCACAGCTTTACACTCTTCATTTCAAGGCATAATGAGCTTGTATTGTAAATCCAGCCGATTCCACATGACAGGAAATCATACAAAGATAACCGAACTTGAAATAGACTTTCTGGGATGTGCTAGAAATGACCGTGTCTTTACAGTCAAATAAGTCATATATTATGTAGGAACAGTAGTATATGTCAACAGGTGTGAGTATCAGTTAAACTTGGCCAAGCACAACCTTTGTACGAATAGTATCCGATCCGTATACATCACTACCCAAAGGTTACGAAGGTTACGATACGATGTGGGCAGGACTGGGAATATGTTATGATTTTAACATGCACGCATTGGATACATAGGCATATCGGTTGTAGTGTACTCAAGAATACAATTGGGTATTGTGCAACTCTGAAAAATGAGACCGCAAAGGCGTCATGCCAATCATCGTGAAAAGGGGGTATCGTGAAATCATGTCCACTGCAATAATTCGTTCGTCCCTTCCATCATCCTTCTTTCTCCAGCACTCCTCCCCCGTACCACCGCCACCGCCGCAACTCCAATCCCATTTCAATCCATCATGCTATGACCGGACATGATGAGCTCACCCATCTGTCTGCCTCGAGCTTAGGGACATTTTTCCCTCATAACAGACGGGTGCGCACTAAACCCGACTCGTGGTATGGCCGTGCGAACGCATTGTTCCGCCTCGCCTGCGACCACAATATCCGCAGGTCAGGAACGAGATGAGGATGGTGAAGAAGGAGGCGATGCCGTGGATGATGGCGGTCAGGATGGAAGCGATGCCGTTGACGATGGCCATGAGGCAGTTTCCAATGGTTCGGAAGAGGTTTTGGACCTGCAATGACAATAATATTAGATCATATTCGTCGGATGGAAAAGTGACAGTGTTGGTTGCATCAACTTACACAAGAGACGACGGCACCCATTGTGGCGGTGGAAGTGTGGTGTTGTTTATTTGGTGTATGTGGTAGTGTAAAGTTCTGAATTGGTAGTGATGGGTTCTCCTTGAAAGTTGCAAAAGTCTTTAAGTTGTGAAGGTGGTTTGAGTGTCTAAAGGAATTGGTCACAGCAGAAGGCGCGTTGGGTGGACTGATTTATATACGACTGGTAAGACCACAAATCACAAATTATCAAGCCGCCGTGGCAACCGCATGTCTGCTAGCAACGTCCGAATGCTGCTACTTAGCTTCCTTCCCTCCGCGCAGCCTCACGGTTGACGGCACCCAATCTGCCGGCACCCACAAAATGCTAGGTCATAGGTTATTTTGCGTACAGCTCGGCAACGAAAATCTACAATATGACATGGTCGTAAGGGCAATTTTCCTCTGTCCAAGTTTTCTGCATCCTGCCTGAAACACAACCGTGCGGTGTGTCGTGACGCGGGAACAGCATGTGAGTACATGGGCCTGACGTCACACCTCATTATCCACGCCTACGAATACCACGGCCCCCCCCCCCCCCATCATCGTCGATCCGCCCTTCTTGGCCCAGCCCTTTTCCTCGGTGATGGTGCGTTAGACATGCATTAGACATGGCCGATTCTGGCAGATTGTAGCCGCTTCGAGCACATTGGAGAAATCCCAGCCATGGCACGGACACAGCAGCCAAACCACCATTCAAGCCCTACCGGACCATTTCCACCGGATCGTCATATGGTCCAGGTTGTCCAATCGGGTTTCATCTTGACTGTTTGGTGATGTCGTTTTCATCTGTGGCCGTGATCGAAGGACCTCGACACCTACAGTTGACGAAGGTGAGCAAAATTGTAACTTGGAACGTCGCGGTTAAGAGTGGATCATGACGTGCGCAGGGCTGGGGTTAGGCCAGGACGGAACTGTAATTTGACCTTCAACGTCTGTAAGCTCCAAAACGGGGGCTCGTGAGTATATCGCGTGGTTTCTCGAGGCATTCTTAATTTCTGAGCAAAATTCGACACGGTGGTCTGCCGAATTGCGAATGGGACCCCATATTGGAATTAAATTGAGGAAATGCTGGCGCCTTCCATCTCAGAAGGGAAGCTCGTGGGTGCTGCTCCGTCCAATAATGCGGAGCAACTGCAGAAGGTGTGGAACATGCCTTCACATTGTGCATTGAGAACCTCAAGTTACTCAATCGGGATCGTTGGCTGTTTTACCATGCCAAGAATGGTTGTCCTCTGTTTCTTCTCCATCCTATGATAATGCATTGTGCGGCTGACTTGTCCCCCCAGCGTGCGTCAGCCACCTCTGCATCTTGTTTTATACCCTGTTCTGACGTACAGATTACGCCACAGCTACAACTTTATAAGTAAGCAGCCACATCCGGTAACTGTATAGTTCATCTCTCCTTAGAAAATGCTATGACAAGTCGGTTGCCATCACAAGTTGGCCACCGCCTCGATTCCAATTTGGGATGATGGTCCAAGGTCCAACCCTCCTCGACATACATTGAGCAAACATAAGCTGCCGACCACGGCCACCGGTCAACTATCTCGCTAAACTACCTAAGATGATGCTTTTGATCAACAATATCCCACAGCTGTGAGATGCTCGTTCATCCCCGAACTACGCCCGCCTCCGACGCCATGACCCCTTCGATTGAGACGAATTCTCGAAGCTGCGCGCCGACCATGACCCCACTGCTGAGACGGGAAAGGCTGTCCACTTTCCACGGTTCCCAGGCGTTGTACTTCCGGGCCTGACTGTGTTGACCCCTCCCCGACCGCTGTGCGACGTCTGATCAAGACCCTCTTCCAATGTGATATTTCTCCAATCTGCTGTTGCTGCCCCGGATGCAAACTATAATTGGGATGAGAGTATTCCGACCCATATGCAGATGATCTTTATCCTCATTTCGACATCTTTACGATCCACATCATCACTTACCAATCTGAGATATTGAGACAGACGGGTATCTTTTCCTGTCAAGGCCAATCTCATCTTTCCCAGCATTCCAACTTGACCTAGGAAGCTTGGTCAAGATTCAGGACATGGACTAAACTTCACTTCCACTTGGAGAAAATGAGAAGAGCAAGAGTCTGTTTCAGCCTTTCATCCGCCGTGTCTCCCAACGCTTGAGCGAGGCTTCGTCTACAATTATTGCCGTCAACTCCTGAATCATCCACAGAATATTTAATGGAGGATGTGAGTTGGCGAGGTCTCATCCCCTCGGCATCATTCATTCCTTCCCTTGACCCACTGCTAAGAATGTCGACTGGCGTTAAAGGACAATGCCAGCCAGCCAGCGGTACTCATCATCGGAGAGGTTTGCCGGCCATAGTTGGGTCTTTAGACCTACTGTCTCCATAAGTTTTAGGCTTGTATAGGACTGTATGACGAACGAGATGAAAGAATTGAGCTAAAGAAATTATTCAAACCCGACTCGTTTGCTACGCCAACCGGAATGGTATGCTGTAGCGTATTTTGAGCATTCTTAGTCAATATCGATCAAGTTCCTCCCAAAAAAATGTGATATTTGTCTCCCCGCCTCCCTCCCCACAAGGGGCTCTAGCTCCTCCTCCGTCAAATTGGCTACCTCCCTAATGTTCGCACACTCCAACACCAAGTTCTTGACATTCTTCGGTGTGACACCGGGAACTACACCCAGCATCTCCTGTGGCTCGAGATTAAATGCCTGATCTTCGGCCTTCATGTCTTTATCAAGCCCGGCCCTAACTGCGGCGATGGGGTCAGGCTCCTCCTCCTGCGTCTTGAGGTTCTCAAAGATCTCGGCCGTCTGGTAGGGGCTGCTACTCCAGATGATGCGGAGGCGCGGGAACGCGAGGGTCAGGAGGACTAGCTTCGACTGCAGGTCCGAAGGCCCGCTTGCTGGGTTAACGGAGTTTAGGTTGCCGGACAGGTCGGCGAAGGGTTCCAGTGTGAAGGATTTGTTCTGATCAAATTCAATGAGAAGCATTGGGTTCCTGTAGTGTTGGAACATGGTCTCGGCTTGAGTGAAGAGCCGGCCATCCTTAAAGGAACTTATCAGGTCGCTGACGGATTTACGCTCGATGCAGATGTTGGGCGAGAGAATATAGTCACCAACTGTAAGCATACACGGCACGATAACCATGTTGCGCCCATGTAGAAGCGAAGGCAGCGAGGAGCGGAATTCTCGCACATCGACCACTACTCGTGGCGGTTGAGCGGTAGCGGCGAGCCGCCCACCACCGGCGATACGCGTGTTTACCGTCCGAAGGAATGCTTCCTGGGGATCTTCGATGCCGTGAGCATCAACCGTCATGACAATTGACATACTGGCGCGCTCCTTGATGAGCTTGGTGAAGGAATCCTTTTCTCGTCGGACTGAAGCGAGGTATCGTTGTTCTTCCACAGATCCCTCGTAGAACATGAAGTACACGCGGACATTTCTGTCATTATGAGAAGATCTGTAGACTTCCACACGCCGGATAAATGCCGCATCGGGCTCATACATAATGATGTACCGCGGCTTAACTTCTTCCAGGACGTGCTCGTCTTGGTCGCCCTCGTACGCATGAACCACGATGAGATCTTGCATCTCGTAAAGCTCGTAGAAGTCGTCCATATCCTCGAGGGGGTCGGCAATAATGTCAGCCTTTTCATTGGCCTCCTCCTCTGTAAGTTGCACTTCGGCCATAAGGTCTTCCACTTCAGCAGGCTTTTCGATGTAGGGCATGAGACTGCCATTTGCAGCTCTGCCCGGTGCCGCACCGATTACACTACCCCCACGCTGCCGCCTGCGCTTGTTTGCTGGTGCTCGGCTTTTGTTGCCTCCTTGAGCCAGACGTGGATCGGCCGCTTCTTTGAGGGCTTTCTGGTTCTCTGCAAATAATGCTGAGCTGATTTGCGCGAACTCACTCTTCCACTTCAAGTAGTCGCGAAGCTTTCTTCTCATCAGGAATGCGGCCGATGGCTGACCACGATCTTGATCCTGCTTCGCCAATAGGACATCCTCTTTCGGTTTGATGTACATCTTCTGCAAGTAGTCTCGTAATTGACGGGTTGTAGCGGTATCAGAACACATGATGAGGATGGTCCCATTAGAGTCGTCTCTCATGGGCGGCTCAAAGATCAAGTCGCGGTCTATTTCTTGCAATATTTCCGCAAGGACTGCCCATTTAGGCTGCTCCTCAAGTACTGGGCGAAGTGACTCCATCGAAGTTTTCTCGGTGGCCTTCACATTACTGGCGTACACCCTCTGTTTTGCAGTGCTGAAAATGGTGTGCGCAGCATCGAGGAACATCCATGGCGATTGGTTCTGCCTTGTTGACCCTGGTTGTGGGGAATGGGCCGCATGGATGGTGTCAAGGTGCTGAAGGAAAGACACCGAATCGAAGGATAACAACGAATGCAGCATACTCCGTAAAACAGTCAGGTCGTTGACAATTTGCTTTGTCTTCCAACTGACTCTGTGCCAGTTCGGATCCAACTGTCGGCGAATCATGATATCAAAGTTTTTTAGCAGGGCGCTGTCCATATTCCAGTCATCCATTTCTAGTCCAGAATTTCCCTTCTTCAGTTCTTTTATGCTGACTTCGACGCACTCCATGATGGCTGTCTGGATTTCTTTCATGGCATCGGTCATTGGAACCTCAAGCTCGATGACCTCGGCCTTCTTCTTGCCTTCGAGGGAACTTGCCACGGTGATGTGGAATCTTGGCCAAAGCGAAGCTTTACGCAAGAACATGTTCCTCATCATTGTAGCAAGTGGAGAGAAGCCAATGGTGAAGGGGTCTGGGTTGTCCGAGAAGGCCTTGAGGAAGCCAACCTTGTTCTTCTGGCGATATATACGCAAGATGAATGCTTCGAGGGACGTGACAATCACCTTTTCAGCATGCAAAACTATCAGGCCCGTAATGGTTTCGGGATTGAGGAGAGTAGTCAACAGATCGACGACGAGGATGCGGGACGTGATGCTGTAGATTCCCCCTCGAGTATACATCTTCTCCCTAGCAGCTACACTGGTGAAATCAGTGTTGACAACGGTAAGCCCCCTGGCCTTGGGAGCCATGCTAATAGCGGCATGTTCGGCGAGAGCTTCGCCGATCCAGGCATTTTCACGGTCTTCGGCACCGACTATGACAATGAGATTATTTCCAGCAGCATCGTAGCTGTGCAGCAGGTTTGTGATCAGGCGCATGAGGCCGAGGCCCCGGGCAAGAATGACGAGCTCATCCTCATTGCGCAACTCCTGGAACAGGTGCTGCTGGTATTCCTACGACTGGTCAGACTGTCGACGAAGCCTGCTAGAACAGACCCGGAGTACCTACGAGAGGTAGTGAGAGCTTCACCGGCTGGGGAGCATTGTTCGCAGACATGCGGGGCACAACTGGACCAAAGGGCGAATCGCGTAACGAACAAGCGACCGTGTCTCTCAATGCATACTCGCGCAAACCAGTTAAATTTTCTGAAAGGCAGACAGGCGATAGCGGCGGCGAGCAGAATTATTGGCCCCGTGGTGTTGCTCAAGTCTATATCCTGGAAAGTCCTTCTATCCGGGTCGCGTGATGGCCTGGTGGGCAATGTTGGTGTGGACTACGAAGCGATCTAGCATAAAATCTGGGGATGAAGGTTGCGAATCATCGGCTAGCAGCCGCCATTCTGACGCGGGATCACGGGTCTCAGTTAGGCAGAACCCTACGTCATCACATTGTGCCTCAATGAATCAAGACCAACGCCTGGGAATATAAGACCTCTCCCGAATCTATCTTTATAAATTGGGATTTTTTCAGAGAACATCCATCATTAAATCACCACAAACCCGAACGCCGTGCACAACACGTCCGCAAGAGGTATACCAGACAAAATGACAGGCAAGGAATCAGTCCCCACTCCCCAGGTCAGTCGGTCTCGTCTTGTTCAGCACTACAACAACTCCAGGGTCTGATCTTTATCACATGCAGACTGGCAAGGTCGACGGCGACTTCAAGCCGAACGACCCTCAGGAGGCTTCTCAGCCACAGGGAGCGAAGCAGTTTGCTGCTTACAACGCACACCCTGGCCCTGCCATCCCCCAAAACATGCCTGAGCAAGAGGGTACGAAGGAGGAGCGTCAAGCAAAGGCCCAGGCGTTGAACAAATAATGTTTTTGCAGCACCAAATGTCGTTCGGCAAGTGGATTTGTGCTTAATGAGCCAGATCTTAAGCATTAGGCATTGGAGAATGCTCGTGCTTGGCTCTGAACCACAAGACGCATGGATGTGTGAAAACACGAAAGTAACCAATAATGGAAAGGGTTGCATCTCAATTGTCAGCTTGGCTTGATACAGGGAACGCAAATTTTTGTATGCTGTGACTACCTTATTTGAGAGTTGTATCTCGACTCTACCATTCATTTTAAGCAGTATTGCTCTAGCCAATCTCCACATGGAGGGCCATAATCATGACGTTAGCACTAAGAGCATGTTGAGCACAGTAACGCGCCGGTGCAGGCATTAGGCGGCTGCCATCAAATAATGAGATTGTAGCCGTTCAAACTCAGCCCATACATGCTAACACTATACCAAATCGATTTTCAAGCCAACTACAATGCAGTACTACTTCAAGTGTTGCTTAAGAGCAATCACGACACTCAATAGCTAATAATATCCACTATTGTGGCTGTGCATTTCGAGATGACCACTGCAAGGTATGGCAATTGAATATGGCTCGTCACCGCTATCAAGATTCGCTCACTGCGATTTGTCAATAGACAGGAGCTTGGATAGGCCTTCCATCTATCTGTGCGTTTGTGGGCTGCGGCTGCCCAGGGTGAAGTGCTCCAGCTTGGCGTGGGAACTCCTGTTATCCATGTCCAACATGGAAAGTTGCGAACTCCAAACTCTTCCCTTAACTTGGACATTCCCACCTCAAAATAGACGTTAGAAACACCGGGACCGACCGCATGAAACTGCGTCGAAAGAAAAACACAATTACCAGGGGACGGCCAAGTAAAATATCGCCTTCGGAGCGACACATTGCCCCCAATTGCGACCTGCCTTATTCTTCAATAATTCAACCAACCACATTGTCCCGCCAAGCAACCAGCCCATCGGCGCAGGCTTGAGGCACAAGACCTCCAACAACTCCAACCGTCGAACAGAGGCGTTCTTACGAGTAAGCGCCGCCGCCGCCACTACGCGTACGCAACGCAACGCAACGCACGGCTGCAAGGCATCCTATCGCGGGGGGGTCGCTTCTTACACCAGATTCCCCTGCCTATTCGAATTGTATCCATGATCACTTAAGGTTTTCCAGGTAGCTTGGAGACAGGGACGGGACAATTGAGGCACCGACTCTATCGTCTTCCCCCATCCATTTACCGTACCAGCCCCGGCTCCACGATGCCGTCGATCCTGAGCGAAGAGGATAAGGAGACGGTCAAGCGCCAGGTGCCCAAGCAGACCAACAAGATCCAAGCTGTCGCCGTCGCCAGGTTGTACGTTGCATACCCCAATAAGGCGAAATGGACCTACACGGGGCTGCAAGGCGCTATTGTGCTGTCCAACGATCTCGTCGGGAATACATACTGGCTGAAGCTGGTGGACATATCGGTAAGTGATGCGTCAAGCACTATGCATACTCTGTTCTCTCAATGCTAATTCACGATGAAAATAGCCGGCTGGCCGCGGAGTGATATGGGATCAGGAGATATTCGATACATGGGCGTATAACCAAGATCGGACCTTCTTCCACACTTTCGAGCTCGAGGAATGTCTCGCAGGGTTGTCCTTTGTCGACGAAAAGGAGGCGAAGCAGTTCAAGAAGAAGATGGACGAGCGGGAGAAAAATGCGAGCAAGGCGACGAGGAACACACCTTTCGGAGGCTCGCACCAACATCCGACCAAGTCTGGCGGCTTGTTTGGAAGCATCTTTGGCGGACATAGGCATTCCTCCGCTCCCACGCCTCCAGAGTCGCCCCGAAACAGCAACAATCACAGTTTACCGCCGCTGCCGTCACATCCGGGGGTGTCGTCTGAGAATGTCAATGGGTTCCACAAGCCACCTTCCAAGTTTACAACGCTGGAAGCTTATGACCCCAACTGGCGAGACAATTTTGGAAACTTCCTCACCGAGCAGGGCCTGACGGACGATTTCATCAAGGAGAATCAAGATTTCATCGTCGAATTCTTGAAAGAACAAGTACCCCAGGCCACGGCATCACTTCCGCCTCCGCCTCCCCCGCCTCCTGTCAACGGCACCGGCAGCCATGGAGCACGAGCACCTCCTCCTCCACCACCACCACCCCCCTCCGTAAGACCAGCAATAGAGCCTGTCGCATCCTCCAGCTCTCGTCGTGGAGCTCCTCCCCCACCGCCGGCGCCACGGAGATCTAATAAGGTAGAACTACACCGGGAACCGACTCCACCTCGAGAATCCACGCCCCCAAGACCGCGCTTCAATGCTCCTCCACCATTGCCTGACGCCGGCAAGTTTGCGCACTCAGAGCCGTCACGAGGCGTGCCAGCGCCACCAGGACCCCCTCCGCCTCCGCGACCACCCAAGACGCCGGCAAATGAAGGAGACGATGGGTCCGGTCATAAGTTTGGCGTGCCCCCGGCCTTCACAGGACAGCGACTCAACAACGCTCCACCACCCGCACCGGCTAGAGGTTCGGTGCCTCCACCTCCACCGCGACAAGCTGCAGCCGTGCCGCCTCCTCCACCACGACAAGCAGCGGCGCAGCCTGCTCCTCCGAGTCTGCCGCCCAAAGTTCCGGCCTCGAGTGCGCCACCTCTTCCTCCAGCTGCTTCTCGTCCGGTCCCAACTCCACCGAGAGACATTCCGGCTCCTCCACCTTTGCCAGTTTCGAACGCCCCTTCTGCCCCACCGCCACCTTCCCTACCAAGAACAGGTGCTGGTGCTCCTCCTCCTCCTGTCGCGCCTCCACTTCCTCCCCCTTCGGGATCCGGCGCACCGCCACCACCTCCTTTGCCACCGATGGGAGGAGCACCTCCACCACCACCACCACCTCCTCCTCCTCCTATGCCATCAGCAGGAGGAGCGCCTCCACCTCCTCCACCGCCGCCTCCGCCCCCGAATCGTGATAGCGGCTACGCATCGGGCGTGCCGGCATCAGCTGTGCCGGGCGCAGATCCCACACGATCCGCAGTTCTGGGTGATATTCAGAAGGCAGGTGGTATTGCCGCGCTCAAAAAGGTGGATAGGAGCAAAGTCAGAGACCGAAGTGCGGCAGTTGTAGGTGGAAGTAGTGATACTGGCCCACATGGTAGTGGACTGCCCCCAGCGGGTATCGCTCCCGGAGGCGGAGGAGGGGGTATGGCTGACGCCCTTGCTGCAGCCTTGCAAAAGAGAAAACAGAAGGTTCGAGACAGTGGTAAGTATCGGCTTTGTGGGACTCCTCCCTTTCTGAAGCATTTCTCATTAACCCTTGACAGATGACGAAGATGACGACGATGATTGGTAAAAACGAGAATACCCATTGGACGACCTCACTAGTCATCGTGCAAATTCAGACACATGAACCTTGTGAAGACGCTGGTCCTGATCGGGGCCATGAAAGCAGTGGTATGGAAGTTGTTGGCGGAATGCATGCCACCAACCAATGAAAATGAAACTTATCTTCACAGCAATTTGTGCGCAAGAAGACCACTGGGCATTAGATTATACTATGGACCTAAGTACAGCCACCCGACCCTTTACTTCAAAGCTGAGCTGTGTACTGGATTGTATTACTAAATGTGTGGCACTAACGCGAGCTTGGAATACGATACTATAGGTTCTTGGCCTTTGGCCTCAGTGCTATTTACATATCTGAGGTGCTGCTCATGTGGCAGAACCGAACCTCAGAAGCCATACGGCTGACGCAAAAACGCAGACAGACCTATTGCCTGTACCTCCATGGTGTTATAAGTTGAAAAGTAGATTGGACAATTGACTAAAATCATCATTATGTAACTGGCCACTACTAGATGGCACACTCTGTGGCTTTCACCAGCCGTTAGTATGCACGTGCTGAAGACGCAGGGCATATATAATACCTGGAACAGTTCCGAGCCCGTGGTTATACTAAGTGACGACGGTGACCGAAAACTCCTGAGGCAACCTCATCGGCAGCGGCCAGGCTCTCATAATAGCTAATCAAACTCTTCTCAGTCACGCATAGCATGTGCCAAATATTAGCAGACAATAATGGAGCTGCCGTCGCATCATTGAGATTTGGAAACCAGCCCACTAGCTCGGTGCTGTGAAGACAGCTCTAATCAGCGAACAGCAAGGTGCGGACGGTACTTACAGGAATCCCGCTACGGTATTCGTCCGCAATGCAACAGTATACTCGCATGATAAAAGTGGTGTTGAGAACACCTAACGTGAAAATGAATGGTCGTTTCTTAAGAACTAGGAGTCAAGATCTCTGAAGCAACCGACCCCCTCAATGGTTGACGGCTGCCAATGATTTTACCTGCTGGCTTCGCCTTCACGCTGGGTCTAAGAGGACGGGGGGTTAGAAAGTTGCTGTGAGGCAGGTAGCCCCTTGAGATCTGCCAGGGATATACGGGGAAATTATCCTTGCCCAGCTCTGAGAGTTGACTAATCGAAACGCCTGGTGGCCTCTGAAAGCTCCAGACTCAGAAAGTCGAAGCCCCGAGAGAACTAGGCTCGAGTAGACGTCGCAATGGTTCACATGAAACAAGTCTTTACTATTCCTCAAGTACTTGGCGGGAAAAGAAACGTGTTTTGAGTCTATCGCAGAATTCATTCCTCATTACCATGCCCCACATCCCAAGAAACAATTTTGTCGAGAATGTCAGGATGTGTGTGTGTGCGGTCCCCCAAATGACCATGACGTCTCTCCCACCATGGCCGATCCTCCTCCTCCGCCTGCATGTCCAACTGTCGCGGAACCCAGCATGAATCATATGAGCAACACACTGGGGTTGAGAGAGAAGACAGCTTTTCCCAGGCCCAAGCAGCCCTTGAGGGCTCTGGCTCCGGGTGAACCATGCCGTTCCAAACTCTGGTTTAGATGTCGTCAATCTCAATGTCCTTGCCGGCAGCACCACCCTCGTCACTGCTGGAGTCGCGATCCTCGTCGAACTCGAAGTTGCACTCTCCGTCCTCATTAGGTCCGTAAGTGTCCGTCTCGTTGATCTTGGCCGACTCGGGCAGCTCGCCATAAGCCTTCAGGGATCGCGCCTCGTCGGCGGTGTACTTGAGGATGACGTCGCCCTTCTCGTCTTGGTAATCACGCAGCGACAACAAGATGATGTCGCCCTGGTTGATCCACACTTTCTTGCGCAGCTTGCCACGAATATGAGCGAGACGCTTTGCGCCATCGAAGCAGAGGGCCTCGAGGCGGCCGTTGCCAAGCATCTTGATCACCTGGGCGTATTCTGGTACATGTTAGTAATTTTTCCGTCTTTGCCTGCGTGATAGGGATCGAAAGGTGCGAAATAGTCCAAGGCGACGACGATCTCAGTAGATTTACCGCCGAACCGCCATCGACCGTCATTATGCGCCCAAGGCAAGGATTGAGTGGTAAAATGTACCTTGGCCATCTTCCTTGAAGGTCAACTCGCGCTTCTCGTTGTCGTTCTCGTTCTTTCCACGACGTCTGTTTTTACCACCCTATTGATGTGTTTGGTTAGCGTCGCACTTCACGCGATTATTGCCCACTGCGGGACATCGTGGTCAGACTGGAAGGAGGGGTGGGGGAGGGTAGGCTCGCTGCTTGGTGGGGTCACAAAGATATTGTTCAGCACATACTTTTCCCTTGTTCTTAGGCATACTTTCGGTGTTTAACACTGAATATCCCGATCGCGTCGGAATAGAGCAGACAGCGCAAATGGGTGTGCAGATGTTTCGTTGTGGGCTTCGCCGATGTTGTGGGTGGAAAAGCTGGAATGCGTTGTGGTGACGATGGGCAATTAAATGGTAAGCGGCATCGTCTGTGGCCAACCAACGGAACAGACATGGCCTGAGCCTCGAGCGCTAGCGGCAACAAACGCCCCGCTCTTACTCATTCCGGTGGATCTAAATGCTTGACGCCGCTCTCAAATAGTCCGTGCATCGGAGTTAACCAGACTGGGGCCAAGGTTGATGAATGCAGTTTTCAGAACATGGGAATTCACTTGGGTCCCCTACGTAGTGTCCGTGATAATCAGCAACCCATCTACGTACCCTGGTTGATGCTGCAGACCAAGGAGGAGTGTCGCAACCACCGCACGAGAAGACAAAAGCCACTAACCCTCAAAAGCTTTCTGCTCCTATCTATGAGTCATAATCCTCCGTGGAGCATCTGACGAAGGCAAAGTCTTGGTTATACGCAGTTGGGCCCAGTCATGAGCTACCTCTAACGCTCAATGCCCTAAGGGTTCGGTCATGGTCATGAAAAGCGCCCGCCTATCTCGCTCTATGCTGAAATGGCTTCCACTGCGGTTTTCAGTACGGCTTCCAGTAGCGGGCAAGTCCTTCCCACGGACTATCAACACCGGCGCACGCTTGAGGCGACCGAGCTCTCATCCTGATGGGAATTCGTTTGATATCAGCGGATCCAACGGTGCTGTCATATCTGAAATGGCGACCACACACCTTCCCTACTCGGATGCCCCAGTACCAGGCAAACACGTTCACGACGTGAGCAAAAAATACGACATCAGCTTTCCCAAAAACTTGAGAAAGTTGGGAGTCAAACTTCTGGGGAACTATCCGGCGCTCAGTATACAGTTTAGCCAGCACCATTGCTTCGACAACAACTCGATGCGATGGCTCGACCGCAATGTCCACCCCGCTGCTCAGACGGTGCTGGACCGCTATATTGCCCAGAAAAAGATACCTCTGTGGTACCGGGCTATTTCTGCCCATGGGGCCAGTCCTCTTGTATCGTCAGAGGCGAAACGACGCATCAAACAAGCATTGCGACTAGCACTTGGGGTCCACGGATACGATCCTGACGGGAGAAGGATTGTGCCAGATGGGGAGGAGAGTGCCATCAAGGACCTCTACGGCACGCTGAAGATCACATGCCATAAATCCCAGGACCTCTGTAAGATGGAGTTTGCGAATTTGCTAAAGTTGGTGAAGCCTATCGTCACTGCTGCCGAGCTAGAAATGAGGCGAGATCATGATGACAATCATATCACGTCAGGATCTGGGGTTGCCAAACATCGAGCGCGAGAGCTATATCCATTACGAGAGCCTCGGAAACTGGGAGAGCCAACTCAATGGCGAGGGCCACGGAAATCACTAGATCTTTGGAGACCTGAAGAGGCAAGGAAATCTCTAGAGCCACAAAAACCTTACAAGCCTCGGAAAGCAGCATACGGCTCCCACGAGGTATCTTCCTTTCAACAGCCAATTTGACGGCTTGTGGGTTTATAAGTGATATATAATATTGTATGTTAGCTGTACATTATACTCTCGACTAGTGAGCCAAGTTTACAAATACCCGGAGAATGACATTTGAAATTTTGCGAATGAAAACTAAAGTACGACGTACTTTCAATACGGGTGTAGATTTTTCTAAGCCGCATATTTCCAATTGCGTACTGGGGTTCAGTTGCCGATGTGTGGTTACGAAGTACTTTGTAATAAAATGAGCTCAACACCAAAACGTCCAAGCTCCTTGACACGCAACGTTCGTAGGCCCCAATTTCATAACACGTCTACAACCACCAGGCCATATCATATCGCACAACATCAATTGGAGACTTTGAACACCGAGGTTTCTTATTACTGACTACAAGATGCTGGTCTCTCTCACCGTCGGCAAAGTCGATGCCGGCGTGACGGTGCTTTTGACGCCTGACAAGCGCCTGGTAAGTGCCATCTCTCTTCGTGGAACTTGGTGGGAGTCGCAATAAGTCGCAACAGCTCTAGCAGCGGCATGATTCCATGGAGAGATTAGAGCAGTTGCCTCTACCTGCAATTGTACTGATATGAATCACCAGATCGAGTTTCCCTCTATCCTCCTGCCGCCCAACATCGCATCGGGCTCCATCGTCGACATCACAGTTGCGCGCAACAACGCCTCTGAATCCGAAGCCGATAAGCGCTTCTCGGCACTACAAGATCAGATCTACGGCTCATTCGGTGCCGGCGAACCCTCGACGCCCATCCTGCGCTGCCGCAACGCAACCCAAACCTCGGTCGTACTGGAATGGGACCCGATCGAACTGGCGACAGCCGACCTAATCTCACTCTCGCTCTACCGCAATGGCCAGAAGGCCGGTAACATCCCGCGGCCCCTGCACATGCACAGCACCAAGATTTCTGGTCTGGCCGTCGACACCGAGTACACGTTCTACCTGGTGTTGCGGACGAGCGCCGGCACCTTCAGTAGCAAGCAGGTGACAGTCCGCACGCACAAGATGACGGACCTGAGCGGTGTCACCATTACGACAGGCATCCTACCTTCGGCCACTCGCGATAGTCTCGCAAAGGCGGTGGAGCGCATTGGAGCTAAACTCGTTGACGGCGTGCGAATTGACACGACGCACTTCGTAACCACCGAGGGCCGCGGCATCGCCTGGGAGAAGGCCGTCGAGATGAACATCCCCGTGGTTCGGCCGGAGTGGGTCGAAGCGTGTGAGACCAATGGCAGGATCCTCGGTGTCACTAAATTCTACCTCGATGCGCTGAGACCCGGCCCGCCGAGCGAGGAGCAGGTGCCCCGAACCGAACCATCACAGGTCCAGCAGAAGGGTTTGCCGCCTGACCCACCAGCAGATAATGGCGATGGGGAGGCGGCCGCAAGGAAACCCCGGGACGAGGATACGGAGAGCGAGAGTGAGGAGAGTGAGAGCGACGGGCAAGAGGAGAAGGCGAGATACGAGGCGGAGCAGAAGGTGAGATTAGAGGACAAGGAAACACAAAAGGTCGCATTGCGGCCGGGTCAGCCTTCGTTCGGCAAGGATGGATCTGATGATGAAGATGAAGATGAACAAATGGGCAAGGATGAGAAGAAGAAGGTGCAGCCATCGCCATCCGCCGGGGATGGCGCGAGCTTCCAGGATGTTGCTTTGTGAAGGCGAGATTGCTCAGTTAAGCGCGGAGTTTATGACTATAGCAAAGGCATCCTTTTTTGCGACCTTTGTACAGTTAGAATCGAATTGTGAAAGACTTGATATGCTCTGCGTGAGGAATATATCGACAGTCCTATGAGTATGATGCTTCCCCCCTCTATCCTTCTTGAAGCCCCAGATGACAATATCTTCGGCGATGCAAATGGATCTAACATGCTCCGGCTTACACAACTCCTGTTAGACTTTTGCCCTTGGCTAACTGAAAGATTTATATGCATTGGTCAGGATTAGACAAATCTGTATGGCATTTTCAGTCAAAACGACGAGCCGTGGCACAACCAGTCGTTGTGACGGCCAATCAAATTCCTAGTATTGCCGTAGCAACACTTTTCGCGAAGTATCCTGAATTTCAAAAACCCGCTATTCGAATATTTCTATTCAGACTACTCTTTCTGAGGCTTTCATTTTATGCGCCCCTTTGTATGGTACAAGAGTTCACAAGAGTAAATATTTGTAGTTTCAGGTTCATATGCTGTCTCAAATCCATGATTCATCATTCCAACTAACCAAAATCTGCTCATACCCAAAATCCACGCTGAACTTGTATAGTACATTGACGGCCAATTGAAGCATTCCCTGACCTTCAGTCCTTATCACGATTCTTGAGTTCGACTACACACGCTTAAACTAACAGCATTCGGTATTTCCTAGATATTCGAAACTGCATCAAGTGCTGCAGTACCTAGTCTGCAGCTTCATCGACTCCTACCCAGTTTAACACTCCACTATCACGCAAACAAACATAACCATGTCCAAACCCTGGATCTTTATCTCTCCATCTAGCAGAGGCATAGGCCATGCCCTAACGCGGCACCTCCTCCGCACAACCACCCTCCCCATCCTAGCAACCAGCCGCTCCGACCCCTCTAGCACCAAGTTTTCCCTCCTTCAAGACTCATCATCGGCCCAAGATTACTCATCCCGTCTCACAGTCCTCCAAGTTGACGTAACGGACGAGTCCACCATCACCACCGCCTCATCCAAAGCAGCTGAGCTATTTCCGCAGAAAACGCACCACTTGCACCTGGGCTTCGCCATACCGGGCATCCTGCACCCGGAAAAAAGTCCCGCGCAGGTGGAGTGGGACAATGCCCTCGAGACGATGAAGGTCAATGTTTTGGGGCCTATGATGCTGATGAAACATTTCGGGGAATTTCTGCCGCGGAAGAGCACTTCTCTTTCCTTACCCAATCAAGCTCCGAACCCCAACGACGGCGAAGAAGACGCACTCAACCTCCCCAATAACGCAGTATGGACCAACCTCTCCGCCCGGGTCGGCTCCATCGGCGACAATAGACTAGGCGGGTGGTACAGCTACCGGGCGTCCAAATCGGCCGTCAACTCGCTGACTAAGACATTTGATCTTTACTTAAGGAACCGCAGTGGGGGAAACGCGGTCGCGGTCGCGTATCACCCTGGCACGGTGAAGACGGAGCTTAGTAAGGAGTTTTGGGGGAGTGTTACGGAGGGGCAGCTGTTCAGTCCGGAGTTTGCGGCAGAGAGGTTGGCGAAGGTGGTGTGTAGTCGGGGGGATGGGGAGAGGGGGAGGATATGGGATTGGAGGGGAGAGGAGGTTTCACCCTAGGGCAGTAACGTAGAGGGAGGATTGTGGGCAAATCGCAGCCCACCGTTCATTGTTGTTCTTATGACTATCGTTACTTGCCGTAAGCTCTGGCTAATCTACAGTGGCTACACTGGGTGGTCCGTGCGGGGCCGAACACTGCCATTTCTGCCCACAAGGATGGATCTTGGATCTTGGTCATGACGGGCGTGGGAAACAGTAGTCGGTGGAGTTGAAGTCTGCTTGGGTTCAGCTTGTTAGGAGCTAACGATAGTGGTGTTTTGTGCCATCTGACTGAATCAGCAGGTTATACTGCCGTACAATACACTAGGTTATGACATGTGTTGTCGCTTACACGCTTGAGTTGATCATATTGTGTTTGGATTGTGGATATTTTGTCAGCACCTGATTGTACTCAGCGCTTAGCTCGTTCGGTGACCGGGGTAAGAAAAACTACAAGTTGTCGGGCTCTGCTGGTATAAAACTCGAACTTGTTCGTGGTCTATTTTTTCTAATGCTCGCCTGCATTGCGAATCTTACAATTATTTCCGGACTGCATGTTACTACTTGTGCGCCAGTTCACCATAATCGAGTAGTTTACTCCGTGAGACATACTGACAAGTAGATTAAACCAAACTTAAAAGTATGAGACCTCTTGGTATGTTGGTAGACTGGCGTACGATGTACGAGTTTTAGTACGAATACGGTGGCATATCTAGGAACCATCAGTTCATGTAGTAGAATATATCCTCGGCTGATTCGGTTGTGGCAGCTTAATTTTTCTTACCAAAAAACTGTGAATCTTGCTTTGGCAACCTCCCTCGCCTGTTCGTCCTACCTATCCCCCCCCTTTCATTTGTCGCTCTTGCCGCCCCAGTGAGTTGTTACTATGTGCTATCACCCTGGTTTGGGTTTTCTAATTAGTGAGTGCAACATCATTTCAACCTCACGGCGAGTTTGATTGAAATCCAGAGGCATATCTTTTGTTTCTGCTTAATGTCAAGAAGACTGCACTGAATGTTGTCCCTGAGAATGAGGTGCCCGTATGGGGGGAGAGCCAAGTGGAACTCACATTGTCAATAGAACAACCTGGTAACCAGACTCTTGGGTTTCCGATGCAAATACTAGTTTTTGTCTCTTGCTTCCCCCTTTTTTCTAAATACCTATGGCAGCCTGTTTTATCGGCCTCAAGCCGTACCCTGTAGTGGTTCCTCGAGACCTTGAATCTCTCGCCGAACCTCCGATAGAATGAATTTCAGAGCTAACCAATCTGACATCATGTCGCGGCTTGAGCTCACGTAACATCGAGACAAATCCAGAGGACTGTTGCTGATTCGATATGGCCAACTTTGCTTGAATGCTCTCAGCATCGATAACGCAGCCTACGCTTGACTCCAAGTGGAAGCAGTGACGTAGTTTGCAGAAAGGCTCGGCGGGCTATTGAACAAGCAAGGTGGGGCCAAACTTTCGAATAACTTGTTGCTTGTGACCGAAGAGTTGACTTTTGACGAGTGGATATCTTGGACGACCATGAAAACGATCCCTGCTTGAGCATTCGGGGTTGTAACTGCCGTGAAGATGCTGTCAAGAAACGAAATCCCGTCCTTGAATTCCGGTTCTTGATTCCAGCATCACATGCATGCCTTGCATGCCGGATACTTGCAGTCGACCGCACCGAGATTTCGCTATTCGCCGGTGAGTGAGGTTGACAGGTCTCTACCCGCAATCCTCACTGGCTTTTCTCGGGCAGAAAGAACTCTCACAGCTGTGCCTCTGGATGCCGTCCACAATTAGGCAGACCTTGATCCTATCATGCCCAATCCAAGGATCGGAGGGCATCTTTGGATCCGAAATGCACGCCATCATTTGACCGCCGAACGCATGCCCCACTGTCTAGGCCTAGTACAGTATGCCCAGGTTGAGATTGGGCAATGTAACTTGGTCAGCGTATTGGTGCTTTGTCCATTTTGTCTCGCAAGCCCCCTTCGCGACTCAGCCTGCTGCCGAAGTCTGCTGAGAGATGGGCTCGCGCATGCAGCCTGCTTTCAGTTACGTAGTGGCAGAGAGGGGGGTAAGGGAGGGGACCAACTCCTCTTTTCCACCTGCACACGAGACAAAAAAACCCTTGTCTACTCACGAGGCCAAGTTGGAAAAGAAGGAAGTCGCCATCCCATGTGTTATTTGCAACTCTGTTGAGACTTCCCGCTACCGTTCCCGGCTGGCTCTCTTCTATCTATTCCAAACATTTCAAGATTCCAAGGACAGGGATCCTTTCGTCTTGGAACCCAGCCAACCCCTCTATTAATTGTTGCGGCCCTATAGGGCCGCGAGACCCAAGTAGGCTCGGGCGGTGCCCATCTTGAACGACTCAACTGCGCAGCAGCTGTGGGTGGGATGATGACGTTGGTTCGTTAGCTTCCCAATCCGAATTAAATCCCGTCAAGCCCAGGCAATTCAACTACTGCCCCATCCGCCTCAACACGCTTACTTGGCTTCCGAACCGCTCAAACTTCTGAAGTTTCTCTGCCTATTCGTAGCAGATCTTGACTCTTGCTGCTATACTTGATCTTTCTATTTGTTGACCTCAATATTGTTATATTGTGCCGCTGGCAAGCGTGAGTCCCGAGGTGTTCGCAGCCGCCCGTCGCATGACGCTATACCGCCCGCTGATCTCTTCCTTGTCAGCCTAAAACTACCCCGCTGCGAAGAACCGGGAGCTTTCAAACAAACGTGTGAACATAGTACTTTTAACAGCTTGTTCCACCTGACCACCCCTCGAGATCCTTTACAGTCACACACAAAACAATCTGACTTGAGGGTTGCCAACCCCCAAAAATCAACAGCCAAAATGGCATACAGGACTTCTACTGGTCGTGTGAACGAGTATGATGATCGTGACTATTACCCCCCAGGACCACCCCGCCGTCCCCTCTCGACCCGCGGCTATGACGACCTCGACTTCGAACGACGGGAGACTCGTGGAAGCCCACCTCGACGAGCACCAGTTCGCGAGTACGAAGACACTGAAATATCCATCCGTGAACGGGAGCGGACTGAACGCACCCCGGCCTTCCTACGAGAAGAGCCCAGGCGAGGTGAGGCTGGTGCGCTGGTATTACGCGCAAGAGAGATCGAGACAATGGATCGACGACGACCTCGCAGCCCCAGTCCTGTACGCCTGCGAGAGCGTGTTGTAGAGCGGCGAAAAAGCCTCAGTCCGCCGCCGGCCGAGCGGACTCGCACCCGAATTATCGAACGCGACCGAGAGAGATCCCCCGCACCTCCGTCAATGACCATAGAGAGAAGGCCTCGATTCATAGAGAGGGAGCGGTCACCCTCGCCAACAACACTAGTGCGTGTCGAATCACGCCACGTCGAGCGACGCAGAGAGAGGTCACCGACGCCGACGCCCGACAGGGAAGAAGAACGCATTCGCATCGTCCGCCACGAAAGAATACCATCTCCAACCCCCTCTCCTTCTCCGCCGCCTCCGCTGCCAGCGCCGCCTGTCATCCGTGGTCCCACCATTGAGCGAGAGGTCATCACTCACTACAGAGATATCGACCATGGTAAGCATATACACAACTCCAACCTCGTATACTATCCGATAGCAAACATTCTGACCTTGATTCAGGTGTCGAACGAGCGAAGGCTCCAACCCCACCGCCGCCCGCTCCTCGTCCCTCACGTGCCAGGGAGCGTGAAACTGACATTGACATATATACCTCTCGCGGCGAAACCGAGGTTGACATCCACAAGCGCACCCGGTCCCGCTCGCGGCCTGCAGAGCGCCGGCCTGAGCGACCTCAACCTGCCACTCGCCCTTCTTACTACGACGATGAGGTCATCGTGCAGAACGACCGCGACCGCTTGCGCATCAGCTCCGAGCACAATCATCGCCGTGCACACTCCGCTGCGCCTCAAAGACCTGGCTATGATGAGGAGGCCGATGAGATCACTGGCAAAATTAACTCCCGCGGCCGTATGGGCGAAGCCCTCAACGGCGCCACCAAAGACTGGGCCATCATTGACGTGCCACCCGGTACGGAGCGTGTACGCATGGATGGGGTTGGCGGTGGTGGAGCCGAAGTCACCTGGCAGCGGTATAGTGGTGTTCGGCGAGCCAAATTTATTCCCGAGCGCGACGGTACGGTTGTCTCCAGCAGCAGCACTTCCGTGAACGAGCCGACCTCCGAGCGAGACCGGCTGAGCGTACAGGTTTATGACTCGCACCGGGACCCGTCCCGAGACCGATCCGTTGCCGTAGAGGATGTCCATGACACACGCATTTCTATCCGTGATCGTGATCGTGATCGTGACCGTGAGCGCGAAAGACGGCCTGTCAAGAAGCAGCAGGAGATGTGGACCGAAATCACCAAGGACTTGGTGATTCGCGAGGCCATTGATCAGCTCGGCTACGAGTTCGAGGAAACTGAATACTTTTTCTACGTCATGCAGTATCTGCGTTATGTAAGTCGAAGTTCACTCTTCATGAGGTATCACAGTCACTAATGCTCTTACAGGAGGATGTTCTGGAGCTCGTCAATGTTTCCGACTCGATCCGCAAAGCTCGCAGAGAGAGAGCGAGAGAGATTGAGTGGGAGAGAGAGGCCAGAGAGAGATGGGAGCGACGTCACCGACCGCGCCACTCTGGCAGCTGGGACAAGTACGATGACGAGCGGGTTTATGAGCGCGAGCGTGAAGTCATTGTTGATCATCAGCGACCAGTCCGAGGGTACTTGCGTTGAAGGAGCACAGGTCCATCCAAAGGATTCTGAGCGCCCCAGGATGCATTGCCTTTTTGTGATCATCGGAGCAAATACACTTTCCGCAAAACCCGGGGCCTTAAGGCTGGGTTGGCACAAAGGCAACGGGATCGCCTGAATGGAATGGGAGTTGTATCAAGCTATCCTGCTAGTTTTGTGTCTTTCCTTTCCTATGCCGACCCATGTTAATTACAGGTCTCCACAAGGTCGGCAGCTATCACATGCGCACGGGCAACGGCTCGACCAACCGCTATTTGTAAGTGTTACGACTTCGTGTCTTCGCATAGGCGGGAGCTCAGATATCCGCGCACGAATATTCCATGTTCGCATAAGTCACGGGATCATGATATTTACGGAATTTTCATATATGTTCAATTTCTTTTTCTTGGTGAAGTGTCTACCATGCTCGACGAATATCTTCACACAATATAGTGCAGGAGGTGGGGGCACTTCGGCGATACAGGAGTGGGAGGATGGACGCTTGTAGCTAGACTGAGCGATACAGAATTTATGAGTAATGATGTTAGCACCTGTATATGCGCACATGGGGGACACTGAGACGACTTAGATGGAACACAAAATGATTAACCATAATTGCTAGTCTGCACAACCGAGATGATTGATTCCAACGCCTCACTTGAAGAAGGCAAGGCTGAAGAGTTTGGAACATCAGTTTGTAGGTGCCACCCAAAAGATCCAACTGAACGCCTGAAGGCTCCAACGCCGTTCAGCGAATGGGGGTTTCCCCTGATTTGTGGGATGCTTGGGAAAAGCGAGAAGCCCACCTACTCCTGACGAAAATGCTTGATGGTCCAAATTAGCATGTGAAAAAAAGCCCAACTCCCAATTCCCCATTTACGTCACCTCCCTGCAATATATACAGAACTTCCACCATGTCTGCTCGGTGGAGATGGTTTGTTGCCATCACTCCTTCAACTACATCCCAGGGGGCGGCTGGGCCGAGACTTGGTGTACGAAATTGTCCGACTCACCGACACGCATTCCAGGCCACTATAGACAGGCGGCGTCGGAAGAAATCCAGTCTGTTTTCTGTATTTATCCTTGACGTAAACCGCGTGATATCCTTATTTGTCCGCACGAGACTGAAGCTTCCGGGGCTCCCAGAGATGATTGGAGGCATTGGGGCTTACCTGAGGAACTTGCTACCATTTGGCCTTGCTTGAAGTCTCGCGAGAAATTTTGCACTACCGGGTTGTTGATTAGTAGATTCACGAGAAAAAGGTGACGCCTGAGAAGTAGTAAGTCTGGATCAGAGCCATTGCAGTTGAACTTAAGCCAGCATATTATTCGTCTTGAGCCAAGTCTCCTCTTTTTCTCCTCATGATAAGTGCTGAAAGGAAAGTCCCGAGGCGCTGGTCGATGTCGAAGAAGCTGGGTATATGACGTGGGAAATAGGCTGACGATGCGAACACATGATAGGGGGCAAGTCACGATTTGGACTCCTGCAGTAAGATATATCCACCCTCCCTTTGTAGATACAGTGATATCTAGGTATCTAGCCATATAAGCAGGGAGGAGAATTAGTGGAGGCGATCAGTACTGGGAGCCGTCGGTTCTATGTATACTCATCAGCAATAACGTGCAGCATCATCCTGGCCAACCATCGTTGAAAGTACGCCAGAACACAAAGGAATGAGATTACCGAGAGATCTCATGTGGCAGCCTGCATGGTAACGTTGCAGACCGGGGCATATGGTTTGTCAATGGGGTGGTGCTTAGGTTGTGCTACCGAGAACTGCCGGTGTAGACCAGAACTCGTTGAAACTGTAATGGGCATCGCGGGACCTGAGGTAGCAGTGGCCAACTTTCTTGACAACTGGGATTTCATAAATCCTCTTCAGGAGTAGGTAGAACCATTTTGACATATGAGTGGACCCCCAAAAGACCTGAGAAACTTGGCAAAAGCCATACCAATTTTGCCCCTTGAGACTGCCGTAACATCATGATAGAGTTGGGCCTTCTAGTTTCACATGTGTAGATGACTCAACATCAAAAGCGACACCGCCTCGCCTCATGGACGGGTGCATTCCACCTCTGACATACTCCTAACCAAAAAAAACCTTTGAGTCTCATATTCCATCTTCGCCGATGTGCTGGGAAATGCTGTGGTGAGTAATTTAAGACGAGCACTGCCCGGTCTACATTTGAGCTTCATACAGTTAAGATGGAATATCAGCGGTACTGAGCTGCTTCGAACAAATATGCCGAGCCTTGACATCATGGTTTTCAGCAATAATCACTTGTTCACGTATAGGGCGAACGTTATATGATATTCCGCTACGATCTCTCCATTGAAGGAATCTAGCGGTAGTCTTGATCTGCATTTTCTTTTTACGTGAGGGATTATTCGAGCATTCAAGAGCTTATGTGCCATATAAATACTCTGCTTCGCGGCCTCGAAAATGGCCAAGGATTATCTTCGAGAAGTGTGAAAATTACAGAGCAGATCGACTGTATTATTATCACCGACTGTGTCTCTCTCATAGAACGGGCCCAGGCTCTGGCTTCGGCTACTACTTGCGTTCCCAAGCATGACGCTTGTCTCGCACTTAATAGGAACTATGGCTATATGACCTAGGAATAAAGGGAAGTGGCAATTGTGCCTCATTCTTGTTCCACGGTTTCTCGTTGAGACTTGCCTGCCCCATTCTTATTATAGACCCCGAAGCCAAAAGGGCCAGTACTCCCGCTCGTCGTAGCCTTCAAGTTTATTGAATACCCTGAAGCAGAGTTCCACAACGGACGCAAGCTTGTCTGATACGGTTATGACCTGTCTCTTCCAGAAGGATGAGTCGCACATGCATTTTATTGCTGCTCCGTTGTAATTCAAGAATAACACCTTCAGTTGCTCGTATTAGACACGACATAGCACTATATTATGAGCGTCAGTAACACGGTACCTCTGGTTATGTGAGATTTGCACAGTATTGGTGATATTGCACGAGTACGTACTTACAGGGAATAAAGCCTTTAGGAACTTGATTCACCAGTTTGATTTCTCGCTATACGGCGTGGAGACGCGGGGGCATCGCCTCGCTGCTACAGCTAGACATCAAGGGGGCATTCGATACGGTCAATTACAGACGGCTGATTTCCATATTAGCCCGGAAAGGCTACCCGGAGTGGGTTCAGGAGTGGGTACGCAGCTTCGTGGAGGATAGGACGGTACGCCTCCGGTTCGATGGCAAGGAGTCAGAGCCAATCCCCCTACGAGCTGGCGTCCCCCAGGGGTCACCGCTATCCCCGATACTGTTTATATTATACATCTCAACGCTGTACGAGGAGCTAGCGGAGCAGCACCCACTACTTTTAGTAGTCGGGTTCGCGGACGACACGAACCTGCTAAGCGTCGGCACCGATCCAGACACGACCTGCCGCCGGTTGGAGAGCGCATGGGCTACGTGTCAGCGGTGGGCAGTGAGGCACGGGATGGAGTTCGCTCCTGACAAGAGTGAGCTAATGCACTTTACTAGGGCCCGAGAGCCCTTGCCGCAAAGTATTCGCCTTGGGGACGCCACAGTGTCGCCGGTAGTCTCAGCGAGGTTCCTAGGAGTCTGGTTCGACCGCAAACTGACGTGGCACGCCCATGTTGAGCGTGTTAAAACAAAAATGGCAACTCAAAAGCTAGCCCTGACAAAGCTAGTCAATATGTCGTGGGGCTGCGATCTTATACGGGCGAGGCTGTTATATACGGTGGTTATCCGTAGCGCGATCGCCTTCGGGGCGACTGCGTGGCATACTATAAGTGAGGAACCGGCAGGGCCAGCTAAGAGCCTGATAGGGATACAGAACGAGTGCCTCCGGGTAGTCTGTGGCGCCCACAAAGCGACGCCGGTTCGCCACCTGGAAGCAGAAGCAGCAATCCCGCCACTAGACCTCTATCTTAGTGCCCGGGCTGCTAAGTTTGAAGAACGGCTACGGCTTAGCGAGAAGAGAAATCTGCTTCGCAGCGCGAGCGCTAAAGCGTCACATATACTCCGGCAGGATAGGCCGGCGAAGAGGAAGCAGGCGTCGCAGCTACTCCGACCGGCAGGGTACACTATGGAGAAGGAGGCCCGGGGCTCCGAGTGGATGAGTGAGGAAAAGGAGGTCCCGGCTGCCCTCCTCGACCACTGGAGGAAGAGATGGCTCACCGGAGCAGAGCATCACGATCGCCAGCGACGCGCTATCGCTGAGGAACCGGAGGGCCCTTCGATGCAGATACCGAAAGGGGGCAAGTATTTCGGCCTGAACCGACTGGAGGCGTCTACGCTGTGCCAGATCAGGACGGAAAAAATAGGACTAGCAGCCTTCTTATTCAAGACAGGGGCTTTTGGCGTGTACTCGCCGCTATGCCGCTGTGGCGACGCCCCTGAGACGGCAGAGCACGTAATCCTCTTTTGCGGGCTGTTGGAAGGACCGAGGGAACGATTACGGGCCGCTATCGCACCACGGCCACTATACTCTCGCAGAGACCTCGCAACGGCAACAGGAGAACCAGTAGTTAGTGGGACTATTGTAAGGTGGCTGCTAGGGACGGGTCGGACAGCTTCAAGGCCCAGATAGCATCGATCTTCTCAGGGGGGACTTTGTTGGTAGGTTGAGAACCAACGTAGTATGGTAGTGGACGCAACGCAGTCGCCAATAGGGCGAACCGACGACGCAGCGTATGTATTTAGTCCAGCCATTAGGGCACGGTTTGACATACGGGAGTACTAGCAGAGGTACCGGGGGCTTCGAGCCTACGGCGTATTTAATAATAATAATAAAATTGATTTCTCAGAATGGAGGATGGGAATTCGAGGTCGCTCGGAATTTGATATGTTTCCATGTATTAAATGGACTCGGTCGAAATTCCACTTGACCATAACGATGCTATGTCAGAGTATCAGATATGCACCAAACAACGAAGTATGCATTTGTAAGGACAATAAATCGTGAAAGGATCCAGTCAAACACCACCTGAGCCCAATGCGATCCTCAATCGCTGCTGATGATATACTTCACACTTACGGCTTTCTGCACTGAATGTACCGGCAGTTGCATGCTTTGATTGCAACTATGCAGCCTTCCGAAGACAGCTACCAAAATTGAACTCCGATCTCTTTGAGAGCAGCCATGCAACCGAGTATTGGACTTCGTTTGCTCTCCATTGTGTTCAAAATGGTAACACCTGCTCAACAAGTTCTTTATATTTCCAGGTCACGCCATGGTCAATGACTTGAGCCCTCTTCACTGGTCCGTTGCAAGAACGATGCCCACCATGTTTCTGGGTTGGTTTCCGTACTAATCACGGCGTTCTGCCAACCGTCCATGGACTTGACCAGTGGTTTTTTGTATGTGGCTGTGTATATGATAGCCTGTTATCAGAGAAGACATTTGCTGGCTGACATCACAGTCTGACGCCTGTCAGCCGGTCTTGAGGCTTCAAGGCTTCATAGATGGAAAACCAGCCTGATCAACATTTTTATGCCCAGGGTGGCGAAGGTATGGCCGAAACGACGGGATGCAAGGTTGTCTTTTATCTGCTTTGACGACGGCAACTGACAAGTTCAGGATTTGATGGGTTCAATGTCAACTCGATTACCTTCACGAGTGCGTGACCGACGCAGACCAGCGAAAGGCGTTGCATGAATTGTCACCTGCTCTGCCTGCGACATGGGCGAATGCTGCGAAGCCAAAGGGTGAGAGAAGTTGTTCGGATGTGCCGTCATTGATTGCCCTCAAGCGCCTTCCTCCCAAGGTGTTATTATTACGCAAAGCCATTTCAACCCCGAGTCAGACCAGCGCTTGGCTGGAAGCAAGTGCCATCATCACAGAAGCCAAGATTTCACTTCGGTGTTCCAGCTTCATCAAGGAATCTGAAGACGGGAATGCTTAAATCTTCGTACTTCACAGTACGCGAGTGCCTGGATGATCCGCAACCCCGTTGTTGAGATTGATCAACTATCTCAATGTTTCCAATGCTCCATGGTTTGGAAGGCTGCGATCCGCATGCTGAATCCAGGATTTTACATTGATGAGTTCTCAGATTACACTTTCAGTGGTAGCTCTTACGTCCAGATGCTTTGCCGCGATCGAAATGGATAGTCGAAGGATGCCTAGAAACTGTTTGAAGGATCCTCGCCTAGGCGTTTCGAATGCCGTTAATGGCAATGGCCTACCGTTGCTACACCGAGCGGTCGCTCGTGGTTCACTGCAAACTCGAGAACAACTAATAATTATCTGGCACTCGAGTGCATAGGAGTTTGAATCCAATATATTGGAAATGCCTCTGAAACTTGCACACGACGAGAATGTCTAGCGCTGAGGTGGTTGACGCATGATGGCCACACTCCTCTGTGCCTCGCCCTGAGAAAATAGACAGAACAGAAAGAGAAGACAACCTACAGGCCTGGGGAAATGGAGGAAAACGATCTCCCTGCTTCTCGAATACTGTGCCAATGATGCTGAGTCTAGGAAAAGCCCGATTCATATCTGGAACCTTGCCGTTCGACTTGGCCCTGAGAAACTCGTACAAGGGCTATTGACAGCCAACGTACCGTGTCGCCTAGTCGACCACGGAATTAGTACGCCACTCCATGAAGTGGATGATAGTTCGCCGTCGAATATCTCAATCGACTCAAGTCAGCTCATAATGGCGCCATTGAGCTACGCCACGACTCACGATTGACTTTGGAACTCTTACTCGAGAGAGATGTGCCAAGGACAAGGCGCAGCCGTCCAGGATGATCTCGCAGGACGTGTTAGTCCCGCTGCATTCCTGAGCCAAGATAGCAATGGCAAACCTACCTTGGGAATATTTCTGCTCAGTGATTGTAAGACTTTTCCCCGATTTAGATGTTGAATTCAGATGACGACCGCAAAGGCTTTGATCTAAAAAACCTTCTGGACTTCATGATCAAATCCGGTACTACCCGGCCATTTGAGGAGACGAATGCCAGGTCTGCTATTCTACCACTTTTCGCTAGTATCGTATCCAACGAGGTACTTTCTGCGCCATGGATTCCTCTCGGCACTATCCAAAACATTCTTTATCTAACTAGATACTGGCCCACTGCCTCTGAAGCCGAAGTCTCCGTTGATATCGTGAAATCGTTCATCAGGGAGGTAGCCAACAACGGCAAGAACGTGGGTTCTGCCGATATCATCCACCTGGTTCTAGACCATGGCATGAATATCTACCGATGGACTGATGGTGTCTCTTTTTTGAAACATACATGCGCATGGCTTCACTGTGATGACATCAATCGGTCGGAAAGGCGGGTTTTCACGGGTATTCCCAACCACGCAGATGACGCGAAGCTGAACGCTTTGCATACATTGGAGCACGTTCTACTAAATGTGACAACGATGGAGAGTATATCATCAGGGACATGTTGGATGAAAGAGGAGCTTGTGACAACAGGTGCGAATCCCGATGTGGATTCGGCGCGTGTTTGGCACCAACTGAGATCCTCGGTGGAGACCACCAACACGCTCCTACATTTGGAGGCAAATAATATCTCGTGGCTCAGACTATGGCACAGACTGCTACGACAAGGGGGACGTTGGTTACTTGAAAAGCCTGCTCAAGCAGGTTCAAGCCAAATCGCTGCCCTTGCACTGGAGAGCAACTTGCACTCTGAGGGCCATGGAAGTTGGGGAGAAGTCTTTTCACAGGGTTATTTGTTTGCACCTGGCCTCATGCGATTGTAGCATGGATATCTTTCAGTCCTCCGTCGACAGCGGACTTGTCACTGATGTTGATATCAAACAACTAAGCAACTAGACCGGGCTTGATCCAACTCTTGTAGGCCTGGGCTCAGCATCAACAAGCAATCCAGCTACAGACTGCACATGGCGGTTCGAAGTAGACAAGCAGAGGCAGTGTGGAGATGGTTGAGTCTGGGTTTTAAAACCTCCCTGATTTTGTCGAAATGGCACAACGTCAATGTATGCCACCAAGTTGTAACTCACCGCAATTTCAGAATACTTCTAGCAGTTAGCTATGAGACATGAAACTGCGACGTACCTTAGTATCCCTGACGAGGCAAAGAGAACCCGCATATGACACATTTCAACAGCTCTAGACGATGCGGTTCAAAAAGGCGATTCGGAACTATGTGGGCGATTACGCACAGAGAGGCGTCCATTACGCATCCCTATTCCAAGCTGCCAAGGGTGTTCCCCGTTGATACATGCCACTAGCCTCGGCAAGATCGACTGCTTGACTAAATCGGCGAAGTGCGGGGTTTGGTAGGATACTTACTCGTTCCTTACATATGTTGGGACTGGATGAGATTTCAGGATTCTCTGACTGGCGCTATACGAGGATCAAATACCGAAGGGTTGCGATTAATCTGGAAGTATTTCGAAGATGAAAGGGCCCAACATGCGCGACTCGCTTATTGCCCATGGGTCTGATGTCAACTTTCTCGACCAGTACGGCCGAACGCTATTGCAGCTTTGCACTGCACCGGATGTTGCGAATGTTCTCATGCATGCAGCAACTTGGGTTTGTCTCGTATCGTGGCTAGCAATATTCAATAGGCCAAAGAATGTCGCTAGTATAATCCACAATCGAATCCTAGGTCCGTGGACTCTAAGTCTTGGCGACATACCTTGGAGCTTCGCGGCGCCCCTTGATAACGACGACAGTCTCGCCCCCGAGAATATTCGGTTTCTTACCAGAATTGGCTTAACGCCAGCGCAAGAGACGAGAGCGGCTGCAGTCTCCTTCACTTGGCGGTGTTCGACGAGTACGGGGTGTCTTTCCCCCCTGGACAGAAGTCCTCGGTCAGTGGGCATACTGCTTAGAAAGATCTATCCCCACATTAAGCCGTGGTGGTCATAGTGTGCAGTAGACTCCATTCTCCAGTGACATTCCCCAGCATTTGAATTCTTGGAATTCATATACTCACGTGCCACAGCAGTATCTCCAAATTGGCAAGAATCAACAGACGAGTGATGGGTGGGTTTGAAAAATTTTATTTTGCTCTTAATGAGTTTGCGATCTGCGGTATCTGTCATTGGTGTATAATCGATATGCCACCAAGACCTTCACGACCGTCCTATTTAGGTATTAGGGGGGATGTATTGCACGACTCATGGGCGTTGCTGCACTCCTTGGATGCATTCGTGTGGAGAAACAAATATTGGTGAGACGGGCTCCTCACGCCGCGCTTTAAGGAATCGTCACGTCCTTCCCAATCTCTCGTCTCTGTCCGTTGTAACGCTGCATGGCCGCTGTATAAACACCACAAATCTCCTCTGGACAACCTTTTTTTTTTAGGTGTTACGGTCGGCCTTCATAATGTTATGCTTGATATCGTGGGCCCTCAGTGCAAGCTTAATCTTGGCCAGCATTATCATCTGCTTGGACAGAGGAGGTTGCTAGAGGAGCAGCGAGATTAGTTCTTGTAACAGAGGAAGCAGAGCAAAACAGTCGTGTGCTTTGCAGGAGAAGACGAACAGATTCAGCCGCTGTCTCAACAACATCCAGGTTGTCAGCAATGTGCTTGGCGGGTCGTGCTGCTTTGGTGGCCTCAGCATGGGCGATGTGACATATAGGTAGTCCGCAAACAGTCATCTCGATCTCGTTCCCGTTGACAGTACAATTATAGTTTAGCTAGCTCTTTGCGTTGATTCGAAGGCAGTAGTAGTATCGTATTGTTTGAGTTGTAGCAACTTGGGTAATCCAGAAACACGTGCTAAGGGGCAGAAGTCGTGCTTGGTATCATGGAGTGAATAACATTGAATCATATAGATTGCAGTGCGTAGAGACCGATCTATATGTTGATCGATCCATCGGGTCATGCGGGTCTTGGTGCCGCTATCACGACCGTGTACAATACAGCCAGGGTCGTTGAGATGATGGAATCGCGATGCTGGCCCGCTTTTGCTGTCGGGTCTACCGAAACTCTATTCAATGCTGCCCAATGGTAGGCAAAGCGTATCCGATGGTCGTCAAGTCTGCAATACCGCGTTGGGGGGGCGTCGATCGGGGGACATGACTTGAAGAAACGTTTGTTAAATGACTTGGATAACTCAGACTGAGTGTTATTGGGTGCTCGTAAGGTCAGAAGGGTGTCATCTGACACACTGGAGCAGAAATCCATCCAGTATACCTTGCGCTGCGAAGTCTGAACTCTCATACAAGCCAAGTCAGGGACGATCGACAGAAACATTATGCAGGGTCCAATACCAGCTGGGAGGTTTCGTCGGACGAATCCCTATTCCTACAGCTTCGCCGGCGACGAACGAGTCAGCAGCCTGCTATCTGCCGATTCGGCGGTGACATCAGCAGTTTCGCCCAGCTTAAGCAGAAAGAACTGATAACAAGCAGCATCGAAGCAGCTGTCAGTCGCATGTGAAACAGTTTCTTGCTGACTTGGAGAATTTGCTCCGGCGCTCGAATGAGGTTTGATGAAGCAAGTTACTCCATCAGCAGTATTGTACCGATCGACTGTCTATACTTTGGGGTTGCAAGGATGTGCTTGCTCCTCCCTAACCTTTTGTCGGGGTCGGGCGTTCAGTTCCACAGCGCCGGGATCGAGATCGGCGCAGGCTTCTCATTGGAGGACTGGACATTGAGATTATAATCTTGCAGACCATGGGGCGATCACCCCAGTGCATCTCGTCGCCAAGTCCTCCACGCCCAGTGCTCGTGATAGATACAACGGATCGATCTGTGCTCACAATCTACTTCATGGTCTTCCGACTTGGCCATTTGCATATGTGTGCGCTAGTCTTTTTCGTGATTGTTCATGCTGACTGCGCGGACAGCATGTATGAGGAACCACACGTCGTTCAAGCGAGCGGTGCGGTGTGCAGGTGGACATCTACAAGTTTGGTGATTTCGCCACGAGCTAGTGCAAAGAAGTGGAGGCTGGTATCGTTATGCTGGCTTTTTCACTATCGCAAAGTGCGCAGCTACTAGCTCGCGAACATTGATGCCACAGGGGTTTCACTCAGTTGGGCAAAAGGTGGATACGGAGGCTCGGAAATCACGGGAATACCTGTGATGGCCGGGAAAAGATTCCGGTCTTCGACAGTGTCTATGCATTGCAGGGTCTCAAAGAGTAATTGAGGGGCCCCACCCGTTGAAAGTCCTGAACAGCATTGATCTAGCAAGAAGACCCCGGAATCCTGGGGGCGTCGGCGAAGTGGAACAACCACGTTTTGCCCTCGTGGTCGAGCACGGGAAGCTACCAAGTGATGCAGTAGGGTGATCCTCCGATTACAGTCGCTATCTGGTCCATGTCGTCAGGCCGAAACTAGACAGAGTATCCTTCATTCTCGTGACAATAGACCGTAAGGTGATAAGTGACAATGGCGCAGCAACCCATCTCCGGTCTTGTCCCCAAAGTTGTGGGCCACCCCAGCAAACCTGATCACAGTTATAGTTATCAAGAAAGATAACTGATCTCTGAAACCGGCTGACACGATAGCACATAATTACTGCCTCGTGTGACTATTGTGGACGATGAGGACGAGAAGGGCGGTTTCTAAAGGGAGCAGCACGTGCCCAGGTTGGTTTGTTACTGATTCGAAGCTCCAATGAGCAAAACGTGCATCCATATTAAATGAAAGATCGAGTCGCGCGTATAGTTATGCTGCTGAGTATTGCGAGTAATGCTGCCTTGGGCATCATATCGTGACGAAACTGATGACGTACCGCCGTTGGCCTTGTGCTGGCGCTTTCATCGTTGACTAGTCTCTAGCTGCCATCAACGAGGCATCTAATATGTGTGGAGGGATCGTGACCTACATCCCCCCCAGATAACCGAAGAAAAGTCGGTGAGGGGGCGGGACGATGCTGATCAGGCGGTGTCTTCAGTGATCCGTTTCACTATCATAATTGCTTCAAAAGAGGACATAATTTGGCATATCGATAGGAAAAAGTATGAATGGGCGCATAGCCCACTTCAGAGGCAACGGGTGCCCATCTTGGCCATGGAAACAACCTGGTGACGAACGGGTTAATGAGTTGTAGTTAACGTACCCCACAAGCAAGTTGGCCACACAAGCAAGTTGGCCACACAAGCAAGTTGGCCACACAAGCAAGTTGGCCACTTTTTCTTGGCACCGTACGAACAACCTTTTAATTAACATCTTTACACATACCAAGATGGGATCGAATTGGAAAGAAAGCAACATGATTCTAGCGTGTCAGGCGCTTCAATCGAAACCCGAATTAAGCATCCGACGCGCTGCCCAACTCTACAATGTCCCTCGTACAACTCTAGCTAACCGAAAACGCGGACTACTATCTCGACGCGATACTCGACAATCTAGTCATAAGCTTACGGAATCAGAAGAGTTAGCGGTCGTACAATATATACTTGACCTAGATTCGCGATCATTTCCTCCCCGGCTCCATGGTGTTGAAGCTATGGCTAACCGACTGCTCCGTGACCGTGGCGCTGGACGCGTCGGCGTCAACTGGGCCTCGAACTTCGTACGACGACAACCAGACCTTCGGACGCGTTTTAATCGAAGAATCGACTACCAACGAGCCTATTGTGAAGATCCTGACGCGTATCGCGCGTGGTTTACGCTCGTACGAAATACAATTGCGAAATATGGTATCCAAGAGGCGGATATCTATAACTTTGACGAGACAGGGTTCGCGATGGGCTTAATCATCCGAGATGGTAGTTACAAGTGCCGAACGACGCGGAAGGCCTCGTACAGTCCAACAAGGCAATCGAGAATGGGCTACAGTAATCCAGGGTATTAATTCGTCCGGCTGGGCTATCCCGCCGTATATTATTGTCGCGGGTCAAAACCACCTCTTATCCTGGTACGAGAATAGCCCATTCCCGTCCGATTGGGTAATCGCTGTAACCAAAAACGGTTGGACAACAAATGAGCGAGGCGTAGACTGGATTCAGCACTTTGATCGCTATACGAAGGATCGTACGAAGGGTGTTTATCGTCTTCTTATCCTCGACGGGCATGAGAGCCACCACTCGACTGACTTCGAGCTATATTGCAAAGAGCATACTATTATTACACTTAGTATGCCTGCTCATTCGTCACATAAGCTCCAGCCTCTCGATGTAGGCTGTTTTAGGGCTTTGAAAGGTCTTACGGCAAAGAAATTGAAGACCTAATACGGGCGTATATAACCCATATCTCGAAGGAGGATTTCTTTTTGGCATTCTATAGGGCGTATCGTACGACTATAACTAAGTCGAATATCCAGGCAGGTTTCAGGGGGACAGGACTTATTCCGTACGACCCGGAATATGTGATTTCACAGCTGGATATTAAGCTACATACGCCTACACCTCCTGGGAGCTCGTCTGGCGCCCCCTTAATCTGGGAATCAAAGACTCCAAATAACCCAACCGAGGCGCAATCCCAGTCTGAATACGTTAAAAACAGAATCGTACAGCATCAGAATAGCTCCCCGACGACAATACTTACGGCTATTGACCAATTTTCACGTGGTGCGACGGCTGTTATACATCGGTTAGTTTTACTTGAGGATGAGGTTACTACACTTCGGAAGGTCAATCAAGAGCTAAGCCGTCGTCGAAGGACTAAAAATCGACAGCTACAAGATAGAGGATCTCTTAGTTTACGAGACGCTCAGGACTTACAGTCTCAACGGGATATTGAACAGCAGCTACAGGATGATATACGTGTAAGTCGTCGTCGTACGAGACCGGCCGAACCACGCCGACGGCGCTGTAGGATCTGCGGAGAGCCCGGACATAATGCTCGTACTTGTGAGAATGATAAAGATACGTACGAGGAAGAGGATTCCGGTTAGTTTGAATTATTATTTTTTAGTAGACCTTCCGGATGCCGTGAAAAAGGACGGGGTTTTTGAGATTCATCGATAACTTCATCGAACAGCGTTAAATCATCAAACAGATTACGGCAATCGATTCTTCATAGGCGCTTACATCGGATAGTGACCTCGCATAGCTTGCGAATCGAGGGCGCAAAGCCATGGAGATGCCGATGGTAATTGACGGGGGGCGGGCGGGACTCCAACAGAGTGTTCACCACCCCCAAGCGAACGAAAGCGCCCACGCGCCGAGCGTGGAGCGTAGTGGCGACGAAAACGCAACGAAGAAGCAAATCGACAGCGAACGAGCGAGCGTCGAACAAAAGATTACCGACTTAGTACCTTCCGAGAAGATCGAGGTTATGGGAGGCTTAATGGAACGCTGGCATGAGCTAAAGCTAGCCGGCAAGGCGCTGGAACAGGGCGAAGACCGATCCGCTACACCAGCCGACGTACTAGCAGCAATCCGAGCACTTGCCGAGGGGATTACGACTACAGTACAAAAGACGATACAAGACACCGTGAAAAGCGTAGCTATGCCTACGACCAGGTCCTGGGCCTCAGTCGCCTCGGGAACGGCCCAAGGGAGGGAACCCGTCGGAGCTCCGGTGTGGCAGCAACGGGTCGTTGTACCCCAGCGAAGGGAAAGAGAAATAGTGATCCGAGGGACGGAAGACCCCAGTATGAAGAACAGGACGGCGGCTGAAGTCGTCAAAGCAGTGAATAAGGCACGCGGTAGCACCGACGCCGTAGCGGCCCGCAGGCTACGCAGTGGCGACACCGTGGTAACGTTCAAACAATCGGCCTCGGCGGCCTCGGCGGCGACCACGGATAGTCGGTGGGTACGCAACGCCTTCGGCGATAAGGCACTTCTCAACCGCAGGGAGGTTGCAGTTATCGCAAAAGGCCTACCTGCGAAACGTTTACGAGAGGTCCATGATGAGAACCAACTACTCAAGGACCTAAAGCGAGATAATACGAAGCACCTCTCTAGGGCTAAAAGAAACCTCCCCCGGACGCCTCAGGCACCATACGCGGCTCTGATACTACACGTGGATAGCGTCGAGGCAGCGATGGAGCTGTGCTCTGAGGGACTTATATGGGAGGCCCAGATATTCGACTGTGAGCCGTACGACGGCAATCTCCGGGTCCGACAGTGCTACCAGTGCTACGAATATGGCCACATAGCGAAGCACTGTAAAAAGACGAGACGTTGCGGTATATGCGCCGCGACGGCACACCCAGGGGGCGAAAAAGACTGCCCCGAGAAGGCCTCAAGCGGCAGAAAACGCTGCGTAAACTGTAATGGGAAACACGCAGCGTGGGACAGAGTCTGTCCGATGGCGGAATAACAGCGACTACGCGTACACGAAGCGTACGCCCACCGCCCCCGGCAGTTTGAGGTCCGTAGCTACTCGGACGGGCTGTCTAGCGAAGGCAGGCCCACTCCACCTAGCTCGTTAACTAGCGATGGGTTTACGATCGTACGACCCCGGGGCCGCCCTCCAGACGGATCACGGGCGGAGCAAGTGCGGACCGAGCGCTCAGCGTCAGCAATGCGAAGCTTCCTTACTAAGGGATGCACGAACGAAGAAATACCACCGGCAGCGTAATGGTAGTCTCCATTCTCTACTGGAATATTGCGGATTCAAAAGCGAACGCAGCGCTAGCGATTGAGAAGGGAGGCGATCACGATATAATAGCGGTACAAGAGCCATGGATTAATCGACAGACGAAGTCAATCTACTGCCCAAGGTCGTCTAGATACGAGGCAGTCTATAGTAACGGCCGAGCCGCGCTATACGTCCATAAACGCTACGATGTAGCCTCGCTACGACCCCGAACGGGTACCGACTGGAGCAGTATCACATTCGGAACAGGCCCAGATGCCCTTACTATCTGGTCTATCTATTCACCAAACCAGTCCGGAAGCCGCTGGATTAGCCCGCTCCGGGACCTCCCTAGTGAGGCCCCGGAAGGGAAGCAGGTGTCAGGTTACGGCCTGGACCGAAGGCGATAGTACAGAGTGAAGGGGAGAAATAGGCGTGTCCCCCTGGCGGTCACCTGGTGGTCACTGGTGGTCACTTGGTGATGGCAGGTAGGGGTGTCCACAGTAGTTCATTGATCTCTGCCCTCTCTATCTTCCTCCGTCTCGACTCCTTACTTATAGCCAGCCGAGGTTCTCTCTTGGATTCTGGATGTTTGCTTCCGTATGTCTGTGTTCCTCCGACTTCAGCCAATATCTTGGATAGCGGCTCCTTATCTGCAACCAAGCGATTCCCTATCCGCTGCAAACGGCTTCAACGGCTCTCATTCGCCACAAGCGGCTCTCTAGCCGCCACAAACGGCCTCCCGGCTCCTCATTCGCCACAAACGGCTTCCTTCCTGGTGGAAGCCGGCCCGCCTCGGATGACACTTGTGGCTCTGACAGCAGGTCCTCGTAGGGGACTTCAATACACATCACCCGTTGTGGGACATACACGGACGATCGTCACGGGGTAGCGAGAATGTGGTAGAGTTTGCGCGACGGTGGCAATTAGAACTCGCCACACCTTTCGGGGAAATTACACGGCAAAGACACAGACAAAGGGACTCAACTATCGACCTTGCATGGGCGACGAAGGGGACCGTAATAGACTACGAAGGGGACCCGGGCCTAGAGGGATCGGACCATAGGGCGCAAGTAATCAGGGTAATATCTAACGAGGAGGCAGCGAATGAAGGCCGCCGTAACACCGAGGGGTGGAATTGGACGATGGCAGATAAGTGGCTAATCGTAGCCGAGTCGGGCCAGAGATTCATGAACTATTTGCCGGTTGAGACGAGAACAGAGCTAGACCAGGCGGTCGATTGGGTCATCCAAAACCTCCAAGAGATCGCCGATGTAGCGGCCCCTAGGCGTACTGTTGGTAGAGGCGCCGGGACCCCGTGGTGGTGCCCCCAGGTCAGCAAGGCTTGCGCTGAGACGAAGAGGCGACGACGAGATTACCTCCACGCGAGGTCGCAGACTAACTGGGACGAATACTTAAGAGCTAACCAAAAACAACGGCTCGAAATCAGCGGGGCACAGGCGCGGAGCTGGCATGAAAAACTCGAGAGGACGGCGAAGGATCATAAAAGCCTTTGGGCACTACAGAGATGGGCTAGGCTGCGGAGCTGGACACCCCCTGACACCCATGGGATGCCGGATCTTCGACGGAACGCAACCGATGCACCCACAGCGCGCACCCACGACGAGAAGTCAAAGCTACTAGCTGAGAGGTTCTTCCCAGACCCGGATATAGACCTGTCGGACCTCGATCACAACCCGCCACGGACGAGACCAGACCCGGACGTCCCTAAGGAGGTAAACGCGAAGGACATCGAGGCTGTTATCAAGAAGACAGCGGCTTGGAAGGCCCCCGGCGATGACCAGATCCCTACGGGCCTGCTGAAAATCTGTGGTAAACCCCTATGGGAGATCCTAGCGGATATAGCGACCGTAAGCTTTAGGCTAGGATACTACCCGGAGCGCCTCCGCTCGGCAAAGGTAGTCGTTATCCCTAAGCCGAACAAAACGACAGCCCAAAAGCAGACCCCTAGCGGCTGGCGACCGATAGCGCTGCTTAGTACGATAGGGAAGGTGATAGAGACGGTGATATGCCAGCGTATCACTACCGTCGCGGAGACGGCCGGTCTGCTACCAAACGGCCAAATGGGTAACCGAAAGGGGCGGTCCACCGAATTAGCGATACGTATAGTCGAGGACGTAACCTATACAGCTTGGAGGCGCGGAGGGATCGCCACACTACTACAACTTGATATTAAGGGGGCGTTCGACACAGTTAACCACAGGCGTTTGATTTCTATACTAGCCCGGAAGGGCTACCCGGAGTGGGTTCAGGAATGGGTACACAGCTTCGTAGAGGATAGGACAGTACGCCTCCGGTTCGACGGTAAGGAGTCAGAGCTGATCCCTCTACGAGCTGGCGTCCCCCAGGGGTCGCCACTCTCCCCGATACTATTTATCCTATATATCTCGACGCTATATGAGGAACTAGCGGAGAAACACCCCCTACTCTTAGTCGTAGGGTTCGCGGACGATACGAACCTACTTAGCGTGAGCACAGACACGGGCACGACCTGCCGCCGACTAGAGGACGCTTGGGCTACGTGCCAACGGTGGGCCGCCAGGCACGGGATGGAGTTCGCTCCGGACAAGAGTGAGCTGATGCACTTCACTAGAACCCGAGACCCCTCCCCGCAGAGTATCCGTCTTGGAAACGCTACAGTAACGCCGAAGGTCTCGGCAAGGTTCCTAGGGGTCTGGTTTGACCGCAAATTAACGTGGCACGCCCATACGGAACGGGTTAAATCAAAAATGGCGACTCAGAAGCTAGCCCTAACAAAGCTAGTGAACATGGCGTGGGGCTGCGATCTCATACGGGCGAGACTACTGTACACGTCGGTTATTCGCAGCGCGATCGCCTTCGGGGCGGCTGCGTGGCACACTATAAGCGAGGAACCAGCGGGACCAGCTAAGAACCTAGTCGGGATACAGAATGAGTGCCTCCGAATAGTCTGTGGCGCCTACAAAGCGACACCGGTCCGACACCTAGAAATAGAGGCAGCTATCCCGCCACTAGACCTATATCTCAGTGCCCGGGCGGCGAAATTTGAAGAACGGCTACGGAATAACGGCAAAAGGAGCCTGCTTCGGAGCGCGAGCGCGAGAGCGTCACACATACTCCGACAGGACACGCCGGCGAGACGGAAGCGGGCGTCACAATCGCTCAGACCAGCGGGGTACACGATAGAGAAGGAGGCTAGGGGCTCCGAGTGGATAGGCAAGGCGAAGGAAGTCCGGGCCGCCCTCCTAGACCACTGGGAGAAGAGATGGCTCTCCGGGGCAGCACAACACGACCGCCAGCGACGCGCTATCGCCGAGGAGCAGGAGGGCCCCTCGATGCGAATGCCGAAACAGGGAAAGTACTCAGACCTAAACCGACCGGAGGCGTCTACCCTATGCCATATCAGGACCGGAAAAATAGGACTATCAGCTTTCTTATTTAAGATAGGAGCCTTCGGTGTGTACTCGCCGTTATGCCGCTGTGGAGAGGCCCCCGAGACGGCAGAGCACGTAATCCTCTTTTGCGGCCTGCTGGAAGAATCGAGAGAGCGCCTACGGGCCACTATCGCACCATGGCCGCTGCATACACGTAGAGACCTGGCAACGGCGACGGGGAAACCAGTAGTCAGCGGGACTATCACAAGGTGGCTACTCAGAACTGGCCGGATAGCGCTTAGGCCCGGATAATATCGATCTTCTCAGGGGGATTTTGTTAGTAGGGTGAGAACTAACATAGTATTGTGGTGGACGTAACGCAGTCGCTAATAGAGCGAACCTACGTAGCAGCGTATGTATTTAGTCCAGCCATTAGGGCACGGTTTGACATACGGGAGCACTTGTAGAGGTACCGGGGGCTTTGAGCCTACGGCGTATTTAATAATAAAAATAATATTTTTTAGTTTAGTTAAGTTATTGAAGTTATTCATACGGTGCCAAGAAAAAGTGGCCAACTTGCTTGTGTGGCCAACTTGCTTGTGTGGCCAACTTGCTTGTGGGGTACGTTAGAGGTTCAGAACCTGCCATAAGTTTTAGATTAGACTTTGATCAGCATGTGTACCTCATAGGAGCATAATCTCTTTGCTGCATACGCCCAAATAAGTCCACCCCGCTAAATCGAGCCTCACTCTTCTCTTATTGCAGTACTGCTGCGCTTGGACACTTGCATAGTTAGACTTGCAATGTTCACGAGAAATTTCGAAAGGTGAACGGTGACCATATGCCGTTTTAGAGCGAGACCTAATCTTTAAGACTCATGTTGGGATCTGAGATAGGAGCGAGGCGTGATAGTATGGCCCTCATCATTCCGTTTGAACAGCCAGAAATCGCCGTGAGGACACGATCAGACTGCTGTAATGCAGTTCACTCGTCTGTTTTCAAAGCCAACAATTGTTGATGGACACAGTCGTTGTTGATTCCGAACATTCAGCATGCATTGTAAATTTTGGGGTTACTATGGGCTTTGTCCTCAGTTTACTGACAGGTACGGATCGTTGCTTGTACGTAAGTCAAGTTGGAACCCGAGGCCGTGACATCCCTTAAATCATTCAGAACTCCTTGGAATCCCCCAGACTAAAGCTTTTATCAACATTGCTGACGTACTACTAGCCTAACCGAGAAAAATATGCCAGAGTCGTCAACCCAGCAAAGATGGCTGCCTGCAACTCAACTAACAAACAGCGCAAGACGGCTGAAGACTACGGCTTTACAAGGAAGCATACCGATGCCCCCTCCAGTCACGGCTTCATGAATCCGTACCTCGACGCACAGCCACCCCTGAATGGCGAACCGCCATTATCGAATCCCCGTGCGGCCTCCGTAGATAAACTACAGCCATTGAGCACGATGCCTACGTGACGTGCTGTATCGGCCTACTTGATGGAAGATCAAAACGGACCCGGACTCGAGGCTCACGGAGATGCGGCATTGCAACATGATTGTTAACAACTACCGGGAGGCCGTGGGTAACTTGGTGAATTTGAGATTCCTCGGTACTCGATCCGTTATCAACGACGACGCCAGGGAATCCACCAAGACTGCATCTGAGAATGCCGAAAAGGACTATACGGACCCCGGCAGCGTTGAGACCACCCTTGACGTGCCCTACTGGGACAAGTGTATTAAGATGAATCCCGTTGCCCGAGGGAAGAAGAAGCTGACGGATAAATGGGCCAGTGAGATGGGTGACGCTGTGATTAAGCGACTCATTTTCATTTCTGAGGGATTCCACGGGGATGAGAAATCTAATCTCGGCGAACCAAAGCTGCACATGGTTACTGAACCCCGCCGTAGCTCCGAGATTGCTGAAGGAAAGTGATTTCTAGTCAGTCTGCTATTATAGCATGATCTACAGGATCTTTGATAGAGCTCGAGTAGCCTCACCGTAGTTCGGATGTAGTTTTGCCAACCAATACTAGTGCGAATACTGAATCACCGTGAAGTCCCATAATGGCCCAGAGAGAAAAGAAAGAAAAAAAGGAAAGAATCCACTATTGAATACCTTCAGCGAAATGATCATGATATTGTCTCCAACTCATCCGAATCATGCTTTACTCAAGCTTCACATTATTTTGCCCCATTCGCGTATGAGCATGCTCACAGCATCGAAAGCAGGCCTGGCAATGCTGCAACTGACTGCCCTAAAAATCGCAAAATTGACCTGCTACCAGGTCTTGCGTCTTAGCCTGGCTTAAGTCCATTTGCAGATGTTCGAGTTCCAGAGACGAGCGAGGCTCAGCAAAGTTCAACCATAACCGCAAAAGTATCTTCAGGGTGCGAGATGAGAAGTTATCAGCAAGAAAGCGAAGCTATGCAACAACAGGCTGGGACGGTTCGCCGAGCGAGATGCCGACCGCAAGACATCCGAACGGTTTCACAGCCTTCCTGATACACAATACCCCAAAACTATCTGAGTAACCCGTCATACAAGTTTCTAGTACCGCGGATTGCGCTTGATTCAATACGCATAATTCATACATTATTCCAGTCGATGCTACGCGGCTAGCCAGCTAACGCGGATTATACAATAGGATGGAATGTTGACGATAATCTTTCCCGGCTTCCCCTAACCCCAGTCAGCCAAAAGTAATCGAAGTAATGTGGCAATCAAATAGTCATCTACATCCTGCAGTGTATCCTTAACGGTTTTCGTTAATAAACGCCGGCAGATTGTATTCTCTAGCTGCGACATATGTGGACAACGGCCAATTATATATCTTTATCAGGTATTAAACGGCGATCAGTTCAAGTATTTGGAACTCTTGGTTGGGTTACGCCCGCGCTTCATGTCGCTAGTTAAGCTACCCGGACTGAGCGCCTGTTACACGGAATCCTTCCGTACAGCCTCCTACGCCATGCAACATCCTGCTATTCCGTAGAGCATCGTACCACGCTGTACGGTCGAACGCGTGGAAGTTTAAGTCGCTCACTACCCTCTTATACAGTTTCAATCCTCTGGGTCATCGGCACCATATGATATCCACCTGAGTCTTTTCCTCTTTGTATTCCATCCGTTACGTTTATTTTGCCCTGCTGCTCTCTCGCCCCTACTCTTGGTCTATATAATGAAGAGTACATACAACTTCGGACTACTCATTCTGTCATTTTCCTTTCCGTTGGTACTCTCCCAGGCTGCTTGTTTCTACCCCGATGGATCACTGGACCGTCAGGGCTTCCCCTGTTACGCAAATGTCACCTCGTCCGGCGGCCACAGTCCCTGCTGCCTCAGAGGCGATGCCTGCTACGAAGATGGAACATGTGCGGTATCTCCACTCAATCAGCCATACCGTCTCAGCTGTACAGACCCTAGGTGGGAAAATAGAGCATGCCCTGTGAATATATGTAGCGGTATAGGTACCGGTAAGAACGACCATCGTTTTGGAACCAAACTTTCTCGTCGGCTTCACCGTTTTGACTTTTCTCATGCTAGTCAATGCACGGACAATCCAATGGATCCTGAAATGCACGCCCCGAAACGACAGCTCTTGCTGTCTCGAGGGTGCCGACACATGCTGCGATGATGAAACTAACAGGTTCAAGTACCGGCCAGGTGCCATCGTGGCTCTGCTCGACCCCGAAGGAGATGATAGGCTCGTGCAGTCACCGACCTCAAGCGAAAACTCGACGGCCACACCCAGTTCCGGATCCGACCCAGCATCCAGCTCAGAAAACAAAGGAGCTATAATTGGGTTGGGTGTTGCTCTCGGTACGGTGGTCCTAGCATCAGCCATAGCGTTAGCCGTGTTGTGGAGGAAGTTGGCCGCCGAACGGAAAGGGCGCGAGCAGGCAGATGGCAACATGGGTGGTCAAGGCCACCACTTGTCGTCGCAAAACACGCCGAGTCAGTATACGGCAACAGACCCAAACTACGGGCAGAGAAAACCGGAGAATCAGCCTTTGCCAGGAACTGTTGGGCCTCCGTTGCAGCTTCAGACGCATCGAGATACGACGGAATTACCTGAAATGAGATGATAGGGCGAATCATGAGAGACTAAACACTCCCCAGCAGTGCACACGGGCCAACGGTACAGCCAATTTTAATACAGCCCGTAGAAAAAACAGGAACTTCACTTAGTTGTACGGAATTCAGTCAATATAGTAATGATTTATACACTTTACATGAGTCTCTAGAGAACTAAGCTATTTACCTTTTCTACGGTTTTCATATGTCGTTATCAATCAGAGCCGACGTGGCGTGTTTCAGAATAGCTCTAAAATACAGATTATTAGTATGTAAATGCTACTGTGAATATTATGTCGAGAAGGTATAGAGTAGTCCTAGTAACGCCTAAATACGGCTAAGAAGAGCCTTAATACGTAGATTAGTCGTGAATAGTTCCTTCACTAACCCCTTAGCTATTAACAAATGTGATTTAACAGATTAGTGCTTAGTAGCCCGGATACAAAGAAGGATTCAGTGAAGTTGATACGTGACCCTGAGGGGACCTTGTTGTCAGATATTGACATATCTTGCAGTGTGACCTTAAGGTAGCCAGTCCAATTGATTGTTGTTATCTGGAAGGCACTCTTGGAAGGGTCTTTTGAAGGCTCTGGTAATCTTAGCCCCATAAAACTTAATCCCGTGACCTCTTATAAGTCTAACTAGTGTCCCCTTGTATTTGCATATTTGACATCTGTAACCTAGCTAGAGATAAGATAAGATAAGAAACTACTAGCGCTCCGGCTAAACCCCAGCAAGGCTTTGCTAGCCCAAAAGGGCCCTGCCAGTTGGTTAGCGAACCTTGCAAGGTAGCTTTCCCAATTTACTCACAACTTGAACCCAATATGCACTCGCATCAGAAGTCCTGTTACGAACCATTGGTTCTAACCAACCCGATCGGCCCGTTGGAAGGCCGCGCAGGATCGACTGAAGAAGACACGAGGAACGCGGAACGAAAGAACTACGAAATGGACAAGGTACAACCGCACATCACAGGTCAGTGATTGTATCATTTGAATCTCAAGATGATCCAAGTGATCCAGCGAATCAGTGAAGGAAGGAATGGCTATATAGGAGATAGAGATCCACAGGCTTTCACAGTAGTCAGTACCTACTTCAGTGATCAATCTAAGCATCTATCTAACCCATAGGAGAGGCCTATCAAGCCTTGACGACTCTATCATCTGCACCCTCAGTCATATTGTCCACGCGCACCTATTGTTCATTGCTCAGTTACTTGTAACAGAACTTCTCTGCAAGCATAAATACCATTAGAGACTCTTCAGTGGTTCACTCGTTCGTTAGATCCCGAGTAGCGTTCGTCACAAGTCCCCTTAACATCGAATTTAGACCACCTTTGTCGAATGCATCACTACTCCAGGGGTCCCTAGGAAGCCGTCTACAGCTTTCAAGGGTAAATATCTGTAAAAGCAGTGGTTTTATAATAAATTCAAAGAAGACCTTCCCCGATGATCACTTCATATGTAGTCAAAACAGGTGGTTAAGTAACGGTATTGCTCTGGAGCAGCTTAAAGACGTGTATATCCCTGAAATGCAGCTCTGACGCACGCCTGGTTTTCCTTGATGACGATAGAAGCTATATAACGGTAATTGTTGCTATCTTTCCATGACTTGTTGTTACCACGCTAGTGCCTCACAGGTTTGTTTTCATAGGCGTCGAGATCACTATGTTTGCAATCGAGTAGTCCCCTCAGAAGTCGAGAGACTGCAGATTTTGACTATATCATTCCAGTAATATCCATAAACCGAAACTCAAAGTCCTCAATGATCTGCGTCGCGTATGCCTTTCGCCGTCGAGGCGTCTCCGGATTGACGATTTGGAAGCCAAACACTCTCAGAAGCTGCGAAGCCAAAAAGGAATATATCAGTTGCAATATTCTCAGAACTCATCATCCATTCACATAAGTGTCTGTCTCCATACCTTGACAAAGGTCTTGTTCAGTTCCATCAGAGCAAGATTCTTCCCCAAACAAAACCAGCGGCTATGCCGAATACAAGGTCGACCGTCTCGGAACGGCTTGTCCTCATAGGCTCTTCATATTCCAGGAAGCGTTGGGGGCGGAATATGTCGAAGTCATCCCCGAAAACTTCCCGGTGTCATCTGCCGCCGTGTTTCTGCTTCAATTAAAGCCGTCAGCGATGTATAAATAAGGGCCAACGTGCCAAACCACCTTGCAGTTGGCCGATGGCGAAATAGACTGGAGCTTGAGTCTTAACAGGCATTGTGTATGTTACGAGCGCTCGGATAGATTTGGACGTCAATCTGATGACTAGCACAGGTAATTTCTGGGCCAAGTGACATGGATGGCAAATCCGGCTTCCTAGTGCAATTCGGCATACTGTGCTGACATTCGTGCCTCGAGCATGCAAGTGATTTGATGGGCCTCGTTAGGACAGGACATCTGGTCTCTCACGTCAGCGACGCACTTCAGCAACGCAGGGAATGTTTCAACCAATGCAATTTTTTTACTTCATATTCCGGCATTGGGCCGTCATGTTCATTGACAAGGGCTAAGTAGCTGAAGCACAATGTCAGAGGTGAGAAGCAACGGAGGCATTTACATACAATTGCAGAATAAACACAATACAAGTGTCATTTTACTAGGAACTGTAATTTACTTACATGATGCATCCTTCTCGTGGCTCATTCCACATCTACACAAAGCACCAAAACGTGTTTCAAACTACTTTTCGTTCTTACCTCGAGTAAAAGCGCATACTAAAAGTGACTGCAAGCAAAGTCCACAAGTAAGTACTGGATTTAATTTAGTAGCAAGGCCAAGCATCCAAATACTTTCTGGAGTTATCAATTTGGGTACATGAGAACGACTCTGGAGCTTGGGCAGAAATCATGCTTGCTGCAGGTTAGCTCTGTGGCAACTCTAGGCATCCTCCTAGCAGTTTTAGGCTTGATCCACACTACAAACAGTACGGCTGCAGGCCAATCACCAACATGCAGCGCAAGGCAACCTCTTCCAAAGTTGCTCTCAACTTTACAGCGTCATTTTCCTGAACATAAATGCCAGCAGGTTGACGAATTGACGAATTGACGGTCAGCATCACACAAAATGTCAGCCGAAAATGCGAAGGTAGTTTCAACGGCCCCGCTTGTGAGTTCCCTCTACCTTCCTGAGCATCGCCCAATTGGGATGTGACTACTGACATACCCTGGGACACAGGCCAACAGCGAGGCGAGATGGGTACAGCTTCTCAAGTAAGATCTGAAGATGATCTCTGAGGCCAAAATCTGACCCTAATCTGTTGCTAAGGATAGAATACAAAGATCCCAAAGGTAAACCCCGAACATGGGAGAGTGCTGAGCGACTCACACGACCGAAGGGAACCGACATCGACGGAGTCGGCATCTTTGCCGTTTTGGAGAAGCCAACGGGTAAGATTATGATTCCACTCGGGAGGAAGCCTCGGTCGATTAAGAGACTATCAGGTCCCGAGATTATCCTCCAGAAGCAGTACCGACCGCCGGTGGACAAGGTAACCATTGAAGTCCCGGCCGGCTTGGTCGACGCAGGCGAGACCCCTGGAGAGGCCGCAATCAGAGAGTTGAAGGAAGAGACTGGATATGTTGGAAAGGCAGTCGAATCCTCTCCCATCATGTTCAACGGTGAGTTTTCAACCCTTTACCAGCGCAGCTGCGGTTCTCTGACATGTTTGTATAGACCCTGGATTCTGCAATACCAACCTTCGGATGGTCCATGTCAGCATCGACATGAGTCTACCTGAAAATCAGGATCTGAAGCCAGAGCTAGAAGAGAATGAGTTCATAGAGGTCTTCACGGTACCGCTAACCAATATGTACGCCGAGTGCAAGAAACTGGAAGCCGAGGGCTATGCAATCGATGCACGGGTTGGAACCATAGCCGAGGGCATCGAGATTGCTAAGCAGTTCAAATTGTAAACACCATACCTGAGTTTCTAATCAATTCGGGCCAACTACGTTGGATTCCAACGTTGTTCAGAAGCCGCTGAACACGTACGACCGTACCGCTCCATTGTTGATCAGGTCCTAGTCTATGTGTGCCGAGCTTGATATACAACGCTGTATTTTCGAAACCAGAATGAAATTGAAGCTTCGAAATTCTCACGAGTTCCGTTGTTGAAGAGACTGGAATGATAGGACAATCGAAAAAATGGCACCCGATGTTAGCTATGCTGCATCGAAACAATGCAGCAGCCTTCGATATCACGATATCTAGATACCTCTAGGCATTTAATATGACTTGATACTAGTTACAAACTGTCGGAATCCAAGTATCAGGGGCTGTATTGGTACTATGAAGGTGTGTAAGGGATCAATCCCAAGTTGGCCCCGAGGGGTCCCTAAATACTACATCGGGTGCCTGCCTGCCTCGTGCCCATCGACACCTGAAGCCACAAATTCCTCCATAAACCCTGACGGATAATTATAATAACTTAAACTGCCTTCGGAATAATAAGACAAGATCCTCTAGCTTAGATAGAATCAATAGTACCAAAGGCGTTCGAAGAAGTATGGAGTAATAGTCCGATTTCAGGCTCGCGGGCGATCCTCCTTTTGAGAAGGATGGGGGAGGGAAATAGGCTGTCCTACCCTTATGCACCCATTCCCTTCGTAATGGAGTAACGGGCACCTATACTTTTCAATCTTTCTCTCTCTTCTTCAGTTTAGTATTCTTTAACAGAGATAGACTGATATCGTAACTTTGATTGGAACTCGCAGCACCTCTGCCTCGTCACAATTATAATATTAAGAGTCTTAGAATATCTGAAGAACCCTGATGCACTACATGGATCCTAATAACGCCATTGATCTAGGTTTTCATGGCGAACAATTTTGATATGCCAAGCTCATGATCCTTCAGTAGATGCAACTAGTCCGCGTAGCAGGCCTTCATGGCATTATTGTTGCGGCTCGGCAACCGCAAACGTCAGACCCTTGTGCCAAGGTGCATTTAGGGCCCACCACATCATACCGAAAAAGGCATAACGTAACCCACCCCTTAGCGGGCCACCAGTTTTGGCATAATAAGAGGATGATCAATAACAGCATAACAAGCAGAGTTGAAGCTATTCACAACGCTATTTTCAACTAAATACATCAGAATCGAGCGGTAATTCCTTCCAAACGCGTTTAGCAAAGGTAACAACGCCCCCAAGGGCTTGTCTACGCTCCTTTTCACTCATTACCTGAGCCTCTCGCTCCTCTCTCCAGCGCTGTTGATCTCGAATCTCTTTAACAGTTAATACACGTGCAGTACCACAGGCCTTCTTCGTCCTTCTATTTCTACTCTCCTGTTGTTTCTTAACGAGGCCCTCGTTAATCTTCTGTAAGGCTAGATTATCTGCTAGAGCTGTTAGGCAAGTCTCTTTATTCCCCCTTTGCTATACTCGAATAGGAAGGCACAATTGATGAAAGCTTGGCCCGCACGGGGCACCTGTGGCTTAATGGGCGGTGCAGGCCTCGACTAGCAATTACGCTAGTAGGAGCGTTCTGTTCGCGTCCTAGAGGCCTATACCGCCGTAGGGGCCACAGATGGGTCCAAATGACCCGGTGGGCCAAGAAAGGATGGTGGAGGGGATGGTGGAACTGGATTTGCGACCGGTACCGGTCGACCTGTTTGAAACTGACGATTCCAAGCATAGAGTGTTGTAGTAGGAGTTGTGAAATAGAGCCGGAAGGCCTCGGACGACCACCTTCCTAGTGCTTGGATGTGTTCGTTCCATATGCCAGCGTTGTGAGCGTGTTGAGCTGCGCCTTTTCTAAAGCTATGGCCTTTTATTCCCGCGGTAGAGATGCCAGCACGGGAAAGTTTCCTAATGATCGCAGACTGGAAGGCGGAGGACGTAAAGGCGCCCGAGGAGATGGAGAATAATGGTGCATTGGCTGGTTGTGGGTCGTGAAGGAACAGTTTGGAGAGGGCTGCGACGGGGCACGCGGCGTCGTTCGTAGCTGCAAGGACAATGTTCACAACTTCGTGGTTGCGATCGGACTTGCTTCTTTTTAGGGTAAGAAGGGCGTGGTCCATATTAGGTGAGAATCTGATATCTGATCTAACGAGTTTTGTTGCGGCGAGGCGCTGGGCGTCCCTGGCGTCTGCGGCTGAGTAAGTGAATTCTCCGACTCGTAGGAAACCTGCGAAGGCGATGCGGGCGGCCGTCGCGATGTTCAAATTGTCCTTTTCTGCTCGCGAGAGGGGGGTCGTATGGGCAGGGAGACGGTTAATGTTCTCGGAGAGCGTAGCGACTGCAGCGCGTGAAATGGGATGGCGGTCTCTCTTAGGGCGATGAGGGTGTAGCCGTCGCGCGCCGTCAATCATACGGCGGAAATGTTTTGCATATATGTCGAAGATGTTGTCGGAGATATTGTTATCGATATGGTAAGCCCTAAGAGCAGATAGCTCTGTTAAGGCCGTGTCGGGCTTTATCGGGGCAGAACCGCCTGCGCCAAGGAGGCGTTGGGTTAGCCATGTACAGACCGCCGGTGCGGTGGCCGGCCAGGATTGAATGCCTTAGAAACTGCAGCACCGGACGTAGGATCGTTGCGCAGAGCGGTAGGCTTTTCTTGTAGACTCGGCAAGGCCGTTCCAAATTAGCTTCGCGTGCCCGGCGTTAACGAAGATACGTTGTTGAGAAAACCAGGTTGGCGGGTTAAAAGCGAGAAGTTCGACCACTGTGGGCAGATGCTAGCAATAGTAGTAAAGTCTGAGCGCGAAAGCGCGTCAGCGAGGGAGTTCTCTGATGAGGATAGCCATTTTGGCTGGACTTCTATGTCGAAGGCGGCAGCCAGGCTAAGGAGATGGAGGAGTGGGCGGTGGACTGGCCCGCGGAGTGCCTGGTTTGATATGCCGTGGAATGCAACGGCGCTATCAGTAAACGTGAGGACGCGGTGATGAGCCCAATGGGGGCTAAATAGGAGGAAAGCTTGCAGGATTGCAGAAACTTCCTTGGTGTTGATATGGGCCCCGTCGCCACAGGCAGGGGAGGCGTCTATTATAGCTGCTTGGGTGGAGGGCAGATGCGGGGCTGCAGACATCCAGTCCCGTGCATGATTCGTTGTAGACGCCGAGAAGAAGAAGAAGCCGAGGCCCGTATCGCATGCGTCTGTATAGAGTGCGATGAGTGGGCGGCTTGTATTGAAGAGGTACACTCCGTTGAATAACGGGAGCGTGTCCCTCCACCAGGCGAGGTCCTCGCGGGCGTCATGGGACAGGCGGCGGACGGAGCGCTGGTGAGGCGGGAAAGTGGCCAGCTCGCTATAGAGTGACTGAAGACGGGGCCTGCCGAGGCGAACTACCTTAGAGCAGTGTTGGAGGGATCCAATGGTGCGTTGTAAGGCTTTATACGCGACGCGAGTAGACTGGAGCAGCGCCGCCGCTTCGGAAGCGGCACGCGACAGTTTATCTAGCGGTATACGGGCCTGCAGAAGTACTGTGTCGAGTTCGACTCCAAGGATAACTACTGTAGTGCCGGCAGCGTCCTTTGATGTATTCCGGGGAATGCCGAGAGTATCCGTTAGAGGAATATAGATATCGTTGAACGCCGTAACGGCGTAATGTAGGCTGCCCGTACTGGCGGGCACAATGGAAATAAAATCGTCGAGATAGTGAACCGTAGCGGCCCATGGGATATATGCTGAAAGGAGCCAGTTAAGGCCTTCGCCGAACAGGTTGAAGATGAATGGAGCGGTCGAGAGACCGAAGGGAAGGCAGCATTCGATATATGTTTGGCCTTCCCAGTGGAACGCTACGAGTGGGCGATCGATAGGGGCGATAGGGATATTCCGGAAGGCGTCTTGGATGTCCCGTTTGATTATATAGCAGCCTCTGCCGTAGGTACGGACTAGGTCTAGAATATCGTCGATTGAGGTATACTGTATAGTAGAGGACGTGTCGGGGATTGAAGCGTTAATGCCTCGTCCAGGTGGCCAAGAGAGATCGTGGATACGTCGCCATCCTCCGTTGTGCTTGGCGACGAGGCCTAGTGGGGAGATAACTGCGGTACCGGAGTAGGGCTATACTCGGCGGTTTGATAGTTCGGCAGAGAGCTTCGACGTAGTAAGGGACTTATCGGCGATGGTATGGTTTGGTGCCTGGCGGGGGGTAGGTAATGGGGGGGTACAGCCTAAACGGCAGCCGAAAGTAAGGATTCCCGTGCAAATGTCGCCTAAGGTGCCTGGGTAGGGATAGAGTAGTTCCTTCCAGGCCTGCGGGGTAAACGGTGAGGCAGAATCGCGGAGAGCAGGGAGGGAGGGGTCGAAGACTGGGTACGTAAGGGTCGTATTGGGACGCGGTGGTGGCCAGGTTGATGGGGACGGTTGGGTCCATAAGGGGGTTGGTTGGCGCGTATTCTGGGCTATTAATCGGGATTCCGATTCTTGGGATAGAGAGGTGCTATTTTCCCTGCTTTACCCTGCAGTGCGTTGCGGCATGGTCACCATTGCACTTTGAGCAGACATGGCGGCGAAGGCAGGCTCTCCACGAGCAGCTAGAAACCGAATTGAACTTTTCGCAGATAACCGTATCGTTGTTCGGGGTAGCACTACTGCTTCGAGATTGACGCGAAGGTGTAGTAGTAGTAACCGGCTTTAACGTAAGGACATTGTCTAGGCGGAGGTAAGAGCTCTCGAGGGAGGGCTCGATGCGCCAGTCCTCAGTAGACACCGTAAGATCGCCTTTGTCAATAATCATTTAGTGCTTGATAAGGGCTAACTGAAGGACGCAATCTTGCCATCTATAAGATCTGGCAAGGTCGGTAACCTGTCGATGAAAGAGGATCATCCCGATGATACTGGGCGAGTGCTGGGCGCCGAAGAAACTAGCCCAAATGGCCATATAGTTGTCGAAGCAGTGGGACCAGAGGGAGGCGTCGCTGCCCCAGTCCTTACTGGATGTAACCTTGCGGAACTGGAGCCCGGCCGACGTAGATTGTAGGTCGAATGATTCGTTGTCTATAGATACGGCTTTGAATTCCGGGCTCCGGAGCTTGATTAAGTCTCTTTTTACGCGGAATGTATGTTGGAAGACGGCTACGATTGCGGTACGATCGAGGCCGGGGAATCGTGGCAGGATAGGGACTATGGCGGGAGGAACCTTACCATCTTCGTCGGTATCGTCGTCGTCGATTGTAATGTCTGCGCGGGACGTTTGCGCCGGTTGTCTCCCGCAGAGAGAGAGGCTGATACGCTGGAGAGGAGCGAAGCGCGTTGGTCATCGGATAGTGAATTCCAAATGTACTCT